TGAACCGACTTTTGAACTGTTCGAACAACTGATCTAGGGACTGAATCAGGGACTGATCTGACTAATCACTGAATCGACTATTGGACTAATTTACGAACTGTTGAACTGATCTAGGGACTGGATGAAGTACTAATTTACTGACTTTCGAACCGACTTTTGGACTGATCGAACAACTGATCCAGGGACTAATTTACCGACTTTTGAACTGACTTTTGAACTGATTGAACTGATTGAACTGAACTGATCGATTACTTAATCAATTTTTCAACAGCTAGAGCGTTTAAGGAAAGGATTACATAATCAGAGACTAGAGGGTGCACCCAATCAAAGCACCGAGCGCTGGAGGATGCATCCAATAAAATGCTCTAGTAATTGGAGCTAGGGCGGCGCTAGAGTGATTTAGCGGCTTTCAAGGTGGTCAAAGCGACTTTTTGAGCCAATTGGCAAGCTTGGAGCTCGGGATGTGTGTTCCCGGCACGGGGACCTCCTGTATATATATAAGGATTATTTATATATTATATATAATTTTATTTTAAAATAATTTTAAGTTGTTTAATTAATTAATTTAATTATTATTAAAATTATATAACTTCGAAAAAAATAAATATAAATTTAAAACAACTTTATTTAATTTTTAAATAATTTAATAATTATTTATAATTTTTTTATTTTATATAATCGATTTATTTATCGATAAAATTTAAAAAAATTTAAAAAATACGTTTAAACGTAAATATTTAGCTTATTAATTTTAATTTAATCTTATCGATTACTTAAAAAATCTTATATATAATTTTACGCCTAAAAAACGCGTTTAAAAAAAACTCGCACTTTTTAAAAAAACTAAATTAAAAATTATACTTAATAAATATCCTTTAATCAATTAAAGCATCGTATATATTAAAAAAGGGAGAAAATCGTCAATTAGTAAAAGTTTTTAACCTTAATACCACATTATACCGTTTATTATACACCTTTAATATAGGTATAATAGTATAATGTGGGGTGTATAATATTATACCGTATAGTGCCCTCATTATACGTATAATGCAAAACCCTAACTCTGGCAGTCTGGGCGGTTGTGATGAAAGAGTACTACTCTGTAGCCGTAGACCCTTAGCGTAGCTTTTGTGGCGCGGTTAGCATAGTTAGCCTACCTAGTTCTTAGCTTACCTGCGCGTATTAATATTGTGCTAGGCATCTAATGCGCAATGCGAATCATTTTAGAAAGAAGATTTTCTGATTGAATATCTTTTTTTGTTGGACTTGAATTAAAAGTATAAATTGGACTCGAGGATTGCACATGTGAATTGGGAAACAAAATGTCTGAGACATAATTTAGATGAACAACGAATTATTCCAACACGCTTGCACCTGTCAGAGTTGTACAAAGTTATGTGAGAACGGGAGGGTCGTCGAGTTGTGCAGTTGCGGGGGTTCGACTTCTGGGCTGTACCGTGAGTTTAATAACGCTATACCTAATCTAGTAATAGTCTAAACCAAATCCAGTGAATACCCCTGGATGTCCTCTCTTTGATTGGACAAACAAGCATTAGTGTGCTGCAACCATTTTCACAATTTCTGACCTGTCAAACGAGAAGCGACAGGGGACCCAGGGGTGAGGTGCAGTACAATTGGAGCTTCTGCATCAACAAAATTCACAAGTAAACATTAGGAACATAATGTGCCAAAGTGGAGATCAAAAAAAGATTGCACAAGGCATCATCAATTCTTATGACCGCCACTTTCGTCCTACTCTTTTTTTCCCCTCAGGTTCGCATGTCGTCGTTGGACATTTGATTTTCGTTTTCGCAATTGGGTCATAATTGGGATACGAGAGACAAGAAATTAAAGAAGAAATCCAGTTGGTTGTTTGCTTTTGCATGGCAATCTGGAGTTGTTGTTTGTTGCCGTTGATTTTCTCCTAATTGGATTCTTCTCTTCTTTTTTTTTCTACTTCGGTACGTGGATCTGAACTTGGATTTGGACGTGGACGTTATTTTAATTATCTCGGCCATTATCCATCCCCCTGTCTTTCCAAGATGACTTCTTGACACTATGACCTATTCCATCTTAATCTTTTTTCTTCTCCGTCCTGCTACTCATCTCATCGTTCCTTCATCTTCTTATTTGATTGATATCATCGTCTTTTCGATTTTATCTCACTCCCTCATCGATATGATGATATTCTAATCTAATAACAGTGTCAGCGATTCTTTACGACGTTACGAACCTTCATGGCCTTCCGAAGATACCCTCAATTTTTACGACCCTACTCATTTTAATCCCGAGTCTTCCGTTTTCTCCCAATTTAACTTTCGTCTGAATTCCTTCTTCATTGCGTTTTTTTCTCGCCTTTTCACCACCGCGAGACGGCTAGACCGTCGTGATGGATCAACCACCACCACCTCCGCCACATGGCAATAATCCCAGGCCGACAAATCCAAATCCCAACCTTCCACCCGGCAAATATGATATATTTATCATACCACCGCATTCATCCGGGTCGGGTTTCCTCTATCTCCCATCGCTGAAGCCGAACCTGAATAGTTTCGCCGCGGGATTTGCCAGCGCTTTGGTCTTAGTTGTCCTCGGCCAAAGCATGGCACCTGCTTTTCGGGTATGGTACAATAACTTCCAGGGAATGGGAAATATGGGGATGGCGTTGTTGGTAATAGGGGTTGGAGTCGGAGCGTGGTCTCTGGGAAGAACACAACAAGGTGGCGGTCCAATACCTGGAGGAGGTGGTCCCGGCCCCGGTTCTGGAGAAGGCGGCGGAGGGAATTTCTATGGCCGATATGGTCCTGGATTTGGAGGCTATGGTGGCGGTCCGAATCCCAATGCCGGCCCACCTCCCAACGATGATATGCCTCCGCCGCCTCCTCCTCACGGCTCACCCCCACCTCCTAGACCGACACCTGGTTCACAGAACAGGGGAGGTCCGCAGCAGTCGTGGCAACAAGATCCGCAGGACGAAGAACCGAGAGAATCGCCCACACCGCCTCCCCGACGACCACGCCAAGAGACACCCGAAGAACCCCCTAAGCCGAAACCTAGGGAACCTTCCCCAGAGCCTCCTAAGGAGCCCCCCAGGCCGTCTCCTAAGAAGAAGTCTAAGGAACCCCCTAGGGAAGCCCACAAGACTCCTAAGAAGCCGCCGCGAGAGCCGCCGAAGGAATCGCCAAAGGAACCGCCTGAGGAACAGCCTAAGGAACAACCCAAGGAACAACCTAAGGAACCGCCAAAGGGTGCGTGGGAGAAGGCAAGAGAAGAAACCAGACGAAAGGAGGAAGAACGAAAGGCTAAGGAAGAGGAGCGAAAAGCCAAGGAGGCCGAGCAACGTAAAAGGGATGAGGTAACCAAACGTCTTAGGGAATTGCGCGAAAAGGAAGCCCGTGAGCGTGCTAGACGCGAACAAGAGTTGTATGAGAGACGAGAGCGTGATGCGCGCGAGAAAGAACAACGAGAACGTGAACAACAAGAAAGGGAACGGGAGCGACAAGAAAGAGAGCAGAGGGAGAAGGAGCAGAGAGAGAGAGAACAAAGGGAAAATAGACTCCGAGAAGCTCGAGAACGACAACTTCGCGAGAAGCTCGAAGAAGAACGGGCACGCCGAGAGAGGCTTGAGAGAGAAGTCCAGGAAAAGGAAGCGATACGAGCCAGAGAGGCAGCTGAGGCAGCACGGTTGAAGGCAGCAGAAGAGGCTAGGTTGCGAGAGGCCCAGGCAGCTAAGATCAGAGAGCAAGAAGCCGCTAAGGTTAGGGAAGCGGTGGCTGCTAAGGTTCGAGAGATGCGAGAGAAAGAGGCTGCTAGGCAGCGGGAAGCCGAAGCTGCTAGACAAAAGAAGCAGGAGGAGGAAGCAGCGAGGATAAGAGAAGCCGAGGCAGCAAGGTTGAGAGAGCAGGAAGCAAAGGAGGCTGAGAGCAGGAGAGGTGCATATGCGTTCTCGTCAGTGGGTGAAAAGACTAACCCTTGGCCGAACGGAAAACCACCTATGCCACCTATGCCTGCGTCTCCCAAACCAGCCCCAAGTACTACGTCTAGTAAACACACCACCACTCAGAGTACTGCTTCTAGTCGACCGCCACCAGCAGCATCAGCAACCCCAAGACCAAGCCCGACACCAAGTGCAAAGGCACAAAGCACCAGGGCACCCAGCGGAGTCAACGAAGAGACGTATTCGTTTCGACCATACGACCAGCCTAAGAGCCATGGTCGAAAAAAGTCGAACGAAACAGCCTTTACAGGATCGTCATATGCCCCATCGCAGGCCCCGTCGCATTCGACTGCACGAACAACGCCTCCACCATCCGAACGAGCCCCTTACGAGACCAACGATCCGAAAAAGATTGTCATCAAAGCTGTTTATGGTTTTGTCAATCAATTTTCCAAGACACCGGCGTCTCAGCTTATTTCTGGCTATAGTCCAGTCACAGACGGTTTGATTCTTCGCATATCTTCGGAAGGCATCTTCATCGACGATGATGTCCGTAACGAGCCGCAACGAGATTGGGATGTCAAAGCCTGGACCCTTAAGACTGTTGAGGTATGGTGCCCGTCGCATTGTGTCACAGAAACCGCCACAGCCGCCGCCAAAGCGCCATCCAGAACTCATCGCTTCCGATCGACGATACGTGGCGACCCGAAAACGCTAACGGGCGACGATGCCGCGGTGTGTGTCGCCGAGCTCTCACATTCTTGCAAGAACGAATGCCGCTATTCTGCTCAGAACGCACGAAGCGCCACGTCGTCGTCATTTGTTAGCAGCGCTAGGCGACGTGGCTTGCATCTAATGCGCGCGACAGTCAGAGACCAGGACGGCAGAAGACACTTGTTCGTCATCGACGGAGAAGAGGGCTGGAAGTTAGCTGAAGGCCTCACTCAACTGCTCAGAGGTTCTCAACACAGGCAGCTAGGCATCCAATGTATGGCAAAGACCGAAGCCCAAACCATACTTGAGACTCTTGGCTGGTGACTAAAGGGGACGCTGGTGGCAACCGGCAGTACTTATGGGATATCATCTGGCAGGCGATGGGCGACTGGAATGTTGAAGTCGTTGTCGCATTCCACCGCCGCCAGGCTCCACTCTATTGGATGGACTTACCATCCCTTCTTGGTCAATACTTAATCGTTCATTCTTCCTACCCAATGCATTGGCGATGCGCGGCGGCGTACGGTTTAGTTAGTCTAAATTTGCAAAACGGAGAGCGCAATTTCTTTCTGCGTAGCGGAGGACCTGGCATCATAGCACGGAAACCCCCGTGTAGAGAGTTAGTTGAGATTGCCACCGATTGGTCAATTAACTGGATATATACCACCACTGAGACAATGAAAATACATTGATACGAAATGCTTGATTTTGCTTAATGTCTTGGTTTAGTGCTGTGTTTTTGTGATAAGCATAGTTACTTGTATGTAAATTTATGATGTTAATGAATGTGTTTCTAAGGAATTCTACTAGTTTATAAGAAACTGTTTACTGATAATCTCCAAAAGCTATTTGAGATTTAGAGCATATACTCTTGTTAGGCTAAAAAGGCGAGGTTCTCTTCCTTAGGATACCTTTCTCTTATTTTTTTGTGATGGTTCTGACCTTATCGACTACGCTTCGGGCGCTTCTCCTTTACCTCTTTTCCAATCTACCTTGTGAATCACCACGTCAAGTTTGACACTTTCGATATTCGAAGCCGTAAGCTTTACAGTCACAAAAGTGAAGATAGTGTTCAATTAAACAGTCTCGAGTGAGATGGCTGAAGTCTATGCTCCCCGTATGGCCTAGATTAATCTATCGTGCCTACCTATAGGATCGTAACGTACGATGAAGAAGCGTAAGAGATGACGGATTCTATCTTATCTACCTACATATAAATGATTGTGTTTAAAATGAATGCCGCCCTCTACCCTACGGGACAATTATTGATATTTGGAATACAGAGCTGCCGTCTATCATTCCGAAACTCTTCAAGAATTGATACACATCGTTCATAACATCTCGTTCACGCCTTATCCCTATATTGACTTCATCCACAAACTGTAACCTTTCAATAAGTGTAGCGGCTAGACCAGTATCCTATTCGCCACGTGAATTTGTCATTCTATATATGAACTCGATGTAGACTGAGCGTCTCGGCCCTTCCAGGGGTATAGGGGGGAGCGAGGAGGCAAGGAATGACGCATATGCGCCTTCTCTCCCTCGTGGTATATAGAGAGCCGCTCACCCTGTCGATTGATAATCGCTTATAGGTAGTGGGAGGATATTAAAATGAATATGTGCCTTCGCGTGCGCGACGCGCTCTTGGTCCTGCTGGACCCTCGTTCCCAAAGAATGGTCGGCCCGGATGGTTGCCGTTTTGGGCTACCAGTGTATGGTTTAGGAAGGGGATATAAATAAATTTAAAGCAGGAGATCTCGGCACATGCTGGGATGCAATCGTGCCCATTCGTTCAGATGAAGTCCTGCCTCTGGCCAGTCAGAAAGGGGCTTCGCGCGATACTCAACTCATGTCCAATGACGTTGCGATGCCTAGACGAAGGCTTGATTCGGCTGCTGGAACACTACCGAGCCCTCTACCCCCGCTTAATATGTCAGAATAGGAATGAGTCCGTAGTAGGTAATGTATGTAATTTCGACCCTCGCATCAGATTTGTCGCCCAGGTCTGCCTCTGGATCCTAGGGTTATATTAACCGGCGAGGCTTCATTGAGCGGCAGTTGCATTGCCATGACATCCAGCCAATAGCCGCGGCGTCTCAACACTCCGTCCGCCTTGGCTTTATCCGGAGAACGATGATCTGCGCCGCCTCGGAGGGAGAATAAAGGTAGCACGGCCTGCCAGCCTCCCTCCCCGGCCGGTTATCTTGTTCCCTCTTCCTTTCCTCCAAGCATCTTCTCATAATCAACATCGTCGAAAGTCCTAAGGAACGACAACAAACAAGATGTTGATGAAATCTCTTCTGCCCGCTGCGGCGGCTGTCCAGATGGCGGCCGCGCAGGAGCTGATGCGCTTCGGATGCTCGCAGCTGACCATCGACCGAATCGACCCCCTGGTCGAGCCGGGCAACATGCCCTCGGCGCACATGCACCAGATCATCGGCGGTAACTCGCTCAACGCCAGCATGCACCCCGACGACCACGACCCCCCGACCGTCTCGACCTGCACGAGTTGCACGTACTCAGAGGACTTCTCCAACTACTGGACCGCCAACCTGTACTTCCGCGCGAGGAACGGCACCTACAAGCGCGTCCCGCAATTCGCCAACCTCGGTCTCGGCGTCGAAGCCGGCATGACCGTCTACTACATCCGGGGGTACCAGCCCAGCGCCAAGGTCACGGCCTTCCCTCCCGTAAGCCCCTCCCCCTCCCCCAAAAGAACCTTCTAATTGAGGAATTTCTCGTTCGTTCGGTATAGGGATTCCGAATGCTCGTCGGCGACCCGACAAACCGACAAGCGAGCACGATGCAAAAAGGGCTGTGCTACCGATGCGAAGCGAACATGCAGCAGAACCCATTCGGCGGGGCCCCCTGCACGGGGCAAGACACGCAAGCGTTCCCGAAGCAAGCGTGCGGGGGCGGGTGGCGGGTAACAGTGCACTTCCCGTCGTGCTGGGACGGCAAGAACCTCGACTCGCCGGACCACAAGACGCACGTAGCGTACCCGGCGTCGGGGACCTTCGAGTCCGGGGGCGCGTGTCCGAGCACGCACCCGGTGAAGATCCCGCAGATCATGTACGAGATCATGTTCGACACGCGCGCGTTCAACAACAAGGCCGAGTGGCCTGCCGATGGCTCGCAGCCCTTCGTCTGGAGTATGAATGACACTACTGGCTACGGTCTGCACGGAGACTACCTCTTCGGCTGGAAGGGAGATGCCCTTCAGCGCGCTATGGATGGCAAGTGCTCTGGTGACCGATGCGCGCCGCTGCAGAGGCAGACGGACCAGGCTGCTATCGACTGTGTTAAGTCCCAGAGCGTCAAGGAGGATATTGGTGATGGATGTGAGTTAACTGCCCTCCCCCCTTTCCTCTTACCCTCTACACGCTATACAGATTAGGTACTGACTGTCATATCTAGGGCTTACCAGCCTCCCCGGATGGTAGATCACCATTCCCACGGCGGAAGAGGCAACGGCAGGCCAGGGATGAGGTCTTGCTTTGCCTGGAGTTATTATTGTTAGCTGGGAAGAGAAGGGGACCTGTTAGACTGACCTGTTAAATCTTTCCCCTGCACCCCTGTTAATCTCGTCACGAATAAATACCATTATACACACATCGTCTGAAATAGTGAATTCAGTATCCAACAAGGTAGGCACACATGCAATTCACAACAAGAGCGAGTAAATTATTTCATTTCGACATTAGTATTAGTTCGTATTAGGTACACGAATGTATGTGCCAGATTGGAATATGTATTTTACGTTCCCGCCAGCCAATTAATGTACTGTATCAAACCAACCCCTGTAACCCCGACGTACCTTTCTATGATAGTGGGGCGCTCAGCGGCAGCTTACGGCTGCTGGGACCGACATGTACGGTCTTAGCGGCGCTGCTAATAACCCAGTTCTGGGATGCGACATCCCAGTTGCTGACATCGCGACGGTTCAGCGTGGCGCGGAAGGTAGCGGTTTGACCCGGCTCAATCGTAATCCGATCGAAGCCGCGAAGGACAACCTCGGGGTCATCCTCACCACCAAGGGAGACGTAGAGTTGCGGAACCTCGTCGCCAACAATCTTGCCCGTGTTGGTAACCTTGGCGGTGACAGTGTAGAGAGTATCGAACAGTTGAGGGTTACCGCCAGACTCATCCTTGGGACCAGGGCCGGCAGGGTGAAGAGCCTGCTTAGAGGAGTCGATAGCTCCCTTGGGCAGGAATTCTTCTGCAGTCTTGCCGAATTCTGGATCCTGAGATGCGGCTTTAAGCGATGATGTGGTGTTGAAGTAAGGGTAGATGTACTGCCAGATGTAAGGGAAGGAGGAGTTGGGGAAGGCGTAATCTTCGAGTTCCGTAGAATAGTTGCCGAAGGTAGGGGCTTCGGCGGTTTCGCCGGTGGTTGGCTTGTACTCTGCGTCATACGACTTTTCGACCTGAATATCAGAGTACTCGAAAGTGGTGTATGACAATCCAAATCCGAACTCGTAAATAGGCGTAATATTGGCACGGTCTAATGCACGGTAGTCGATGAACACACCTTCGGGGAATTCCAGCTGTGGCGCGCCGTTGCCATTGTTGGGCTCGTACATGACATCGGCACCGTAGTCTTCTCGCGTTTCTGCCCAAGTGAAGGGAGTTCGGCCGGCCGGGTTTACCTTGCCGTATAACACGTCTACAAGTGAGCGACCACTTTCTTGGCCCGGCAAGCCAGCCCAGACAATAGCCGTGACGTTAGGCGAGTCGTACCACTCCTTGACGAGGGTAGGACCAACGGAGTGAATGATAACGATGGTGTTGTTGTTCCATGATGAAACATTCTTGATGAGCTCATCACCGTTGCCCCATAGTGTCAGGTTCTTTCGGTCACCTTCATTTCCATCAACGTTGATATATCCTTCTCCAGAGTCTGCGTTGACAAAGACAAGAGCAGTTGCATCAGCTTGCGAAACAAGAGCTTTTATCGTGGATGTGGCAGAATTGTTAAGGACACCCTCAATTCGGCTGCGATCCTCAAGGGCCTGCGCCTGTAACGCCTCAAGGGGAGTAATAAGATAAGGGAACTCGCAAGATCCGGAACCCCATGCCATCGCAAGAGTACCATGGTCGCAACCTCGGTCAGAGCAGCCGTTCGGGCCAATTGGGCTGGGTCCAGCATCTTCTCCTACCACTGCGAGGAACTTAGGCTTCTTAAGAGGAAGAGCACCATTATTCTTGAGCAGCACCGTTGACTTGGCACCAATTTCGCGGATAAGATCGCCGTGGTCTCCTTGAGCATCGACGTGCCAGTTGATTTGCTGGTGACCCTCGCCTGCGGCGTAGTAGAGGGGGCCATAGGTATCTCGGGTCCACGAGGAGAAGCTGATAGGGGTCTGGTTCTCCACAGTCCTGCCGACCTTGAAATAGGCTGCCATAATTCTCATAGCCATGTCGTCAACTCTGTACTGGGGAACAGTGCCGTTCAATACGGCAATGGTAAGATTGGCACCCCAGAAACTGAGTCCAGAGTTAAATGCAGTATCTCCAGGCATTGTCATATCCAGGCCAGCTACGGCACTGGACGCACCGGAGTGCTGTGCTTGCCAATCGCTCATAACGAATCCCTGGAATCCCAATTCGCTCTTTAGTAGGCCGTTCAATGTCTTGGAGCTAGAAAAGCTCTGTTAGCTATTTACTCATGTCGTAATGTTCTCAACATATACTTACTTTTGGCAACCTTGAGAGTTGTTCACTTGGTTATACGAGCACATAACTGATCCCACGCCTGCCCTTACCGCGTCAGCGAAAGGCCAGAGGTATAACTCGTGCATTGTTTTGTCGTCGATATTTGCGGAGACAGTTTGTGTAATGTTGTAGCCATAACCTTGAGCTTCTCCAACCTGTCTGAAATGTTCTTTATACGTGTGTTAGTAGTTGCCTTGTAGGTAGTTTATTATTTTCTCTTACCTTGCTCGTTGCCAATATAATGCTTCGCACAGGCAATCACGCCCTCATCTTGAATTCCCTTGATAGTCTCGGCGATTGCAACACCGGTGAGATAGGGATCGGGAGAAAATCCTTCCCAGTTGCGTCCACCCGCTGGCGCACGGCCAATCGGGCCAGCAACAGGACCAAGAAGGACATCAACACCCTTGATCTTGTTCTCATTTCCCATAGCCTGTCCTCGTTTATACATGAGGGTTCTGTCGAACGAAGCTGCTACAGTCTGACCAGAAGAAAATGCCGATATGTAATCCGCGTTACGAATACCCAAGGGAGAATCCTGCATGCACATGCTTCGGAATCCGAGCCGGGGAACGGAACCGGCTTGTCCGACACATTGCTCACCCTCCCAACTTGAATTTTGTCAGTTGTTGAAGCTGCAGTTGTTTTCTCGAACATAGCTACTTACCCAATACCAGTTGTCAAATTAACCTTTTCCGCAAGGGTAAGCTGGGAGACGAAGTCCCGGGCTTTGGCGTACGCGTCTTCCCATCCTTTCGCGGTAGGGCTCATCCACGGAGAAGGATAAAACGGCTCCGATTTAAGCAGATCTCGTTTATCAACCTATGAATTGTTAGATATCACAAGCCGTTTAGTCATAAGCAGAGTAGGCATTAAGCTATTAGAAAAGGAAACGCGTGAGGGTAAGATCTGAACTAACCGCATTGGCAACTGCAGTGCCGGTGACCGCCAATAGGGCGGTCCACGAGGCGGAACGCATTGCGACTATCGTAAGGTCGAAACGATCTTAGAGCTCGTTCATAGATAGTAGGTAGGTAGAATGCCAATTCAACTCAACGGACCGGAGTAGATTACGGAATCGGCCGCAGTTGGACTACCGAATAGGAAGACAAGTGATGATCGAGAGGGTTGGGCAAGCTGGAGTGAGAAAAGGAATAAGATTGAACAAAGGTCTGTATTAATAACTATTATGAACGTCAAGGGCTGTTGGTACTTCTCTTAGTACGTCCAGGGCTCTCTTGGTACCTCTCTCTGGTTACATAGGTACCCTGCAGGCTTTGGGGATCGGGTGATCAACAAACTACATGCACCTACCTAGAGCTAGGTGGGATGTCGGTGACTTCTAGGATTTCCTGGTCAGCCCCGTAAGCATAATTCTCCATCCCGTCCATGTTGCATGGTTACAATCGAACCCACGAAAGGCAAGGTTCTCCGCTTGGGGAAGATGTCATATTATAGCCAGGCCATGTGTGCGGTATTGCTTCCGATTTGAGTGGATGGTTGCATGGTAAGAGAAAAAACAGACGAGACGCGTTCGGGAAATGTTAACATTGTACCATTGTACCGTACCGTTGCATGGAAAGACTTGAGAAACACGAGCTCAGCGGCTTTGTGCCTACTGCACAAGTCCCAACCTTGTCCACCTAAGCAGGTACTTCGGTACGGACAGAAAATGCTCATTGAAATTACAGAAAGCCATGAGATTGAATTTGGTTGGAAGTGGCTGAGTTAGGGATAAACATTGAAGATCAGTGGAAATTAAATGCTAATAAGTACATCCTGCCTGCCGACCAACACGCAATTCAACTTTTAAGTGTTATTTAATCAACGCTAACTTGCTTAAAAGGCAAGGGCAAAACATCATAATAACAATTCATCACCATTGAGCTTTCCCTACATTGGTAAGTCATAGCAGATACCGAACCACTTGGCAACTGCTTGGGGAGTCGTATACTTAAGCTTATCGGCAAGTGCCGTGTTTATGGGGTACATAAAGTCAAAATATTATAAAAATGTTCCAAGGTAACCAACGCGTTTATGGCTAAGCGCAAAAATGTCGAGTGATTTAGATCCACGATTCAAATCCATATGGATATCCTTTCACAAAAGCCAAGCGTTAACATGTTACGTAAGTTTTCCTCTTACAGGCAAGAATGTGTATGGCGCGTTATTTCACGTTGTTTTCTTAGTCTTTTACTAAATGCCGACGAGACCGAGCTGGAAAGATCGTCAGGGGAGCTAGCTAGGTAAGGCGAGATTTGTGATCCTTCAACTTCTTCATTTTATATTTTCTTAACGCTCAAATAACAACAACGGTCCCAATCATCACCAATTCCCATAACTTTCCGTTATAATTGATGACGCATGGCTTAGAAAGAGTATAAATGCCTAGATAGTCTTAAGCTGCGGAGGTTATGATGAAAATAAGGTATTGCTATCCTAGTACAAAGCGTGGTCCGAACGTGTGCAGCTAAAGTTCCATAATAATTAATTTAGGATACACCAACGCCAAGGAATGGGACGACTTCGTACAACTGCTCTAACTACCCTTTTAAGTAACTTACCAACAATTATCGGCCGGGCAGCCGGGAAACAGCAGGTGATCGTCGAGGGTTAGGATTATTATCTGCATATTCTATTCATAATTAGAGTTACCCATGCCAGCACGACTGACATAATTTGGGGGAGACGTCATGCTAGATCTTGGTATCCTAAATTCGTTTAAACGTCCCGCCAAGATTTCCTAGTGGTTCTAGCATTCTTAGAAGTATCCGGCATCCGTCTCCTCATGATAGACCGATGACGAATGTTCAACTACCCGTCACTTATGTTGACACCCTTGGGCTCTTGGTATAATATCCCGCTCTTTTCTATCGGGCCGTCTCTGACCTCAGCTGGTTTTCGTGGGTCTAGGCACTGATGTTCGCCCCAGAAGCTCGGGATCGGACCTCGGGAGAGGATGGATCCAAGTTGAAATTTACGTCGAAAGAAAATGTTTCGTTGGAGAAGCTCGAGTTCGTGCGGGGAATGGCCTCCCATTAAGGGAAAGGCCGCCTTAGCTATGCGGGGTTGTATGGGGTCCTGTCTTGGAGTACGGGAAAGAACCTGGTCAATTTTCTAGTTTCTGTTAAACTTCGGTTAAACTCAGGGATCATGACCTGCTTGCATGCAGCTGCCACGTTGTTTATGAACTCATCACCACACCGAGGACCGGTTCAGCAAGGACAATATAGCGCTATAACACGGGGAATATCGGTAATTAATTTCGGGATGAACTTCATCACCAAGATAGCAGCTCCGTCTTGTACATACCGAGCTCGGAGGTACCGGTATTAGTTAGTCCTTCCACTTCCATGCATAGAATCAAGTTCATGCCAATTCGATTCCGCCCATCCCGTTCGGATTGCTATCCGAATTGCCGAAGTCTACACCAGTTACGCTCTAGTGGTGATCAACTAAGCAGGTAAACATTCTTCACTGGAGAAATATCTAATAAACATCTGCTACCTATTTTGCAGTTCTGCAGTCGATGGAAAGCTAATTGTCTACACACACAACCAGATAGCTAATGGCGACTACTGGGTATTAGGCCCGAGTAGCATACATGCTGTCGTCAATACCTATCCATCCCACATCTAAGAACCGCAATAGCCAGCAAATAAGACGGTACATAATATCCACCTCCTGCATATGAAACTTAGATTTACACGTTTAAAAGCGATGATTTTGTTATGTCTCTGCAATTAGGTTTATGTTGTCTCCACTGAGCTCTCTGGCAATCCTGGTAACGTTGAGTATTAGTTCAAGTCTTGACAAGAGAATAAATGGAGGATAACCTTATCGCAATACCAGGCCGCCTTACAATGACTACAATTCGATAGCTTCTTTCCAAGATCAGCCTTAACTTTTCCGCAATGAAAGCAGCTTGGCTCATTGTAGTTTCGAGGGACACCTGGCTGATAGTGATCAAGAGCAGCAAGGAATTGTGCTCTCCCTGGGGTGCGGAAACCCTGATCATGCGTTGGGAGTGTGAAGCCCGAGTTGCAATTGATGCGCGGGACAAGTTCACGAAGATGATGCATCTCCGATCTTATGAATCTTCTATTAGCAATCGTTTATATTACCATTTCACGAATAGGACCTGGATTTTTACATGATGATTGCTGCTTGAATGTGGGAAGATACGGGTATCTAATTGGGTCAACTGGTATCGGGGGGACTTACTCTTCCATTTTAGCACCAGCGCGCATTAGTAACGCGCCTACTATGATAACGCGGTATTCGCCACCTACTTCAGTCTCCTTTGAACGCCAATATGCGAACACCCTATGCCCTAAGTCATCGGTATCGAGTTTGGCGCGCATATCGGTTACGAGTTCCGAAAGCATCTCAGCGTACTCGGGAGTCAGGTAGTAGAGGCGCATTAATGCGGGACACAACATATCCGTTTGGTGAACCATCTTGGATAAGTCTAAATTCAGGTCGAAGGTTTCGTTGATCGCGATTGCGATATCAAGGTCCGCATCCCCCTCAAAAAGGCCTATACAAAAAAAGAGTCAACGGCCGCTCAATCATCTTGAGATATTTGCTCAAGAGAACTTACGCATTCCCCAACGGCCCATATTGATCGATGCACTAGATTAAGGATAAGTGACAATAATATGGACTCCCCCAAGTTGTAGTGTACTCGATGATGGATGCAATTGGAATATTTGCGATGAAATGTTTTTTTGTGAAACTGGAAAAGAGATAAGAGGGGATAAAAATGGGAGAACTCAACTCTCGAATGATTCAAATTCTCGGATTTCGATTAAGTTTTCAATTTCAAGTACTCGAAGAAGGCTTTACCATGAATTAACTTCTGTGAAACCGGTGATTGGTTATACGTAAAGTTTGAAGGGGTTCCCGGATCGTTCCTACTCGGTAGATTGAAAGCGGTTTATTAGATCTGGAGGGAAGTCATGATAGAATAGGTACTAAAGTAGAAGGAGTAGACTTGCGCAGTTGTAAAATTTCAAAGCAGTTTTGGGAAGATGCGCATCTTTTTCATATCATTCTTAACTATTTGGATCCATTTTGAATGTTGGTGACTGGGAATGGCCTCATCCCCAGAATATCATTCCCCGTCGTATATAGTATACCTATTGACGCCTATATTAAAGTAAACTAGGTAGGTACCTAGATACCCATCATAAGCCATACTTGACTCATAAGCCATATGTAAGATATAGGGCTACATTTCATCCTGAGATCAATTGGAATTCATGTTACCCAATGATTTAAACAATAGGTAACAAATTTCCTAGGAACAACTAACCCAGTTTTTACTTCGATCTGTAGAACGAAGAATCAGACTGCGATCAGCGGTCCGAATCCCTCCTCCGTTCAAAAATGATCGTTCGGACAATAAACTCCTGGCCATCGGCCGCGCGGGCGTCCGCAGGCAGCCATTGTAGGAGTGGCGGATCCTGGTTTTCGGTACCTCGAGCTTTGTTCTGCTCTTTAAACCAGGTGTGAAAGCGCCCTTCATAATGATATGCTTCAGCACCTTGCCATCTAAACGCGTCTTCCCCCCTCCACGCCAAATGATACCCATCTGGGAGTGGAAATGTCCACAACTTCGCACACTTCGCTACATAATCAAGTTGGTCCTGCTTACACCCGAAAGTTTCCAATACAAGCTCTAGTGTTGTGAGATCTGGCCAATACTCACCAATTTGCATGCCCCAGCGTCCCTCTTTCTCGAAATCATCAAGTCCGAAGTCTGGCTCATTGCCTGACTTTCGTGCTTCATATCCTCTTGTCATGGCCAAGCTATTCTCTGGTCGAGCAGGCAGCTCCGTCACATTGATCATTGGTTCCAGTCGAAGCCTCGATGTGACAGACCTTCTACATTCTTCAGGATCGGTTTCCCATGTCCACCAGTCAGTGCGCAACATGCGGATGGTCAGATTGGTAATCTTCCTGCCGACACGGAGGTTCTGTTGATGGGAAAAGCTGTTAGCGATGTTTCGGGCTTTAGATAGGTAAGTGACTTACACTGTCATCGGAATTCGTGGGTTCTACAAATGCTGCGTATCCCGTACTTGTGTAATTGCGACTTTCGTATCCCTTGTGCCTCCCACTACAACGATAAGAGTTAACAATTCGTTCCTCACGAAAGAGTTCTAAAAATTTAATTATCTTTCGCAATTCTTTTTTTGAACAGGCTCGATTAAGAATGTTCACTCCCAAGGCAGACTAAAGGGGAGAAGAGGAACTTAATGTTACATACGATGTACCAATAAGACGTGATATCCGCTCAATAGCGCCTGGTTATGATTAGCTATAGTACTTAATAATTCGTAGATAAAGGACAAATTTATGCATAGGAAACATACCACCTTCCAAGACATATTGTTGTACGGTCATCTCAACTGAGGATATATTTGCAAATTGCCAGGATTTCAATTTCTGGCATAGAAGGAGATTCGATGACGCACGGGTTAGCGGATTATTCAGCGGGATACTGTTGTAGTTCGTTTCAAAAACTGCTATGGGGTTGACTTGGAAGGGCTTTAGAAAAGCCTCGACGTAGATGGCTCGACACGTGAGCAACAGCTCTACCGCGACACGCCAGGGGCCGGCTTGGCCTGGTCTAGCATGTTGACTACTGATGACATAGATGGAGTGTAAGTTCTCGTAGCGCGTGAGAGAGAGGCGCCATATTTGTTCACGTATTTCGCTCGGGAGTTTAGAGCTTGACGATGAGAAGAGTCAGCAATTTCTTTCGATGAGAGGCTTCAGGGGATATGTATATCTTAGGGGACTAAAAAGGGTGAAAAATAACTCTTTGTATTGCATACAAAATGGGGGAAGATAGTTGGGGGTTGATTGACTCGGGATGCTTCAGAAGCTCGATTGCGAGGGGAGGCTCCTCCGCCCCTCTGGGACTGCGACGAAGAGGGACATATGAAGAGCTATCTGGCATAACCTGCTGCCTCGGCCGAAAGCGAGTTCTCATACGTTGATAGGTTTCTCGCACCATTGCTCTTGTTGTTTGGGTTGTGATCGGGCGTTTAGTATAAGACTAGCGTGTAGGTACCAGGTACCGTAGGTAAGTTGATAGTGAAGGTAATCAATTATTAGAAGATCCTAGGTATAAATGGCCTTTGTTTGAATTAGTATGAAAGGTCAATCGTCACAAGTTCCTGACTATGGAATTCATTTACACTTTAAAGAAAGAGACAGTATTCTTGGATGATTTTGGAGGTTAAAAAGGATAGATGCTGGTACATACTAGGAGGTAGGCAGATAGGAGGCCAATTCTGCCTAGAGCTACGGACTAGGGTGCTGGAGATCCGTACTGGAGAGCTAGAAGGAACCCCGCTATCCGGATCTGCCTCCAAGAAAAAGTGGAACAAATAGAAGACGTCGAGAGGTCTGATAAGAGTTCAACTTAAACTTCTATTTGTTCTTCATGAGTAGGTGCAGGATACTAGGTATGTTATATTTTCTAAACAGGATTATGCGAGCAACTACCCGGTGATTAATAACATGATTTTAGAATTGGTTAAGTAAACGATAAGCCCCTGAAATAGTTGCAAACGTGGGGTTACTCGCTGACTGCATTGGAACTGTAACCAACATGTCATAATGCATCATCATCCTGAAGGATTCTGAATATCATAGAAAATTGCGCATATGTTAATTGTAAAAAATTTATTTTAATTTTGTACCTAGGTACCTTGGGTATGAATACAATAGTTTTGAATCAATGCAGTTCGCATTGTGGGCAATGTTCCAGGGTTTGTACAATACGCCCAACTCTCTCAGCGTCTTGTAACTACAGTAAAGGGTCAAATTAATCCGGTCCACCCCCCATTTTACACCAAAACTCTACCTTTTCACTTTATGATAACTTTACCAACAGAACTCCTAGAATTATATGGTTTATTGTTTTCGATAAATAATTACTTAATTTACAACTTTTATACTGAAATATTTTTAGATATCGTAAGATTAAAAGAGTTATTACAGGATTAAGTGCGAGTAAATTGGGTTTTTCAAATGTCCCATACAAAAAATTACGATTTGTATGGGAAACCAATGAAATCCCACCTTACGTTCACTTTATCCTGTTATAACTTTTTCAATCTCCAAATAACTAAAATTATTTCAGTATGTAAATTTTAGATTAAGTAATTCTCTATATAAAAAAGAAAACCATATAATTCGTAGAATTATACCTGTGGAAATATCGTATATTAAAAAAGTAGTAAAATGGCTGTTTTTGGTATGATTTTGAAGGTGGACCGGATTAATTTGACCCCTCACTGTACCTACCTAAAGCTTTTTATGCGCATGTGTTCCAAGGTTATTATCATACACAAAGAAACACCTACCTGTGTTTTCAACTTAGATAGTTAAATATCTTTCCATGTGTAGGTACCTATAGTGTGTAGGAAAAGAATTCAAAGGAGGCAGTTCTGTTTTAATTCTCCATCGAAATGCATTGTGAATAACAATGCCTTGGTTTAAATTGTAGTGATAGTAAGGTATTGTAATTAACTTACTTCCTATAAAACTAGCTCTAAACCGTAGAATCCTATCCTATTATCATCATACAGCAAACTCTTCAACTTATAAACTACATCTAATAAACTACCTAAACATTTATAAATTAGTGTGTTGAAGCTAGCTATGGCTCCATCTCCTTATTTCGACTACGTCCCTTACCGGGATGGAAATATTAGCAAAGAGATGTCCGATCTCGCTGATGTAATGGAGCAGAACGACTTCAAGATACATCATATTCGGAATTGGCTTCAAAACACAGAGCTACCCCAGAATGACATTACGCACGAACAAATTAACCGAGCATTCAGCGATACAGAACTAATGGGAAGAATACTCGAAATAGAGATGGGTGTGCACCTTAAACTTACCCACGAAGCACTTCTTTATAAAGAGCTTCTGCATCACAAGGATTGGCAGTTCATGCAATTAATGCAGCTTGATCTGGAATTGATGCGCCTTTCATCGGGATATTTTTCTGGGCCTGTTATGGCTGTAAGTACCACAATTGATGGTTTGGCGAATGATACAGGTGATATTTCCCCAGTATCAGCACCAGTAAATCTCAGTGCAGAACACCCGGTGGTCCCTAACCCTTCAGCGATAGAAGAACATATTTTGGACCCCGCGTTGGAAAATATCCCAGAGGTAGTTACGGATTCTATTCCAGATCATATGCCATTATATGTTCCGGAATACGCTCCATATCCCATGTTGGATTGCAACCCGGATTTTGCCCTAGAAGACCTCGCTGGCGTTACTTCGGAGCCCATTCAAGCTTATACCGAATATTTTCCTGGAGATATAGATATGCTAGAGTATTCTGGCCTCAATTATATTCCGGATCATGCGGTAGGGGAAATTCTAGAATACGGTCTGGATCAAGCACCGGACTATATTTACGATGGTCAAGTTGCAGGGGATATTCCAGAAGCTGCCCTAGTACCCACCCCCACACTAGCCCCAAGCCCTGAACATTCTGCCTTCAGCCCCGCATCCTGTCAAAATCCCCTACAGCAACCAAAAGATGCACCCATGCCTGACCCCGTGGGTATTCTAGAACCCGTAACGGAATCTAGTACAATGCCGGAGCTTGTCCCAGCGCCAGCTCCTACAGTGAATCCGGCTCTAGTTGTGGTTCGTAAACCTGTGCGTAAAGGCGGGGTTAGGAAATCTAGTAATACTAAGCATAAACTCGTCAAGCCTGGCAGAGGTTACGCTCGTAAACTACCTCCAACAGGAAAACACATAGGTTCTCGATAAATAGGTACCTATCCAATGTGGTAAGTAGTAAGTGATCGGATATATATAGGGAGAATGGAAGGGAAGGCGTGAGTATTTGGTTGGGTTTTTATGTTCATCATCGGTATATATATCTTTAAATATATAATGCTCTTGTAATGTTAGTGTCTGGTAGCAACCTGATCAGTGGAGGTGATGTACCCCTAGACCCAAGACACTGTTAGTTTAATGCAAATCAGAGCCCTGATCGGTATTAAGGCAAGTGGGGTTGGACTGTAGGTGCTACATTGTGCAAGTTGGTTTAATAAAGAGCTATTAATAAACATCGTACATTCCCTTAATTGCTGTCTCCCTTAGATGCTCTTTTCTTTGGTTCTCCCTTTCGTTTGAACCATGACTCAATTTAATTGCTAACAAGACAACCTGGAAGTTAATGTACTCATGAAATGGGTAATACCAACAACAGAAGATGTGTCTCTGTTGAGTTGAAACAAATGCACAGCTGAGGTGGAAAGTAAGACCTAGAGGGGGAGACATGTTAGCGTGTTAGGGCTGCTAGGGTGGGGGTGGAGACCTGCCATCTTTAAGAGCCCCGCAATGTCTTCCCCCAAACTTAGCAGCCAGCAGATTAACCTTAAATCTAATACCAACACCACGCGAGAAGTCTGCACGCGAAGAACGCTATATTGTTGATCTACACCATTTATTTCATGCCCGAACAGAATACCTCGATGGGTACGAGTCTGTTTTTCCAGTCGCTCGCTGGTTCAATTTATCCACAGGTAGAGACCATAATCCAAATCTTACAGTCTGCCGCCGTTTATTGAAACAAACAAACACGCGTATTGTTGAAACGAAGACAAAGAGTGCATAGCAATCTCGCTACTGTACCTAGGTAGCTATGATGGTGCTATAGTGGTAACTAGACTGGGAACGACACCTGAGTGCGCTATACAAAAGCCATCATCACGGCATAGAGAGGTGGCCACTTCGGTAGGCTATCGTGCGTCACTAACTATTTGATTTTACCTGGGGGAAGTGGTGAATTCTCTGGGGCGTCAGGTGGTATTTAGCTTTTAGTATGCACTAATTACCAGCCTGTGGGCGCCCGTACATTGCTGAGCACGAGCTGGTGCGTGTGAAACGTCGGCCATAACCGTTCCCGTTCCCCCAATTACCGGCCCCTTTTCCAATTTCTCTTCTATTAGAGACTAGTCGCCTGGAAAGAAGGAGACAATTGTCCAAGGCATGGAAATGTAGCTTCAATCGCGCGCGAAAGCTACCCCGATGGTCATTTTAGTGGAAGACGAGAATGGCGCGGGCTATAGTAGAGATGATAGGGACTTGATTAGGCTGGGGAAGAATCCTGTCCTGAAGGTACCTACAGGAATTGCCCCGAACTCGCATATTGGCTAACTTCTGGATAGCGCAATTTTGGATTTTGGTCTATCTTGGGCTTCTCGTGCACTGTCCTGATCACTTGGGAGGGGATGTTCGTGTGCGTACCCTAATGCTACCTATTCACCAACGCCACACGGTGCTAACTGGCGCCCGTAGGGTTTCTACGCAGAGCCTGGTGAAGTATGTATGCCCCCTCAGCGCCTGTGCCTATGCCTAATTGACTCGAATAGTGGAGGTCCTGCGGGTGTTATCTGGGGATATCTCATCGTTTGGGTTGGGACTCTTTCGAGCTTCGTTGTATTATCAGAATTGGCTTCGATGTAAGTTGAGCTTATTTTTAGACCGGAAGGATATTACTTAGGTACCTAGTACCTACTGATTTTCAATAGGGCACCTACCGCAGGAGGCCAGTATCAGTAGGTGATTACCTCAAAGACTACCATGTGTCGCGTCATTAACGCCGGCGACAGTTGGGTTGCGATGCTAGCTCCGGATCGTTCGAGACGCTTCTTAAGCTACATTACTGGTAACGATCCTGAGTACGCTAGAAACGCAATCGCAATCGCTGATCAAGGTCTAGGCTGGATCACATTAGCTGGCTGGCAAGCAGTCACTGCTTCCGCAGCATACCTCATAGGATCCCTTCTGCAAAGTGTTATTATCTTGTTAAAACTAGATTACATCCCTCAGCTATGGCAGACCATGCTCTTCTTTTGGGCGATATTGGCCTTCTCAGTATTTATTAACACTGTCGCAAGTAGGACCCTTGCTCATTTCGAGAGTTTGACACTCATATTACACATCCTCGGATTTCTTGGCATCTTGATTCCTCTGGTCTGCCTTGCTCCACACGGAGATAGCTCTATCTTCACAACGTTTGTCAATGAAGGCGCATGGCCTACGAAGGGATTGTCGTTCATGATTGGCCTACCGACCTCAGTGTTCTCACTCATTGGTAAGTGAGATTTCCAAATCGAACATTGTGCTGCGGCTTATCTACCTCTGCATAAGGTGCCGATTCTGCCGTGCATGTAAGTGACACCATTTCTGTATACTGGCGCCCGTGGATCCCTGACGAGGTGAATTCGTATATATGGCCGAGGAGATAAAAAACGCCTCGATCGCAGTGCCTCGAGCTATGATTATCAGCATCGCACTTAACGGCATTCTCGGATTTGCGATGATGATCGCATATCTCTTCTGCCTAGGAGACCTTGACGCTGTGCTAGAGTCGCAAGAAACACTGGGCTACCCATTCCTATTCGTGTTTCAAACCGGGGTAAAATCAACTCCGGGGGCGGCAGTGATGGGTTTGGTGATCGTAGTTCTTGGTATAAGCAGTACCGTGGGCGTTTTAGCATCATCATCAAGAATGCTTTGGTCGTTCGCAAGAGACCAAGGAGTACCAAATTGGAGGACATTTATCAAGGTAATTCGTTTTTTATGGATATTCCACATCGTCATTTCGCTATGGTCTACTAATGCTTGCTGTGTCTAGCTTGAGCGTCGCACTTCCATTCCCATGTATGCCATCGCATTTACAACAACCATCTCTGTGCTTCTATCACTTATCACGCTCGGCTCAAGTGTTGCTTTCAACAATATCGTCAACCTGAGTGTCGCCGGCTTATATTCTTCTTATCTACTTACCTGTGTACTTTTCCTTTGGCGACGTACACAATCACAGGGAATTAAGCCGTACGACCTAAATGCGTCAAGGGTTGGCCCTGGAAACCTGCATTGGGGACCCTGGCGCATTCACGGCGTACTAGGCGTGCTTAATAACGCATTCGCTTGCGTTTATTTGCTGGTGCTGTGGTTTTGGGCGTTTTGGCCCCCAGATATACCAGTTACACCGCAGAATATGAATTTTAACGTGCTGACATTTGGGGCGGTGGTACTGTTTGCCGTTGCTTGGTATGTTGTGCGCGGTAGAAAGGTTTACATCGGTCCAATCGTGGAGGTAACACTGTAGACTCATGGAGTGCAGTAATATCTGGTAAGTGAGGCGATCATGTTCATTGATTTATAGTATTTAATAATGACACAAAGAATTCAGGATATAACTATGCTAATGTGGGAGAAGAGATGTGGTAATTAATTAACGGCCTGTAAGATTCCACTCGACCTTCCTTCATAACCTGTCCAATTTTCGACGTTGTGTTTGAATCACGATTGAAGCTTCAACTCGGGATACTCTGGAACCTTCCAGCCTTGATTCTCCTCAGCCCGCGGTCTGTAGGTGATCGGTTCGACTTTCGACACAACCCACAGAAGTTTACGCAGGACCCAAATACCCAACTGCGAAGACGGGAAGAAATTCCCTAGAAACTTGGTCTGCAAGTCCTGGTAATCGTTGATCGGAGGCCGTGCTATCTCCTCGTATCCCTTGAGTGCTCGCGACACATCGTTACCGTGCCGAGCCAATTCGCCGGCGAGCACGTACGCGCCTATCAGACAACATGTTATCCCCATGCCTGTGAAAGGGCTCGGGCAGTAGGCCGCATCTCCAAGGAGAACGACCCGACCTTTATACAACTGGTCCATCCTGATCTGCCCCACCTCATGCGCGTAAAAATCAGTACAGGTAGCCATTCCACTCAGCAACCGTTCGGTCTCCCATCCAGCGCCTCTGTACGCTTCCGCAAACGCTTCTTTCTGCTTCTCCACCGGCTCTTTGTATACTTTCCTCAACTTCTCCCTGTCTCCCATGGTGAAGAGAAGCACTTGAGTCATCGGACGGCCGCTCGTCCTCGTTATTACTAGTCTCCTTCCCGGAGCGCTGTACGCCTTTGCGAGACCCCCTTCGCCTTGGATCCGGGGGATGCTGTAGTAGGCGGCGTGGACCCCGAGGGACTTGAAGGCCGCGTCGTTGGCCTCCTGGCCGAACGCCATACGCCTGGTCCGCGACCCTTGCCCGTCTGCCGCGACGACGAGATCGAACTGTTTTTTCTGGCCGTCGGAAAAGGTGACATCCACGCCATCATCATGTTGCGTGAGATCTGTGATTGTCTTGTTGAATTCATAAACCAGCTCACCCTTTCCCGCTCGCTCTTCTTTGAGTGCTGCGTTTTGCTTGAGGCTGGCTTCATATAGAATCTCCACTGCATCACCACGCATGATCTCGCACTCGGATGTCAGAGTAAGCCGTTTCTCACCGGACGGATTAATTCCGAAGAGCGCTAGTTGCTTCCCGCTCGTGTCTAGGATTTCGAGACCCGTTTCGTTGACACAATGGGACTTCATTGTGTCCATGAGTCCCATTTTCTGTAGGATCTCGACGCCTTGGGTTTTCAGGTCGATCTGCTGGCCTGCGGTGCGTAGCGAGGAATAGCGTTCCACTATTGTGATTTTGCTGTTGGGATCTGCTTTTTGTAGGAGGATGGCTAGGGCTGGGCCGGCGATGCCTGCGCCTACGATGAGGATGTTGAGAGGCATCCCGATTGATGATTGCAACGGTTTATAACTGTCGTGAATGGTGCTCCTAGGTATATTGGTAGTGTATAGTCGGTATCTTTGATAATATAAGGAATGTTTAGAAAGAACTGGGTTTGACAAGATTGTATGGCTAGTCTGTCTGATGCTCGCTAGAAGTGAAAAGGGGCCCCGCGCAATACTTCCCATGCTTCGATTTGTCTACTAGGTGCTTTTGAGACAAGACAGTTCCAAGGTTATCATTAGTTTTCGAATCAAGATAGAATGTAATGAACATATATAGAAATTCAACATAGGGGGTATTATAGAGCGTCACCCAAAGACCGCTTGTCGCCGAGGCCGTTTGATAGCTCCGGCCCCGGTCATCCCCGCCAATCCCCGTTTATGACCGTCCCCTGTCCGGCTTTCAAGACGTTCCTTCGCCAATGAGTTGACTTTGGTCCAATACATCAGCACTACTAAAATAATAACTCGAATGATAATTTACGAATTTTAGGCTATCCAGGTAATTTGCGTAAGGATGTCCATACTACCTAGTAAGAGCCCCATTAACGGATAACCCGAGACCCAACCTTCAAGCACCAGGTAGAGTGCAACTCCTTCCCTTCTAGTGTCCTCTATGATATGTCGTAATAATTAGCATTGTCATGTTAATCAGACAATGTGAGCGCCCGTCCTAGAGACAATGAAAGTGTTGGAGAACCTGAAACAATTGTGACCTTTAGAGAATTGATATCTCATTCAACACGTTACCATGGCATTGAAACTGGGACAAAGATTCTCCACGATGAGTAGCACTCTATATATATTTATCATTCTCGTTTGCGCACATGATAACTTGAGCTCTCTTAACTCGTAGATAAATATTCGTCCGATGCACCCCCTTAGTCTGCGCTGATAATACCTAGCTACCTACCTACAGAACTTAGCTGAGACAGTATAAGCTCCATCACCCAAAATGCAATTCTTTCGACGAGCCTATGAGCCTATCGGCACTATACTAGACCCCGTTAGCTCCCCTGGTGTTGCACGCGATACACTCCAAAATATCACCTTCATTTTCCTTGCTATTAATGCCGGGGTGAGCCTCACTTTAATTATGGCCGCTTTGTGTACTGTGGCAGGATACTCAAGAGCAATCCTAGCTTTAGGCATAACTTATGTTGTCCTTTTTTTACTTACTGTAATCGCTGGCTGTTTCCTTTACCTTCGTGTAAGATACTTCAAAAGTCACCCACTGCCGGGAACACCAACCCCGGGTCAGGCGAACGTAGATAATGATAGTAATTTAGATGGTCAAAGACGGTCGATGGAGCAAGGAGGCCCGGAAAATACCCCTCTAGATGCCGAATTTCAAGATATCGAGCTTGGTGATATCGGAGCACATCATACGGTCTCTGATTCGTATGACCAGCCTCAATATTATCCGCCACACCCTCAAAATCCGTATGAACCTGTGGATGGGGGACATATTGCCGACGAATCTCATTATGCGACAACACAAGAACATCTGGAAAATCATTGTCATGAAGACAACAATCCTTCGATGGCTGATGTAACTAGCAAGTATGCACGATCTTCGATTGAACGTGGCTCAAGAGGGAGCTTCGAATACAACGACAATGGACAAGATACAATAACAACAAGGCCAATCACTTATCATGAAGCACAATACGCCCCTCAAAACCTGACGCATAGCTCTAACCGCTTGAGAAACGCTAACAGCGTTGTTGAAGTTGAACAAAAACCCCGTAGGCTGCCGTTTAGTCCGAGTTTAGCACAGCTTAGTAGTCGCCAGTTAGGGGAACGACGGAACTATGAGTCAGTCGAGGAGGCTAGGGCGGATTTGAGAAGTAATTGGAGAAATGGAAATAATTAGCGGTCATTTTAGTGGCTATGTTCTTAAATAACCTCCATAAAAACAGTTGACCTAGGTACCTAGATATCGGTAGTTAGGGGGTAAATTTAGTGCTAACGGGCGTAACTTAGGTAGACTTAAAGAACCAAGGTAACAAACATATGATATCTGCTAAAACATTCCTGAGGCCTCTTCATTGACTTGGTGATAATATATACTGCTACGTCGAAAGGAATTCATTTTAACATATGAACAATGAAATTTGGGCAAATACGATACATAGTTTGTAAAAGGATTCCTGCTATGGAGCTGGGTTTAGGGAAGTTGTAGCTAAATGAAGAGCCCTGAAGATCTGATTAATGGCGGGGTAGATTGATCGGCAGTGCAAAATCTACACGATCTGCAGGGCATGCCCCACGCAGATTAATGATTGGTCTTTAGCGTGTTCTAGGTACAACTTTCGGATTTAAAGTGATCACTAAATGTCGATTTCTATTTCATCATTTCCCGTGGTATAAAAAAGTTATAGGGATAAGTTCACTCTTTAGGTATTTTATTTATTAATCTTTGATAGCTTACCGCGAACCTTTTCATCAATCTCATTGTTACTCGTGATGTCTTTCTATCTCATAAGACGCCAACATGAAAGACCCCGCGCCCCTATGATCATTCTCTTCTAGCGGAACAGAGATGTAATACTGCATTGAGGTTAAACATTAAACTGTCTAAATTTCGCAAGGGTCAGGCCAAAACTCACCTCGTAGGTTCCATTACTTCCTAACGAACCAACCTCCACAGTTCCCTCCCAATTCACGGTGCCGTCGTCGTTGGCTTTGGTAAAGCGCTCCGTTAGACTATGGTATGCCCTAAGAGCCGGTCCGAGATACTCTTCCGGGGCGATGAGACCTAGTCTAATACCCTTAAGCCAGCCAAACGTGAACATTGCCGAAGCGCTGCTCTCAATATAATTGCCCGGAGCCCCCGGATATGGTTCGCTCATGATTAACCACCAATTACCAGACTCCTCATCCTGTGCTTTCTTAAGAGCAGCCGCAAGAGTAGTGAAATATTCGGTAAGCCGAGCGCGTCCGGGGTGCGACTCCGGAAATAACGGGATAACCTCAAGCAAGCTCATAAAGTACCAGCCCACGGCACGACTCCACACCAGCGGTGCCGCACCCGTAACGGGATCGGCCCACACGGCTGTCTTGCTCTCATCGTACCCATGCACAAGGAGCCCCGAGGTCCGGTTCCGTGTATGGGCTTCGATATTATCGAACTGAAGCGCGATATCATCCCACGCGGTCTTATTCTCCGCGTCAAACAAGCTGGTCCACTTCGCGTAGAAGCTGTCCGCCATGAATATCCCATCGAGCCACATCTGGTTCGGGTAATTCGGTTGTCTGTGCCAGAAACCACCTGTAGGTGTACGCGGGTGGCGGTCGAGTTGCTTCCGGATGATGTCCGCGGCTGTTTTGTACTTGATGTCTCCCGTGTGCTCGTACCACCAGAGGATGTTGTTGCCGATGCGGTAGTCGTCGAGGGAGTAGTAGTCGTATCTCCATCCCCGGATCGTGCCGTTTTCAAGGACTACCGCGCTGTCGATTTGGGATTGGTACCAGTCGGCGTATGTCTTATTCTTCGTGAGCGCGTATGCGGCTTCGTATCCTTCGTAGAGTGTAGCTTCTCCGTAGTTACGGGTTGCTTGCACTCCGCGTTGGATGAATGAGTCTGCGGTCCATGATAGGTACGATGTTGACGCCGTTACGCTGGTAGCGAAGATTAGGGAGAAGACTCTCATCTTGGCGAACTAGGATTACGGTATAAACCTAATATGTTGCCTTTCCGTGAGATATTCTAGGCCAATGTATTCTTTATATACCTGATGTTTGGTGTAAAAGCTGCTGACCCATCTATCTGCATGTCCGCTCGGTCTAGGTGCTTGGGTGGTATTTGCCAAGTGACTTAACCGTTTACCCCTGTGATGCCCATAGGTAGAACCCGGTTCTACGGGTGGAATAATTCGTCTAATTGATCCCCTCCAAGGACATTCTAGAATCTCACATCTCCCCCGCAGTCTGGCCGTGATGAAAAATGTAGGTAGGTTTCTTGCTTCGCTAGAACCTCACTAAGGTGGTATAAGGATCGGTTCTCTTCCCAACTCTACTCCTCATAGAAGGCAGATGTCTCATCTTTCATGCGACCGACAGAAAACAGAGCGATGGGGTAAGAGGGGGCGCAATGAAGGATATGTTGGGAGACATAGAAATATGAGCCATCGCATTGGAATATTTGTGTTTGTCGTCGTCGTCGCTGTCGTCGTTATAGAACATGGTCAGATGAGCGAACACCGAGTTCGTTTAAATTGCCTACCTGCTACTTCTCGACGAAATCGGATTTGCAGTTCGTGAAATGGTAATTGGTGAGGTTTCCTTCGGAGCCGAAGTCTTTGTTGCACTCATCGTCGTCTTTTATCCTCTCCTTTCTTCCCCCTTATTGCAATCGATAAGGCTGCACATTGCTTCAAGGCGCCACACATAACCAGATCATAAAACCCAAAGTCAAAGAACACGAGTAGACGCCCGGATTGAAAAATTCATTCGATCTATTGGGTGGATATCAAACATAAATCATCACATGAAGCCGTCATGACGCGCTTCTTGCCCCGACCCCCAAACCCTTGAATGAATGTCTAAACCCTCCAAATTGGAGGTCCATCTGCCTGGGTATCCTGAATGCTCCTTAAAAACGCCTGATTCGATGCCCGGATTGCCCTTGCATTCCTCGTAAACCCTCGTAAAAGCAAGATGCACGTATTTATCGTAAGAAACGATATGCATCTGGTACCGTTTCCCCGTGTCGAAATCGTTCGTGGGATATACCCGTGGATATATTCCATGTCGTGGCCATAATAGTGAATCTGGCAATGATGCAGAAGTCCTAGTTGCTAACAAGAGTGGTATGATGAATTATACCGCGATTGATATGCATAGGGGGAGGATTCGTCGATATATTTTGTGCAACTCCTTGATAATTCGAGTAACAGCAAGGAATAATGGTCGGACGAACTTCCATTATCCAACTGTCTCAAAGTTGCAAATCGCCCTTTGTCCCCAACCTTCGTTGCAGCCGTGCTAAGTTGATTAGGTCATCATAACCAAAGATTTTTACTTAGCCAAGAGCGACGCTTAGGTAAGTTTGAGCTGTGCGAATGGAGCTGGTGTTGTTGTTTTGAAATGGGAGTAATCTCGGATATCAGCTCAGAGATGGCAATGAGTTTCATCTCTCGTGTGATGACATCTGGTGATCCGCGCAGAGGCGTTGCATCGGATTTCGCCCCCTCAACTGCTGCCTCGGACTTCCGCGTCTGCCTATCGGGACCCTGCAAGGAGCTGACGCCACCACCTCCCTTGCGCTTAACATGCGACTTTCCTTCCTCCTAACCTCCTAAACCGCAGATCCCAGACTCGTCCTGTTCTCCCTCCGCTCTCTCATCATGAGAGCAAAGCCGGCCAAAAAGAAGAGAACGGCCAAGATGATTACCACGGGAATCAAAACAGCGGCGTAGACTTCTCGGGTATCAGACGGAACGCCGTTCCATGCTTTGGCCCATTGCGGAAGAACAATCGCTTCGTCCTCTACTAGAAAGCAGACGACGAAGATGGTGATGACGGCGAGGGTAAATATCGTCTGTAAAATCCCGGTAGCCGAGCGCTTGATAGACGCGATCGGATGTGACAGAACTGCCATCTTTCTTGCCTCTTAGGTGTTGAGAGGGATTTCTTCGTCACATATCTCGATCGAGTGGACGAAGGTAAAGAGTTTTTAGCATTAGGCTGCGGGATGGGGGGGATAGGAGGAGAAAAGAAGGATAAAGAAACGAACGAGAGTAGGTGGAGAGTAGGATGGATGGTAGGGCTGAGCGGGGCTGTGGGTGAGAAGAAAGGTCGAATATGTGAGCCTGACCTTCGTGTGCTCGTGTTACCGGTCGATCGCTGCTCGGTTGGTCGGTTCGGGGAGCTTTGTGAGTCCGACGGCTGGCCGAGAAATCGAGCGGTGGGCAGCTTCGGAATGCTCGGAAATGCGCATTCGTTGGCCATGTAAGACACTACTAAGACATCTTAAGACCATGCTGCAACTCTGATTGGCCCATTCCATTTTCTTATAGTGGTAGGTTCCATATATAGTATGGTTACAAAGCCGTCGAAGGATTCTGACGGATCCGGGCTGAGAGTTTTGTGTGAGGTAGTAAGACCAACCAAACCAAACAGACCAACCGGGCATTAAATCCACTTACACGACGTCATTCGTCCTTTCAGCCTCTAACGTTGTATCTTTTTCTCTAGACGATTCGTGCATCTTTAACGCCCTTCTGCAAGATATCCGTCTAGGGTTTCAAAAAGCCAAGACTTACTATTCTGTTTCGAGTTTGATTAAGTGCATGTTGACTCACGTGAAATGAAGCCCAGCTTCGATCTTTTTTTCTTCTTTTTTTTTTTTTTTTTACTAAGCTGCAAATTTTCAATCTTCACTAGATTTCCAGATGGCATAAAAACCCGGATCTAGCCGCATCCGTAGATCATGAAGTTCGATTTTCCGATATTTTATTATTTTCACCTTTTTAAACATTCCAATATTTGACGAAACCTACGACTCCCGAGTAACTTTGGTAGAATCTAGCGACTATTGATTTATTCGGCTTGTGTTTTTGCTGCTTTGTCATCTCAATTAGAGAATTCTCTTCGGTCGGATTCTGTTAAATTTATTCTACTCCTGTTTGCGACGTGTTAGCGTTGTGACAAGACTTTTAACCTCCATTAGCGGATCGTGGCATGGACCTGGGAAGATCATGCTGACCAATCAACCATCGATGTATACGCGGACTGCGGGTTGATAATCGCAAGCCGATTTTCTGGGACTATGAATTAGCCGCAATGATGCTCATCATCTTAAAACGGAGTATGAATCTAGTTTATCTAGAATCTAGATTATCTCCAGGTACGGATAAGTATGCAACCATACTCCTCACGATATTCAGGTCAAGCTTGTCGCATGCATCGCAAGTATCACGTACGAATATCACTGAAAACCCCCTATGTGATGCACCTGCCAGGTTAAACTATTATAAGTCCGTGGCTAAGGGGCTCCAAATCAGGGATTCACTTTATTCACCAAGACCGCTAGATCAATTTATATTTTGTTCTGTGGTGTCTGTTCATCTCTTGGCGGGTGAGCTCGCTTTCCTCGGACGCCGCGATCTAACTAGGATTAATAGCATGATTAGTAACGGGTAATTACTTATTAACTTGATATATTAACCCGTACGTTCATACTGACATGTCTAAGTGTTTATTGCCATCATTGCACTGCATCGATAATGGATTGTGAACATGACATATATTTTTGGGCCGTTGGGATTTTGATAACCAGCTAGGCAGCTGCTTGTAGGTATTTAAGTAATGAAATCGATACCTCATAGGGAAGGCCATTTTAGGATCTAAACCCCCCGATCCTGAAAATTTCTATGCGACATAGGCATCATTTGTATGCTGAATGTTCACATACTCAGCATATCGTCCGAGGACTGCTAACGAGAGTGCTAGTACGATGAAGAACACGGATTTATACCAGGCATCCCAAAAGAGTTCGAAGAACTTCGTACACTAAAGGACGGAACATATTAGCCATAATGCTACATAGGTAGGTACCTAATTTCGACGATTGAGAGTGTCAAACTAAACTAAATGAGAGAACTACCACGAAAAAAGCACCTAAATACCTGGGATACTGTACGAAGAAAAAAGGGGCGCATGCTACTCACTAGATTGATGCTCAAGTACACAAGTCCAAAACCATGGGTTGTCGAATCACGAAATTGGAGACCGTGCCCTAAGCTGAGACCTGCGGCGGACAAGAACGTGAGGAACCAAGAAAGAACCTGACCAGACTCCTGCTTTTTGTAACTATTATCGATAAAGTACTCGAGAAAGGAATCAATGAGCGAGAGGATCCAAAGTGAGTTAAAAAGATAAAGTAAACCCCAGGTCCTAGTGGCCGACCATAACTCTGCGGTACATTGAAATAGTCGCATGGGGTAAGCGGCGCAAATTATAGCTACGCCGAGCAAGGCGAAGCGGATTGGATATCTTGACCCGAGATACTGGCGTAAACAACCGACCCAGAGGCCCAGGAAAACCATTCCGCACGATAAGATGAAATTGGAAACGACCATAACCGCTACGAGGTTGTAAGTAGACGAGAGCCCTAATATGATCCAATTCAACCGATCACGGTTCTCGTCCTCGTCGTCGCATTCAAGGTAAGAACCCAGCTGTATCGCGCCGAGTGCGAAAATGAAGGCCCCGAGGCAGTGGATAGATTCGTTGAGATACAGCTCTTCGGGTTTGATGAGCGAACGTTGGTATCCCCACGTGTGAACCATGATAGCTACGCCGGCAGTGATCACGAGGCGCAAGGCGATAGAAAGATCCAAGAATGCCCTGATAAGCTTTGGCAGGACTTCGTCAAATATGATACTGAAGATCCCAATGATCAGAGAGAGAATGGCGAGTCTAAATGCATATTTGGCGAATTTCTGCCAGGGAAACCCTTGGTCGTCCTCGATTATCTGGATGGTGGTGAGAAGGTCCGGAATGAGATCGGGGTTGATGAGCTTGACTTTCGACCATTGCTGGAGAGCGGATTGTACCACTTGGGCTTGAGAGGTTGTTAGTTTGAAGAGTTGATGGCTGTTTTCTGCAGCCATTGGTGAAAGTCGATGAACTGGAAGGTAAATATAATTGCGACCAAACGGTTTCTGAGCTCATATCGACCTTATGTCTTCTTTAAATACCGTCATGCGAGAAGAGGCTTAAGCCTTGGGTTGAATGGCAAGGCACATTCTAGGTATTGAAGCCTAAAGGCCATTCCCAGAATACATCGCTGCAGAATTGTCCTTACCATCGCCTACCGAATCAAATGTTAAGGCTGAAGCGATTTTCCATGGCAGGCGTATGCACCTTTCAACCAAAGATATGAGTAGATGAATGTTTTCCTGCAAGGTGCCGAGCGACTTGGGGGTAGAAACTGCCTGCTGCCGCCGCTAACGCACAATATCTGCAGGCTAGCGACATCCCTGCCGAAGCCCCAAGGCACGGAACAAGGCATATTGATAATAGGATTGGCTGAAGAATAGCGGAAGACAAGCGCTAAGTGGACCGCTAAAGAGCTAAATTCCGACCCGGACCAAATCCACAAGGGGCTTAGCTGCAAAAGCATAGCATTCAATACCACACAACGATATATCTCTCATCACCAACCCAAAGTGTACAAACCCAAGCTCTTCTCAAAATGGACAGCCCGTACTCCCAAGAGCTCCAAGTCGCAATCGGAGCCATCCAAGCAGCCGCAAAGCTCAGCCAAGGGGTGATCTCCAAAGCCGACAAAGGCGTGATCGCAAAAGACGACCTGAGTCCCGTCACCGTCGCCGATTTCGCCATCCAAGCCCTCCTCACAGCCACCGTGCACCACGCCTTCCCGCACGACAGGTTCGTCGGCGAGGAGGCGGCTGCGGAGTTGAGGGAGAACCCGGTTTTGCTCGAACGTGTGTGGGAGTTACTTCAGAGTCTGAGAGATGAGGAGGTTAGCCAGTTGTGTAGATTGCCGGAGTCAAGGGAGGCGATGTGCGAGATGATCGACTGGTGCGGGTTCGGCGAACCGGGGGGTGCCCGGGCGGGCAGGGTGTGGGTGTTCGATCCGATTGATGGCACGAAGACGTTTGTCGAGGGCATGGCGTATGCGATTAATGTCGCGTTGCTGGAGGGTAGTCGGCAGGTCCTTAGCGTTGTGGGGTGCCCGACGCTGGCGTTTGATGCGATCGCGCCGGTTACGAATACCTCGCTAGATCCTACGGGGCGCGGTTGTATTGCTTTCGCTGTTAAGGGGTATGGCACGTATGTGCGTCCGCTGGTTGTGCCGTCGACTGCTGAGGTGCAGGTTCGCAGGATTGAGCCGCTTGCTGAAATGGAATCGTCTCAGATACTGCGGCCGGTGTCTTGTTACAATATGTTGGATTCGGGAGTGGATGATGTTCACAACATCATTATGCAGAGGCTTAATGTCGAATCCCAAGGCTGCGACCTCTTGGCTTGGGTTCTCCGATGGGTGACCCTCGGGTTGGGGCTCGCGAATATGACGGTCTGGGTATATAAGAAGCGGGAACGTACTGGGAAGATATGGGACCACGCAGGTGCCATGCTTTTATTCGAAGAAATTGGGGGATATATCACGGATATTGACGGGAAACCCATCGACTTAGGTGTGGGGAGGAAGATGACCGCCAACCACGGCTTTGTAGCTGCCCCGAAAGCAATACATCCCCTAGTACTAAAGACTACGCAAGAAGTCATTCGCGAGCAAGGAAAGGGACATCTCCTTGCCTGAATTGGTAATACGGATGTGTGTTGAGCTGGCGTTGCTTTATGCCGATTCTCACTCGAGAACCTATATTTTGTTACGAGAACCGCCTAACTGGTTAGTTAGATAATGAAGGTGAGGACACTCGAAATTTTCCTGAGCCCATTTCTTTTATTATAGGTAGAGGACCCAGGTAGAGAAATAAGTACCTGGTTGAGATCAGATGATAAAGTGTTCAGACTTCGACGGGGGTTCTATTACGATCTAGGTATAACTAAACTACAGCAGGAATAATGTACGACTGGCTCCGTCCGTCCCCGGGTTATATGATTGCTATCGCGGCTCTGACAATATGATGTTCTGGATTTTCTCTTATTTAAGACCACTCCCTTAGTTGGCAGCGACTTCGCCAACATTTCTTCTTCTACTACTATCTCAGACCATAGATTTGGTCCGTTACATTAAATATCTACCTAATCACTCAATTGACCAGGTGGGGGGACTCGTGGAATCTCCAGGTCCATTTGCTGGTCCTGGTGCTGGTCCTAGTACTGGTGCTGGTGGCGGTGGCCCTGGCATTAGTACTGCTGGGAATGGTGGTTGTCCTGGTGCTGGGAATGGTGGTGGTCCTGGTGCTGGGAATTGGAATGGTGGTGGTCCTCCTGGCCCCGGCGGCGGCGGTGGCGGTGGCCTTCGTGGCTGTGGCCCCGGCGGCGGCGGCCCTGGTGGTGGTGGTCCTGGTATATGTACTCCTGGGAATGGTGGCGGTCCTAGTGTTGGGAATGGTGCTGGCGCTGGGGCTTGAGTATTTTGTGGTATCTTTGGACGGACTAGTGTCTCACTTGCAAGGTCAGGGAGAGTTCGCTGAGGTAATACGTCTGCATCGTAAACACAGTATTTGAGAAATCTTGTGAGAGCGGCGTCGGTCTCGTGATCCCGTATTTGCAACGGGAAAGAATCCGCGCCCTTCGTCCTGACGGCGTGTTCGGTTTCCGCGAGCATGTCTCGTAGATTTGGACGGTGGTCGGGATTTACGGCTAAGCACCTGGCAAGAAGATCCCTCAAATCGTCGTCCAACAACGGAAACATCTCTCGCTTTTCGTTAAGGATCGGGCTTGCGTTAGTTATGATGCCCCTATACACGCACGTTGGTGACAGAGACCAGGTTTCGGACTTGGTTATTATGGACATCATCATCTGAAATGCTGTTAGTATGATATTAAGGGTTGGAGTAAAGTTCTCCTTACACCAGAGATATCCCATAAATTATACCTATTTCCAAGATTGTTCGTAGCTTGAGCCGCACCCTCCAAGTTGATCAATTTCACCACAGGCGCAAATATATGTTCTGTAAATCTTCCATCTCCATCTCCACCACCAATCCGGATGTTCCTGGTGTTAATATTGCCGTGTACCAAGTTGCTTGGTGGCGTGCCATCTGCTGGAATGGTCTCTAATTGGGTCGGTTCCTCGGGGGAGAGGCCCTGATTGAACGACATCCCTATACACGCTCTCACCACTTCTCAAGTCAACACAAGAACCTAAAGTCTGAAATGAAACTTGGAACTTACGACAAAGGAAAAATGACCAGAGGATACGGTTTGGAATAGAAATGGTATAATGATTAGCTCGCTCGATCAATCTCGCAAAATCTCCGTTTTCCAGATATTCCATAACTATGACAGGGTAAGGGGCGACCTCGCGCAATTCTAACTCCTCGGCCAGTTTTCTTTGGTTTGTAACTCTTCTGAACGCCCTTCTCACATTGCCATTTCTTGCAAACAAACGGTCCGCTAGTGGAAGCCCCGTCCTGTATAGGCTACGTTGAGGAATTTCTTCATCATTACGGCTCGCAAGCATACTGCCAATATGTACTGCGCCCTGTGTCCGCTATATTTTGTGTCAGTATATCTGATCCTGGATATGAAGCGAATGTTACCTCATACTCGTAACCAGGCCATCTCAATCGCTAATCCTTTGTCGCCTTCTGTGGAAAGCCCCCTCTTTATGAGAAGCTTTCTTGGGCGGCCTAAAAGCAGCCTACGCTTATTCTTTATAATGGCTGTCAAGCAATTAAAGCTCGGTTCATTGACCTTCTCGACTTCCCATTCTAAAACAAATCCAAAATGCTCTTTTATGTTATCTGCCACCTTTTTGATTTCTAACGTTCTAGTTGGGAGATGTAGTTGTCCTATTTTGAGGGTGGGTACCCCGAAATTCGCCCTTCCCTTTCCTTTGTCACCCATCTTCGAAGGATGTCGGCGTGCGAGCACTGCGTATATGATGGGAAAATAGCAATACTTTTCTAAGTAGTAAATGGACTAACCATGGGGTTAAGGCCGGCAGCATTCGGATATGTAGCAGATTACAAGTAATAAAAGGTTAGACGTAAGGCTATAAGGGGCGCGTATTATGTGGTTGAACAAAGCCTTGAGTCCAAGGTCCAGGTAGATACAAAGAAATGGCAATTACACTAGCAAGCTGAATTCTTTATGGCATACGTAGTATAAAGGACATTTTAGATCTGCTTCCGTCGATTATGGCGTACCGTCCCTTGAGATTATGTACCCACGTAGGTATTGTTGATTGAATGAGACTCAAGCGTCAGGTAAATAGCTTAAGTCCCTAGCATTTACTTGTGAAGACAATGAAATTATGTGAGCCCAATCTCTAGTAGACGAGTTGCAAGATGTGCTTGGAATAACGCCTAGACCAACCTTTATACCTAATTTATGGCTCTTTGAATCGTTGATTTGAAATGCACCTATTCTGTACACATATTAGGTCCTTAGAAGTTGCGAATTGATTAAGGAACGGTCCGTAGGTAGTAATATAAGCCTTCGAGGTGATGCAAACTATCATGCGCTCGATCATGCTTGTCTACTTCAGACATATAGTAATTTCTTGCGGAGTGGGAGTAACGGCTCCTTAGTCAGCTCTAAAGGGGATATTTCCGTTTCGAAAGGTCAAAGGGAAAGATAATGAGAAGAAGCTGCTGTAAATTATAAGTGCCCATTTTGATCTATGAGCCGAATGTTATGAAGTAAGTGATTTCTGTGATAATTTTAGTACTCGAGTCAATTTTTCGTGTATCATTTTGCATCGAAAGAAGCGTCGTTCTTCATTCCTAGTTAATTTTGACCCTGTAGCAATGTTGTGTAAGACCTCCACCATATCCTCACTTAATTCAATATGAGCTGAAGGCGATAATATCGACTGCGTTAAACGTTGAGGATTTAGTTGTTGATGCGAGGTTCGATAAATATTACCTATGAATTTAAATGATTTTTTATTTTATTTTTTACTCCGTACGAAGTAATAAACTTCGGATTAGGTCATGTCGGTCTGGTCGGTGTAACCGCAGCCATGGAGGACTTGTTTGGTGGATGCGATTGCCCTTCCAAAGTGGCTTCTCAAGTAGAGCTTAGACGGCTTTTAGCCAATTAGAAGCTTGGAAAACGCACCAACCTCTTCAATTTTTTGACCGGGCAACCACGCCTAGAAACTTGCGACAGCTAAGCTTCGAGCTATTCCTCCCACCTTAATTCTGAGGTTCAAATGTCCCTCCCACTTTCTACATCAACAACTACTATTCGCGATTCGCGCCATTCACAATTGTGACGTCGCTCTACCTCTTACTATCGTTTATGCTCGCAATTAACCACGAGAACATACTCTCATTTAGAAAAAGACGCTAATTTTTATCTCTCCCTAACACCTTCGATAAGAATCGATCTTAACAACACCTGAATCACAATCTACGACTACACTCCTTCGATTTCTTTTATGTGTGCCATCGTCGCTTCGTATTGAATCAAATAGGAATCCTTACTTAGTCTCTAGCATGGCGGAAGAATTTAACGAGGAACCGGCCGAGGGCCAGCAGTCAAACCCTGGTGCCGATATCGAGATGGGTGAAGGTGAAGAGGCCGGACTTGTTCCTAGCAATGGTGGCGCAGAGCTGGCTTTTCCTGAGGGTGGTGAAATCGAACCGCGTACTAGTTATATTAGCTATTTGACCAGCCCAGTCGTCACACTGCTCGTTGGCACAGGCGAATCTGAGACTCTGCTCACTGCGCATCAGGCGCTTCTTACCCAAAGCCCATGGTTTCTAGATGCCTGCGCAGCTTTCACCGACGATGGAAGCGTACGTCCCAATAAACTCCTGTCGTAGATCACTGTAGCTTCAAGATAGCCAGTTGCTGACCTTTGCCAATAGCCGCGACAAATAGACCTGGCAGGTGAAGAGCTGGACGCCGTTGGCTGCTTCTTGGAATTCCTATACACCGGCGATTATTTTCCCAAGAAGCTACCGGGCCAACGAACCCTAGAACCAGATCCTTCGATTCCGGCCGTCGACGAGACAGGCGAACAGCTTTTGAAGCACGCGCGCGTCTATACCCTCGCTGAGAAGTTTGGAGTGGAGAAACTGAGGAGTTTGGCGAGTAGCAAGATTCACTGCGTCAACTCCACCGCAAAGGGAGAGATTGCCTATGCCCGTTACATCTACCAATACACTAGCAAGGAAGACACGACGGTCCGCGCGCCGGTGGCCAACTTCTGGGCTACTCGCAGCCACACTCTACGTGCAGAGGCGGAGGAGGAATTCCGCTCTCTTTGCTTGGAATTTCCTCAATTTGGTTACGATGTTCTTAGTAAGTCTCCCGCTTTCATGGGAATCCAAATCTGTATCAGGAAGATAGTAGATCTAACAACTCTTAGCTCGTGTATTGGACGAGAAGCTCAAGAGAGAACGCAACGACAAGCTACACCCAGCACCCTCAAGTGGACGCAAGCGACCTCGCCACAGCGGTGTATAAACGAACCGCTATTTCTTGGCATAATTCGTCAACTTTTCGATTTACTAGTCAATAATGGTGTTCGCATTGGGTGGAAGTACTTACGATACCAGATGGAATTAATGCAGCCTCTTCACCAGCCTTTGTATTAACACGCTAATTGGGAAATATCCCGAACTTTGCGACCTGGCACATATCTGGGAGGTCGGGTAGGATACCTATTGTATGTGGACCGGACTGCTAAGAGAGGGGACGTCACGTCTCCATAGTGTATTATAGGAGTTGTAAAAAGGATCAAGATAGTTCGATAGGACGATAAAAATAAGTCTGTATTACCCATTGATGTCAAAATACTGATATGCGAATTGCGCAGGTTTTAGAGAACACCTTACTCCTTGAATTTTATTCTACATTCGTAAGGTTCACTAGCGCTAACTTGATTTAAAGGTTCCATATCATCGGTAAAGGCAGTGGGTATGCTATTATGTAATTCATCGATACCCATTAATAGTAGGTACCTACAAGACAATCTATCTATCTGCTCACAGTAATGCCATTTCCATGGATGCAATTATGTTCGTGAATCGAAAAATTTCCCGATGCCCATCCCAAATGGTATAGTACGCCGGAACTTAGTGTGGAAAGACTCCTCAACCACCATTCTCTCCTCCCCGCCTCTCCCCCCTTTCGTACCCCGTCTCCTTCATCAGGCCAACGTGCTCATATCGTGCTTCGTTTTTCCTAATATACATATCCCCCCCCCTTCGACTCAGTGGATATTATCTAGAGCTGGAAAGCTCCGAAAGCGGTGGCGGAGAGCAATAGTGCGCCGATGGTCAATCCCATGGTCGTCACGCTGCCGAGCTCGGGACGGACGTTAGCGGCGGCGCCGGGGGTGCTAGTGGAGCTGGTGGAGCTTCCGGTGCCGGTGGACTTGGTGCTGCCGCCGGTAGCGACGACGCTGGCGTCAACAGAAGTCGGTAGCGCGGACCCCGTCACCGTCGCCGTCGCGTTCAGCTCGTTGCGGTAGAACACGTCCTGGTACGCCGCGCCCTTGCTGTACAGGCATTCGATCACGTCGTTCACGCTCTGTCCCTCGGCCAAGCAGTACAGCCCGCATCCCTTATAGTACGAGATCACGTCCGCCTTCCCGCAGCACGCCGACATGATCTCCGTGTGGTTCCCGCCGGTGCCCATTCCGACGGCCGGGTCTTGCACCGGGATGTTGAAGAGGTCGGCGCCGCAGGCGGAGCTGGTGCTCGGGCGCGCGGCGGTGGAGGTCGTGGTTGCTGACATTTTTACGGTGGGTCGGATTTGTAAGGGGGCTGACGCTTATTATTGCTGTTTTGGTGGTATTAATAAGGGCCAACGTTGCCTGAGGTTTGTCTGCTAGGGTGGCGATAAGGCGAAAAAGACTGGTGATTTGCGATTCTCCTGTTTTTTTTCACGATGTGCTGACGTGCAAAGCAAGGAAAGCGGAGAGGTGAGATTGCTTATTATATTCTGCTTTATCACTAGTATGGAGAAAAGTGCCGGCATGGCCATTTTTATTATCTGATTGATCGCGTTGATCGCGTTGACACGAGTGGGCTGAGTCTCAAACTAGCATTAATGTCCCCATCTCGTATCCGGGCTTGGTACTGTGTCGAACACTTCGAATACCCGGCCATTGGGCGACGGGGCAACGACGGGTCAACAAATAGTACGTACGTAATCAGAACCTTTCATGTAATCGTTCCAGAAATAGAAACAAGGTTTTAGCTAAGCCAAGCTAGCGGGTGTTGATCCGCCAGCTGGCAGCTCATGTCTCATCAGCTTGCGGGCCGTAAAGTCTGCCGAGGTTGCACAGCGCTAATTTGGCAATCGGAATCCGCTTTTGGACCCAAGAAAATAAGAGACGAGCCGACTCTTGGCAACTAAGCCCACTTTCAACCAAATCCATCAGGTATCAAAATAGGCGGGTGAAAATGTCGTCATGGTCATTGTCAGGGTATCATCAACCACGAAGCCTTGTTTTAGATAGAGTAAGTGCCGACACTTTCGAGGAAATGATATCCAGCTCACGATCTTCTAGACCATTCATATCCATTTAGCTGCGCCTTACCTCGGCATCCCAGTCCGGTCCGGTCAGGGTCAGATTAATGGCCCTGGAGGCGATTTATTATTTCAATTTCAATAGCACCTACTAGGTATTAGATGGTATATCGGTACGTATCGAAACACTAGCTGATCACTCAGCCACCAAGCGATTAAAAAAGCATACGAGAATTTCAAAAATTAAAACATTTCATTTAGAAACCCACCACCAGTACTAGCTATTAATGTTATGCTAGAACTGGAGATGGATCATGGGATATTAATGTAGGTACAGTGACCTGTCTGCCTGTCTCTGGCATGTCGCAAATACTTTCCCCTGAATAGTCGGGTGGCACGACCCGTACGAGTTGTACGACGTGAAGTTGGAGGTGAGTTTGAAAAGTCGGGCAGATCAAGTTAATAAAGGTGTGTATGGATTTTTGGAATCTGTCGAGTTTGGATGGTCGCAGGATTAGAGGAATGGCTGCCCTGTATCAGCGTGCATGGGACAATTCTTACGCCGTGTGCCGACGTGATGGCGATGAATGGCGATGGATGGAGTTGGATGGCGACGGCGGGTGGGAATCTGGTGGCGCGCGGTGTGGGGGATTGGAAAGTTACCACAAGGTTACCACGCTGCTGTGGATCTACCTAGGGGCTGTAAAATACCCCAGCCCTATGAGATGAGGTGAGTTTTCAGTTCCTACGTAGCCCTACCTATATGGTTTTATCCCGGATCACTTCGTCCCGTATTTGTAGCCCCCAACATCAGAGCCGTATAGCATCTAATGATGGATTATTCTAATTCTCGTACTCGTCAATGTGGTGCCATTTGTACCACCGTTGACGATTCTCTCACCGGAGGCAATAGAGGCAAGAGAGACAAGAGAGGCGACAAAGAACACTCGCCGCCATCGGACCGTTTTAACATCCAGTCTTCTACTTACCTCTAGTACATACTATACCTACCTACCTACCTAGAATGTAACTTACATGGCAGCAGATAGATTCTATTCTGCTAGGCAGCTTCGTCTGCATGATCAGCTGCATTCAGCTCAATATCCGTTTATGCTCTACAGCACAACGTGGATTTTCTTGGGTTGCAGTTACACGTTAATCTTCCGCGTTATACATTCGTTGCACCCAGTCAGCTTCAGGGTACCAGAAGTTAGGTACCTACTTAATGTTCGATACTATTATCTCGGTACGGTGAAACTTCAACGAGGTTGGTATAACCTCCTATCCCTAAGAAACTCTAAACGAACGATGAGGATCCAATTAATTTAGAGTTATTTCCTATGCCCGTAAGGTTGACGGGAGATAGGCGGCGCGTATCAGCGGAATGCTTAGTGGGATACCTACATACCTTACGGGATCGCTATCGCGAATGCTTGACATACTTAAGAAACAGGGGGTAGTGTTGAATGCAACCTTGTTGCAGCAAAGCTAACGCACCCACGATTCAATCACAATCCGTCCATGTTAATTAACAAAAATACATACATTGGTTTGTCCCGCTCGACTATTTTTGTCTCGGTCTCTCGGCCGGAATTGGAGTCGAAGCCCGCTTATGTCGATAGTTCATAAAGTATGCCTAACCATCGCATAGCCGACACTTTGGACGATGAATAGCTCTTGGGTGCTTATATCAACTACGGGCATCGAAATGTTTCAAGTCGTCGGCGTATCTTCATGAAACTATCTAGACATATGCCGCTGTCTCAAATCTACGATTAGATATTAAAGATCGGACGTTCCCCCCTGACCTAGTCCATAGGTAACCATATTATCCGTATTTTCGCATTGTTCCGAGGGGCCATTGATACACCTCATTGAAACTCATCATGGTTGGAGTAGCTGGTAGGAGTAAGGGTTGCAATACGTGCCGGAGAAGGAGAGTCAAATGCGGTAAGACTAACGCTTATGATAAATGAGCTATATTCGACGAGTGCGCATTATTAACTTGTGAGTAGACGAAGCGAAGCCTCAGTGTTATCGCTGCACCAAGGCCGGTTTTGAGTGTTTAGGCTACGAAAGAGCTACTCAATGGCGACATACTTCCGTGAGTGCTCGTCCGGCCTCTCGATTGCACGGACCCGAGTGTACGGAGCAGATGCAGAATATTCGTATTGATTTTGGCCCCGCACCGGAGCTTAGTCTCATCGCATTCGAGGGGGATATCTGTACGGCTCAGATGTTTAGGAACTTTGTTTGGAAATCCTATGGATCTCTCTGGCTGGATCAAGCTGCTGAGGGGAGACTCGGTCGTCTCTCCCTTGATGCCGTCAAGGCTCTCGCCCGATTGAATTTTGGCCTCAGCAATAGGGTGCCCAATTTCCAGTTGCAAGGGGATGCTCAGTATGGTAAATGCTTGAGGGTCCTAATAGAAGAGCTTGGTAAGGATAGGTCGGGGACTTGCGATAATCGGACGCTGGTGGTGCCGATTCTTGTGTTAATGATGGTCTCGGTAAGTCTCACCTGAATGGATTCTGCGGAAGAACTTCACGGCTAATTTTATGGGTGTAGGCCATCCAAGCAGATCGAGTTGCTGCGGTTTTCCACTTAAGGGCAATAGGCAATGTGTTGATGATGTGCGGTCCCCGGGCCTTTCAGCAACAACCTTTAAGAAACGCCTTCGAAGCAGCTAGATCTACCCTAGTACGTAACTCCAGAGCTGGCATGAGTGTAAATACTAACATTACACAGTTAGTCGCCTCCTTGTATTCAAGACGACGAATATTTCTTGAGTCTCCGTGTTGGCGAGACTCTCCTTATGAACTCGACCCATTTACGAAACCTGAACAATCACACCTCCTTGATATCTTCGTTATGATACCGGGATTCCTCGAAGAGATTAACGGCCTCGATGATGAGACCTGCGATCTAAGCGATGAATTTGTTGACCCCTCTCTCATTTCGGACGAGCACACGGAGCATCTTACGAGCCTATGTCGACGCATCGACTCCCAACTGGAGAAACTTTACCGTTGGCGTTGGGAATGGCAGCGGAAATACGGCCACCGGGTCACGACAGACAAGTCCGAGTGGTGTCAAGGCAGCCCATCCCCGAAGTCCGAGAGCTCTTCCAGCAATCCTACAGGAATCGGCCGACTGCAATTCGACCGACCCGTCTACGCTAATGATATTATGTTATACAACGCCGCACTGATGTTCCTTATGACACTCATATGGAGACTTCAACCATCACGAGCAGCATCCGTCATGAGCGCTTGTGCGCAACGTGCTTCTAACCCGTCAATTTCATCACCTCGGTCGCCTAAATCGCCAGCATCACCTCTTCCGAGCTCCTATTTCGAGCCTCTCATTTGGCCCGGCGCAGCTTTATCTATACGAGAACCGGCGATAGAAATATGCCGAGTATTCGATTGGCAATGCCGACACCACGAACAACACGCCTTCTTCAATGATCAAACCTGCATGTACCTTTTCCCAATCGGAATGGCTCGAACCGTTTTAGCTCACGATCCAGAATGTCGGATGTGGATAGACGGGATGCTAGACTTCAATCCCATGACCACCGGGTATGGCAGGGGTGGTGGTAGCATAGTGGGTTTCAGCTCCTTTATCACGCAGGCTGCCATCGACCCCGACTCTTACGACCCAGAGGATTCCGTATAAGAGAGATACCTTGGCAAATCTACCGGAAGGAATCCATCCCTGGTCTTAACATCGTACGGCAATCTATAATACAGCATAACCACGCCACGAACCTGCCTCGATTATCACAAAAGGAAGAGCTCGGAAATCGGAATATGCAAGGTACCTTTTCAAGACCGACTACCATTATAGGGTATATAACAAAGACGGGAAATATGGACAGCAACTAGAGCGACATGAGTAGGTAACGCGAACGCTTCGAAAGTTATGCAGGAACATTATATCATCCTCCTCCCCCGCACGCCCGCCAAGCCCCCTCGACCAGAAACACAGACCCGTCAACGCCACGTCGCTTGGGGAATTCGTTAACCAAAAGAAGCAATTATTCCAACCGGATTAATTTCCGATCACCGATTACTGCGCGGGCAGTTGATAAGGAGCCTGGTACGGCTGTCCCGGCGCCGGAGTGCCCTGGGGACTATACGTCTGCGCGGACACCGGCGTCGGGACCTGCTGGGGGTACGCCCCCGTGTACGCCGTCGTCTGCGGCGCGTACGGGTCGTACGCCTGGCCCTGCTGGTACTGCGGCTGGCCGACGGGCTGCTGGGGGTACCCCTGCTGTTGCTGGACCCATTGCTGGCCGGCCTGCTGCTGGTGCAGCAGTGGCTGCGATTGCTGCGCGGCGAAGTTCTGCGGCGGCATCCCGCCTTGCAGCTCTGTGGCGTTGGGGACGCCCGGGGCGCCGCCTTGTGGCATTTCGGCTGCGGTGGTGGCGGCGGCGGTTTTCTCGGGGTCGTTGGGCGAGTTGGCGCTGAATGCGAGGCGGAAGTAGTGGCATACGTAGGCGAATGTTGCGACGAAGAGGAGCATGGTTAGGGCGCTGACGCCGGCTATGCCGCTGAGTATGCCGAGGGCCGCATCGTTGGCGACGCCCGCGCGCTTGAGGATCGTGCAGTGCCCGCTGTTGATGGCGCTGCCGTCGCTGTAGCAGCTCGCGGTCACGGAGACGGTGAATTTGCTGCGGCGGTTCGCGGTGCCGGCCATTGCTGCTAGCCAGAAGATGATCATGAGTCCGTCGAGGGAGAGGACGGCCCATGTGTTGTAGGCTCGTCGGCAGGAGATGACGCGTTCGGTTAGGAGGGCGTAGATGGCGATGATCCAGGTGAAGAGGCCCTGTTGATGTTAGTGGAATGTTTTTGACGAGAGATAGAGATGGGTAGAGAAAGGATATGAGGGGTTGTAGATGGGGGTTTAGAACTTACACAGACGATGACGAAGCCTAGCTCGTCATAATACAGCCCGTGAATCCACCATCCTGACATACCCACGGCGATGACACCGAAGACGATCTGAAGAACTCGTAGTGCGATAAACCCTGGTGGGGTCGGGATGAGGGTCTTTCCCTGCCTGATCTCATTTGCTGCTTCCTCCATTTTGATGGTCTTTCTGTTCTTCTCTTGATTGTTGATTGCCTACGTCTGTGCCGTGGGAATATCGTCCTGTTCCTGTCGACGCCTCTATATAGGGCTTGTGCCTCGAAGGTCTTCGATGTGAATTTATGCAATGAACCACTCCGCTTAGACTTATGATACCCTTTCAAAATCTCTAGGAAACGATCAGCACAACCATCTTGGGGGCACAAGTCCATATTTGTACGGGGAACTCCTCTTTCCGCCTCCCCATAAGACTATTCAGCCCTTCAGCATATTAGTGGCGTCTTTAGTCAACTTCTAGGCCCGTATTCGCACCCAATTGCCAGCTATCTAGACTTGGGCTGTGGCCAAGAAGTAAGGTTATTATCGTGAGGACTTTGGGGTCTTTGCTAAGTGTCTATCCTGGCAGTTGCAGGGTCTTCTCAGCCGCACGAAGTCGATAGATAGGATATCATTGGACCGGCAGGTCCCTTATGCTCTAGGGGAGCGTAACGAACTATCGATCAGCCCTTCCCCAATCCAGAGCCAATTCAGCCAGCTGGCCACTGGCAGAGCTCATACAAGCGAGCTGCTGCGCTAATACTGTATTAAGGCAGCACTTTATCGTGGAGGCGCCTTGGCAGGGCGGAATCTACACATGGAGATACCATGGGCTTTTTTTTCTCAATTACCGCTGCACGCCCCGCGATAGTGTGAATTAGGTTGGCCTGGTGCAGGCCGCAGAGGTTACCTTAATCGTGATATTACTAATGCTCGAGCTGAAGCTCGCGTGCTACGCTGTCGGCGTGGCTGGATTCTGGCTACACCGTATTACTGCAGGACCCCTACTTTGTGCTCATTCTAGGCCTGTGAATCGTCAACTTCGAAGTAAGCCGCAGTACCTTACATATGGAATCTGGAACACTCATTTCCAATGTCTTGCAATCCAACGACCTGGTATCTGTGGGACTCATAAGACAGGTCTAGAACTGTCGCATATCGCACTTAGCTAGCGCTAACTTTTAAATTGTCGCCTTTTAAGGATAGACCCGTTGTCTAGCAATACCTCATGTCGAGATAGGGCTTAGTTTGCTGCGGAGTGTCTTATGCAAATTGCAAGAAACATTCGACGTCGTCCATTCCTTGAAAAAAACGTGTTGACAGTTCGATATTACATAATAATTCTAGAGATATGCAGGTTGGAGTTGGGGTTGTAGTTAGGGTTAGGATGGGGTTAACCCTAACCCTAATCTAACCCTAACATCAACCCTAACCCCAACTACAATTTATATCGGTTGTAAGAATGGACAACTACTGAACATACATTAAAACTCGGGATGCTCTACAGTTATAAAGATAACTATGTTCACATTATAACTATAGGAAGATTATGTACTACGAACCATTTATATACATCGAATCATGATAGAGCAAAGTATCAATCGCGTCCGAACACTGAGATGATAGAGATCGCCGAGCTTTCAGGGGGTACCCGGCGAATTCTCATCACGGCCAAAGTCGAACGTAATACCTTTAGGCGCAGCTTTCTTCAGGTTATCAGCGAACTTCGCATCCTTGAAGGCGATCGTAGCGGTGCCGAAGTCGTAGCTAACAAGCTTATCACGAAGTCCCGTGCTCGGGAAGCCGTTATAGGACACGAGTCCAGGAGATATATACCACTTTCCCGAGTGGTTCTCCGGCGGCTCGTCCGTTCCGTCGGTCTTGGGGAACCGGAAGGCGTGCGTGCTGCCGCCGTCCTTGTGGTATACGATCTTGGCGTGCGTTCCACTGTCAATCTGGACAGCGGGGTCGTTTTTATCCTTGACGGTATAACCGCCATGTCTTGACGCGGCGACGTACTCGAGTTGGTCGTTCTTGACCCATATTACGACGTGTTCCCATTCATGCCTGTGCCCACCGCCGAGAGGGGCGTTCTGGTACTTGGTGTCCTTCTCCATGTAATAATCATATAGATAGGCGCACCACCCGTTGTTACAGCGCTGCCGCGAGTACACGTTGTTGTTTACGAGGTCGCTCGCGTCCCGACATCCTGCTCCTCCCGCGGCATTGTTCGTGCTAAGACCGGGTGCAATATTTCCTTGCGCGTCGATTGCTGGTGTGTTATAGCACGAGTCCTTGTCAAAGTCCATCGCTGGCTGCCATTTGAGGTCGTTGGCTGTCGCTTTCGCCGGTAACATCTTAGGGGGGTCCCGGGCGAAGATGGAAGGGAGGGTAGGGCTTGCATTTGACACGCTTGCCAAAAGCAAGATCGCTCCTACGTAACGGTGGAGTACCATTATCGCCGTCTCTGTTCTGTAACTAGATATGTAAGAGAAACTTCTTCTAAGTAACAGAAAATGGGGTATCGACGATAGAAACCTTTCCAGAGGATCGGTGGAAGCCTGGAAGAGACTTTCCAGCGAACTTATACGTGCATGACCGTCAGGGGCCCCTAATTGAGGTGGGCCCCTTGCTCAGGAATCACCATATGCGTGAGGTATACCCGGACCCATTTTGACGGCATTCCGAGTAGAGTCCCGTCAGTTTACGGCCCACACTCATTGGGTGCTTAAGAATACTAGGTATTAGACGTGAAGGATCTTGAACTCCACGCTCCTTGATCTACCCGCTATACGCCGTGCACGTTTACTATTCTGGGACGCCAATTCGCCTAGTCGATCGTACCTGGAAAGCATAGCCGTGGGTAATGAAGTCAAGATCTAACCTGCCTAATAGAGCGATTGCAGGTGAATTTATACGCTGATCTGGGTCACATATTAAGTGACGTTGTAACCGAAGGATTTCACGGATTCGATCGTTCTTGATGCCAAGCCTTGGCAGTTAGCGCACCCCCCTAAAGTCAATGCCTTTAGGTACCAATTCAATTACCAGCTCGACTACACCCAGTCGCGTCCGCACATGTTCCGAGAACTCATCTAGCAACATATACCTAATAGATGTTATCTTTCCGTAATTCAGATCCCACGAACGCAGCATGTACTCAGTGTACGCGACACTTACCTTACTAAATCTGGATGATCATGCTCGCCGTGATAGGGGATTCGGCCAAACCGACACTTATCTAAGGATGAAGGCTAATTCAATCTAGCCCACTAGCAAGGTTAGCTATGGCAAGCCAGATGGGTCTACGCCGGTCCACGACACGGGAGAAGACTACGGGAAAAGTGGGTATTGAAATCGGCGTACACTAGAATGGAAGGCACTTTGATGGGCTGTAAGATGGATGTCCGTTGGAAGTCGCGCGTCGCTAGACCCCGGGTATTGTGGATGGGCAATTGCTCCGAATAGAACCGCATACTGTGTCCGCGGTCGATTGTAGAAGCTGGGATGATTGATATGTATACCCTATTCCTTTGTAAATATGATTGAATTGATACCTAACTAGATGCCCAGAGCGCTAACCTCACATACAGTCTGTTCGTTCGCATCGCAATACCGCTTATTCGGGGAATTCTCTATAGCAGTACTTTTCCATGACGATGACATGTTCAATATTTTTCTGTAACGATACGGCCGGTTTTCCTCTCTGGAATTTCGCCCATTCGGTGTTGATTGTAGGGGCACTAGGTCTCCGCTCCTCTGTCGGCGCGACCCATGAACCCATTACCGAATAACTCTTATTACCAGCTATCATCTTTCCCCTGAAAATCAGCTTGCCTTGATCATCTTTTGTGAAGAAAACCTCGGTCCCTGCTTGGTCCTCCGCTAACGTCACTAAGTTGCTGTCTGAGAATCCTCGCCAACGCATCTCCCACTTTTGAGTACCCCGCGTCTCAGGGCCAACCCATAGTCCTGGTTTTAAGACACAGCTTTTCTCGAATTTTTCTAGCGAGTCATCTAATGAGCTGGAGATCGGCCGGAAGCGTGCGAGGGCAAAGATACCCTTGGCTTCAAATTGAGCCCATAGTTGTCGTCCAGCCTTTTGGTGTTTTGCGTTGTTATCCATCTGGACCGTCATTACTATCGACACCGGCTCTCCCGCAGATAGCCCAAGAGCCTTGGTGAGCCCTATAGTGCTTAACTCGTATCTTCCCATAACATCCCAAGCCCAATCCGGGCGCTCTTCCAGATATCGTGACGTCGCGGTCGCATTGATAATAAACCCGGGTATTGGGCCAGGCTTATTCTTCGTGGTGAAAACCCTACCCGAGCGGGGGTTTTCCCATTTATTTTTGGGTTTGGGCAGAGTGGCACCAAGGTCTTGCAGTCTCTGAAGCTCGATTTCATCTTGCTCCGTGTCTGATAGGGGCCGCGCATCCCAGGAGGGGTCATAAAGCCGTTTCCAATCCTCGAGCATCCGGGATGCCTCGGTAGGCGCTGCTGGATCTTCGGCTGTAGCCCTATCCTCATCGCTCTCTGGACTCGTATAAAGCTGCGTTCCCTCTAAGATTACGTGCTTGCCATTATGTATCATGGCTAACTTGATGTTTATCTTGGGAGTACCGACGCTGTCGGGGAGCTGTTTCTCTTCCTCGAAAAGAACTTGCCCCTGTGCCCGCGTCTCTCCACCAAGCTTCAGCTCTCCTTCTTCTCCTCGCCATCTCATCAACCATTCTTTAGATTTTGGACCCGGTCTGACGCCTTCTGCGAGTTCACATGCGGCTTCAAACTCTGGAAGAAAGAGCTTTCCATTAGGTTGCGATGCAATTGCGCTCTTGGGACATAGCCGCATCCTACCGGTCAAATTTAGGTTAGGGAAGTTGAAAGAAGCATATAGCTGACATGTATGGGAGCTTGTATGGGTGTAATGGACATCTAAAACATATTCGGTGGCATCTAATGCTTTCCATTTGTTTGCGCAAGTGAGATTGTAGCGACCAGTCACGTCCCAGACGGCTGCGCTAGACTTGGCTGAGCTCCTATGTCTAACGCGTTTTGCAGGCGTATTTTGGGTCTGGGTATTACCGCTAGTAGACTTTAGCGGTCTCTTGACGCCTGCTGGCGATGCCGACATCTTAACAGAATCCAAACTAGGTATTTAATTTTTGAAAGGTATAGTTAAGCTCTAAGAGTCTAAGTATTATATAGGTAAGAATGGGTTGAAGATACGGTCGATGAATTGAGAACTGGGTATTTGAGCTTGTTTGAAGGGAAGGAAAGAAAAATGAGGCGGGTGGGTGCTTATCCCCTTGAGACAAACCAAGGCAATCGGCGCTAGGAAGACCCTCCATTTTTCCGCTCCGGGGATAAACCGTGTGCAGGACTAAAGCCAGGGGTTCACAAAAGCTTAGGCCAATGATGTCAATTCCGATGGTCACAACATCGGAAAGTACAACTTCCAAATAATGATAATTAAAATTCCAAAGATGTGTAGATATATCATAAAATAGCTTTCTGTGATTAACTATTCAGTTATTTAACATTGTAAAATTCTATGGTAGGTATTGCATGCAAGTGCTTGAACAATGATGGGGCATTTCTTGCCGCTAACGCTATGGCAGCTCCCGCCACCATCACTGCTAACCCCTTTTCCTGTCATTAGCCGACACATGGGTACCTACAAGCCTAAGCACAAGGTGTCCAATACGTCAATTAGTTCAACTTTGAGCATTTCAATTTCTCAAAACTTGTCAAAGTCATTTTCAGAAGCGTATTTTCTTTTTTTAATTGTAGACAATAAGTCGTGTAACTCGTCTGAGAATTCAACCTAGGTTATGTTACAATGAAGCTTTTGGCAGAACCAAATGAATATCCATACGTACTTTAATATTCGCCATGATACACCCTCATAAATAAAAGTACAACTCAACTCAACCCTTTTCTAGTATCCAACTAATCTAGAACCGGAACTGCGCTTAGTCTCATCCTAACGGGCCACGAGCTCTTCAAGCCAAACATGATGGTCATCACAACTCTCTCCATGACTCTATTACCCAGTTCAAGCACAGCCATATCCCCATTCAAAAAGGGCCCATACACCACCCATTGCTGTCGAGTTGCTCTCTCTGTTTTGATCGATAACCAGACGATATAAGGGACCGAAAGCGGATATAAACGCGTAACTAATAACCTGCAGACGTTTCTAACTATCCAATGCGCACCGATAAGGAGCAGAGCGGTTACTGGATAAAACCCCAAGTTGAATCGCGTCACTATTTTCTGAACCACCGGATCGCGGATTATAATACTGAGGTACCCATCTCTGGAGAACCAGGCCGGCGGCATGATAGTGACGCAAAGGCATACCAATTGGTATGCTGTGTACGATAGTACATGTGTCGTAGTCGCTCGGAGAAGGTTGAGCATGAGCTTGGAAAAGGGATCCAGCCCTGTTTTATATAGGATGAGAGGCGTTTCTGATCTCGATATAAAGACGAAGACGGATAGATATATAAGCGCTGCAGCCCACAATTGGAAATATACAGGGGGGCCGAATTCCCAAAGCATGTCTTTGATATCGAATGCCCCGTCCATGTTTGGCGTAGGCAGTGCAACGTATGTCGACAAGTTATATAGAAAGATTGCCAGGTCCCTCGATACGTAAGATACTAGCCAAATAAAATAGACTCCAATCGCCATGGGAATAAGATGTGACAAAATTAGAAATAGGCAATCGAAAGCCAGGAGTACTATGTTAGTGACGGCATTGCGGATGAGTGGGCGAATTTGAGTTGGGTCGTGATCGAATATAATCTCACCATCCAACCCAGCATTTCCATGCTCATCAACAGGGCCCCAGTGAAGCCATTTAACAAGCAAGGAATTTACTTTTATGATAATCCCTTCCATGTAAGATCTTCTCACCAAATCTGCCACATTTCCAATGACTTCGAATAAAAGGGTACTAGCGAAAGAAATAGCCACCGTGAGAAGCGTCTTAGACGATATGCGCATCAGATAGTATCTGTACCCATGCCTGAGCAGCCATGCCGTATCTATCTCGGAGTGTATGGCAAGTATTATTGCCAGAACTGCCGCACAGTACAATGTTGCGTCGAGATTAAATGGGAATGGAGGATCTACCATGTCGAGACTCCAGGCTGAAGTAGGGTACTCGGGCAAATCGGGATCGTCGACTTCTTCGTTTCGGTTGACTATGATCTGCCACCACATATCCCAGTCCATCCAACTATCTTCTTCCTCCGATCCATCTAAAGAATCTTCCAAAATCAGCTCCTCGTCGGCGGGGTCCATGGTAAAGGCGTGGAAATCGAGTGAAGTCTAAGCTACTGACTCAATGTGCAACAATAGTAATTCTTTGGTCGGGATACCTGATAGTTTCGTTAAACTGCGACAGACAATGGAAGTTGGGGATATCTCCGAATAGGGAAGGGTAAAAGAATCAGAGGTATTGTTCACGTCAATGGTAATATGGAAGAAAGAACATGAACAAACATACATATAGTAGCCACACAAAGGATCAAATATGAGTTACTAGATTTCATACCTCCAACCTAGTAGGTATGCACCTAGGGAGGTACATGCCAATCTCATATTTTCTCATACATAACATCCGACCTCATTGTATATTTGGTCCCTTTCATGACTGTCGCTCCTTCATGATACATGTCCCTCTGCTGGAATAATACTAGACTTCCTCCTTTAGGGTCGATATCTAACTTTCCAGCTTGTGGATCTTCAAAGTCGACACCAAACCTCGTAGCGCCGCCTTCCACCACATTGTCGTCGTCTGCACCCCCATTCAAGTACAGGTGCAGAGTCAGAAAACTCTGGGCTCCGTCCTCATCCGTAAAATGGCCATCACAATGAGGCTTGAAATATTATCCGGGCCCATACTTGAGGAATCGAAGTTTGTTGTTAAGCCGACAGATGCGCCACGATTCATTACGAATGATGGGGAACTGGCCCGTGATGTCAGGTGCATTTTCTAACGTGACAATCTCAGGGGGTATGAACGGTAATACGCGCTCTAGGAGACGATCTGCCAGGACCTTAGATGTATAGAATATCCGACCACAGAACCGGGACTTCGTGTCTACGACTTGGGACCCGTCGTAGGCGGTTACAGCTGCGGGTGGCCATTCTGCACCATCAGCGGGGCTGACGAGTTTGAGTAAATTCGCGCACTCATCTTGTGTACAAATATTGTCGATTATCATTGCGAAGTAACCATCGTACTCGTCTACGTCTGTCTCGTTAAAGTTGATTATTCGTGCCGTGGCAGAGATAGGAGAAGGTCCACTCAAGATATCTGACTCTTGATTCGGCATATTGTTAACGAGTGTCTTCGGATACACCATGGTCTCTTGTAAAAGTACTTAGTTATTGGTGTCAGGAAAAATATAAGCCATAAATAGGGCTGAAATATGAGGTCGTTAGTAGTTGATGCCCACAGTGGGGTGACAGCACGGGCTACTAACTCCTATTCAGGGGTTTTATGACGATCCGGCCAAAACAGTGTAATTTGTAATATTTTGACACCGTATGATGCTGACTTGGCCCTTATAACTTAGTGGTAGTCTGCTATATCTTAGCGGAACTATAGGCGGACAGATTACTATCAGGTCTCAGTCTTAACCTAACATAATACAGTATTCAGCGATTACTTATCCAATTACACACTGTTTCTGACCTAGATCTGTGTTGGTTGCGGAAATACTCACTTCGAAGCCAACGAAATGGCATTAGGTTTTTGGGCATTGACGCTCAAGCGAAGAGGTCTTCCTCGATTATGAAAGAAGACGCTCTATCTAGTATCCCTAATGTGCCGAATAAATCATTTGCGTCGTTGAAGATAGACATACTACTGCTCGGCGCAGTTTATTGTTCCCGCTTGGGTTTGGAATAAGGCTGTCTTTGGCATATGTGCTGAACAACAATGAGTTAGAATCTTATCGTGAATGAAATTTGCTTCCTGTCATAAAGTTTCCTTTGATTTCGCTAATCGAAGAGACAATATATTGATTGAAGAGGAAGGAATTGTGAGTTGTATGTGTAGTTATTTGAGCTAATAATTTCATGATGAAATGTGTTCTGCGGAATAATGTGCGTAATGCTCCCTATTAATTGTAAGCAGACCATATTTCATAAGCTCGTTTAATAGATTACATTTACGTTTCTCCGCGGCTGACGCTCTGTGTTGAATTCGAGGGTAACCGGAATGCCCTCTATGGTTTAGATGGTATTCCTATCTAGAAATCTAGTAGTTCGATGTTAAGATTGCACTTGTTCATTCTACAGAGTTTGTGAATTATACTGGCTGAGGAGAAATGAAAGAGTGGATTGTTATTCCGCATCTGCAAAATGGGATAGAGAGTAGATGGCGCTAGCCACGAATTAGGTTAGGTAGTTTAGTGAATGATACCTGCCCTGCCGGTTTACCGGTAGGTACCGCATACCCTGTAGGATCCATGTGACAACGTGTACCGTCGGAATCGCCCGCCATTCAGCTAAGCAGCTTCCGCTTTCCTTCTCGTCGTTCCTGCAGCGCCTATTGTCGGCTTTTTAGCGGGGTGAAATTCTAGACAGGTCTGGCAAGTCCAAATCTCGCTCACTTTAGGTTGAATACGGCGAGACTTGATCTGACGCAATTCTGAAAATCTTCTAGTCATTCGCCCTTTTTTTCTTCATCTTTTAATCTTCAACTTTTTGCCCCCTAAGTTTCCTTGGCATTTCTCGTATAGAATAGGATATAATTTCAGGATTCTTTCTGATAATATTTAATCTACGCTACCTACCTAGAATATACTATCTACCAAATTCACGAAACAATCCTACCGCCATGGCTTCTGCGAACCGCTCCAACAATCCAGTGCCACATAACCCGCCCCATGCGGCGACGGTCAAGTCGGCAACCGAGTTAATTGGAAACACGCCGTTGGTCCGCCTGAACAAGATCCCGCAATCTTTCGGCATCGAGGCCCAAATCTATGCCAAGGTCGAACTCTTCAATGCTGGCGGTTCCGTCAAAGACCGCATAGCCTTACGGATGATTGAGGAAGCCGAGAAAAGTGGAAGGATTAAGCCGGGCGATACTTTGATCGAGCCGACGAGCGGAAATACAGGTATTGGTTTGGCATTGGTTGGCGCTATCAAGGGCTACAAGACGATCATCACCTTGCCTGAAAAGATGTCTGCTGAGAAGGTGTCGGTACTCAAGGCACTAGGCGCTACTATCATACGTACCCCCACGCAAGCGGCCTGGGACAGCCCTGAGAGTCATATCGGTGTCGCAAGGAAACTAGTCAAAGAGATCCCGAACGCGCATATCTTAGACCAGTACTCGAACGTAGACAATCCAAAAGCCCATGAGTTTGGAACAGCCAAAGAGATTTGGGAACAGACCGGCGGTGAAATTACTTGCATTGTAGCAGGCGCTGGAACGGGTGGTACTATTTCGGGCTTGGCGAAGGGCTTGAAAAGTTACAACTCGGATATCAAAGTAGTGGCTGCAGATCCGCAAGGGAGTATCTTGGCCTTGCCCGAGGCTCTGAACGACGAGCACCGAGATGAACCCTACAAGGTAGAGGGAATTGGGTACGATTTCATCCCCGATGTCCTTAATAGGCAGCTTGTCGACAAGTGGTACAAGACAGACGACGTGGAGTCTTTCAAGCTAGCGCGTCGATTGATTTCCGAGGAGGGCCTACTTGTTGGTGGAAGTTCTGGAAGTGCCTTGAGTGCTGCCTTCAAAGCAGTCAAGGATTTAGGACTTGGCAAGGACGATGTCGTTGTTGTCGTCCTACCGGATAGTATCCGAAGCTACCTGACGAAATTCGCCGATGATGACTGGTTGGCGGCGAACGATCTACTACCGACTACCGATGCCGCAGCGAAGGAAGCGGCGGCGAATGGTAAATCTGCGAAGGCGGAAGACCCTTATGCTGGCGCAACTGTTCGTTCGTTAAGGCTTAAGCCAGTTATTTCCGTCATCGCCAGTAGTCCTTGCTCTGAAGCTATCGAGACCATGCGTGACAAGGGCTTCGACCAGCTTCCAGTTCTTGCCAGCGCGGGAGGTAAATTGGTAGGCCTTGTCACTCTCGGCAATTTACTTAGCTACGTCTCACGCGGACGGGCTAGCGGACATAGCCCGGTCAAAGACGTCATGTTTGATTTCGGCAAGATTGACGAAGTAGTCACCGATCCCCGAGAAGGAAAGGGTAGCAAAGGTCGCAAGTTCGTCGAGATCACATTGGACACGCCAATTGCGGAGCTGAGCAAGTTCTTCGAGTGGAACAGCGCTGCCGTCGTTACTGAGCCTAGTCAACTCAAAGCTAAAGCGCTCAGCAAGCCCGTTGCCGTGGTCACTAAGGTTGATTTGTTGACGTGGATGGTGAAGCAGGTCAAGGCTTAAGACTTTTCTACGTAGGGAAAGGCTGGCATTTTGCTCTTGCGGGTTAGAAATAGGTTAGATATAGGTTATCAGCATGGCGTTATGGTAGAAATTGTAATTTCAATTTCAGCGATCAATCAACTGGTTAACTTCGGGTATCAGAGTATAAACAACGGACTCAACGTCCCCAATGGTTTAGAGAGAATTGGTTACTGAATACTTTTTCTATAGACATATATCTAGGTAGAATGAATTATGGCAGCGAACTGACCAGGTTTCAATCTCATAGGTGATAAATCGTCTGATTGTGGGGATGTATTATTTCACAGTGGGCTCTGATTTTAAATCGTAACATATTATGAGGCGACTATTCATGAGCTGTACTCTTTCGTATCCACATGCCGACAACATCAGACGATAGTCAATAGCAACCAGGTTGATAGTACACAACAACTCTTTTAAACGAGATCATCTCTCATAATTATAGGTGGATACACATAAGCATTCCAATACCCGACATGTCGGACGTAACCGCATAACGTCCACATCGAATTCGTTGTGAACAAGCCGTCACATCCAGAGATATTACCACACTAACCAAACAACCCAGCATAACCCATGATGAGGGCACCTAGATCCGGTCCGATATCCAGTTCCACCACTTATCAACCTTGCCCTCAAGCACGCTCCCGCCAATAATATCAACCTCGATATCAAACTCCCTCATCTGGCCAAACGTAAACTTCTCAGAGCCATATGCGCCCAGCCAACCATCCTGTTCCTCGGATCCGATCTCGTCCTCGCCAACACCCGAGTCTAGAAGGCCCTTGCTGCGGGACTGTCGTATCCGGCCGAGCTCGACCTCGAGGTTACTCTTGACAAGCGAGGCAGGCAAGGCAGTGAACAAATCCAACTTATTCGCGGCGAGCAGGACGTGGATCGCGTTAGGCGTCTTCGACGTCTTTCCCGCGCCGGTGCGCTTCTGCAGCGTGAGCAGGATGTCGTAGAGGAAGCTGGCTGTGTCCGCGAGACAGTCGTCGAGGCTCGCGGCGTCGAGCATGTAGATGATGCCGCGCAGCGTGTCGGAGGCGATGTGCGTCATGGCGTGCTGGTTCCGCAGCTTGCCGTGCCCCGGGGTGTCGACGAGGAGGAACTTCCGGTGCGTGCCCGGGGCGTCCATGCGCGCGGCTTCGCGGAACGTGGTCGCTCCGTGGTCGCTGGATACGGTCAATTCGATGGATTCGGGGACCTGCGAGGTGTGTGTTGCGGTGGCGGAGTCGCCGCGCTCGAGTAGTGTCATTAAGGATGTCTTGCCGCTGCCTGGAGGCCCGACGAGGAGGATCGAGGGGAGGCTTGTGTAGGGCGTGCTTTGCGAGATGTAGAAGTGGACGAGGATCGGGAGGACGAGCACGATTATAGCGCCGACGATGAAGATTTCTGTTGAGGGGGTCAGGATGTACTCCAGAGCCTGCTTAAGGCTCTCCATGATGTCCATCTTGCGCGGTTTGTGGTTGAAAGCAAGATGGATGAAAAGAGACGGAAGAAGAGAGAATATTTATGGACAGGAAGGAGGAGGTTGACTTTAACAAGTCATGTCATGTCGAAATTCGATGCAGTGTAGCTTCCTTGGGTTGCAGTGTCATCATTCGATGCCAAGTTGTTACGGCAATTTAAGTTAGCTCAAGCTTCGACGCATGTGGCAGATGTGGGTTCACCGTGGTGCTGGGAGAGGTACGTACAGACGACTATAAAATAGTGGAGGATTACCGGCCAATTGAATCTCGTGGCTAAGCCCTAGAGCGTTGCTAGTCCACTCAACAAGGGGAAACTTGAAAAGTAAGGTTTAGGCGGCCTAGGGTGGCTTAGCAGTAACGACGACGCCCCAACTCCAACTGTTTCTGATCGATTAGTTGATCTGATCTCACTTTACACCTTTTACGATTTATGAACATTGAACAATGAAAAAACCATGACTGGTTATTAAAAAAAGCGATTCTATTACGGCGCTCGAGTCATTATTCGTCTGTTCGGGTATCAGTGCCGTATCGTTCATTTGAATTGTGTAAAATTGGTACTAAACAAATTTATACTTGATCATCTTGTCGAGTCCCAGAAAAAAACAAGCATTATACATCCCAATTATGCCCCTTGGCATCATTCTTTAATTGTTACGATCGATATTTTTGACCGACTTTTAATCAATTCCGAATATCAATCTAGACCTACCTGGGTACTTTAATGTCTCAAAACACCAATTCCACCGGTGCACCGATACAACCGTCTTCCAAGAGCATGGCGGCGGCCCCGAAGTTGAATTCGCAAGACATGGAGATGGGGAACCTCGACGCGCCCCCGTCCGAACCGGACGTCATGCAACTTGCAAGAGTAGGAGATATACCGGGCATGGAGAAGCTCTTCGAGTCATCCGATGTCGACGCGACTTATACAGATGATGAGGGGATCACGCCGCTTCACGTATGCGCCCAATCTACCCCCAATTTTGATTGGCTCTATGGCTCTTCGGTTTAGTTCTTAGCTAACGATAGGTACCCAGTGGGCTGCTATCAACAACCAGTTTACGATGTGCAAATTCCTTATCGAGAAAGGTGCCGATATAAATAAGAAGGGAGGAGAAAGCGTTGCGACGCCGTTACAATGGGCTGCTCAACGGTCCAACTATTACACCGTAAACCTTCTTATCCAACACGGCGCCGACCCGCTCATTACCGATGCCCAAGGGTATAACACATTACACATCTCGACCTTTAGTGGAAATGTTTTATTAGTGGTGTTGTTGTTACACCAGGGTATTCCCGTCGACGTAGCCGATTCTTATGGCCACACATGCCTTATGTGGGCTGCATATAAGGGTTTCCCGCAATGCGTAGACCTCTTCTTACGATGGGGCGCGAGCGTACATGCGACGGATGAGCAGGGCTTCACTGCGTTACACTGGGCATTGGTTAAGGGATCCCCCCCGTGCATCTTAAAGCTCTTAGAATACGGTTCGGATCGGTTTGCGAAGACGACAACGGGCAAAACTCCTGCAATAACGGCTAAAGATCTCAACACTGTCAACGCCTGGCAGCGAGCTTTGAAAGAGTGTGGCTATGATGAGGACGGACATTCCGTGACACCCTGGTGGCCTGGAGCGTCTTTCTTCCTTAAGGACAAGCGAGGGTTCATGAATAAGTTCTTATTCCTTTTGCCCACCCTGTTACTGTGGATGGAGTTGATGGTTATGAGCCACCTCCCCATCCTCTTGTCTGTTCCGATAGCGCTTGTTGTAGGGTTCGGTTTTCAGTGGATTACGAATCAAGTCCTGGAATATGCGCCACCGGATATGAGGCATCTGCATAGAACGGTATGTATCATAGATCCGAAGACGGCGTTATAATACTAATAATCGCAGCCATGGTTAGCCGGTATCTTTGCAGCATCATTGTTCCTGTTAGGCACACGGTGGATTCTTACTGTATTTCCTGGTAAGTGTTTTCGGGACATCGTAACTGACCGATAATTTCTAACTCATTCTAGCGACCTTCTCAGCTCACCCGTTGCTCAACTTTTTCCACATCGCCACATACAGTCTCACAGCTTATTTTTATGCTGCATGCATGGTATTCGACCCTGGATATGTTCCAAAACTCAACGGAATCGCGGAGCAGAAAGCGGTCATTGATGAGTTGATAAGTCTGTGGAAATTCGATGAATCTAATTTCTGCGTCACTTGCATGATCCGCACTCCTCTTCGGAGTAAGCATTGCAGACGATGCCAACGATGTGTCGCGAAACATGATCAGTAAGTATAGAATTAGAAGACGGAGATGATGCCTTGCCGAATAAATACTAACTCGATATAGTCACTGTCCTTGGGTAAACAATTGCGTCGGCGTGAACAATCACCGTCACTTCTTCATGTACCTAATCAACCTAGTCTTTGGCATTGTATCCTTCGACTGGCTGCTGTATTACTATTTTTCCGAGCTTCCCAAGTCGGATTCTCACGATTGCCTTATCCTGTCAGAAGCCATATGCTCCGTTATCAGTAACGATTCGTACACGGTGGCAATTGGCTTGTGGGCAACTCTACAGCTTACGTGGGTGGGCATGCTTATTTTCGTACAGTTAGTACAGGTTGCCCGTGCTATGACCACGTATGAGAATATGTACGGTGTACAGGATGGTTCAGCAACGTCGTTGGGCTCTGCTTTCACGAGCACTGGAGCACCTCTCGACCCCAACCATCCCGATGCCACACCTCCGTCTGCAGCTGCCGATCCTCTTGGAACTGGTCGCGGAGGACACAACCACAAGCATAAGAGCTTCGTCTCCCAATGGAGTCGTATTCTCGGCGTCGACACGTTTATCGAGACGGCTACAGGCCGGGGTGCTGCCACAGGCAATAACAAGCGCAAGAAGCGGAACCCTTACAGCAAGGGTATGGTTCAAAACTGCCGCGACTTTTGGTGCGATCCTGCTCCCCTCTTCGGTCGTAGGGAAACGGGCGACGCGGTGCTCGGCGGGGAGAAGATCAACTACACCGAGGTCTACGAGAGTCCGGCGGCGATGGGCCTAGGTCTCAGTGGCGCCAGCTCAAGCGGGCGGAGGAGAGGCGGTTACGAGACCGTGGCGAACGAGGAGGTGTAAGGCGTATATGACGAGGTATGCGGTGATAGATACACGAGTCGCTTACGTTAACATGACTTGGTACTACTGACGAATATTGAATTTCTGGGCTTTCGCGCGCGCGGCGCTAGCGTTACGCGGCTGGGGTATGACACTAGAGTGTACAGTAGGTAGTTAGTCCGCGGCATTCAAAGCGTCTCGGTACGGTACCCTTGGTAGGTCGGTCGGTCTCGCATAGATAGGTGTATGAAAGTAACTATGGGATTATTGATTGACTTTTTTGATCTTGAGAGGGCTTGGTGTATTGAGTAATTGGAATGTTTGCGTGTTTGTGCTTCTGGTTTTACTTATACTTACCTAGGTGTTTTAGGTGACGAGGAAGAATAGCAGTAGTGTGATACGAACATCTTCGTGTTTTGGGAGAATTTGGGGTTAGGGATAGGGTTATGGTTGAGAATGGGGTTAGGGTATAACCCTGATGATCCTTACCCTGGGGTTATTACTAATCGTCACATCCAACCCAAATTTCAAGGTTGTACACCTGTTAAAAATTGGGATTTCTGGCACTCGCTTCATTAGAAGAAATGGTATTTTCCTCCCTTTGAAGGAAATGCCTGCTTTTTTACCTACCCAAGTACGTGGCTCTAGGAAATTTCGCACCGTCTCAAGTTAACATGGAAATCAGGTGAAAATGAGTCTTAGATCAGGGGTAAAAACCCTCGTCTAAAACTCGTCCGACCAACATCGCCAATCGTGCAAACTCGATCTTTTCATGCACGAGTATCTTCTCGTCTACCATCTTTGGACCAAATTGAATAAATTCTATTAACGAGAGACTTCGAAATAATGAAAGAATATTGTATGTGCACTAATTCCCCACCATAAACCCCCTCCAAATTCAAGGGTTTCCCAAGCCGAAGAAGCTAACTTTTCAACCAACCCATCTTCTCATAACCCAAGACTAATTCTAACCCATGACCTTAGACCAGTCCTGCATAGCATTAGCGTTGGAAGCGCCCTTCATAACAGCAGCAATGTCCGTGTCGCCCTCGACGAAGATACCGAACTTATCACCGCTGTCCTTAGAAGGGTCGTAGCTGCAGGTCTTCTTAGGCAGGAACTGCCAGTACAGGTTAGGGATACCGCCCTTGTTGATATCGTTAGCCTGGGCGGGGAGCTCGGTCTTCGGGTTCGTAGAGCCAGTGTTGACGCCCCATTCCTCGATGAAAACAAGCTTGCCGCCAGACTCAGAGACCCATTTCTTCGCGCCGCCGGACCACTGGCTCGGGTTGCTGGACTGGCTGCCGCCGTAGCGGTGGACGGCGATGAGGTCGATCTCGGGGCACGACGTCGCGGCCTTGATGAAGTTGCAGTTGTGCGAGATGTCGCCGCCGATGCCGCCCGTCGCGATCTGGATCTTGTTGTTCGCGCCGAGCACGCTGCGGAATTTCTTGGCGCGCCCGCAGAGCCAGCCTTTCGCGTCGTTGTTCTTGCACACGGAGGTGTCGGCCGACATGGGCTCGTTCTGTAGGTCGAACGCCATTATCCCCTCGCTCCAGTCTTTCCACACTTTGCCTGAGTGCGCGCCCTTGTACGAGAGGATGTACTCGATGCGCTTGTCGTATGCGTCGAAGGCGTCTTGAGAGGTGTAGAAGCTGTTTTTGCCCCATTTGCTGGAGTATACGTCCCTATTTTCCTATTGTCAGTCCCGCGAGCCCAACCTTGCCGAAATTGGGGATAATGGAAGCTGGTCGGTTCCTATGTAAATAGGAAAAACCACTCTTACTTTCTGTAGTCTCCGAGGAGCGAGTTTCCATCGTGGGGGGAGATGATGGCCTTGATACCCTTCTGAGCTAATTTGTTGACGACTTTGTCGACGGCGTCGAGAGTCTGAGTGTTAAACTTGCCGAGCGTGGTCTCTAGCTGGGGGACGCTGACGGCGAGCTTGCTGCCTTTCGTACAGCTCCCGCTAGACTGCTGGTTCACCCACACGCGCACAACCTTTGCTCCGTATTTGGCGAGGTCGGCGATGTACGCATCTTGATCTTGGTCGGACATCCCGGGAAGAAAGTACAAGTTCGAGCCCATGAATGACTTCGATCCCGCTCTCGATTCGTTTTGCTGAACAGGCGTAGCGGAAACGCCTAGCGCAAGGGCACCGAGGATTGCGAGGATGGATACCTTCATTTTGCTGATTTTTATGGTGTTTAGGTTGAAGCGAGAGACGATGGAACTAGGACTTGGACTTGGATGGGGCTTGATGGCTGGTGAAGATGTTGAGATTAATGTCGAGGGCGATGATGATACTTATAGGAAGTTCTTGTAAGTAGAAAGCTACTCTCTATTACACTGACTCGTATTAGCCTTTGAAGATCACAGCCTTACGAGTGATATCAAGTAAGTCGACGTCAACCTATTCATCCTAGCCTTGATTAATAGGCAATTGAGATTCAATAGAAACATTCCATCTCGCAACATGAAGCTTAGTATCTGATCTTCTCAAGCCAGAAAACTAGTTCATTGTTAGGCTGACGCGGTGCCAAAATTATTTTCGATAATCTCAATAGGATGTTGACATACCTGCCGACATAGGGAGATCATAGGCATGGTGGGGCTGTGCTGGGTCTCTTTAGAGCTTCTTTAGCGAGTCTGGGTTTTTTTTGGCACAAAATAGTAGTAGCAATTTCGCACTATCACGCTGAATCGGGATATAATCTGGCTGCAGCATTGAAATATGTTTCGTTACACTATGCGGTGATCTTTCAAGTTCGGCAACTGAATAGAATCTTTATCTAATGCGGCAGTTGCTAAATATAGCTATACGTTGATCAATCGAGTTCTTTCCTTGACTTCAACCTACCTACCTCTTTCAACTCAAACAAGATGGATCTTAAGGCTTTAAGCAAACAAGCGCCAGATATCTCTGCTTCTGTAAGCTCGGCCATGGTAGGATCTTAACCTAGAAGCTACCTACGGTATCAGAAATCAATATTTCTAAAAAGATATTCGAAGATAGTGTGTTCTTTAACAACGTAGGTTAAAATGGCGAAACTATCGAGCAGGTACCTACCCATTTCCCGCCCCCATCGTTTAACCAATCTTGCAGCATATACCCACTGCTAGTAGCCAATCATATACCTAGCTATCTTTAATATTGCATGCGGCTGTTAGAATTAGGGGTTTTGAGGCTTAAGTACCCTACCGAAAAGCTCAGCTAGATCCTTTAACAATCCTAACTTTATCACGATAATCTTTATGAATCCTTAATATCTAAGATAACCCCTCCGTTACAATTCGGGTTCTTAAAAGAAAAAGGTTTTTAGAACTAGGTACTTACTACCTACCTACCTAGGTAGGTACCCACCCAGATAACTTAATCATTTCCACCGATAAATACCAAGTAGGTAAATATAGAACTGTTGAAATATAGAGCCTAAGCCCTGTATTCAGTACACTACTGTACTATCTGAAAACGGATTATAAGCTATTTTCAGTACCTATTATTAAAAACATATCATTGATAGCGATCAGCTGCAGCTATAGATAACTACCTACCTAGGTACCCAAGTAATGAATTCACTATCAGATCAGTTTAGTTAATTAAGCAATCTAATATACACTCTTTTGCCCCCTAATATACGCTATAATACAGTGACCTTTATTCATTTTTATTAATGCCATTATAGGCGCCCCTTTTAGCACTTAGCTTCCCTGTATTGCAGCTTATTATACTGCTGTAACTAGCGTACATGATACCTACGTACCTAGTTACAGTGGTTAACTTCAATAAGAACCAAATCGCCCTACCCTTAATTGAATCTAAGATTTACAGGTTCTATGCGAATTATCAAAGCACCACATGGTCCGTTTCTCAAATATTCTCCCTAATAGAGAGGGCTGAACCTCCAGCTAGGTGTTAGTTAAGCAAAAATGAAAAAGGGATACGTTAATATCCACTAGGTACGTTTTGGGTTAACTGCTACCTATATTTATATTGTAGGTACCCATCTAGCAGTTGACCTACTTAGGTAAACCTACTAAGTCCACAAGATCTTATAAATTCATTACTACCGGTACCTACCCATGACACATACCTATAATTCTACCTGTCTTGGTATTATTCTGTTGATGCGAGATCAATCACGACGAGTGAGTTTCGATTTTTTTTTAAACATTCATGCCGGTATTTCCGAGGGAAGATATCATAGCGGCGAGGTCTTTGCGTTGAAGTAAGGGAAGATCGGATTCGAATAGATGAGGCACTCTGTCATGGATGCCCGAGGACGCATGCTTAATACGATGGCTATCAATGTAATTGAAACGCGCGAATAGATAAACTAGCCTACCCTCTAGCGGAATGGTTTTTTTATGTCTATGTGAAGTAGTCTGTCCACTTGTATACTAGGTACCTAGGTATGTAGGCGCAAACAATGCCGCAAAACCCCCCTTTTACTGCGGCAACATCAGATGTAACGTGATTCTGATCATTGCAAGTTGAATCCCGTACATCCCGTTCAACCTAATCCAAGGTAACACCATCTACATGACGTAGTAAACCTTTCAACATCACTAACAGAATACTTTGGATGATACTTTCATTGTATTCAGCGTTCATTCATAAGATAAGACGATATATACTTACTTTGTAACTCAATATAACTCTTTTCGTGTCCAGGCGGATTAGAGGATCGTGGTACCATGCTCATTTCCGTATCACGTAACCAGGCACTATTGAGTCAGATCACCTATGTCAGATACCTATTGTCGACTACCTCGGTATCTTATAGTGACAATCTCAGATAGGTGGTGAGTTCGTTTTTACATGGGGCTTACTTCTACTGCGATAATCTGCTAAACGTCTTGGGAACCCTGAATCGATTACCGCAATTCCATCCCCTTGGGTACCAATTGAGATTGTAGAACCGCCAATCCGAGGATAGAGGTCTTAGCACGAGTCGAAGTACGAGCTGTATACGCGTAAAATGCTCCTAGATTCCGCTACAATTGTTTGAAATATATTAAATTGCTACCATACACCGGAATTGCATGCGGCTTTACCGAATCCCCGGGGAGACGTGATGACATTAACGTAAAATAATCGAACCACGGTGATAAATACTTACTATCTTGAAAGGCTGAAAGTTGCGCTTGCGTCTTCATTTTATTACTTTTAAGAAATAACATGTCTAGTCTCCTCTAGTTGTGCTCTTTCATAGTCATTGCTATACGTTATCTATTTTTTTATTTGGCTAAATATGTCAATAAGTCAATCTCAGTTTAGTTCGCATAGTTTAAACATTCCCAGACAAAGGGTGAATTCGCGGACAGAACATCAACCCAGCTCAAATCATGTTCCAGTGTGTAATGAGACGAACAGCCATATAGGCCAATGCTACGTTCCAAATTGCCTTGCGCATGTGGAGACTACGTCGAGCAAGCATAATGGAACGACGACTTCAACAAATATGAGCCCAGCACCATTGACACTTCCATCAAACAAAGCAACGAACCAAATAAAATCAACGTCGCAACATCTACCTATCAAAGTCTACTCAGAATATCTGTTCCCATTACCACCAACAAATCTACCATACTCAGAAAGCCATGCATCGAGGCCTCGGTCACCGTTTCCACCTCCTTATTCTTCTTTAATACCTCCCACGTCCCCATCTCCTTCGAATGGCCCCACAAATAATATCCATCATAACTTTATAAAACGATCCGTCCATGTTGTCAGACGTATCCAACCTTCACCGGATATCCAACAGATCTCACAATGCAAGCCTCTACCTAATAAACCATCAGTAGATATCAACAAGATCCAACAAGGAGACAATAAAACTTGGAAGCAGTCAATATTCAGGTTGACACCAGCACCAACCGGAGTTTCAATCGGAGATATCAAGGATCCATGTACAACTATCCATGATGTCAATGTAACATATCGCCATGAGCTACCGCCACGACTCGCGACCTCTCCTAAACAAGTTTCCCCGGATCTCGTCAGGGAAGAAAGACAAGAAGAAAATGAAGCGAAGGAGAAGAAGGATTCAAACATAGAACATAGGGAAAAGCCAAACAAAACCAGAAATAAAAGCGACACGTCCCGAAATGGTTCTGGATCTATGGAAGAAGTTTGTGAAAACAGGCGTACTCTTACGTCTGAAGAAACGTTATGGCTTCATCGGAACTACAGAGGGGAGGCAACATTTTTGAAAGCTTGGGGGTTGCATATCACGAGAAGTACAGATCGAGAGCGCGGTCTTGAGATTATGAGAGAGCTGATGGCTGCTGAATCTCCAAAGGGGAAAATTGAGTGGCAAATAATGGGACAAGCAGGGAAACGACATGAAGAAATTGGGAGGATGAAAATTACGACGCCGAGAGACAGCGAGGGCCTCAAGGCAATCGAAGAGGAAATAAATATATACTAATTCTACCAGCCACTTAACGAACATATTTGTGTTGCAGTTTACAGATGATAATCTGAAAGTTTCGGATAACTTATTATTAAATCTTACATATTAGGTACATAAGTAATCATAATGCGCATTTAAGGTTTAAAGAAACGCGTAATTAGCAAAATTAAAGCTGTGACCGGTAAAATTTATAAGGGTGGTCTTATAAAAATTTCAGTACTTTTTCCACCTATATAAAGTGGGTATAAAACGAAGGTATTTTTTTTAAGGTTTACTTTATACGTTAAATTTAATTAAATTAAAGATTTATTATTAAAATTTAATAAAATTTTTTTTATTTTAATGTTCGAATAATTTATTATTATATAAATAATTAAACGAAACGATATAATGTTTTTTTAAGTTTTTTTAAACGAATAATTTACTTATTTTTAAACGTTTAATTTATTATTAAACGACGAAAATTTTAACGATAATATTTTAATTTTTTTTAAATCTTTAATTAAATTTAAATTTAAAATACGAGTTAAATTTATTAAAAAAAAAATAATTATTATATAAAATATTTAACCGTTTTTATTAATAAAAAATTATTTAATATAAATCGTAAAATTATTTAAAAACTTATATAATTTCGTTTTTTTAATGAAATAAAAAAAATTTTATTTAATAAATTTTAAATTATTAAAATTATAAAAATAAAACGTAAAACCGAAAAAAAAAATGAATCGAATATTAATTTTTAATTAACGATTATATAAATAACGATAACGTAAATAAAAAAAGTTATTTTATTATATTAAATTAATAATAAAAAAAGTTTTTAATAAAATATTTTAATAATAAATAAATTAAAATATTATTATTTAATAATAAAAAAATTTATATATAAACTTTTTTTAACGATAAATTTATTAAAAATTATATAAAAAAAATAAAAAAAAAAATAATTTTATTTTTAATAATTAAATGAATTTAATCGACGATAAAATTACTTTTAATTAATTAATTAATTAACGTTTTTATTTAATTAACCCGGATATTTTTAATTATTTTATTAATAAACGTAAACGTAAATACGATTTAAACGTAATTAATAATAAAATATTAAAAATTATTATTTTTATTTTTAAAAAAAAAGAAATTTTATTATATAAAATAATTATTAATTATAATATATAAAAGTTAAAAAAGTTTAATATAACGAAATTCGAAAAAATATTTAAAAAAAGTTTTAAATTTATAAACCGTAAACTTAAATTTTTTAATTAAAAAAAAACGTTCGATTATTTCGATAAAAACTTAAACGACGAAATAAATAACGAAAATTTCGTTTTAATTTATAAAATATTATAATAATTACGTTTTATAATATCGTTTAATTTATTTAAAAAAAATAATAAACGAAAATATTTTAAATAAATAATAATTAAAATTATTAAAAATAATAATATTATATAATTATTTAATTATTTAATTATTTAATTACTTAATTATAATATTTAATTATTAATTTAAAAGATTTATTATATAATAATTATATAATTTTTATTATTTTTAAACGATATTTTTTCGTAAAATTATAAATAATATAATTTTAACGTTTTAATTAATTAATTAACGTTATATTTTAAAATATTTTTTATTTTTTTAAATGAAATTATTATATATTATATTATTACATTTATCGAATTTAATAAAATTATATAAATTATAAATAACGTATAAAAATTTAACTTAACTTTAAATATTATATTTAAATACGAACGATTTAATAATTTTAAATTTTTATTTAAATATATTAAAAATTTATTTAACGATTATTCGTAAACGAAAATAATGTAAATTATATAACTTCGAAAGTTTTATAAAAACGTTATTACCGGCTTTTTATTTTTAAAAATAATATTTAATTTTTACGAAAAAAATTATAATATTAATTCGTAAATTAAAGTTATTATTTATTAAATAAAAACGGGTTCGTAAAATTTCGAAATGTTTTTTTATAATAAAATTTAAAAGTTTATTATTATATATAATATTTTCGATATTTATTATTACGTAATTAAAGGTTTTATCGAATCGTATAACGGCGAAAATATTTTAAAATATAAATTTTTTTCGATATTTTTATTATTTTTATAATTTAATAAATATAAAAACGTGGATATAAATACCATTTATTATTTTAATATATTCGTTAAATTTTTCGAATTTAAAATTTAATTTAATAAATAACAATAAATAATTATTAAAAAGAAATTATATAAATAATTTAAATAATTATATTATTATTAAAAAGATTAATTTTATCGATAAATAAATAATATTTTATAATATTTTAAAAAAAATAACCGTATTTCGTTAAGTTTTATTTAAAACGATAATATATAAAAAAAATAATAATTTTTAAAAAAATGTAACTTATTTATTATATTTTAAATTATATTTTATTTTTAATTACGTTAAAAATTTCGTAAATAATAGTTTAATTATTTTAAAAAAATTTTCGAATTAACGATTAAATTTATTTAATAATTTTTATGCGATTTTACGTGTTATTTTAAATCCTTTTAAATTAATAATCGTTTTTTTAAATAATAATAAAAAATTTTTTTTTTTATTATTAATTTCGAAATTAACGTAACGTAATATTTTTAAAGTTAATATTATTACATAATTAAATAATAATTAATTTTTATAACGTTTTTTTTATTTTTTTAAATTTATTAAAAAGTAAAATATTCGAATTATCGTAAAATTTATTTATAAAAACCGAAATTATATTAAAAAAAAACTTTCGCGTTAAAATTTTTATAAAAATCCGGTTTATAACTTTTTAAAAAAAATTTTTAACCCGATTAAAAAAAATCGACTTTTTATTTAACGCGGTATATAATAAATAAAAATTTATAATTAATAAATATAATTTATTTTTAAAAACATTATTTAAAAAAATATAACGTAGTTTTAACGTAATAAAAATATTAAAAAAATATTTTATAAACCCGGTTTTTATTATAAAACTTTTTTTATAAATTTTACCGGTTAAAATTTAAGTAACGAATAAATTTCTTAATAATTTAAAATAACGTTTTACGGTAATATTTTATTAATTTTAAAAAAAATTAAAATTTTATTTAATTAAAAAAATAAAATATATTAATATAAAATAACGCATTAAATTTTTTCGTTTATTATATTATTATTTAAAATTAAATTATAAAGTTAAATTTATTAACCCGTTAATTATATAATATAATATAATAAAATTACGTATAATTTAAAAAATATTTTACACGATATTTCGAATTTTATAATAAATATTAACGTTATAAAACGTTAAAAACTTTATAACTTATAAATTTTATAACGTTTTAATTTTTTATAATTTATAATTAATTTTTTAAATATGTAAAAAACTTTAAAATTAACGTTAAAGTTTTTTAAAATTATTATTAATATTTTAACCGTTTTAAAACGAATTAAATTAATTAATTTATTTAATTTAATTAATTAATTCGATTTAATTAAATACGTAATAAATAAATAAATAAATATATACGCGTAATTATTTAAAACGAAAAATGTTACGTAATATACGTTAAATTTTATTAAATAATATTTATATAAAAAAATTATACGTTATAATTTTTATAAATTATAAAGTTTTTAACGTTTTATAACGTTATAATTTTTATAAAATTTAAAACATCGTATAAAATATATATAAAATTATACGTTATTATATTATATTATATTATATATATTTTAATATATTAATTAAATTAACGAATTAGCGAATTTATTTTTATAATTTACCGTTTCATTATTATTATTTTATTAAAATTTTAAAAAATTATTTTATAAAATAAATTTCGATTATATTTATAACCCGTGTTATTTTAAATTATAAATACGTTAAATTTAATTTTATTTATAAAATTATATTTATTATATTTTTAATTAATTAACGCGAATTTTTATATTAATTAACTTTTTTTATATTTATAATTTCGTATTTATTAAGTAATTTATTTAAAAATTTATTTAAAATTATTTATAATATTATCGATTTATTAAAGTTATAAATAATTTTAAATAAATTTTTTAATAATTCGATTAATTTAATGTAATTAATAATTTAATTAATAATTTAATTAATAATTTAATTAATAATTTAATTAATAATTTAATTAATAATTTAATTTAATAAAAACGCATTATAATATAAAAAACTTTAATAATTAAATGCGTTATATTTTAATAATTATTAATTACTTATAAATTATTTATAATTATAAAGTATAATATTATTAAAGCTTTTTATAAATTTTACCTTTTTTAAAGCGTTATACGTTATAAACTGATAATTTAATTAAAATAATCACTTCTAGAGGTGCTTATGAAATTTTAATAAGCATAAGTTTTTTCGACGAATCTGATTGATTGAAAATAAAGTACTATGGGACGCTCCACCAGCAAAATTACAGTGGGGATAAGTCTACTGATACCCCCAAACGTCAGGATTAGATTACTGGCTGAGACCCGCTTTAATCCCATAAGTCTTCAAAGGATTATGCTCCAAAACACCCTCTAAGTTTCGAAATAAGCTCACCAGACATAATGAGGCAGTGCAACCTGGGGTGTAAAATCTTTGGGTGACCCCTCAAGCCACACCACGTCGAGCGGGGTACATACAGGAGTGACCTAGTCCTACCATTTACACAATTACAGCATTACCAATCATCACCCCTTTCAAGTTTGCAAGGCAGTGTCTTTTTTTTCTCCCTCTAATATTTATGGCCTCGGTACGATTCGCGACGCCGGTCATCGATTCCGATTCATCGGATACTGACGAATATTTTGATACTGTAGCTGAGTACAAAGAACCAAACGGAGAAATATCTTCAGGGGCTTTGGATATTATATATGATGTAACTTGGCATTATGAAAATGGCTCAGGAAGGTATGAGTGTGAAGAGGATCCATGCCCAGCTACGGAAATTTACAAACCTCCTCCAAAGAAGCCGCGATGTGTTATCAGCGTTTCAATCACAGCAAATGGTGTGTCTAGTAAAGGTGGTGGTGGTAATACAATCATCCACAGGGCACCACCACCACCACCCATTATGGGATCAATACCTATAAAATACCGATCCAACAGATATAGGCCTACACAGACACCGCCCAATCCTTTTCTCAGCGGACATCGATCCGGTCTGCCGCTAAGATATCCAGATGACGACTTCAAAACAACTTCGATCAATGTCACCGGACTTAATATACACTCCCCTCACCTTGTAAAGGCAATGCGGGATCTTATTAAATATTACCCTTTTCAACTGTTGCAAGGGGATGTCATCTATGTCTCAAAGCCGTATGCAGTGCTCTTGCATTACTATCATGACTTGAAGAATCTCAGAGAAACTCACACAAACAACGGTATAAAACATCCGATAAAGGACGAGATTATCCATGATCTCACCGTTCTCGTCGACTGGCTAGAGCCGCACTACGTTAATACTATTCAACCGGAGGAAGAAAGACATCGGAGAGGGGTAACTACTTGGGAACGTCTTTGGATTCTTTACAAACCAGGCAGTATTTGTTACAGCAGCGTCAAGGGAGAATGGCGTGCTTTTATAGTCCGTAACACATCAAATCCTTTGGTCTTCGTCGATTTTTCGGTCACCGCTTGGTATGTATCATATGATGGGGGACGATTTGTTCGTAGGAACAAAACTTTTACACTCGGTTACTTCGGTGGTGAACGAAAGATTACGTCTCTCGATCTTGTTCCTAGGAAATTTATCGATAGCGCAGACGAAAGACACGCATTATTGGCATCACGAGGTCAACGTTACCATGATATTATGCGGGTCATCCCTCACCATTTGAGATATTCCGGTGATGGAATTGGCCGAACTGGATTCAAACAAGTAAGCCAATCTTGCTCACAGATGTGTCTAACTTATTGACCTTCATGAAAGAAATATGACGGTGAAATCATAGTCGATCCTGAATCATGGAAGACTGAAATTTCAAAGTCCAACACACGCCCCCAGAAAAAAAAGAGATCCGGTGCTGACTCTGACGAGTCTTCCGGGAATGAATCCATGTTAAGCGACGACCCAGCCAGTGATATCGATCAAGATTTAGATGCCCGCGATATCAGAAAACCAGAGATTTCAAACAGTGATGCATACGATTCAATCGCTGATTGGAAACGGTTGGAAATATCCCAGACGAAAGATCCCAACTCTGCAGAATTGAGTGCACACCAAAAATCTCTTCTCCCAACGCATTTGAGGGGGTTCGCCCTAAGGCATAAGTTGTGGAGTAAGTATAATTATCCCTTTTAGAAGTCCCCCATAAGGAAAAGAAGTTGTATTAATTCCAGAAGTGATATTTGATCTCGAAAGTGCTCACGAGATCGACCGAAAAAAGAAAGACGATGCTTTGAAAAACTTGATAATTCCCGATGAAGATCGTCGGGTCCTCACAGCTGTCACGCGAAAGCACATCAATTCAAAAGCAAGTCCATTATTCTCCGACTTCATTCATGGAAAGGGGGAGGGCCTGATACTGCTCTTGCACGGTAAGCTAAGTCTATTCATCACCCCAATTCACACTCCTAACACTTTCAGGTCCACCAGGTACAGGAAAGACATTTACTGTTGGTAAGTCAACCTCAATTTTTATAGTAAATATCTTCTAACTTTACTAGAATGCATCTCTGAATATACTTGTCGCCCTCTATTATCTTTGACGGTTGGCGATATTGGGACAAAGGAAGAACAGATGGAATCACGCCTTTCAGATTGGTTCAACCTAGCAACTAGATGGGAAGCTGTCTTGCTCATCGATGAAGCTGATGTCTTCTTGGAGAAAAGGGGGCTGTCTGATCTAGCGCGGAATAGTTTGGTATCAGGTGAGCTTTTTCATGCTCTAAATTTTAGTCTCGTTTCAATGCTAATACTAATTGATATTCAGTATTTCTTCGATGCATGGAATACTATAATGGAATGCTCTTTTTAGTGAGTCTAGCTCAATTCCCCATTGGTTATCAATTCTCATATCTTATAGACAACAAACCGTGTTGGGCATCTTGATGATGGGTTCTTGTCTAGAATACAAGTTGCTATCACGTATAAGAAGCTTAGTACCGAGTCCCAGCGGAAGATATGGTTGCGGTTTTTCAGTAAGATCAACGAAGATAAAAAGGGGGACTTGTCGGTATCGTGGGAGGCTCGGCATTATATCGAAGAAGAAGGAACTGTAGAGTCAATGGATATGAACGGCCGTGAGATTCGCAATGGTAAGTTATCCTTTCATATCTGTAAGTGGATATCGAATAGTCTTGCTAAATAGCAGCCACAGCATTACAAACTGCTGTGGCCCTTGCGAATGATCGCGCAGCTTTCAAAGATAAAGAATCGGTAGAAGTGGCAGTAGATGATATCAAGCAAGTCGCATCAAGAAGGCAGAGATTCGCAGAATATATCAACAGCATCAGAATGGCGTCGGAACATGAACGAGCTCTAGAAAAGGGTGATCGGAATGATCTATGAACGGATGAGCCCGAGTGAGACCAAGGGAGAAAATAACTTCCAACCCTTTTCAGTTGGCACAACTCAAGAAGTTGATTTCTTTCTTACGATTTCATAAAGATTAATATACCCTCAATATGGTCTGGCTACCTGATAATAACACGCTCCTTCAAGCCTATTGTAATGAATACTTATCGCTGTCTATAACCAAGCAGCTCCTTTGCGAATAATGACGATCGGAGACCCTCTCTGTCAACGCGAGAATGTGATGCTTCACACCGATTAGCTATCTTCACCTCACTAATCAAGAGTTTCGTTTGTCCCGGGGTGATTAACAACGTCTTAACTGGCCTTCCCTCGGTACCGAGACCATTTTGTGGCTCTTGCAAAAGTTTTAAGAGAGCCCGCAGACCACTTTCGGCATGCGGGTCTTTTCCTCGATCTATCATCTGTAACCCTTCAATTATAACCATCAATGGTTGGTCACCGATTTGAATGAGATCCTGTATGAGATTTATGGAAATTTCAATAGATTCGCGGCTGCCGTCCAGCTTCCTGAAACGTTCGATGTTAAAATCCGCCGGACTTTGAAATTCAGATGGAAGATTTTGTAATATTTGCTGGATTAACGAGAACAGCATTTGGTTGAGGATAACGCAACTGGCACCATCATTCCCCAAATCAATTCCGCGACTGTACTGCCAAGCCGCGGTTGGTATATTGGCTTTCCGAGCCAGGTCCAAGATCCCTTTGCTTGTTGAAGATTGGCTACTGGGTTTGGCTTGCTCTTGAATCCAGAGAAGTTCTGAGTTTGGGTTACTCCACCATTTTTTCAACCGAATAAGGACTTGGCTGTTCATGGAGGTATCTGTAAGCAAGACGTTTGAGTCCGACAATGACTGCGCCTGAGAAAAAGTGTAGTTCATCTCCGATCCCAATGACCGTAATTCTGCTGCGTGGTAGTGTTTCTTCTCGCCGATATGCGACATCGTAGTTGGCCTAGTGTTCTGCAACGAGATCATATCCTGTTGTCCCTTTCTTCCAACGTCCTCTGCGTCTCGTGGTATCGCATAAGAGCTATGGTCGTGGTCTACATCAAATCGGGGTTAGAATTTGCTTGTGGGGGAATGTTGGCAGATATAGAAAATTTACCAACATTCTTGGGTCACTGCAGCCCACTCTTCCAGGAACGCTTTCGTGCAAGAAGCAGCAGTTATAGCAGCATAATATTGCCATGTCTTATTCTTGTGACTATCTGCGTAGTCACAAACCCCCTTAATCACAATGCAAGGCAAGTTGTCCCAAACTCCGGCACCTTCCATCTCAAAGCCGATGACACGATATTTCTTTGCAATTTCATCGCGATCTTCCCCAGATTTCATCACCTTATCACCCGATGCGACTGTACCAATGTGAATTACTAGCTGGGGGTCTGTCGCGGAAAGCCGTTTACGGTATACCAGATTTCCCTCACATCCAAGATCTCGGCAAGAGGACTCCAATGCCGTTCCACAGATGGGGTCTGTTTTAGATTCGCATCTGTCACAAATTTCGCACTGGTCTTTGTCAAGTTTGCGATAGTGTTTATGGCGGTAGGTTGACTCAAACAATATGTCTTGGTTAGCACCTGGATACCGAAATTCCCCACCGAGTTTTCTTTGAAGGATCTCAAGGTGTTGAGAGGTCTCTCTCCCAAGTTTTTGCAGGTGTCGAGGAATTTCTAGCTTAGAGAGCAGGGCTCGTATCTCTTTATTCGGTCGCCCAAGGCTGTCTTTGATAGAATCCTTCAACTCGAAACCATCGGGGTACTGTCTGTTGGAATATCGGGTGGCTGAAATCAGGTGGCTGGAGACTTACGCCCCATACCTATGGCATATATGTATTATCTACGTACCACTACTTACCCTAAGGAGTTCTTCCTTCTAATCTAACGAACATTACTCTCATAACCTGCGTCTATTTCAACACTGTCTACCAAAGTCGTGTTGGATAATTGCGTCGCTGATGATAACATCTCCAAGAAGGATTTCCCTATGGGGGCTGCAAGGGACCCCTCCACAGATACCAACGACGAGCGCGATTTCGATTCCTATGAAACTAGATCGCAAACTTGCGGCTGCACTGGAAGCCATACTTTTCCCCATCCCGGGCATATGTGCTAGGACTACATTATGTTTACCTATCCTACCAGTAGTATAGGCATTCATATCTCTGGCCTGCTTACCAAACCCCTCATATTCCTCATCAAATATAGCATCGACGGCTTGAGCTTCTAGAGGAAGAGCACATATAATCGATATTTTGAAATCGCCGCGATCCCTTGGTCGCATGATGATAGGTGCGCGTGGGACTAACAAGGCTGACGTCCTTCACGCCGCAGATCTGATTCAGTTATGTACCTGAAGCCAATAGAAACCCCACGGAATAATGCTCTTCGAGATGATGCGGGGAAAAGATCCAATGCGATGCGAATTAATATTGACAGAACTGATTACGGTCCTCCATTTGAAGAAGCTAGGTGTCAGTGTCGGGTATCAGACCGGAGATAGATGCCACATTTTTAGCGACAGCTGCCTGTGGCCTTTGTTGAAATAAACGCAGGTTATGGCTCCTTGGAGCACATATGCCATAGGTATGGGGCGTAAGTCTCTGGCCACCCAATAATATTCCAACACCAGCTGGATTCTATTCGTGCGACACCTCGGACGTAAGCAAGTCCGACGCGTCACAATCTTGACGCACTGGGCATTTCTCGCTATTTTTTATTTTTAAGAAAAAAAAGCGACAGATTACTGATAAACAACAAATAGGAGTCAATTGTTACGATGAAATAACATTCTCACCTCAAAATACCAACTGCAGGAAGTGTACGACGACGAAGAATCATGAAATGTGCCGAAGGGATCCCAATATTTACAACGATCCCGTGGGCGTAACTTATCCATTTATTTGATATCTCAGTCTCGTAATACTAAAGTCGCGCAGGAATTTTGACGTCAGAGGCGCTTTGAGAGTTCGATCCAGCATCTTCCACCTTCTGGAGCGCTGCATATACGATCTTGGCAATGGCCCAGACTTTTTCCTCTTCGAATTTCCTGGCTACTATCTGCACACCTACCGGGCCTCCGTGATACGTTTCCGGGTCGTCTAAGATACAATCAATATTCTGACTCTACAATAGGTATATAACGGAAGGATTCACGGTCGAAACTACTGATGCGACTTACAGGCTTTCCAATTCTTCTCGTCCTTTTTATTCAGAGGCCGATAATCATCGTTAACCGGATCTTGGACCTTGTCGACTTTCGTGACGGGAATCACGGCTACGCTGTAGTTCAGCAAATTGAGTGCTTCGGTGTAGTCTAACTCATGTCAGCATAAATACAAGAAAGTCGACTGTCGCATGCGTCTACACGAACCGATATGATAGAGTTTTCCGGGAATGTTTGCCGCATGGGGCGCAACAGGCATTATCACCGCGTCGACGATTTGGCCTAAGGGAGCATTGAGTATGCAGTATCGCCGCTCGTAGACCTTATTGACTCACCGTCATCTTTCGCGGTAGAATTCCAGTATTCCGAATATTGCGCTTCGAAGTCGAGCCCCTGGCTAGCGAGATCTTGGAATTTCAGCAGGTCCATTGGTGGTCGAAGGTTCATGCCGCGGTTGTCGAGAGCGGGAATCAGAGGCTCTCCGGACAGCTTCAGATCTCTGTGGACATGTCCAGCTCCGTCTGCCCTTATAATAGAAAGCTAGGCCGCGAACATGTCAGCCATGAGGTAAAAGAGAGCGTGCTAGGGGTTCAGTATGAAGGTAAGTATTGCATGAACGAAATGAAGATTCTTACGTGAATTTTCGTTGCTTTCTCGTGTGAAGGTGGCACCCAGTCGATGACCTAGTTACTTCTCAGTTCAGATATCATCAACGTACCTAGTAGAGACCAACGAGCATACCTTATGCCCGGCCTTTTCGACGGCATCTACGACCATATGCAGACTACGAGTAACCGGGGGATGAGGATGCACGACTCCATCAGTCCATAGGATACCTAGCTTCAACGGCCTCTGACCTTGTTTAGCTGTGCCATCGGCATTCGTTCTCTGGAGGTATTCATCGACAACGTCTTGGCGAAAGGGAATAGGAACGACAGTAGGATCCTGAAGCCAGGGCTGCGTTGACAGGATGGACTTCAGCATCAGTCCTATGCCGTCGATTGATGTGCTTAGAAACCCGACTGCCATCGGATAGGTGGTTTGTCCAGCATTGCTAGTCGCGACATCTCGACATGAGAACCTCTCGGGTGTTGGCTTGATGCCGAAGACTCCGTTATACGCGGCGGGAATTCGCACGGATCCTCCTATATCAGCACCGACGCCTAGTGTACTACCTCTCAGGGCTAGCAACGCACCCTCGCCCCCAGACGAACCGCCACAGGTAAGATTCTGATTATGTGGATTGAGGGTCTCGCCGATTATATGATTCTGGGTCTCTGTATAGAAGAGCGTCTGCGGAACACTTGTTTTGCAATAGAGAACGGCACCCAGCGACCGCAATTCAGCAGTAATCTGACTCTCCACTTGGTGAGCTCGGCTGGGGTCCTTGACACCCAAGTTGCTTCCGATATAACCCACATACCCAGCTGTAGTATCAAGCCCCTTTACATGAAATTGATCCTTCAAGCTCACTGGTAGACCATGGAGCGGACCAATCGTCGCCCCGTGTTTCTTGTAGTGCTCATCAAGTTCTTTAGCACGTTCCAATGCTTCGTCAAAGAATATTTCATGCAAGCAATTTCCCTATGTAGATATAACTCAGCATTCGGCTAGACAAGCAAATGAAAATAAGACACGGTAGGTATTTTCACGGCTTGCATATGAAACACTACCAATCAAGAGACGAGCTTACAATCTGATGTGCAACCGCAGCAGCTTTGCAGAACGCAGTGGCTACCTGGAGACTAGTAAGGCTCCCTTGTTTGATAGCATTGACGATAGGCAGGCTATCCATCGATACGATTGATATATCCCCATGGTCGAGAAATTGTTGGATGAACGGTCCAGTAAGATCCCGTTGTGTCGAAGCTCTCTCGATGTCTCCCGGGCTTAGCCTCCATTGTGGATAGATCTTAGCAAGAGTATTGGCCCTTTTAGCTGCCGCTTTTGCCTTCCAGGACTCAGTATCAGAACCCATTATTTCGGTGCGTAAGATTTCGAGATGTCGGTATTGCCGAGAACCCGGAATGCGGAGGTGAAGAAGACATGGTTTTTTCTTAAACCCGACGGTCGTTGTCTAACGTCTTTCAGCCAGAAGTGCTACCCACTATGTACCTTCTACCCCTCGTTATGGGATTTTGATTCTAAACGAAAAAAAAACAGTATTTCTCCAATTAATTTAGCAAGTGCATTTTACTTTCTATGTAAATATTGGGAAACAATATCCCATGTGTCGTGTTGTTCAGGGGCTGGCTGGGAACCATACCGCATTTGACGGTACAGTGGACCCGCATACTATCAGGATTATCTGGATTCTATCTGCCATGCACCTACAATACCTAATGTCAGAACAGGTCTTCTTTTTCTTAATGCATGCGTAAAATATCACAGAACCCCATGATGAAAAAGATTTATCAACTAGGTCTCCCAGCCTTGCTAAGATCAACTCCGAGACATTCCCGGCCTGCAGAATTCGGAGCCAGGGTTCTGAGCTTCGGCACGCCGGCATCGTTTCGTGCCAGAGCCTTGCCACTGCTCACACAGTCAACAAGAATTATTACCAACACCCGGTTGCGTTCTTATTCCTGCAAGTCCGACTTACCTACTTCTAGCAAGACGAAGACGCGCGTATGCGGATCTAATCCTCCGTCGCCTTCGTCGATCTCGTTTTGGTCATCATCCTCGACATGGCGACGAGCTTCCATCAACACCGTCCGATGTCTAATCGGCTGCACCAGTGGCGATTTTTCCGCCATGTGGTTTCTTCAAATTTACTTGCCCGAGCTAGGGGCAGGGACGATTATGGGCGTTGCGAGTAAGTACGTCATTCGAACAGCCCCCAAAGGGCTCCGCAGGACGTGCATGCTGACCCCCCTTATTAAGTGGCTTGCGGTCTCACGACGTCGATGGCCCTTGAGACGATTCTGCTCCGTCTCGGCCGCGACGGGCTGTCTTGGCCATCCGCAGCGAAAACCGCAGCAGGGATGAGTTTAATTTCCATGCTCACCATGGAGGCAGCACAGAACGTGGTCGACTACCACCTGACTGGCGGGGCCGTCGCGTTCGATTCTCCAGCTTTCTGGTCTGCAGCGGTGATCGCCATGTCGGCTGGCTTCTTGGCACCTCTCCCGTACAACTATTTGCGCCTCAGGAAGTATGGCAAAGCCTGTCATTGAATCTAAGGTTCGGTCCGTCGGGATACAGTGGAGGGCGGGCTGTGTTGGTAATTGCCCAATAACGTTGTTGCCCTATAGGTGGACGACACGCACGGAGGGGAAAATAGATAAGGTAAATACGACTGGACACCTTCGATACACATTTTTATTCACGTTGCACAAATAAATGTCTGCCATGTTGACGTTTAAATAGGATATGTGTCAGCATGCCCTGCTCGTGGGGGCTCAACGTTGAGATAGCCTCACAAGTAACGTCATATCAAAGATGCAAGACATAACAGCAAAGCATAATCTCTGTATTAAGAGTTAAAATGAATGTTATGTAGCATTGTAAACCTTTCCGAGGACGGCCTGTCCGTATGCATTGATTAAGAACATTGAAGGCCAGTAGTTATAAGTATCTCTGTACTATTGTAGATGGACACGTTGGAAGCCGGACATGCAAGATTTGAAGGCTGCTAGGTAGTAAACAGCAAGGAAGCAGCTCGGATAATGATATATAGGTAGCTTCAGTGAGCCGACAACAGCCATTGTTAATAGACCTCCACGGAAGTGAGTGTTTCAATGGTAACCTATTGGCAACGTGTGTCTTTGCTATAGGCCGTAGTCAACTTCTTCCATTCCCCCGACTTGTCCATATGAAGAACGATATGCGATTGAGCATAATAGAATGAGATAAAGATATAATACAGGACAGTGACTCATGACCCGTACGAATGACCGTTCATCGATCTCAGGGACTGTTTTGAATGGAGAGGGGTAACGAATGGCTAAGGGTCTAGACTGAGGCTCATTGGTAGGGTTCGCGTTGACGTCAAGCAGGCTCTGCAATTTTTTCAATTCAAGGTATGAGCCATTGGTCAATCACACGTAGTAGCCCATAGCCGAGGGAAAATACGAACATTAGATCTGGGGAAAGCTTTGCCGCAATTGACTCACATATCTAGTGTCTAATACTGGTCGACTCGTCGTGCGTCTTGCATTGCCGTCTCACTCCTATGAGGATTGGCTGTAGATCAAAACATTAACCGTAAAGAGCGAATAAACCACAATGATGATTTTTGTACCACATGATGTTGTACATTCAGGACAGTGTTAAGCTGTTTTAAGCAACTGTCATGTGTTCAATCTTGGTTTGAGGTTAAGAGGAATTGGTTTAGGGGTAAAAACTGATCATTCGGAACCTTGGAAGTCGATCCCTGTCTAGAGTTACTGAGAAAGTAGGCAGGTATGAATTAACTTACGATAATTCATAGGTAGTTGAATGTCAAATAAGGCCTCCTAAGGTTGCCTAGTTGTCTGCCTTGAATGACGCCACCACGCTATACCTCCCCCTTCGGAGATCAGTCCGCACGCGCGAGATAGATTGTGAGATTACCTACCTACCTTACATACAGGTATGCGTTGTCAATCGCCGATTCTACATCGTTTTCTGATATCCCACGATCTCACCGCTATTATGGATGTATGTCGTGATACTCTACATGCTATATGCACAGAGATAGCCAAGTGTTAAGCCACACGGCCTGACAGCTTGTTCGAGTAACCCTTATTGTACTTATTCGGAGGTGGCGACAGTTTAAAAGATCGGAGCTGCGCATTACGCTAAATGGCTTGCAGTGAACTGTGCAGGATCACCATCCCGCGACGAAAGTCTTCTCTGCTGCGTTATTAGTTAGTACTAGGTAGTAGGTAGTAGGTAGAATGTTGGGGGCCGAACTTAGCAGGGAAATTATTGCACTTTCCTAGACCAGTCTGGGTCGAGGTGGCGTCTGCAAGTGGGAATCGTACATGTAAACATTATGTCTAGATTGCTGCGCGCTCATTCGTGATACTGGCTACACGATCAAGCCATCTCATAAGACTCGAAATTGATTGTTCTATCAATCATTACGTAGGCATTTTAAGAGCCGCCAACGGTGATGAAGAAGTCGGACTCGGCCCGCTCATGTCTCATCCCATAGCAATCCTAGCCGATAAACCGGTGCGGGCATTTGCGGAGACTGTACGGAATAGGCAAGATGTATCTTATGTTCTTCATGTTGGTTGGCCACATGTATGCGACCTACGTATACTCAGCCACGCTCAGCCTCATCAATTAAACGCGAGGAGTGGGTGTTTCGATTTTTAATCTTTAAGGACTCCCTGAAGCTTCTGAGAGGCCGAAGGGAGAAATCTGCCTAGTCTGCTAGTGTAGGGCTGAATCTTGGAACTCACGATTTTTTTTTTTCTGTTCAAGGGTTCAATGTCGGTTTTGACCCATGCGGGAAAGGTTCCGTCTTTCCCACCCAAATCATGATGTTGTCATCATAAACTTGTCGTGAAGAAGATAAGTAGATCGATTTTTGCACTTTTAGCTACAGCCGGTTGCCTCTCGGGTTTGATTAGGGCCACGAATCCTTCGCCGATTCCTCCAGTGTTTTTGTGGATTATTAATTGTTACAGATGGGCGTGGAGGCCCGTAGGTCGTGTGGCCGTTGACTGTGGCACAGATGCCGTCAGCACTTTCAATTCTAACCATCAAAGTTGCTCTTGTATCTTGTATCGTGTAGTGAGGTTTCAAATCTCTAACGTGGAAATGCTGACGCAGCGCGAATCTAATGATAGTGATACGAGTGATCTGGCGCGTCATCCACACTCGCTATTTGGCTCCTTAGCCCTTGTGCAGCTACCAGCAAATCCGAAGAGCCGAGATGGTTTCGCACAACTACATATGTACGATGTATGTATGTCTAAACTATTGTAGTATTTATTTTCGGTGAGTTGAGATCGATGAAAGTGTGTTGAAAGTGTTGAACGCGTACGTATGATAGTCGTGCGCATCGGCATCATGTACATATTAATAGATTGGGTGTGCGGTAAATCTCTCAAATGTCCGGAAGCGAGGATTGGGCATCGACAAGCGATACGGAGATGAAAATCCTTCATCATGCAACCGAGGTCTTCGAGCTGAGCTGAGCTGTGAATTTCCCTTTGTCACCCGAAGGTAGGTAGATAAATGTGTACTACTTACCATTTACCAACAATTGTCAATTACCGATTACTAACTTGATTTTTTTTTTAAAAAAAATTCTACCAAGTATTTAGTTACCTAGTACTAGCTTTCTATTACTTCTCGTTGCCTAAGGTTGCCTGGGATTTGTTACTCATTCAATGAAAAGACCTACAGCTCTAGCACGAAATACCTAACCTAGAATAGATCAGATCAGTAACACGTGATGGGAGTGCCTTGACCGGTTTGTCATAGAAGGAGAGGGGTTGATCTTGTGGTCTGAGTGACTGTTTTTACACTTTCTCATCAACCACTATTCTCTTTGCATCGAAATGGACAGCTATTGCTTAACCGTGTAACTCATTCTTTACACGAACGCACGTGCTGATGGGAAACGGCAAAGTTCTAGATCTCTTGTAAACAGGTACCTCATATTATCTACTTACCTAGCCTAGGTAGTAGGTACTAAAGTGGCAGAACTTCTAAATCGGCCGTGTGACATTGCTCTCTCATCGCCGTAAAGATCGGTACAAGGATCTATGCTGCCATCGTGGATATCTCTATCCACTACATTTTCTTGCCACGATCCGACAAGCTACCCTAGGCCTTGGGGTCTTGCATCAGCGTGCGGGAAGGCTATGTTTCCTCCACATTGTTACTGATACTGGTTGCATAGACATTCACCCGTATCCCCGAAGGGGATACTGCGCTTTGATTAGCAAAATGGGCAAGAATTGCAATTTAGCCCGAGGTACTTCCGACGTAGTAGGGTTTGCATATAAGTTTCTTGTACTCCCTTTTAAATACGTACTCTGTATAGTTACATATATTACTAGCTTTATTTTAATAAGCCTAAAGATGTAACTAAAGCCTAAGGCTTTATGCAAATATAACCTATCGGGTAATGTTCGGATCGTCTTGCAATTCTTGCCCATTTTGCTAATCAAAGCGCAGTATCCCCTTCGGGGATACGGGTGAATGTCTATGCAACCAGTATCAGTACACTAAACCATCAAAATCACCAAATCACGTCGAGGACGATGAGTTGCCGCAATTGATCTAAGCAACGAGATGCACCATAGCGGGTGCAAACCTCTGCAAGTCATAGCTGTTCGCATTGGTAACAGGTACCCACCAACCAACCCTCCTCGTTCTCCCAGTATCGCACACATTGCATTACATTACGTGGAATGAGCAGAGAGGAAGTGAGACAAGACTTTTTGACTACTGTAAATGTCCCAATGTTCTTTTCCGGTATCTACCTATGTACCTCCTTACGTCGTCCTGGCAGCCCTGGCCGTCCTGGTCGTCCTGTTAGAATCACTCCCCCCATCCTCCGTCTCATCTCGCGCCAGGTCTTCTAGATTTTTCTACATCGTCATTCTATTTGCTTAATTTAACCAGTTGGTACTGAGATCTAGCGTACCGGCGACAATTTCTTAGCTTCTCAGCCTTATAGAAGGACAAGCGCTAAGAGATCGCGCATCGCCGGCCTGCTGGGTTGCCTCTACCCACGTTGCCGTTTCGAGTCCAGCACGATGAAGTCTAGCGAGTGGCTGAGATGGGCAATCCAAAGCTACCACTACATAGGTACATATGTACCTGCCTACATATGGATATGCTAAAGGGTGTGAAGCTATCCTCTTAGCTACTTGGTACACACACTCAGCCATATGTCAGCTAGGTACCCTCCCATAAGGACCTACAGTAGTGTACATGGGTGCATTCACCTACACCCCAGTACGGTCACCCGTCTTTCTTAGCCAAGCTCCGCCTCTAGGCTGTGAGCATTATTGGCTCCGTTGGGAAACAGACCATTCCTTTCTAGTTGTTCTACCGACGGGAGAAATGATTCATCGGCCCTGGGTGCGCACCGCGCAGGCACCCTGGACATCCTGGACACCAAGGATACCAAGGACGAACATGGGTAAAGGGAGGGCCGCTGTGTGAACCCCTGCTCGAATTCTTATTAGGTACACCAGGTACACCACAAGAGGGAAAAAAACTACAAAAAGTCCTTGACAGATCACCTTTCGATACTCCGTACTTATAAGGCACCGACCCTGCATCCCATCCACCATTCCTCTTAGTCTCACCTTTACATATCTTCACAACCAGACTCATTCTATCTTCTGTTCCGAATTACATTATAGTTCGGACTTTACAAATGCTTTACTAGGCAACAGTTCCCTTCGCAAAGCATACAAATCCCTCGACTTCCCACCTCACCTCAACAAATACTACTCAGATGTCCTCATGTCTCTAGAGCCAGAAGCTGAACTCACAATACATTCTATCGTCTCTGACACTGCCGACTGACCACACCGCCGTGGACTATTCCCCAAGGATCACCATTAACAACACTATTCGTAACCATAGACATATACGTGAACAATCTTCTACCGAAATCCTCTTGGCTCAAGCCACCGCGCCGCCCGGATCGCATTATACCAGCAATCCCCAGAGGCACCGGCCTAGACCTCAAGTTATCCAACCTAATCCACCGCGCATTAGCCGCACTACTACGTTACCATCCGACACGATGTGCCACAAGAACATATTCACCTACGTCTACCCGGACGGACACAAGGGAAAACACATTAAGCATGACCTATGCGACAATTCGCGATCAGGCCAACCGTGCAAGCATACGAAGACCTTCGAGCACCCGATCGAATACGTCCGTCCCGCGCAATTGAGCCCTCAGGCATTGACACATGGACAATTCCCGCCGACACCGCCACTATCTTCTCACTCGGCGTCTGCGTCTGACTCGGAACACTCTTCCAAGGAGCGATCGGGTGTCTACATCAATGGCGAAAAAGTAATCGACCTCAACAGACGCCAGTCGCGTCGCGACAAGGGCGACCGCACTGTCTACGTCGATGGCTCGTCACTATCGCGCACTCCACCCCGTCGATACAGCGTGTCGCGCAGCAGCCCGTCTTCCAGCCCGCGCGAAGAGGCGACCTACTTGCGCGAATCCCGCCGACGCGAGAGGACCCCAGAATCGCGTGAGCGCTCTACTTCCTCGCACTACCGAGGACCAATCATCGAAGTCAAGGTAGTAAACGAGAAGCAACGCGACCGGGACCACAGCACCCACCGTCGACATGGATCTTCCACTAAATCCAGCTCTCAGTCTGGCGACGACGAAGAGCGCCGCCGACGCCGCCGAGACAGCCACGTTCGCTTCGAGGATGACCACAAGGGCGAGGACAAGAAAAAGAAGATTCAATCCGCGATCGAGCGCCAGAATGCGGATATCGCCAACCGCCCTGCCGTTCCATCCCAGTCTGCTTCCAACGGTCGATATCGCCGAGGCTCAGTAGTCGTCGACCGAGCCAATACCGAGCTAGTGACTGCTATGGAGCAACTTGAACTCGAGCGCGAGAAATCTCGCCGGGAGAAGCGAACGGCAGAGCTACTCGCACGCGATGCAGAGGAGGCGCAAAAGCAGCGACTGAAGAATCGCCTGGCACCAACGCGACAGACTCCTGTCGTTCAAAGCCAAACACGGCCTCGACCGAAGCTACTCTACGAGGATCCATACTACCAGGACTGATTCCGGACAAGCACACACCGAGAAAACCCACAAAAAATGTTACAATTTTGCATGTAAAGGATAAGACAACGGCGTTGGATCAATGATACCTGGGCACTACGATTATTACATGATTTGATGTATTTTTTCCTTGTTTATAGACGGACGGCAATGCCCATTTTCATGTATTATTGATAAGCCTGTATGTATTTGATATCACTCGTACCGAACTGGCACACGCCTTGGTCTTGAGGGATTTTGGGGGATCGCAAATGCGCAATATCAAGAAAACAGTATTGGAAGAGAAAAATTTTTGTCTTAACATATTCCCCGGTCAATATTTGTTCTAATACCCCAGTTAAAATACGATGTTTGTTATTTTACCTTTTATATGTAGCTACTTGTATGTAGATAGAAACATTAGACACATTAGAGATATTACACTCAGGTACACACACACCATAGATCATAGCTGTAGCTAGCTAGGTACATAGCTCATCCATGGAAATGACCCAATGAATTATCAGCAATGCATAATAAAATTCACCTAGTCGGCATGAAGGTGTTGTTGTCGTTTTCTTGTGCGACAAACAAATCGATGGTATTTGCCAATGACTCACTAACAACCCCCTGGTCAGGTACCTAAGTACCCCCACCAAATTGAGAAGAGAAAAAAAAAGATCAATTAAAAAAGACGAAGACGAAAAAGAAAAAGACAAAAAAGACAAAAAAGAACGGCCCCGCCAAAACGCGGTCAAATCGCGGGGCACGTCCCCCCCTATTCCCCTATCCAGAATTAACCCCAGTCTTCTTTCGACCCAACTCCAATTAAATTTATTACTCACACACCGATTGCTGCCTGATTGGCCCCTCCTTGTCTTTTCTTCCCATAAGTTTTTACACTTTCCATTCGCATCTCGTCCCATTTCGTCCATTCAATCCATTCAGTTCATTCACAATTAATTTACCTGCGCCAGCCTGCCTACTTTTTTTCTCTTGTCTTTCCAACATCACTTTACATATCATTCCAAAGTTTGCAAAGGCAAGTAACATGGCATCCATCCAACGATCCGTACCCGTCCGTTCCGTAGATCTTCTCACCTTCGACCGGGTTTAGTACTATGTTTAGTACTATGAACACTATGAACACCCTTTCATTTTCTGCCTTTATTCAATCTCCGTGCTCTCCGTGCCAGCGCACTCCCGTCAATTTGTCACTCAATTTGAAATTCTCCCGTCCCTTACTATGATGTCCATCTAAAAATCCAATACGCGTCTCTTTCGTCTATTGGTCCGTCCCTCGCCTCCCTACATTGGACTAGATTAGGCAGATCTAGGACTCTTGCAGACGGGAGACCCATCTCCCATCGTGGGAGACTAGTAATTAAATCTTGTTTCGTACTACGGACTCATATATGTTATGTACGGCGTGCATGACAAGCGTGGGGCTTTACATGTCTCTACCACGCTTCTGGTGGATACATACGAACCGATCGTGCGCGAGCTGCCCTACCCGGTCAAGTGGCTACAGCCAGGCAGATTGGCAGATTGGTAGCCTAGGAAGGCAGACAGAACACCTGATAATCACTGCGTCGCATTCCGCTCGTCGATCCGGTCGCTGTGGTTGGTCTATGTCTTCGTCAGGTCTAGACCAGTGCTGTCATATTGTAGGACTTGGACTAGACTATCAGACTATGTTCATCAAACATCGTCAACGTCCCCAGGCAGCACGCGGTGGCAAAAAGATCAGTAGAACGATCTTCATGTCCCTCCAGTCGGATAGGTTACCTATGAGGTATTTGGGTAGCCATCACATCTCGGTTCAGAAGACCCTTCTTGCTTTCATGTATTTACCCACGTTCCAGGCAGTCCAGGCAAACACTCAGCTCCATCTATTCAGTCATATGTAGCTAGCAGTAGTCCTGTCTTTTCTACATTGTACTATACTAGTATACACATCTGCATATGTACAGTCATAATGGCCCGCGGCATTCCAGCCGGTTGGCTGCATGTCTCATCCCACCACTAGATAGCTTGACAACCTCAGGAATTCGATACCAATGATGCCATGGGGATTATCGATATCATGATTGCCGTCCACCCTCACCTATGAGCGGAATAAGCTACCGACCTCTTCGCATAGCACCGTCTCACCCAGGCATCCAGGACACCCAAGACACCCAACCCACGCCAGAAAAGAGGGAGGACTCCCTCGAGTCCCGTGGCTTGATATTCCCACACACACACGCACACAGGCCCTCGTAGAGTGGGGATGGACGATAGAGTGGCTCATTTTTCGGCGTGGAAGCGAATCAACCGTCCACCCCGCCGGTCGCGGCTCGGCATCCGGGCAGTGACGCATGGCTCGATGCAGCACACCTAGGGTATACGACCCTTGCGCTCCCGCCCACAGGTCTACCATATACACACACTTCGCGGGCAGAGGCAGCGGAAAATCTCGTCCACGCGATCAGACGAGCACCCGGTCTCCATGCGGGGATGTGTGGAGACGAGCTTTCGCGAGCTTTCTACAGTCCATGACAATAGTAAAATTACGTGTGGTCGCCCTAAGACATGCAGACCCGGCCGAGTCACGCCGTACGCTTTCCACCCATGTTACATGCCACACCGAAGATCTGTCAATCTGCCGCTACGCGAACTGCTATTGGCCACGCTGGCGAAAAGTGGAAGGACATAGAATGAAGCTGATGAATGCGTCTATAGCGTCACGCCATACGAACGTTCGATTAGGCAGCCCTGGTCTGGATCCATCGGCTGTTGAGTCGACGATGAGGACGATTGTTTCGCGCGATGTCATCGAGCATATTGTATTCTTGTTTCCTCTGAAACCACGCTGGGGTAAAAGGGGCTAGTCCTATTGGCTCTTTGTCGTTCTGGTAAGTTCATGACTATCGAAAAATTTTATTGATCTTGTGGTCGCATTATTTCCATGAGACTCATTTAAGCTACTTACTTAGTATCTACTTCGTAGACATACTTGGGTAGTTGTGAAGCTATACGCATGCTTGTATTGTCTAACAGGACACCTCTATAGGACTCCTGTTTAGTACACCCTCTCCTTGGTAAGTACTACACTTTACAGTACCAGTTGGGACGTCCATCATTATAAGTGGGGAATATATCTCACTACTCGGCATGTAATCGCATGCATTAGCATCGTGAAGATTCCTTAAAGACATCAGTAACGTTTGATGTTACACCGATCTTTACCAACCTGGAAGGTATGCGATGTCGTTACAGCATCACCACCTTGACTTAGCAGCTTAGATAAATTAAACGTAAGGACCTTATCGACAACCCGAATCTATGAGAAGACATGGGTTTATTTTCATCTTCGTTCGGTAACCAATCATCTCTTTTGTCTCTGGCGCGCTTCGCCCCTCGACGCCAAGATCCGAGAATGTGAAGTTAACAGAGGAACCTCAGCCGCACGTAGAGCGATAAGTCTTTTTCAGCTGCTCTAGGTTGATTAATACACGAGAGTTGCTCTTCAGAGTTTGCCCAAAAGAACTAACCTCCAACTGATATCTCTACGTGATATTGACTAGGATGCGATATCAGCACCACCACCACATAGGAGGCCTAGCAAACACTTGTTTTCGGGAGGCTAACATAGCTTCTGCAAATCTCTGTAGCATTCACAGTTTGCTATAGGGTGATCTAGTGCGAATGCTAATCCGCGAGTGTATTCGCGCGTCTTCACATCATAGCTCCGATAGCACTTCAGAGGTGTGGTGTGATGGTATACACCAAAGTAACTCGCTGGATACTTAGGAGGTACTTAGCTTAAGTCTTGGAATTTACGAGGGCCTGACTCAGCACGGATGACGCCGAGGCGACTTACTCAGTCAATGGTTTGGAGGGAAGTCCAGCGGGATCAGTGATCAGAAGCCCCCTGATAGGAGTTGGCATTTACTTCAAAAGACTCGGAACTGTTTGAAGATACCAGGAAGTCGCGTGTGAACGCTCTAAAATGGTTGTAGTTGCATCGAAATGTCTACTACGTCCATGGACATCCGCACTAGTACCTGAAGTTCGGAAACGGGTTTCCGCTCGGCGATATCTCCTTCGGAATAAGACGACATCCATATATGCAGCGGATGCCCCTTTCTCGGCATAGTCTTGGCCATTGGACGGAATATCATTTACTATCGTCAAGGATACTGGAGAAAATATTTCACGACCAGGTTCACACTTAATGGTTTTCAATACTTGAGAACTGCACAACGAACAACCTTATCGCGCCACGGAATAAGCTTACTGCGTTTGTTGGTGATGCTAGAGCAGGGACGAGGATCTCAGCTTCAGCTGACTGTGGGGAAGATACCTCATCAAGGAGCTGAGTTGGTCTTCCTCACAGGAAGAGATCAAAACTGACGGAACGCCATGAATACATTTAAAGAAACAAGTTTCTACGCATTGTCTGCAGATCCAACGACTATCGGGTACCCAGGTAATCGCGGACTCCTCGCGACGGACCCTCCAGGCATATTCCGCTATCTTATAGCTAACGGAGGGTTCGGATCACTCGGGACCCGACGAGTTCTGTTGAAAAGGGCCTTTGGAAAAACATTGCGTGTGAAACCGGACCTCCAGGTAGGGTAAACTTCACGATAATCCTACGAGTGGCGTATACCTAGCTGATAAGTATCTCCAGAGGAACCGATGCAAGAGGTTAGGCCTCATGTATGTCCTAAGAAAAGATTGGATCGACGTGGCATATCCCGGTGGGAATCGATCTAGAAGACCACGGCATACATATTAGAACGCTGCGTTTTGATGTGCCGGATAAGTTGATCTCTTGTCCAGGGAGGTACCGGTATTAATATGTTGGGAGCCGTGACTTGATCCTTCGAAAGCCCCAATCCTGCGAAGGAAGTAGAGCCAGAATTCAATTAAAATGGCGTCGAATACTCCAATTGTCTCGCGGTGAAGGAAGTTCTAATAATTTACGGTATCGATCGCAGTGGCGTTAGGAGTCCAGATAAAATGCTGCTAGTATAATACGTCGCAATTCATCTTGGAAGCTGTTCCCACCAGTACCGGAGTATTTATTCCAGCGATCAAGGGAAGCTAAGTCAGCTCTAGCCGGTCCGGGATGAGAGAAGGAACCGAACCTATGGGTCGAATCAAGGCACGAAGCTAACATTAGACAAGATCCTGCATGTTTCAAGGAACGACTTGGGGGCTGATCGCAAAGGATGATTATGGTGTGTGGGTTAGAATAGCCTACCTAGCAACCACTCAAGCTCTACCATTCAGCCCAAGTTGCAGGATTCACATATTACTCGGTGCACAACCCCATAGAAAACTCGGTGATTAATAATACACACTTCTCTTAATTGAAGATACTTGATGGTCGAAGTAACCTGGGCAAAATGTATATACATTTTAACGCGGTGTATTGATATCAAGCCACCTCAATGGAGGTGAGTTGCATCCACTCCTCATTCCTCAGATACCCTCCAGATAAGTTTCTCTCCGCTCACCCCTTTCCGAATTAAATCTAACGCTTTCGTAGCCCTCTCTAGCAAGTTACCTCCTTCTACTACGCGGAAGCGATTTGGTGTTACGTAGCCCGCTTCCAGGAGCGCGGGTATGATCTCCAGCTGCAGCTTTTCCTTGAAGAGTTCATTCTAGTATCGGATTAGCTCATGGCAATCGCCGTAAAGTTCAAAGGGATGCGAACGTACCTTCCAGTAGAAATGAGTCCGGACTCCACGCACATTCACCCCTTCAGCCCACTGGGCACTAGTACTCGCATCCATTGAGTATTCAGGGGCTTCGTCGTCGGTGGCATGCTTCAGAATAACGGGTAACATGACCGCGATAGTCGCGCCGTTTTGAGCGATTTTGGAAAGCGCTTCGATTGAACCGGCCTGCGAGCCAATGCAATCGACGATGAGCGGGAAGGCTGGCGCATCCCCTTGTTGGTAGGTCTTCAATAAGTCGTCAACTACGGTCGGACTCCTGTAGTCAAAGACTTCTTCGACGCCCTTCGACTTCAAGTACTCGTGGTGTTGTGGCGATGCTGTCGCGATTACATGACGGTATCCGTAGAATTTCAAGACTGCGATGGTGAGTTGTCCCACTGAAGACGAGGCGCCCCAGATCAGAATCTTGTCGTCGGCCCGAGGCGGCACGTAGCCTTCGGGCTTTGGCCATGGGGTCGGTAGTCCCAGGTCAGCTGAGATTGTGTTGAATGCGGTGACGGTATTCTCGGGAAGCGTTACTGCTTGTTCCAGCGAGAACCCATCAGGGACCTGCCAAGTGGTTAGTCGTCCTGTAATAAGAATTTACATAACCCCTTTTGAGAGTGCTCAGCACCTACCTTCCCAAAGACCCATTCAGGGGCCGTCGCGTACTCCTGATGAGCCTTCCACTCCGGCTGCTGATGCGCAAAGCCGAATACTCTATCGCCGACCTTCAGTTTCTTCACGTCGGGTCCGACTTCAACGACAATGCCGGCTGAGGTTGACCCCGTTCTCTGAGGGGGTTCAATTAAGAGGCCACCGTCTGCTTGGTGAAGATCGAGGGGCGTAGACGCCGTCCATTTCACATGAATGAGGATTTCGTCTGCTACTGGTGAAATAGTGGGGTAACGATGGATCTCATAGGGGGCTCGAGGCGCAACTATCACGAGCGCATCGTGCGTTCGTGTTGCCATGGTGAATGAGTGTTTTCAACAATGGCGAAAGGGAAATGCGATAACTGAGTCTGCATTCTAGGTAATTGTAGCTTGTGTTTAATGAAAAAAAACGTTTCTTCGTAGTCGAAGCCTATTCCACTTAATAAACACATGATGAAATGCTGACAAATTCAATGGATTTATAAGCTGCCTACCTCTACCTCTTACCTATCTAGTATGTCGTTGGGTCCAACAAGGTTCCAAAGATGGCGTAATTAGAGTTAGTAAGAGGAAATGCCATAGAAGAGCTCATAGGTAGAATGAAGTCATATCGGCTAAATTACACGCAATGTGTCAAAATACCAAAGGGTGCAGCTAACTGCATACCCACTTAAGAAAGGTAGGTAGGTAGGTAGTCGCTCAGACATCATCACCCGCCCAGATGTCGTCCGCCTCATCTATCATGGACCAAAGATCTCGTGGGCTTAGGCCCATTGATAATTTAGTGTAAAGTTCGCATAACAAGGAATCGATCGATACTTTGAAATGGCCCCGGTACCCTTTCGACTCGTCCGCTCCCGTTACGTCGACAACGGTGAAGTAGGCTGCATTATTTCCATTCGTGCCGTCACTGAGGACAGAATCTACCACCGTAGCGTCGCCTAGAAGCAGAATAGCCATATCCAAGCCCGCAGCAACGCCGCCCATACTTTTAGCAATGTGGAAGTGCCTGAGTTCGGCTTAGTACGAGCAAATTGAGTCACCCCTATTACATGATCACTTACCTTCTCGCCTCCTCCACACTCACATCTTCGAGCCGCGAGTCCTCGATCAATTTAAACTCCAGCGTCTCCTTGACTTTTTCGAGGCCATTTCCAGTTTCACTATTGAGCTGTTCGTCACACATCGCATCGAATTTCTCTTGGAACTGTTTCCAGCGACTTTCGGAGCCGTAGTAAGTTCGGACTATGACGAATCCCCACGGCGGAAACCCTGCTCGTGCGAGGGTCTCAACTAGAGGTGATGGAACCACATCTGCCTGCTGAGGAGTGGCCTGTGTCCTGTGGTTCGCCTCATTTCGGGATGTCATGAATCGCGTAAGATCCTGTCAATTCGAGTCCATGAGTAAAGGTGAGCCATAGGCCGAGTCTCGCATTTGTACCTCTCACTGACCTCTTTCGAGAGTTGCGATAGTAGCTCAAAGCCAGGACAGATAGCCTGTTCTGTCGTCCAACCAGCGGGAATGAAATCAGGTGGGCTGGTTGGCAATTGATTACGCTTTCGGGTCCTTCGTACATCGTCCGCTGTCTGTCCAGCGGCCCAGAGATGATGTTCCTATTTCGCCAATAGCCATGTTCAGCCCACAGTTTCTTAGAGAATTTGAAAACCTTAAAACGCACTTCTTCAGATAGCTTCGAAAGCAGATCAAAATTAATCACTTTTGCTTGTTCAACAGTCCAACCAGACGGGATGTATGTTGGTGGCGTGAGAGGTCGCTCATTAGCTTTCACCAGAGCCGTTTTAAGTCCTGAGAACTTTGTGTACTCCGAAGAGAAGGGGAATTTACGAATAGCGGCCCAGAGGAGTTGGCGTTCCTTATCACTAAGTCAGTGACACAAGACAGGTGTAGTCAGCTTGGTGCAATGGTGCTAATCGAACTTCTTCTGGGATCTGACTGAAATCCTCGAGAGTGAGTGCCTGGACTCTGCCACTACTCCACCCCGCGGGGAAGGCGATGCGCGCCCACGCTGGGCGCTCGTCAGCTTGTGTCTCAAGCATTTGCCGCTCTGCGTTCGAAGCGAAGGGTTAGAATGAGTGGTAAGAATCCGTGTAATAGGATATGATGATAGCTTCGAAATATGACTATGGAAGTTAGATTAGATCGGGGGTCCGCTTATCATTGTGGTAGATGTTTTCTAAACCCCGCACCCTCCCCGCCCCCTTTTCTTATGAGAACGCGCTACCATAGTGGTCGGCGGGACGCGGAGATAGGTACAATAAATCGTTGTAGTAGCCGTTAGCCTGTAAATTAGTACGGTAGCGCATGAACGTTGTAGTTGTGTTTCTGGCGAAAGGAAGGGTGGATCGCAACCGCTCTTCTTTACCGTAGGTAATGGGCATTGGATTCCCCTTTTCTATTTGCACTGGCATATACAATGAAGTATAGAAGTTGTTTATAAATGTAACGAGGTTACAGTATCCCTCAGGCCATACGCGGTATTAGAGGGCTAGCTCCAGATTATTTCTAGGGGACAGTTGATGGCCTGGAGTATGATGCTTCCGGGCGCCACACTGCAAGATAAGTCGATGTCGGCAAGCCTAAGACTGGCGGTTATAGTGCATCCAAAGCCTAGCGTAACCTCTAATCGTAGGAGTCAATGCAAGAATTTGTATTAACCGCCTGTTACAAGAACTTTCTCCGAACTACGGACAATAACGGCATTGGAGATGCCAATACTTCTTGATATGGCGTTCATACCTACTAGGTACCTAGGTAGGTAGGTAGATACAGACTTTCTTGGATGATAAAGTGAACGGGGTTCCATAAGGCATGATTTCAATAAACTGAGTCAAATATCTGATGTAACGTCATGCTTTTGAGCTGGAATATCATGTCTGGCGCTGAGAATAGTTGGTACTCGTCGTAACTGCGCCCTTCAACTAGTTTGATAGCAAATCACCCATATATGCTGGGCCAATAAAATTCCACAAAAATAAAAACACTTTATCGTAGGTAATTCTTCTCGGTACGAATAGTATCATACCTAAGTACATACCTACCTGGTTTGAATGTTGAAAGTATCTATTGACATAATATGGTGACTAGAAGTTATGAATCTATAAAGGTTTACGTAGTACTTACGAGGTATCTTATGAGATTCAACTTCTCAGAAGATGATAGTTTATCATATGGCTTAGATTGTAAGTTTTCAGCTATCAATTATTCATAAACTGCAGGTTATAGTACAAATACATTGCAGGTACCTAGGAAGCATTTTACATGCAGAAGAAAAGCAGTCTCGCCGACATTCAGCCTTCAGCCACCATACATAAGTACCTCCTACCTATTTCGGAAGTAGTTCATCCAGCGGTGAGGATTTCTTTTTGAAGCAATATGTATTATACAGTTATAGCTGTTTCTAGACAAGATATGGTCAATGATTGAAAGATATGGTGGCTGGCGGAAATCCGCCATGATGCTTATTAGAAGGTAAGTAGGTAATCATGGGTAGACGATAAAACGTGTGAAGCTCGGTTTCGTTATTTTATCATGTGCTGGCGTATGTATCTGAGTAAGAAAACTGAGGAAGGAAATAGGAATATTGCCAATAATATTAATCATATATGCCGATCATACCTAACTGGATGGATTCTCTGTAATAATACGTAAAACGAGATTTGAAGTGATCGACAAGTAAGCCTCCTCAGTTACTCAGCAGCTTTCACTGATCTCCGCGCCATTCAATCAATAGAATATCAGGTCGTGTTAAATGCATAAGAGAAGAATATCAAAGTAGAATCACGTAACTCTGAAGACATCTTCGGCGGATAGTACCGCATAAGCAGTCGAGCAGCGACGCGATTGATTGAGTATACAACGATGTTTTACCTGCCAATAATGGTGCGCGAGGGAAAAGCATTTCGGTGGGATACATCATATTTTTCGCAATTGATCGATCGATTGATTAATCCTGAAAAGCCTTACCTTTAATACCAGGCGCTCGAAGATTATCAGCCCTACTTGAGCGCTGTGAATATCAGGAACATTGTCAGATTCTAATCGGAAATTAGGATATCATCCCCTTGATTTACCCAAAAGAGGCAGGTCTGCTTCTATTTTGGGAACCACGATGTGGATATAGTATTAAGTGGCAGCAGCCAAGCAGCCGCCAAATCAATAGCTTCCTTAGACTGGGATGCAAGTAACGTAGCGAGCTCCTCTTGACGTTGATGCGACTTGCCTGACTGGTCAATTCTTTGCGAGATACTCTTGAGCTAGTTAGGCGATTGAGTAGGCTATGATATGGCCTATTTTCGTCTCGTCGCCATTAATAAACCATTATTAATACTTTATAGTGTCGAGATCCTCCGCAATATAATATCTGTAGAATGACTTCAGCTGACAATACTCCCATATAACCCGACTTGCTAGATGCGCTTATTACGGAGGAAGTTGTAAGGGGGATATCATAGAAAGATGGTTGTAAGTTCCAATGCAATGGTTAAAGTAGGAGAGATGATGCAGTAAGAGCCACTACCGAGATGATATTTCGGCTTCAACTGCCGTAATCTTCTGCACTAACTACCTAGCTTCTAGTGATTTAGGTTTACTTCTAATGTCATATGGCTGAAACACTAAGAAACCTGCCAGGAAATTGAAATAGTCAGATTGCATAACCGTAGCGACTCACGATGTTGCTGGCGTCATCGTAGCTAGCTGTCCTTGCAAGCATGAAGCCGAGCTCGTAAGCTAATTAGAAAATGCTACCAGCCTCAGTTTTGATACTACCTTGCATACCTAAGTATATATAGCATCGCGAGCCCTGCGCTGTAAGGCTAATATTCTATCCAAACCTTCGGATCTCGCGAAAGGCTCATATTTTGACGAACATTCGACATTCGATATGGTTAAATTTGGGCTTCTTGCTGTCGCCCTGTTGGGGAGAGCTTCATGCTCGGCAATTCCTAAAGGCAATGACGATGGCGACAATCTCGCGAAACGGGCTTCTACTTACTGGTACGCCAACATGGACCATACCGGTTCGGCCCGCGGATATGCTCCGGACTTGGGGACCGATACATACCCGGTGTACATGGCAGTCAAAGCTGGCGATGGCGCTGGGATACAGAATGCCATTAATGACGCGGGTAATGGCCAAAAGCGAAATGGCGAGTGGTTGGCATCTCAACCGAGAGTATGAGTCGCACAACCAAAGTTATCTCATCGATCCCCAGCTAAGATCTAAATAGGTCGTGTATATACCGCCTGGAACATACGAAGTCAGCCAGACAATTCAAATGAATACCGATACTATCCTGATGGGTGATGCTACGGATGTTAGTATACCCAGCTATTACCTTAACTGTGTATGCTAATGCCATCGATAGCCACCCACCATCAAAGCAGCTGCCGGTTTCTCAGGCGATCGACTTCTCTCTGGTAAGTTTCCTATGTGCCGAACGCCATATCACAGCTCCTAATTATGCAATATAGGACAGGACCCAGCGACAGGAGAGCAAGGAGAGCTTTCCTTTGCCGTTGGAGTGAAGAATTTAATTCTCGACACCACTAGCATCCCAGGAGGTAAGATAACACGATGCTATAGCCTATGCGTAGGCCACACTCCCTAACCGGCAATAGGCAACGCATTCACAGCACTATGGTGGGGTGTCGCCCAAGCCGCTCAGCTACAGAACGTCAAGATTGTTATGGCGCCGTCCAGTAACGGTCAAGGACACTCGGGTATCCAGCTTGGAAGAGGTTCTACTCTCGGCCTCTCCGATGTTCGTGTCGAGCATGGACAGGTAAGCCTTTAAGCCCTGCATATTTCTTTTTTGCGCAACGACGGCGGTGCTAATTCGAAGAAAGAACGGTATCTGGCACAATGGACACCAGCAAGCCCTCTATAAGGGTATCTACTTCTTCCAAAATACCATTGGTATGCTGATCAATGGGGGAAACACCATCGGCATCATCGGCTCGACTTTTGACACCGTTGGTACTGCTGTTCGACACGACGGCGGATCTCCATGGATCGCGCTTATTGATGCGACATCAAAGAACTCAGGTGTAACATTCGCAACATCAGGTAAGTAAATGTATCGTCAATGACTGCAAGGGATCCAGCCGGACCGACTTGTACGACCAACACGACCCCAGAAATACCCGTTCGTTTGTTCGTTCGTTCATTGTCGGTCGATCTCTTGGCGGCTTGGGGTGACTGATGTGCGCGGCACGGCTAACTCTGTGATAGGGTATCCATCATTCATAATTGAGAACTTGACCAAGGACACCAATACGGATGTCGCCCAGGTTCCGGGCAAAACAGCTCTAGGCGCGCAGACTCACGTGGACACGTTCACCTACGGTAATACCGTAGGAAACAACCCCGTTTACGCTGCGATAACCTCGCCGTTGAACCGGCCCGCTGCCTTAGCGCCGGACGGCAAGTATCCCGTCAATGCTGCGCCCAACTATGCGAAGAACCCCGTTTCGGACTTCATCAACATCAAGGACTCGTCTCAAAACGGCGGCCACACTGTCCTGGGCGACAACACTAAGGACGAATCTGGAGTGCTCAACCAGGTATTAGAATATGCTGCGAGCAACAATAAGATCGCGTATTTCCCATTTGGCAAGTATAGGGTCGACGATACTCTCGTGATCCCGAAGGGTTCGCGCATTGTCGGAGAAGGATGGGCGACTATCACTGGTAACGGCGACAAGTTCAAGGATGCCAAGAACCCGAAGCCGGTCGTATCTATCGGTAAGGAGGGCGATGTCGGTGTCGCTCAGATTCAAGATATGCGGTTCACGGTTTCCGACGTGCTCCCTGGTGCCATTATAATGCAATTTAACATTGCGGGCTCGGCGCCGGGCGACGTTGCATTGTGGAACTCCTTAGTCACCGTTGGTGGCACGCTTGGAGCCTCGGCGCTCGGAAACGCTTGCGGAGATGCTAGCAACGAGTGTCAGGCTGCTTTTATCGGCATCCATCTCACAGCTAGCTCGTCAGTTTATATCGAGAACGTCTGGAACTGGGTTGCCGATCACTTTACGGAGGGTAGCGGCGGCTGCAACATTGCCGCCAAAGGTGGCGTTCTGGTCGAATCCACCAAAGGAACGTGGCTTCACGCATTGGGCAGCGAGCATTGGTGGTTGTATCAGCTAAACTTGCGAAATGCGGATAATGTTATGGTTAGCATGCTCCAGTCGGAGACAAACTACGACCAAGGTGACAGCACGCAACAGACCGTCCCGGCCCCTTGGACAGCTGATGTGACGAACTGGGGAGACCCGGATTTCGCATGGTGTGGAGGTGGGGATAATCGGTGCCGAATGGGATACGCCAACTTCATCCAAGGCGGCTCGAACATCTACACTTACGCGTCTGCATCTTGGGCGTTTTTTAAGGGTCCAGGCAACCAGAAATGTTCGGGAGATTGTCAAGGTAAGTTTGAAAAGAAGAAGATAAAAAATAAGAAACCCCTAAAGAAAATCTCGAGTTCCTAGATCAGCTGCTTACCTCTATTCTGACAGGTACCATGCATTGGATTTCTAAAACACCCGAGAATCTCAAGGCGTATGGCCTATGCTCGAAGAGCACTACCACCACACTCCACCTTGGGGACGGAACTAATATCAACACCCAACCAGATTTCACCGGGTCCTGGGGAGGGTTGGTGGGTCGCTACACGCCGTAAGGGCATGGTTCCAACTCCATTCCAACTCCACGTGCATTTGTTATGACGACATTGCTGTACTAGTATGCATTCCTTCGTGGGTAGTGGATAATAGTTAGTCGCCTAGTACAGAGTAATAGAATATACACATCTCGCGATAAGCATGTGATTGGATTGAATTTATATTTACCTGACGATGTGTAACGCTCCATGATGTTTTTATATTCTGTGTTATGAGCCTTCAATGACACCGTATGGATTCTGTTACGCGTCAGCACATGTACCCGAGTTAGGGCATCCCGCCGGAATGGTTGAAGTATGTGTCGTGTAACTTGGTATACCTTTCTCCGCGTAAATAAGGAGTTGGAATGAAATACCCCGTGGAGAAGTTCCAATTTTCTTTAATATTAATAAAGTGTACCCTCAAATTTTTGAGACCAAACACTAGTTCATTATAAGTATAGTTGACACCTAGTGCCGGTAGAAAATTCTGTTTGCTTGATTTTTTTTTACTCTTTCTAGGATTTGAAGGATTTGAACTTCTGAACTATAACCGAAAATTTTCTGCAAATCTGTTATCCCTAGCAACGAGAAAAAAAGTGCAAACGAGTCTGCCAGGTGCTGTGATGCACGATGACCAACATAACTAGCCTTACATAGCTGTACATGTGATGTACACGTTTCAATGCAAGGTTCCAAGGTTAATATCGGCCGAGACACGAGGTATCAAGACATCCACGAGCTCTACAGCTTAAGATGATACATAATAGTTCAGCCTCATCGAAATACAAACTCCGGACTACCTAATCTACACCGGTTTCGTATTCTGGTGGCTTGAAAAAAGAAACAATTAAAAAAAAACCTCAGGGTTTGTTGAGATTGGCCGTTGGAAGCCCACGATCCTTCTCTTACTCTGCTTACCACCAATTCGAAATTTTCTCAGCACTCACGAATTCTTCATTGGTTCTTGACCGGTCATCGTGTTGCGTGTGTGATTGCGAAATCGCCCCCGACCAGGACTCGAGATTAGCTCTCGTCAGTTCTCATGTGATATGTGATAGGCATTGAATTAGTTTGTTACAGTTGAAAATCTTTCTGGCTGTGCATTTTCCAACGAGGTAAGACCTTGGAATATCTCACCGAACTCTGGCCGTGCAATTGGGTCTTTAAATGATGATAGTGGGTCTCGGAAGGGGGGAGTGGAAATAAACCTCCACTAAATGACCCATTTTTGAGCCCCACGATATGCCGTTCAGCGGGGCAACGGGGTCAGCGGCTCGAGGCGAGCTGTCTGGCTGGGAGTTGAAGGAAGGAAGCTCTTGGGGGTGGTTTGGGTGGTTTGGGGGTTTGTGCCCCGGCCCCGTTAGGGAACGCGCTGGTCACTAATCCCCGCGCAGCTGCCGCGTAGGTGGGAAGAGAGTCCCGAAGTACGAGGGTATTGTCGGGAACGGATGAGACATTAGATAGCCGGTCCTACCCAGGTAGGAAACCCGAAATCTTCCATGTCCTGCATGTCTTACAGCTTTTCTGTTAGGTAAAGATTTACATACTATCTATAGGGTTATAAGGGTTAATATAGATATATGTACCCATCAACCCAGCAGCCCAGGAACACACACATGGAACTACTCCAGGGTCTCCAATGCTGTCTTAAATTATTTCTCTCCGTAGTACAGCGTATGCAGTGCAGAGAATACGGTGTACAGAGTACATAAAGTTGCCCAGGCTGCCTAGTACGGTAGTACATACCTATATGCCGCGCGACTTTTATTCTCCATCTACGGATACTAGCAGTAGTCTGATATCTATAAGGCCATAAGCTTTTCGGATCGTCGATGCCATCACCCTTACTTCCAACTCTAATGTAGGTTATACCAACTAAACATCTTGGAAACATCTTGGGACCTGTGATAAGGGATCCATAAGTGCAGAATAAAAAGGCTATCGGCGAGGTTTACTGGATTGATTGTTTCGTAGACGCGACTACATCTGAGCTAGCACCCAGTCAGGGCAAGCCATTCCACTTCCGTGCATGGATAATTCCGCCAGACCCCTGAGGCCAACCAGTTAGCTCAGCCCAATCCAAGTCTTACTATTCTCCCCTTGGCCGAGCCGAGGAAATACTGGAACTATGACCTCATATGCCTCTAGCCATCATACCACGATAGATGCAGAGCATACCTGACATGGTAACATGAGAAAAAGAACGTACCTCGCACGTACCCCGCCAGCCCGCCAGAAGGCATGTCAGCAAATGGAAATTTTATGAGATCGGCAAGATCAGCAGGCAGACCGGCCTTGACCAACAGGCATGCAGGACCCTGCAGGGTTACAGTCGCAATTGTCACACCGGAGGAAAGCTTGGTTCGAGATCCAGGAAGGGTGTGTGAGCCGGTCTGATTGCCACGGTTATCTGCGTACAAAAGTGTACCGGCTCCAGTTCTCACGAACCCGATGTCGTCCTTTGTCAGCTCAAACAAGGGTTTTCTCCATTCTTATATGAGGGTCCGTCCCGCCTCTCCAGACTCTCCAGACTCCAGATCTTCTCTCCCACAACTCCCATCTGACCCTTCAGTCCGGTGCAAGATTGAAAATCTGGAGTCGGTGAAATTCTGTCGCTCATTACGCCGAGTTATCTAATCGACGCTCGGGTGCTCGACCAACATCCAAATTGTGGACACTTGAGAAACACATACCGGCTCCGTTCATCACGTCCGGAATATAGTTCAAGATGGCATCACCAACCACGCCGACATATATGGGCCTTCGGGGCCGGCCACTCTCTTTGGCCGTCAGTACCGTCGCGACCACCGGTTTCCTGCTATTCGGTTATGATCAAGGAGTGTAAGTTGCAGCATTACCCCCCCAAACCGGGACCGGTCTCGGCCTTGGCCTCGTTGGATTTTCCAGCAACCTTAATGGGGACCAAACGCGTCTGAGGGTGTCCTCTAGTAAGCGTAAGTTTGAAGTCGCTAATTGGACGATAGTATGAGTGGAATTATCGGATCCCACCACTTCGCAAATGTGTTCACGGAAGTAAGGAACAATGCGACTATGCAAGGTCTCGTTACTGCAATCTACGAAATCGGATGTCTTATTGGCGCTATGTTCATTCTCGCTGTTGGCGATGTTTTGGGTCGACGGAAAGCCATGATCATCGGTGGAGCTATCATGATTATTGGAGCCACTATTCAAGTTACTTCGTTCCCAGGTCACGCGCCTCTTGCTCAGTTCATCATCGGCAGAGTGGTTACTGGTGTAGGAAACGGCATTAATACTTCTACTATTCCGACATATCAGGGTATGTACTCGCAGATGCTTTGGGTTTGCTTAATTCTAACGTCATTACAGCCGAATGTAGTAAAACGTCCAACCGAGGTTTGCTCATCTGTATCGAAGGCGGTATCATTGCATTTGGTACTGTGATCGCTTACTGGATTGACTACGGCTGCAGCTATGGCAGTGAGGACCTTTCTTGGCGTTTTCCTATCGCTTTCCAGACCATCTTTGGTTTCGTCGTCTGCATTTGCATGATCTTCTTGCCTGAGAGCCCACGTTGGCTCCTTACTCATGAGCGCTATGAGGATGCTGAGCGAGTCATCGCAGCTCTTCGAGGCTACGAGTTAGGCAGCGAGGAGACCGCAGCTGAACGAGATATCATTCTGGACTCTATCCGCGCCAGTGGTTTCTCTGGCCGCAAGAGCACTCCCGTCAAGGCACTTCTTACTGGTGGCAAGACTCAACATCTTCGACGTATGTTGATCGGTTCTAGCAGTCAGTTGATGCAGCAGATTGGTGGATGTAATGCCGTCATTTACTATTTCCCTATCCTGTTCGAGGCACAAATCACTGTCGGCGACGAAAACATGGCTCTGCTCATGGGTGGCGTCAACATGATTGTCTACGCCATCTTTGCCACAACCTCTTGGTTCATCATCGAGCGTGTCGGTCGACGAAAGCTCTTCCTCTACGGATCCATCGGACAATGCTTGTCTATGGTTATCACATTCTCTTGCCTCATTCCTGGTACGACGTCTGCCGCTAAGGGTGCAGCTGTTGGTCTCTTTGTAAGTCCCCTATCTCGGGTATTTCGATCCCCTCGACAAAGAAGATGCTAACCAACTGCTAGACGTACATCGCCTCATTCGGAGCGACTTGGCTCCCGCTTCCATGGTTGTACCCTGCTGAGATCAACCCTATTAAGACTCGCGCGAAGGCAAATGCTACTTCGACATGTACAAACTGGCTTTTCAACTGTAAGTGCTTTGTTTACCTCAATTTAGAGTGGTAGTGCCTAACCTTCGAAATAGTCTTGATCGTCATGGTGACACCAGTCATGATTGCCAATATCGGCTGGGGTACCTACCTATTCTTTGCTGCTGTCAATGCCTGCTTCATACCAATCATCTACTTCTTCTACCCTGAGACCGCTAAGCGTTCGCTTGAGGAGATTGATATCATCTTCGCCAAGGGTTTCGTGGAGAATATTTCTTACGTTCGCGCTGCGGAGGAATTGCCTCTGCTCACGCCCGAGCAGGTTGAGCAGGAGGCCCTCAAGTATGGTCTCATCGACACTGCCGCGAGGGGTGCTGCGCATGCCGCTGGCCCTGCTGGTGTGGTAGAAGAGAAGGCTCTCAGTGAGAAGAGTGAGGAGGAGTCTGGAAGTCACGAGGAGCTTGAAAACTAAGGGTTTCATTGACTTGTAGTGCTTCTAGTTGATACCAATAATATGGTTGACCATTGCAAGAATTATGGTTGCTTGAATGTCAATCCAAACCTAACTTTCTTTGACTAATATTGACCGTAAATCTTACCAACCTACCTAGATAGAGTTACATAGACCTAGACTAGGTGATGGGTTCAGACACACCTCCTGATACCACCACGAACAAGACAGGATGCCCTTGGCAATTCGCAGTCCTAATGTCTTGTTGCAAATAATACACTCCAACAACTATCTATTCTACCCCTAACAAATTGCTAGCTTTGATGTGTCTCCAATAACCCCATGCCCGAGAGCCTTTCTCCCCCCTAAACCTTCGGGATGACCGATAGAGGTTAATCACGACATATAGAATTACGTCACCGGCGTATCGAAGACTTCGGGAATAATGCCTATCTGGTCGTACAAAGGAATTAGCCACTTGAAAAGTTCAATGCTGTTTTAAGGGCTTTGTCTATTGTTTGCCACGTTCAAACAATAGTAAAACTGTCTAACAAAGTCACAAACGTTAGCTTGTTCGGATAGATATCACGTATCTAGGCAGGTACCAATGACGTACGTACGCCTTTAGCTTCGTTGATAAGTATAATGAGGCGCTTTATTCAACATTGCCGGCCGAGTCGGCGGCAAATCCGAGCATAAGTAGTACCGCATCCAATTCATCGGGCTTTGTGCCGCGGGACCGACATCTCGGCACCGCGAGCCGACTCCTTCTTACTCTACGCCTAACTTCGTTAGATCATTCTGTGTTATACGAGGGTTGCTCTTGACCACTGCGATATTGAATCTCTGCGATTCCCGCATCACGATAAGACGATTGAGGTGATTCTTGATGAAGAAAAGCCATGTGATAGCTTACGTTAAGCACCATATATCCTTCTAATGCAGCTTATGCATTTATAGTGTAAAACAGTTGGAGTATTTAATAATTATGTAACAATGCAGATCTAATACTCGATAAAAGCAAACAGCATCAATTGAAAGTATTACACTGGAAGTTCCTCTAAGTGATCACATTGCCATGTTAGAAATGATTCCAATCATATGTTTAATTGCAATTAGCAAGTAGTTAGTTTATTATGTGTGGCTTTTCTATGCGAAACCTGAGAAAGTAGACTGTCCGATTTTGCTAGCGTCATAAAATGAAGCAAAAGAGGGAGCGCAAAAACGTATGGGGATAAAATTCTGTCTGTTTTACATAGGCGATCAATTTCCTACAACGTGGACCCTTCAATAATATAAACCTAAATTATACTTCTACCTATCACATACGACCATAGGAGCTAGAAAGCTCGGGATCCCGTCCGCTCTCCCATAGATAAGCTGGCTACCGCCGGATTAGTAGTTGGGTCGGTGACGACCAGCGAATCCCCGGTGTTGTATGTTTTTTTTTTCGCCTTTCCTTTTTGCGTGACAATTACACCTAATTATATACCATGGGACCCTATCTGTAGATGGATTTGAATACTAGGTAATTTAACGATCCACAATTACAGTAGAGAAGGCATTCGGACACTTCACGCTCACGCTGTTTGGATATCTGAAGTATCCATCCTAGTAGGTACTCAATATCTTTTCGAGACCATCTCCTAAAACAACACATTCTGTCTTGATGGGTGTAACGAATGATTCATGCACTTTTAAAATGAGTAAATCACTCGGTTTCTGTCCGGATCTCTAAACCAAGGTGACTATTTGAATTTGGCATCTTCCATTCGATAGTATTCTCACTATTTATTTTAATCGTGATCTCTGGTTATGATCAAGACTATCATACTATGATTATACGGATGCTAGTGGTCTCTTAAGTCGCTGACAAGCTATTATTACTTGTGAAAATCTAAGTAAGGTATTACTCACTTATCTCATGAAGATTGTATGGGAATAGCATCATTTGCGCTTGTGATTAGCCGTTCAAGATGGACATGCTCCTCATTTCTTCGATTTTTATTAACACTGTTGAATTCTTGTACACTCAAGAACACATAGGACTCAATCGTAATGTATTTTCTCTCTAAGGAGCAGTAAGGACAGCATTGATCTTGACGATGCTACAGGTCACAGGAAAGCACCTCAATCATTAGCCTCGCCTTTCTCACCTATCCCGTTTCTGTATCCTCCTCCCTCGAGTCACATAGTGCAGCCTCCCATCGACATACATCCAAGCTCCCCATACCCTGAGTTCATATGTGGACTACCTCTGTGTATATTTACTGAGGATGATTCACGCTAGCGTGTATCCCTTTTCAAATTCTATCTACCTATCTCATAACCTATTTAACAAGGTCTTCTCCTCTGATTCTCAACCTCCTTTTATCCCCCAACGCTGATCAACGCTAATCACAATTCTTTCTCATCGTTCACGCAATTTACGAGGTAAGAGGAATCTTTTCTTTTCACAGAATATATTATTTTTATTGCAGATATCCCAAAGATGAGTATCGCTTAAGCCTACCTCAACGCCAACTGTTGACGTCCCCCCTTTTACCTTCGCGGTTTTATTTCTCATGAGTCGACATATGTTTCTTTTTCGTACTCTACTCACATTACTAATATCATTTACTAGTTTCCGAATATATACCTCTGATAATGGATTACAATCATAATTTTGCGCCTCCCCCCTTTTCTTCAGTCCGCAATGGAGGTTTCAGACATGCTATGACTGATCTCTACCATCCCACCTTCCCATCCCAGACCAGTCGAGTGCCTACAAGTGGAAATGCCTCTGCTTTCCTACCGCCACTGGAAAATCCTCAAACTACTGAGACTCCATCGCAGATGGATACGATGATGGCTACGAGAACTGGCACCTTCCAGTCATGGATCCAAAACATTGATGATTGTCATAAAGTTAATAAGATATACCTTCAGATTCATAACAGGCCTGAATGGGATCATTCCGAATTCCCATCTGATGCCAAGAAGCAGCAGGAACTCGTGAAGAGACTCTTTGACGCAGCGAATGACTGCAGCAATATATTCGAACCTGAAGGCTCTAGAGGCCTCAAGCGCATTCAACAGAGAACATATTCTGATTTGGAGTTTGAGCTGGTCCTCTGGCCTTTACTGGTAAGTAAATTCAAGTTTGAGGGATGTTTTGAGACTAATATTAGTGTAACCAGATGTCAATACACGATGCACAAGGGGGACGGTGTAACCTCCCCAACTATCATTCCTCTACAGCATCAGTATATAATGTGTATAACACATTCAAAGAGAGGTTCGATGGAGTTTGCGAGGCTTTAAAGGTATGTTGAAACTTAAGGCATTGCTATATTAATAGGTATTAATAGCCATTAGTCTTCGAAAGATATCGTTGTATCCCTTTTCCAGGATGAAATCTTCAAGCATCGTCTTGCTTGGCGACCCAAGTCGGAACTCGCGGTAAGCTCATACGATCTCAGCATACGAAGAGGCCTGTGTTAGCTAATACCTTCAAAGCAAAAAGCCGCGAACAGGAAGGTTAACAGTCATCGATCTACCAAGGTTTCAATTGGTTCTCGCATTATTGTTGAGAACGATATCAAGGCTACGGCAGATGGTAAACTAGTTGATCGAGACGGCCAGACCTACGGCAGCGTTCCGAAACAGACCGCTACATTTGAAAGTAGAGCAAAAAGACCTCGCCGCGATATTACTGGAGAGCAAGCAGAGTTCTCAAGCGACAGTTCCTCGGCACAGAGGGCAATCTCCATCAATAACGCTGGCAACCCAGAAGTTCTTGAAGAGACTTCTCACCAGAACTATACGTATCAAGCTCAACTTGTATCACAACAATCCCTGGTCCACCCGACGAGGTTTCCTCCAAATAACACGGATGCGGGCAAATTCAGCCAAACAGCTCAGAGTGCGGAAGGCGCATATAGCGATCAGTCCATGGGCTCCGATGACCATGATCTCTGGTCTCCATTCCGCAAAAATGGGGACTCGGTTTATCCCCCGCTCGATGGCTGATATCGGTATGAATACCTACCTAGTGTAGTACCTACTAATGTAGGTATGAATAAAAAGGGCGATGTGGACGTGGATACATTCCATGTTCGGAACAGGTTTGCCGGGTAGACGTTATGTAGGCTAAACTTAGGTTAAGACTTAACTTGAGTAATCGTGAATTGATTTCATATCTCTTTTTCTTCCTTGAAAAAGAGCTGCATTATTTACAACCATTATTACAAACAGTAAAAGAATGAGGATGTCAACAGAAACACTAGTTTTCTGTTTGGTTGAGCGGGCAGCGGCAGCGGGATCTAGGATCTAGACGAGTTTATTAGCGGGGTTCGCACTGAGGGGAGTAGCACCGTGGGGTGTAGCACCTAAGAAAATCAGCTACTTTCCCACGGAAATCCTACAGAATTCTTATTATTGATATGTGATAGCTTATACGAGACTTATCTTGTTTGTAGGACCGACCTGTCAGATAGGTCTACCGCTGCTACCCACATAGCAAGGTACGATATATGACAAAGTACTTCGTACCACGCGACGAAAATTTAGAATCAATTGATGTTCGTTCATCCCATGCAAATCAGTATTTGCATTCAAACGAATCGATATTATTTCAAGGGTGGAATTGTAATTGGAAATATCCATGGATCCGAAGTAGTCTAGGCCGATAGGCTACCAACATATTGGTAGCTGATTGCGGACATTATCGGTGGTTGTTAAAAGTTTTCGTAATTTTTGGTAGGTGAAACAGTACCATACGTACCTTATACCTAGTACCTACCTAGGTATATATCTAGGTAGAGAAGGCGCAACACACGTTCATCGTCAGGGTAGGGAGGTTATAAAAGCTTTTGAAACTTTCTTTTCGTGGCTGTCCCTTTCGTTCTTCGACACAATAACATTAATCCTCAATTCTTAATACCGCATCATAGCCTTTATCTTAACAACTTTTATACGCACCTACCTAGGAGGCAGATAATCCTCAAAATGCGCGATTGTGCTTCTTGCCAACGCAGCCTGCCTCGATCATCATACACAGCCAACCAGTATTCTCTAGGCGTCGGTGTATCGCGGTGTGCAGCCTGCGTTCATGGGCACCGCAACGATACCCCATCTGCTGGTAATTTTGATAGTGGCAGATACAACATCTCCAGTTCTGCCGACGTCGAGATGTGGGATCTCGACAACCCCTTCTCTGAAGGTTCATTCCGGTGGGTCGCTAAGGGAACCTACACCTCAGGCCCTCGCCATGGTCAGCCATGCGTTGTAAAGTGGTTCAAGACAGGTGCCGTCTTCGAGGCAGACTACTTCACTCTCGACATTAAAGCCGCTGACAAGGCCTTGGATATCGTTAACAAATTTAACGAACTCAATATAATCAATAAATCCGTCAAAGTCAACGTACCTGCGGTATGGAAATTCCAGAATCCCTCCAAATGGGCAGGTCAACATGTACTATGCGAACCTTTTATCCAGAACTATCAAAAGTTTAATAGCAACAGCGGATGGTTTGATGATTCAATTCCGTGGGGAGAGGCCATGCAGGCCCTCAGCCACTTCAGCTATCACATCTCGGGCGGCCAGTTCGTTCTGTGCGATATTCAGGGGGGCGTTTATCAGCACGAGGTTGTCCTCTCCGACCCGGTAATTCTGTCGCGTAATCGCGACTATGGTGTGACTGACCTAGGTCCCGTCGGCATCAGCTCTTTCTTCAGCCAGCATCGCTGTAATAACTTCTGCCGCTCAAACTGGATGAAGCTGTCAAGTCCAGTTCAAATCTTCCGACCTGTCGCTCGCACGACAATGATGAGACACACGGTGCCCACCCGTCAATCGCGACCAGATTCAACCTACCTATACAATTGATTACTAGTTAATCAGACGGCTTCAATCTCTACAGACATATTGGAACACGGCGATTAGAGACGGACATTTTATTCGGGGAGACACATTGTGGACGCAAAAAGAGGCGTATCAATTAATTGCAGAGCTTATAGCACATGGTGATGAACACTGTAAATTGAAGGTCAAATAAATAAAAGGTGTCTTCATCTATGACTAAGTGACATGTTTTTTATAATTCATGGAAAGGCAGGTAGAAACTGTTTTCTAGAAGACTTTTCGTAAAGCGCTAAAGTACTGCCCTGAAACTTGAGTACGAGACCATCTATCCTCTTGATTATATTACCAACGCTTACTGCCAATCACAGCACTAAAACTTTGTATTAGTTACCTACACTGGAAGCTGTGGGGATAGGTAGGTACCTAGGTACCTAATAAACCTACCTCTCAGGTTCTTTGCGCTCATAACACCAGCTGTTCATATGGGAATTCCACCACTGGGCATCCGTGATCGGGCTTGCTTGACTTGGCTAATACCTAGGTACCAACCTAAATAGAATCTGCTTAATTAATTTAGTTGAATTCCATGCACCTGGGCATATGTAAGTCCCTATTATCATAGCTCTCTCTGAAGAAACGGGTTGTGATGTGGATTAGGTACTAATTAACTATATTTAAGAGACCTCGGAATTAAAGAATAAAAACTTTGAGGATCTAAAAAGGTGTTTAGGTGAGGACATATGAGAGGCTTCGAATTGTCATTAGTACGTTTTATTAGGTACTAGGTAGGCACATATGTATTTATCTGATTAAGCGACAAGTGACTGCCATCTGGAGTTTTACCCCTAGAGAAGTTGGCAGTTACAATGGATCTACCATGCTACCATACCTAGCATTTAAGCTTTCTCGATTCGGTATTTGCTATCCAATATAACCTGTGTGATTGGCCTACGTAGGGTGCGCAATTAATAGGCCACCTCAAGATTACAGGGGTATGCCGACTTGCGAAATAAAAGCTCCGGGTATTATAGAGGACGCATTCGAACTCAACAAGATCGTTGAAGAGTACTTCTACCAGACTACCAACCTAAGCAGGCCGCATTCTGTACATCTCACAGTAAAGATTCTCTTCTTCAATTCAATTTTTGACATGTAAGATTGACTTTAGCAGTGGTTCCAGGAATCGCTCATTCGGATGATACTCTTCTCTGAGGATGCAATCTCAGCTACTTTGATACACAATTTTCCAGGCTAGGGATTAATTGGCGAGAACTCTATCAATAAACCAGTCTGCCCTGTTATGAACTTCCACCGCGACGGTCTAGGGGGAAGTCAATTATTTACCTAACAGATTGGACCAGTAACTGCAGAGGAAGGGGCTTATCCAAGCCCCGCTTCAACAGCTAAGGTGACCAGGCGCGCACTAAGGGCGCTAAATTTAGAGAACACTACAACTAGGCCCAGCTATTCTATAACAGCTTGTCGGAACTTGAAGAGTCATCTAACTTTCGCCTTATCATCCAAGTTAGGTACATTACTGCGAGTATCCAATTGTGTATGAATGCATGTCTCAACGACATGCGGATATTGATATAGGACTCGCTCAGATCGTTGCCGAGTTAGTTGGAGGAACGAAATCCGAAAATGAGACAAGAACAAACCACGGCAAGAATGCTAGTAATTTAGGTAGCCAGCTAGAGTTCCCGCCGACCAAACCGAGCTGTCGAGTTGATATTATTATAACAGACAGTTTTGACAGCACTGCCTACAGCGCTGTGAAAGCAAAAACCAAAGCTGCTAGCACCCCTCCTTTTACCATCGGCCCGCGCCGATCTGAGGTATTCACAGCAGGTGCATCGAAAAAACCCGGTAGCGTTGCCCAACCTAACCACCATCTAAAAGATATGCAGTCTACCGCTGAGATGTTTGACGCAGTATTCATGCATGGCGGGGTAGAATCAATCAAGACACTTGCCAAGAGCAGCCGTGCTCTCTGTCAGATCCGTGAAGCGTTTGGACATCTCAAGGCGATTGGTGGTACTGGTGAAGTTGTTGGGCTATGTAACCTAGCGTCTGCGCTACCAGAGCTTCGGGTTTCGGCGACAAACGAGGCAGTTGAATCATATGGGGTTGTGATTTTGAGTAAAGCATCTCCGGAGAGTTAGAGAGAGTGTCATTATCGTTAGGGAACGAGTGGGTTTCCTGGAAAATGTCATATTCCAAATTCCACAGCATAGCCACCAAGAAATTTCGATAAAGAACTGACTGCAGTCAAGTATGATTGTAAAGGTGGGGAGTTAGAGGATTGCTGCACGATTTCAAACGGGTTAGGTGCTGGAAGGTCTGCTAAGGTTAGGGCGCCTTGGCTTTCTAGTTAGTGGATGTTGGTGGGAATGTCTCGGATATCCATGGATGGACTTACCAACTAACAAGATTGAAGTATTCCAGGTATATGCCCGCTCTATTAATCTAATTGATGTTAAGTACTAGGTATTTTTACTTATGGCTATGAAGTAACTAATATAACATGTGAATAAGTCAAGGTTGTTTGATGGGACGGTCGACTATACCACAGCTCTTATCAGTCTAGATGCGTAGCAAACTTGGTAGGTGCTAGTTACCTACTACCACCACTGTAAATGGGATCTAGAGAGCGCTAATGGTTTCCGGCCAGTAAGAATCTCCCATTTTCGACCAAATGGCCAAGAATGGTAATCCAATGTTCGCAATCAACGAACCAGGAAGTTGGAACCTCAATATTGAAATCAGTATGAAACGCATTGAAAAGTTATTATAATAGCAATAACACTGCCTGTTCTCAATTGTCAATATTCCAACTGAGTGCTCAAAGAGTTCACTGGAGGGCATATTTCACTGGACTTCTTGCATAAGAGAGCAAGTCCATTAAAGATAAAATATAATACTCTGAAATAGTATCAACACACTTATTTAATTCCCATAGATGCCTCAGCAATCCATTTTCCGACGTCGATGTTGCCATCATCCTAGTGTACAAATCCTTGCCCCTAATATATCAACATATCGCCCTAGTTCCGAACACTTCAAAGGATTGGTGTTCCATCCACTGCCTAGATAAAGACATCACGACTGTTGTTGAAATGTAGTTGTCCGTATTGATCAATAAAGAATGTTTCGCCAGGACCAACCCAAACGCTACATCACCAGTCACGTTAATAAAAAATCTTAATTAAAACCAAGATAGGTAGGTTGGAACGAGACTCACCCGCATCGATCGTCATGCTCAAGATCGAAGCCTCCCTTTTCACCCCAAATCCTCTCCATGTTGACCCGATGATCGCTCTTAGGCTCGCCCGCGGCGATCCGCTTCTTCTCGAAGTAGACGTAGGCGGCGTAGAAGACCTTGCTCATGCACCCAGCATTCGAGCCCTGCTTGTTGCGGAAGTCGTTGAGCTGCTTCGATTGGAAGGGCTTGATGGTGGGTTGCGAGAGCTGCGCGTAGATGTCGCGACAGAACTGCGCAGCGGTTATGCCCGGAGTATCCAGATGCTCCTCCACCTTCCTGCGGACCTCGTCGCATGTGTCGTAGACAGCGACTTCGTCCGATTCTTCTCCTGGTAGCTGAACGCCGCTGATATCGACTGCGGATACAGGCGGCGCAGCCGCCTTGCGGGTCCCTGGCCCACCGATGTCGGTCTTAGCGGCTGTAGCTTCTTTCGCCTTCCGTGCCTTTTTCGCGTTTGGCATCTTGAGGCCGGCAACATCCCGTTGCTTGAACCACTCCCAGGCATTTACATACACGTTGCTATTCTGTCCCTCCATGGACCCACGTTTGGACAAAAATGTGCTAAGACTACTGGCGGTGCATCCGATAGTCCTGGCAAACTCGGTCTTATTCATTATGCCATTATCGACCAGCTTGTTGATCTTGCCACGAACTTGGTTGCAGGTCATGTTAATCTCTAAATCTATTGTGGAATAGTCGAGGTCCATGTGTTGCTTGTATGCAGCGATTTCATCTTCCAGTGTTGTGTCTGACTTGCGCTTCTTGTTATTTGTGGTTTTAGGGGCTGTGGCGGGAATTACGGTAGTGACAGCGGGAGCAACAGGTTGACTTGCACACTTCATAAGGTACGGAATCGTCGGAGCGGGAATAGGTGTTTGGTTCACCCGTTTACTGGCATCTTGAAGGGCTGGCCGCCTCGCCTGCAGTTCGTTAGTATTCTAGCTAACTCATATCTAGGGCATGGGTTCTATTGTACCGTAGAACTTTTATTTGACATGATTGGAATAGATGATTCTATAAGAGTTAATAAGATCTTGAGGAATTACGGAGTATGTACAAGATAGATGTATAAGCATAAGATTGTCTGAGATAAATGAACATTAAATAATACTAAGACGCGCCGGTAGGAAAGAGAGCGCGTTATTATTTACGGGTTATGGAGGGGAAATAACGCGATGGCTCGTGCTGGACTGGACCGAGCTTCAGCGCTAGCAGCACGCTAACGCCCTAGCTAACTCCCCGAAACTTCAGCCCATTCATGGATTCTTTCAGCTGCTTCACAATTCAAAATTCAAATGCTTGCACCAAACGTCAACGTAACCAATAATATAATTTCCTAGAATCACCAGAATTCTCTATCAGCCAAACCATGAGGTATAAGAACTATAAACCCAAATATCCGATCTCGACCCGTCGAGTCCCAACGCCTTCATAACCTTTATCCCATAGTACATACAATCCGTACCTATTGCTCTTACTTCCGAAGGCGGCGGTTCTGCTCACTCTGGCGCTTCATCTTCATGCGGTAGTTCAAAGCCCTCTTGCGTGCAGCAGGAGACTGAGTGAAAGCTGCGGATCCACCGAATGGCCCAGCGATAGCGTTATTTCGGACTCGCACGACACAGACATTGCTGGCACCGCCGACAGTTGCGTCGCAAGTCATGCCCGCCGGCATTTGAACGGTTAGCGGGAAATCCGTGTTGGTAGCCAAGGACAGTCCTAGGAATCCCGCTCCGGGCACGTCTTGCGTGACCTCGGCCGTCTTGAACGCATCCTCTTTTGTACCTCCTGAAGTTCCATCAACAGCAGCTGTTATCGGACCGGCGCCGTCCTGGTTGATTTGTCGGAAGTTCATAGTGATTGACCCATCGTCGGCTGAAGTCGGTAGACCGGAGGTAGCGCCCTTGCCAGCGGTGGCGGCAACCGATGTTTCTTGCGCGGCCGAGGTCTTTGTGCCACCGCTCTTGCCCGTTAGGCCCCCAAGCAAGTCTTTGAGCCCACGGACGAAGAAGTTGTCTCGCTTGCCAGCGTTCGCCGGAATTTGGTCTTCAACGCCAACCGAAGCAGCCGAGCCGTTGTTTTTAGGGGCAGTTGCGCCGCCCATGAAACTCTGTATCATGGTGGCGGCGTCGATAGGGCCGTTGCCCTGGGTTCGACCGAGAGGGGAGGCCTTGCCACTAGTGATCTCGCGGTCCCTGATGATAGCGGTATCCGCCTGAGAGCCACATGCATTGGAGCTGCAGTCTCGTGGCGTTCCATCGGCAACTAAAAACTCTAGTTAATAACCAGCCTATAAGCACGGGGATTTTCTATTAAACTTACCACTAAGACCGGGCATTGTCACCCCATTAGCTCCCTTAATAGACGTCACAAGGCCGTGTCCAGAAGCAACGGCGAGTACGCCTGAGACGGTTATGAGTGAGTAGCGCATCCTGGCGGCTTATGCTGATTAATGAATAGGAATAGGAATAATATAAAATGCCGCCAGGGCTATCGAAATCAAAGGGAATTGAAGAGAAAAGTGAATTAAGTGTGAATTCGAGGCTGTAGCTTGATGCCGATGAGAGAAGAGATGTTCACTTACACCAGTTTCCATCGAGTCTTATATACGCCATCTCGACTGAGGCAAATCGGCAGGCCTCGGCGGGCATAGCTTCTAACATCGTTTACACTTACTATCATGCCAACATTGAACCAATCGCTTCTATCTCGAAGGTAGTATTCATCTGATGTTTCGAAACGATGGGCAAAACACCGTCCATGTAGTAACTGTGCAACCAATCGCATTTAAGTATACGAGATCCCCACGTTTCGGGTCTCGGCTAAGATGATTTTCTCTCTGAATTCACGCTGAACACTCCCTAGAAATACACAGCCACGAGTTTGAAGATTCTACGTTTCGAGTTCTTCAGCACCCAAAACCCCCCGCTATCGCTAACAATATTCCGCAAAAACATTGACCTAAAGAATTGTTTTATCGCTCGGATTCATGATCTGATACCGGTACGATTCGCCAGTTCACGTTATACTACCAATGTAGTAATCGAAAACACCCATTAAAAATACGGTGTCGACACTTCCAGCTATTTGTCTTGTCGCATTTCCATACTAATGCTACCCAAACTTTTAAAATATTATCATGTAGGTGCTCGCCGTACCTTCTACCTACAGTCCGCCAAGACAACTGCCAAGACGTCCCTACGGTTCTCACATTTGTCAGACATAGCGACAGGGGCTCAAACATCCCCTGGGAAAATCTCTTAACCAAGCAACTGAAACCGAACTGATTAGCCAATCGGTGAGCTTTTCGAATAATTCATTGGGACTTCTTTCGAACCTAGTTTGCGAATATCTCATGCGCATCTTAGTGACGATGCTAAGAATCCTATCGAAACTTCCCCTTCACTAACGCATAACATGATGAGCGGCTAACGATGCGGTGGGCGCAAATCCGAAGATCTTAGATCTCTAAGATGAGATCTCCAGAAACTCGGAAGATCAGTTTCTAGGCCTTGGCTTCATGATTGATATTTATGATATTCGTGAAAACACTTGGGATCGTCTCGGAACAGTCATGAAGATTAATCATATCGACCCAACAGATGAATAGGTCCGTATTCTACAATGCCGAACCTATGGAAGTTCGCCGCAAAAAGGGTAGTAATCGCGGCGGGGCCAATCGCAAACGATACCGTACCGCACGACTTCCTCCTACAAGGGGCCCCTAGATCTATAGTCTCGAAGTCTATTATGATGACACACTGCGACAAAGGGGCTACAATGTTATCGGATGCATTAAGTATGGCGAGCACAAGTACTGACTGAAACCACCATATCGGTGGCCCGATGTGTAGCTTTGACATATGCGGCACCGGCGCCAGCGACTACATTCCCTCATCCTGTTATAGACGAGTACGGAAGAAGGCACTCAAGTATCAAAAAAATCGTTTGAATAGGTAGGTATCTAGGCTTAGGAAAGGGGTTTATGGATGTGCCCCTTGGCGCTTCATGAGGGCACAACTGACCATCCTCCTTTAGGGGTTAGAATTCCGCCAGCCACAAGTGTCTCTCCTGGCACACGCATACGAGGGCGTCCACGACAAAGGAAGCTTCATCCAATTAATTATCCAACTCTCCAGATTACGACCGTCTCCCCCAAATCTCTTCTTCTTCGTCGTCGTCCTCTTGTTGCTGTTGATAATGAGCTCGCCGACTTTCTTGTGTCATATCCGCCAGTGCACGAATCCATTCATCGCGCTGCGGCCCCGACGGTGGTACAGCATCTAAAGCATCGTCGACCTCAGCGCGAAATGGCGATTGCCGATACCCCGACGCATGCGACTCCTCGTCGTCCTGTCTCCCATAACGCCTTGGCGGAGCGATTGGAGCGCTTGCTTTATTCCTTCTAGCAGCAATTCTTCTCTGTCCTCTCTCCCGTTTTTCCTCTTCGAGTCGTTCGTGCTTGAGTATCCTATCTTCTTCCCACATCCTCCGAAAGATCTCTTGATACTGGACCATCCTGCTCATCTGAGAGTGCAGACGCACAAGTTGGCCAAGAAGGAAAAGTCCTACACAGATGACGACAAATGTAGAGGACCACCAGAAAAGCCTCTTGGTGTTATCTTTGATGTCGTCGAGCTATGCATGCATTACGTTAGGATATTGGGAACAGATGCGTGCTTCTTCATTCAACTCACCGTGGTCTGGACATTGTGTGCGAATCCCACGGCGCCATGTACCGTATTCGTGAGCTGCTCTACTATCGACTTTTCCTCAAATAGGAGATTGCGCACAGATCGATCTCCCATTGTTGCTTCGCGATCCTGAGATCTTTTCCCACCTCTGATGAGCAGCTATTCGTAGGTACCTAGCCGAAGAGTTCGAAACGTAGTCATTTTATTTGAGAAAAGAATAATCATAATTGTATGGTAATTGTTAGTTGAACCTCGTAAATTACGAGATAATTGTTCTCTTTGATGTTCTTACGTTTCGGGTCTAGATTATTGCTATGACAAAGGGGCGCCCCGATGGGGGTTTACGGCGCAAACAAAGTCCGTTTTCAGAACAGAAATCCGCATAAATTAATTGTAGGTACCTACACAGGTAGATAGTAGGCACCTGTATCTAATAGATACCTGCCGACATTTATGAGCCTTCGAGGTCTCTAAAGAGAAAGAGCAGCACCATAGCCACCAGCGGCACTGCTACAACTATATTGATCCAAGAACTTCCCTCCCCAGTTAAAAAGCTGTCCTGCATGTCGAAAGGCTCGAGGTAAATGAGGCCGACAGGGAGACCAAACCGATATATAGTAGGTGCCGCGTATTGATTAAAAAACGTGGATGTATGTTAAGTGCACAATTGCGCTCCAATAGGGACTCCAATATCCATCAAGAAGCCCCCCGATAGTATTCTCTAGGTTGAAGTTTAGACAACGATTCTAGCAGATGAGAAATAACTTTGCATTAAGTTAGATTGTGTAGGTGGCTTAAGGCGCCTAACAGGGCTCGGTATAATACCTGTCCCGCACCTAATTGACGCCACATACGGTGAAAGGCTATTCCCAACTAGCCCATAGGCACCCACGAAGCGCTAGGTCATGCACTATCTAGCTGAGATAGTGTTGGTGAACCTGCCTTTTCTAGGGAGCCTGGAAGAATAGAGATAGGTATGTAGAGAAGGCAAGTAGAATGTGGTTGACAACTCGACGAGGAATTGAATTAGATATTATTTTTCTTCTCTCTCATTCCCCCCTTCTCTTTTAAATGATATTTTTCTCAGGGTTAGACGAAGGTGAGTAGTGATGGCAAAACAGCGCCGGGTTGAATTGGCCTTCTGGAGCCCCCTGGCCTAAGGTCTTGCCCTTGGTGAAGCTGAATTGTTCGTCTTACCGCCTGAAAGCCTAATCACCTACACAGCGCCCATTTAACTATCCATGCCCCATTCGACAAATTCTGGCATTACAACCCCTAGATACTGTCTACCACATAGATGAACCAAGTCGCTCCCGACGATATTTCAGAGCGAGACATACAGGATTTAATTCGTAAACCCTGCAGAGTCCCCCCATTTCTGGACGATAGCCGCAAACTTAGGGCACTTCTCAGAGTCGTCCGAGGGAACTTGCTTAACGGACTTATTGTAAGCATACGTGACGAAGTCCGATGCCGAAGACGGGGTCCCGGCTCCTTCTCGAAGCTTTCTGAACGTCGTTTCGATTTCGTTCGTTTGGGATTTTATTGTGGCAACGGAATCCTCAACTTGCTGGTCGTCGTAGACATGACCACCCACCCGGCTACCGGCGGTACTGTCGGCAATGACGGAATCCAAGAGGAGGTGAGCCCCGAATTCAGCATCCGTAATTTGCGATTTCGCCGCCCTTTCGAAATAGCTGTGCACATTCCTTGCGATGTCGTCGCCTTTTTTCTGCCGCGAGGTGACATATCGGTCTAACTTATCGACCTGCATGTGGGACGTGGGTGTAGGGGCTGTTTGGGACATTTTATCGACATCTATCGGGACGGAACCGTAAAGTTCCATTTGACGTCGAATAGTATTCATGAGTGTATGGCCCTTCGACTTTCCGCCCTCTTTGGTTTGTGCCCGATGCATGTTCGCTGTGCCTAACCCCTTAGTCGATCTGGCCCCTGTTTTACTATTCACAATCGTGAAGGCGTTTAAGAGAGTTTGGTGATGGTAAACTAGCATCTGGATGCGGGATACCAGAATACGGAGGCGCTCGTTCATGAAGCGAAGCATGGCAGACGTCTTAACAAGTTAGTCATATAATTGTACGATTTCATGAGGAAACCTACGTAGCTCGAAACTATCATATCTCTTGTACCCTGTCTGTCAGAACGTGTTTCGGTCTTTTTCAAGATGGGTTTGAGAAATTCATTCTCCACAACCATGTGTGAGAGGGGTACCATCTCATCCCAGAGGGATTGTATCTCGGCATATACGGCCTCACGTTCGTCGTTGATGTCTCGCGCGTAATTAGATGCGTAAGATGCGCGTCTATTATAGGTAAGTGAGGCCTCTAGGAAAACTGTGTCTAATGATGCACGACACTTGGTGGCTAATGACAGCACAATCCTATAACTTGTTAATGGAAATATAGGAAGAGGGTAGAGGAATCGCTTAACTGGGTAGCATGCCGTCTGGCTGTCTGAAGGATTGTATCATCTTCACCCACATCGTAGTTCAATTCACCATGTAGAGCACTTAATCTACTAAGGATATGATCATATGATGGGAGTGTTGTTTTGAATACTTCCGTTAGAGCGATGGACTTCGAGCTCCTATCAGATAAACCACCCTCTGACTCCGCTATGTTGGGCTCGGTTCGAGAAGTATCTTCAAGTCGATCGAAACGATTGTTGATTTTGTTCTCTAGTGAATGAATCTTCATATTTGTCAGTAACGTCATCTCTCGTGACCCCTGGAAGTGCGAATGGTTACCTCTTTCTTAAGCGAATCCCTTCTGGAAGACAGTTGGGCGATCTTTTGCTCAAATACCGAGGCTCCATTATCGGTCTTTGCATAGGTTTGAAGACCGGAGATGCTAGAACGAACATAGTCTCTATACTTCACTAGTAGCTTCTCCAAGACATCGTTATATTGAACCATGTCTTTAGTGGCCGCTTTAACGAGGTTATGATCGGTAGTCTTCTGACCAGGTATAGGCTGGATCTTAGAGAATATGCCCACTCCCCCCTGAGCTTGTGATGATTGATGACCACGACTGGTCGCATTCAAAGCGTTTAAGCTGTGTCATATGTGAGTAATACTAATTTCAAAACAAGATAGCTAACGTACTATTTCAGTTCGTCCTCAGATAGGATACTTAAAGGGCCGTTCGATTCCATCATTGCCACTAATTGGGTCCACTCCGAAATCGACTCACCACAAATAAACGATTTGAGAAGGTTCTTCTGATTTTCGCTTGTGGCATGGACAGCCCCAGAAATTTTATTAAAGAGACACGTCTCAGTCTCCGAAAAAGATCTTTGACTATCCATCTTGAGCCTTACTAAGAAAATAATACAATGATGCTAAAGCTGTGTCAGTTAAGCTAGACCTTGCTACAACCTATGAGAGATCGATCACCTATCTCTACATGTATCGATATAGGGTGAAGATAAAGATTAGATAATCTATAAGGGAAAGGGGTAAAAGGAGAAGAATAGTCACGAGGGAAAGAAATCCCGAGTAAGCGACAGAGATAGTGGATCGAAACAGCTTAAGCCGCACGTCATTGAAGTGAAAAGTTGGCAATTGGGGTTAAACAACCGTTAGGATTGACTTCTCGCATAGGGCAATGTAACGTCTTAAGGTAGGCGAGGAGAAGAAAGGAGCAAAACGGAAGCTGTCCGGCGGTTGGCTCCGGAAGGGATTTGCGGTGAGATCGGCGCCGTGAATGATCCGCCGTAGACGACCGAAGGTGGAAAGTGCAACCGACGTAAGATAGTCACGACGTACCTGCTCTAGGTCGGCCTGGCCTAGAGGCAATCTAGAAGACCGGAAATTCAATATTCTTGAAATTCTGAGCTTGCAGAATCTTCAATAGTCGGTAAGGACGGTTAGGCCGAAGAACTGGACAGGTATAGCCGAGACGCCAATTTTAAGGCAAGATCAAGCGTGAAAGGTCGATGTGCGACGCCGTTGACCGCTTCGTTCTAAGAAGACGGAAGACCTCTATATGGTCGGGTTTAAAAATATCCTACCTCAGGGGTCATTTGACTTTCGGAATTTCATAACAGGCTGCTGTGGACAGACTCTGCGTGATCGTTTGTTTCACTACCCTGATGATGGTTGATGTCGTTGATGTCCGTAGAAATAGATGCGATGCGTAGAAAGAGAGGAATTGAGTCTAGAAGGAGTCCCTGCATTAAAATCGACATTTAATGCATAATGCTCTTTATATATATACGCTAGCAATTATATTCACCTTCTGTGCGGTATGTCCTCCATTGGTAGATAAATACACACTAAACCGGTATGGGTTTGATATTTAGATGCATATATAAACATGTTATTAACTCTAAGTAAGTGCCGGTTTAAAGCAGTGCTACTTAAAAACCCTGTAGACTTGAATCCAAATTAGAAAAAACAGCAAACCTTTCCGCAAAAAGAATATTTAGCCAATTTTTTATAAATTTATCTTAGTATACCTAATATTGTACTGATCGTTCCTAGATATTTAAGAATACCGTATAATGCAGAAACACGCATAGTGGATATTGAGTCAAAGCTTAGGCCAACTTCTTTAATAGATTTATGTGGGTCTATTAATGCCTAAGAAGATTTCCCATCTCAACTAAATTCCGTGGGGAACCAATAATCAAACAGCAGCATCTTCAGCGCACGTTAAAAAAAGAAGACAAGGATTTCTCTGTACCAGAGCCGCGAGCAGCCGTTGGACAAATTGGACTTGCAGCAACGTGCATATCCATCTCTCTTCCATTCGCAAACCATCTAGATAAGAGCCCAACCACATTACTACATACATGTAACATCTTTCGAGAAAGACGGCCAGATTCTCAGAGACAAACATCATTCTAGCATTCGCCGTCTATCTCCACTCGGAATCATTCGTGGTCCCCCAAATACGCTATAAACCTCGGCAAGGCTAGTACAGTTGCAATGCGCCATGCTCCAATGCCACAACGTTACAGCGCAAAGTTGTCGCACAGCGCGATATCTTCCATACAAGATGCGGACAAGGACGTACAAAAACTACGATTATTCGGGTACCTAGGCACTCCAATAGTTACGCCTCGGAATGAAACGGATTCCTGAGGGTCTAAGATAAAAAACGAGTACAGGATGAGGGAGATCTACTTTGGTTTGTCGTGTTAGCAGTCAGAACGGTTCGCAGCGCCGTGCTGTCTCATACGTCGTGTTTGCGAGTAAGTGTCTTGAATGGTCCGTCTCCAGACTGTACGACGTACAATCCAGCGGTCAACGGGGAACCTATTCTCAAACTAGGACGCTAGTTTTCTCTATTTTTTTGTTCAAGGCGTCATAAAGTATAGACGTTCAGGTCGCTCCTATTGGTTCCCCAGGTATCGTCATAGGTTTGTCCAAGGCTTGCCTCGAGCTTGAGGTTTTCCCACTTCAGACGAGTCGTGAAATTGTATTGACATTAAATCTAGAAAACTGCAAAATGGTGTAAGTAGCGGGAGGTCCTAGTTTTTTGTTGGCATAGAGCCTCTCTGGCCTTAATTGGACACCAGCCTTGTGTTTGCATGCGCCTGTGCTGTCCCGCTCCCGCTTTGCTCCCCCGTCGTCATGTCAAAAATGACAGCAGCCGAATGTACCGACATATTCAGGGTTTGGGGGGGTAACAGGTCGAGATTCAGAATGGGCGGTACTAGGCCTTCATATCAACCTAGCACAGCTGCAGTCCGATCTCGATTTACCCGTATTCTTTTGGATACTTCCCAAGGGCTTGTGTAATGACGACTATCCCATGTCTCCGCTTATGGAAACGCCGGTGATATAGGTTCGTCCACGTCGACTGGCCAGTTCCCGAACCACTGTCTTTCTCGCCAAACGATATATCTACTATAATATCCCAGAGGTTCCCAGCCGTTTTGTCTCGATCAATTTATTACTTCAAGACATCAAATATCCTCAGCTTGATATCTCCACTGCATGTCTTTCTATTCCGTTATGCTCTTGTGCTACGACCATAACTAACCAACGTTATGATTTCCCTTACCCAGCAACTGCGTATGAGCCTCCAGGCACCGGCAACGATGAAAAGATTCCGAGATGCCGGGATGGGAATTGTGTTCATCTTTCTCAATCAGCTCCTTGTTGTACCCATCCAGATCGTACTCGATCTACATTCATTCAACATCCCAGCTTCCGTCTTAGTCATGCTCCTTTTTTGGGTCTTCATGATTGTCACGAACTACATTCATACAGGTACCGCACAACTATACAACAAGCATTTACGTGGCACAATCGATTTTCTCGGCCGGCACATGTCTTTCGGGTTTGTGGCATCGTTCATAATGCTCAACAAAGATCGTACACCTAGTGCTATAGAAGTGTCCAAGATTGCCGGCGCGTTCCGTAAGTTACATAAGAAATATGTCTATTGCATAGAACATCACTAATTTAAGCTAGTTATAACCACTGCAATAAGTTATATTGGCGCTTATCTGGTTACGTCAGGCAGTTTCAAGCTGGAGCAACAATTTCGAGGCCAGCAAACGAAGGTGTGCGACTTGGAAGATGGTAACAAATCTTGGCCTAGACCTTCCACGGCATTGCCGACACTACCAACAGAAGCATCCCCAAGACCCCTACCCCAATTGTCTCGGTTAAGTGTGACTCTCGTGAAGAACAAGTGTCTCACTTCAATTGAGCCTGTGAAAAGGGGTTCGACTTCGCAATTTATAGATCATCTTGTTCGCACTTCCCCGATATGGATTTGTTTCTTCATCCTCACCGTAGTGGGAATTCCGGTGTCAATTGCGACTCGTTACGATACACCGTTCGAATCTCTGTGCTTTGTACTATTTTGGATCTTATCTGTCCAGTTCCAAAGATCGCTAAAATCATCATGCCGCCTCCAGCGATCCCCGCGATTAAGGTCAACGATAGTTATTTTGGCGAATCCGGTTATGGTTACCTGGGCACTAGGAACGGGCTACATCTGGATCAAAACAGCCTACACCAAGCAGACCATCGACGTCATCATCTCCGAGTTTCACAGACACAACACCTTATCGGAAGGCATAATGGCTATTGTGGAAGGGGGTAATCTGACCAATCACATTGGTGCCGGCGATCTTTTTGGACCAGTCCTAGATGCTGGCATCGTTTGCTTAGGGTTCAAGATGTTCGAATACCGAAAAGAGCTATGGGAGAGCTTCGTCACGGTATTTACCACATGCGCAATCCTCGCCGTTGTCAACGTCTTCCTCAACGTCCTCATTGCTCGCGTAATCGGGTTGAAGTCTACCGACGCTCTTGCCTTTGCGGCACGGTCCGTCACCATCGCTCTGGGAGTACCCGCGATCCAAAACTTGGGCGGAAGCGCTACGATCATGAGCGCAATGGTCATATTTGGCGGGATCCTCTTCCAGATGGCCGGTAATTGGGTGTTCTCCATCATGCGGATACAAGATCAGGAATGCCAGCAGGCATCAGACAGTATTAGCGATAAGGACGTAGAAAAAGGATTCGCGACGGAACGGAATGAGAGAGATTCGCGGCGGAGCGCTGGCTCGGATAACGCTGTCATCGCTGCCGGTGTAACGGTTGGTATAAACGCGGCGGCTATGGGTACGGCACACTTAATCGAGCGCGACTCGAGGGCCACCGCGTATTCGGCATTGTCCATGACTTTGTTTGGGGCTATGACAGTAGCACTTACGGCCTTTCCCGGTGTCTCGGAGGCGGTGATTTATCTAGCAAATTTATGAGAGGTAAAAATGGGCCGACTCCGGCTTAGGGGACTACGAGGATAAATGAGATACAAAACGGCTTCACGGTGTATGGGCGCTTCAGGCATAGCGAATGATACCACCACATATGTTGGAGATGTACAGAGTGATACTCCCGGGCGTGTTTTTTGTTTTAGCTAGTTAGATAGGTAGCATTATGGGCATATGGCAATTCATTCCATCATCGGCTTTCTCGACCCATTGAATATGATCTTACAATCGGCATACATAGTGTCTATAATATCATCGTGATTGTCGAACCGGTTTATCTGCGTTCGTAAGATGGAGCAATGGTCGTACATTTCGGGGGTCACGGCCATGGGATCGGTGTTTAGTAATGGGATCGTGATATAGAATTCGAGAAAATTTTACATGCGCCATATCGTAGATGCCGTGGCGCACTCATGTGAATCATTTCTCACTCTTGTAACGTCGCACGGCACGGTCCGTCTCATACTGAAGAGTGCCTGAGGCTGCTCAGCACTCTGGCGTCATAGGAGAAAAATAAACCACACCCCACCGTAACTTGTGTTGTCGAACCGTCGTTTCGGATCGTGATCAAAGGCCGGTATATCAAAAACCCCATCGCGATGTTGAAATGTCGTATTTTCTTCGTGGATGTTTACACGAATGTGGCCTCACATGATTGAATGCCTATGCATGTCGGGCCACTTTAGTTCATATCGCAGAGTCAGCTTGGTACGCAAAAAGAATACCCTACCTGGAGGAAACTTCGTGTAACTAAACGAGATAAGGGTATGAGGAATCTGACTAGAATGATTCGAAAACATTATATACGAAAGTAAACGCCCAGGGTAATCTCGGGAAAATATGTAAATTTCTAGTGGGATTTCAAAGACCTGCCATCATCTGGCAGTCTAGGTAGGTAGTAGGTACCAGGTAGGAGGAGGGTTATATGCCTTTTAAGGAACCATGAAAGGGCGGCTGGAATGAATGGATTAGATTGCAAGGCTCAGCACCGAGCTTCTGTAATTCTGGAAAAAGAAACTTCTCCCAAAATTTCCTCTATGCTATGCTGAATCATGAAAAAAAAAACGGGTTTTAATTTCATGGGCACATGCTTACGTGGCCCTGATTCTGAATATGACCTTAGCTGAGTGCGTATGACCCCCTTTCTTATTAGATACCAGGAATTACACCAATCTCTCGATCAAGTGTAGGCCGCTTGCCGTTTCCACAACGCTGCTCATCTGGCCTGGCTGTAATGCGAATGCGGCCTCCTCGAATTCTTTCTGCATATCTCCCTTGCCGAAATAGCCTAGGTCGCCTCGTTTTCTCGCCGAACTGCAGTCACTCTCGCTCATGGCGAGTTCGCCGAGAGACACGGAACCACTCTTAATCTTCTGCTCATGAGCCTTGATAATAGCCATAGCTTCTTCTTTGGTTCGAGTAATCTCACTTTCGCGCCAGCTTGCGGGTCGTCGACTATCGCGGTGCTTCACCAATAGGTGGGCGGCGCGGATCTTGCCCTCGGGTTTGCCAGCGGAGGAAATCTGGGACGTGGCCGAGTGGTTGGTAGCCATGTATTTCTTCAACTTCTCGGTATCGGTACCAGACGGAGGTTCCCAGCGCGAGACCTTATCATTCGCGTTGAAATAGTACGGGAGATTCTTGGAATTGCTGTGACGCACCTCCCAGTTAGGCGGTAATCCGGATTCAGTATCCTGATAGAAGCTAATGTTAGTGATCTTGTCGATACAATGATGATGAATGGGTCCGGGATATTTGCAATGCCGATCACTCTAGATTGATGGCTGACAGTTTCGGGACAGACTTACCATCTTGTGCTAGATATACGACTACAGTGCTAGAAATAGCAGACTAATATATTTTATTTATCAGGCCCTTCACAAGCCTGGTGTAGCAACAAACTACGTGTTGCTGCGATAATTGGGCTACCTAGGTAGACGTAATAGCGAACGGGTTAATTGTCGTTTATGGCAAAGAGGCTTGACAAGCCTAAGAAACAATTCCGGAAGCTGGTCAATTGGATTGCGATGAAAGAGCAGAAATTATACACTCAGAACGAGTTTATTCGAACGAGATGTGATTGTATTTGAATATAGTGAATAGGGAAAGCGAATGATGCAGTAACGTGGTTGTTGACGTTACTGTTGTTGATGACGATGATGCAAGCTGGTAGTCGGTTTTAGTTGCTGGGGATTTTAAGAATTAGGAACTGGATCGAATACCTAGGTGGATACCGTACCTGACCTAGGCAGGTAAGAGCGATCACGAGGATGCTGTCAGTTGAGCGGGGCAACCTGACGACGGAATGAGATGAAACGCGGGGTGACTGGGTGACAGTGTGATTATGTGATTCTATGTATTTTGTACAGTTTTAATAACTGGAAGAAATCCATGTGTACATAGGTACATCAGTACGTACTCACCGCTAAGAGCATTGAACAGGACGGCATTTAGTGCTAAACCTAAAATTACCTAGTCACCTAAACCTTTCCATCTTTCAATCTTTCTTCATTCAATGCCAACTCATACCATAAAACATCACCTTTCACTTCGCACGACTTTTGATATTTTTTTCATCAACAAGCCCGCATTAAAAGCAAACAACACGCCAACTCATTTCTATCGCCTGCCTAGGCATTTCCTCATAAAGGTAAACCCAACCACCAGTAAAACCAGAAAAGCCAATCATTTTTGGTCTTGCTAATTATCCTCAGGACCTCTCACATTTGTGGCAATCCTCGATTGCCTTATTCAACAAATAACAAGGAGACGGGAGACCCTGCACTATTAAGATGTCGTCGCCTGCTCCTAGCAACGAAGGCGACGCCCCCAAGAGCAGCCAGGAGCAAATAACATTTCGCTTCTGCTCTGAATGTTCTAATATGCTGTACCCTAAGGAAGATGAAGATGCGCACAAGCTACAGTTTACCTGCCGAACGTGCCAGTACACCGAGGAAGCCACCTCCTCTTGCGTCTTCCGCAATGTCATGAACAATGCAGCTGGCGAGACTGCAGGAGTGACTCAGGACGTTGGATCGGATCCTACGGTTCGTAGTGATGTTTCCTCTTACCAATCTCCCCATTCTGCTTCCATCACCACCACCACCCCTCCCTCTGCCGGCAAAGATGTGGCTATCTGTCTGAGATGTGGCGTGACCCTTCTTCATTGCCAATCATGTGAGGACCCTGCATCGATTGAGGAGTACAACCATTTCGTGGCCCACCATCCGGAATTCGCCTTAAAGAGATCTCTCAACATCTTACAATTCGCAACTTACTGGAACGTCTTGGATGACCAAGAACAAGCCACCTGGGCCGACAAATTCGCTTCCTGTGGACAACCCAATATCCCGAACTCTTCAGCAGATAATCTCGCCTCTTATCTTCCCATGGGCGGATTTCTTAGTGCCTCAGACGCAGATCCTCCCGAGGCGTACGAAGATCCCCCGGATGACAATGATGTATTCATGCTTGACTGATTGTACCCCCCAATCTCGCCCAACATGATGTTGTTCCACTTCCGGAGTCATACAGGAACTCCAAAGAGGAGATAGAGATAGAGCTTGTTGAACTCGATATCCTTCCCACTTTAGCATGGACGGTCTTACCCGAGATGGACCTATTGACCATGTTTTGGCCATTTCACATATTCCCCGGGGTTTCTCCCCTTCCACCATATTGCCATCAGACAGATAGCCCAGAAGCAGAGTATGCAAAATGACTCGACAGTATTTCAACACGGGGCATCTAGCTTTGGGGAACATGCGTTGTGTGTACTCTCTTGCTGAGCTTTGTGCTGACATGTGTTTCTGTCGTTTAGCTCCCTCGATCACCCAAGTCTTGCCCTGCGTGCAAGCATGAGGAAGCCGTCTACTTTCAATCGCAACAGAGAAATGCAGACACAGGCATGGTTAGTTTTTCCCTTCCTAGATTATCTCGGTGAGTGATGTGTCTAACAAGTTGACAGAAACTATTTTACGTGTGCTGCGGATGTGGTCACATCTTTCAATAATCGAGTTTTACCCGTAGTTGCTACGAAGATAGGGTAACGAGGATATCCAGAGACTTTTGATGCGACCACTAGGGTCATCTGAGATATTGCATGGAGTCGGCGTTTAAGAGAAAATCTGCGGTGGTTATCGACGATGCCATCATGGTAGGGAACTCGGCACTTTGATTTAGGGGGACACCGTAATAATGAATATACTCGCATTCGCATCACGAAGTTCACTCGTACACATAATACATGTTCCATGCACCATACTCCATACAGTTGACTAACACGACCAGAGTGGAATCTGTAGTACAAGCAAAATAAGTACTATCAACAATGTAGCGTGATAACTTCATATTTCGTAAATTCGATCAGGGGAGTAAATTACGATTTCGGCATTATGTGCAAGCTAGTCTCCGAGTTGTGCCAGTACACCCTTCCAATGCCTTCTCCATGCGCGTTACATATAGTACAAGATTGGTACAACTTGTGACCTAGTAATGCCTGTCCATCTGCCATCCTTTACCGGATTTTAAGACCATTTTTATTGTTTATCGGTATCGGTTTTATATGCCCTTGTCCATTCACGTTATTCGTACTCTCATATCGTCCAGGTATATTTCCTTCTGAGATAACATCTACGCATGAGCAGGCGCCATACTCAAGATCTTGCTCCATCCGCGTCTCCTCAATTCCGTTCCCACTACACCGTTTACACGAGTGCCAATTGGATCTCCCGCCTTGTTGATTAAGACGCAAGCATTGTCGTCGAAACGCACAACGCTGCCGTCGGGACGCTGGACTTGTTTCCTGGTACGGACGATGATAGCGTGTCTAATGTCGCCGCGCTTCACCTTGTTCGTGGCAGATGCAGTACTCATACCGGCGTCGCTAGCTCCTCGTTGCTTCTGGACGATAGCTACTATCCTGTCACCTGCGAGATGTCTCGGTTTAGTAAACAGCTATATATAAGACTATCGGATCGATCCAAGAGATGTTGAGCTAACGAATAAACCTACCGATCGTAGCATGTCTCTTCTGGCCGATGACTAGAGCGCATTCGACTAAGGCGGCACCCGAGTTGTCGATGCAATTAAGCATCGTCTATGACTTCGATTAATATACACGATATAGTAAAGCAGGTTTCGGGGTTGTCTTTTATTACCTTAAGTTGAATCATCTCGGTCGATATATACCCTTAACGCAGGGTACCAATCGCGGGGAATGCGATGCGACGGTATAAGAAAGAGGCGAGGATAATGGTTGGAGGACTTCTCTGAGGTTGAAATTTCGAGGCTCTGTCGAAAATCGTTTAAGGCTGAGATGTAAAAATGTGGTTTGATTGGTTCTTGATTCTGGGTCCCTGAACCTGGATCTGGTTAGCGGATATCAATCATCTGAGGGTTAGCTTGAAATGCGTGGTCCCGGCTCCGAATCTTCCATATATGGTTAAGATCTGCAACTCAAGTACATATGTACTGAGGTGCCTTATGTAATAAAATGGGACCATTTCGGGTCCGGGGGCCAGGGGTCGGAAGCCAGGGCTGCCAGGAACTTCCAATTGTGGCGGGCGAACAGACAAGGTAGGTGCGTCGCAATTGCGTCGATATTTTAATTAGTCTAAGACGGCAACGGCAACGGAAGAATCCATCTTAGTGAGGCTTGATCGGGCTTGATTTATTTAGATGGTGGCTCAGCTTTTCTTTCCCCTGGAGTTCCCTCCCGAATTGATCGACTGATTGCATCAGAGGGATCCACTTCGAGTATCTGGTTGACCTGCCACCCTCTTTTTTCCACTTTTCGCACTCCAAGCTTTCACCTTTTGCGCCCATTCGCAAGGGGCCGACACTGTCACCCACATTTGTTCGAAGTTCGTTCGAACTTATGTTATGGGTTCAACACTACTAGAATTGCGTTTCCGTTTCCCGTTTCTAATTCTTGTTTCTAGATTGGTTTTCACAAATAGATGTTCCAATTGATTTCTTCCGACGTTCATATCCCCGTCACAGGTTTCTCTTTCTTAACAATCAACTTCAATAGCAGTGCCATGACCTTCTTTTAGTATCAATGGGCATTGTCGTAATCAAAGGATACATCCATATATCCCCTTCTCCCTTTTCATCCTTGTCCCCCTTCCCTCATCCGTCTTCTTTGCTTCAAACTCCGCATGACGACGATATATACTCTCTAGCAGGACCTTCTCACCTCGTCAGCTTATGACAGCAACCTTTAATAAAAAGCACAGATAAGCGTTTATGCGCTGGCGCTTGGAGGAATCTGTTGTTCACCTCAACTCCGCCTCTTGACTTGCATTTCAGCCCTACTTGGAGACCACGTTTATTGCCAACCAGTGTCACCACTTGACCTGACTTGCATCTTACCCGCATACAAGAGGCCGACTCTTTTGGGGCCGTTGGAAGACTTAAATAACAACCTCACCAGCACAGTATTCTCAACCCGGTTCCCCAAATTTATCAACGTCGCCTCCCTTGGTTTCATTCCTACCAGCTGGTAACGCTGCTAGTCACGATGCCCCCCAAACCACCCACCGCCTTGAAGAAGCAACAGATTACCTTGGCGCAATTGTCATCATACGACGATATACTAACAGACGCATTAGTTGATCATGTCAGTGTGAACGCCCGTATCTGAAATACTAGGCCTTGTTTCTTAGGGAAAAGCTAACGTACTACCTCAGGCCTACTATTGGACCACAATCCCAAAGAACCGCCCATCTTATCACCCGTCAAGAGGTGTAAAAGAGGAGGAAATTGCGAAGATTGTTCAAAATCATCTTATTGTCGACCCGGATCTCGATACTGCCGAATCCAAGCTACTTGCGACAGACGGATTGCGCAAATTTTATGACGCACTGAAGACTCCTAAGGAGAAAGATGACTTCCGTGCTCATCTTCGTCGCTATATGCAGATCTATCTTCCCGAATGTCCTTACGAAGTCAGCTCGACGAATCGCTACACGATTGTCACCCATGAGGCTGCCATAACTGCACGCAAGTACATCAGGAGGGGGCAGCCGATTAAATACCTTTCTGGTATCCAGGTGTTAATTACGGAGAAGGAAGAGAAGGAACTATCCAAGAGAAAGAAAGATTTCAGCATCGTTGTTAGCGCGAGGAATAAGTGCGCAAGCTTGTTCATGGGACCTGCACGATTCGCGAACCACGACTGCGGAGCCAATGCGCGTTTGATGACTACTGGCCAAGCAGGAATTGAAATCATCGCGGCGCGCGACATCGAAGTAGGGGATGAGATTACTGTCACATACTCCGAGAACTACTTTGGCGTGGATAACTGTGAATGCCTATGTAAAACATGCGAGGACAATCTGGTGAACGGGTGGGAACCGGCTGACGGTACTGTGGCTGTAAAGAAGAGTATCGAGGCAATAACTGTAGAGGGCTACTCTCTGCGCCATAGGAGGCGAGACGATAGTTGCGCCTCTACCTCTCGAACCCCTTCTGTCACCCCTGATATTCGACCTAGGATTCTGAAGACACGCTCCAAGACTCTGAAGGTGGGCTCAGAACGAGCGTCCACCCTTGGGTCTCCTGCCCCCCAAGGCATTTTGCGCCAGAAGCGAAAACGTGAATTTGAGTCACTCCAGTCACCACCTGTCACGCCAAATAAAAAACTGAAGACGCTTCAGCACGAGATCCAGGCCGTACCTACTCTACCGAGCTTATCCAGGCGAAGCAGCGATGAAGATTCAGTTAGCGCTCGCTCTTCAGGGCGTGAAAGCGTCGACGTGATGTCAACAGACGTAACAACACCTGAAGAAGACATTAAGGAGCCTCTTCTTAGTTCACCAATTCTGACCCCAGTCAAACTACCAGCGAGCCCTTTGAAACTGGAAGATTCAGAGACGCCTTCTCTTTCCGAAATTACGTACACCCCGACAACTCCAGTTACTCAAGATTCAATTGCAGTAGCGCCATTGCCTACTATCGAAAGCATGACCCAAACTAGTGACGTGATTATAGTGACACCTCCATCCAGTCAAGTTGAGGAACAGCCTTCAGACGTCATTACTCTTCCACCTTCAGTCACACTTGAGATTTCCGCCGCCGTCGCCGACTTAACACAAGTAACCGAGCCAATTCTTGTGCCTACTGAGCCAACTCCCAATAACGAACTTACTCCCAAACGAGGTCGTCCCAGAGGCAGGGCCTCAAAGGCCGAACTCCCTGCAATCAGCCATACAGTCGAGGAACATGCACCTCCATCTCGCACTCGGATTCCAGGGGATTACACGCTTACGCCACTCTTACTTTCCGAACCTAACACTGCCTGGATACACTGCACTGTGTGCAACGAACCATTTGTACAGCAGAATGCTTACTTTACGAGAAGCTCGTGTCCGCGGTGTGAACGGCACTCTAAACTGTACGGTTATCTATGGCCTAAGACGGAGAAAGAGGGCAAGCATGATAAGGAGGAGCGCGTCCTAGATCATCGTACTGTCCATCGATTCTTGACAGCAGAGGACGAAGCTAAGATCCGCGGACGAAAGTTACCCTTCGCTGCTAGCGCTTCTACTTCTAGTAAGGAGACACCAGAGAGAAGGGGAAGAGGTCGACCTCGAAAGATGCGCCTCGGCTCGGATCCAGAGGATGAATTCTACGATGGAGAGGATGATGAACAGAACGGCGTCAGACGGAGTATGAGAAGACGACAACCCAGTCTAAAAGCTGTTAGCTAGCACGCAAAAGTTGGGATAACCCTTGACTGGGCTAATTGGTCGAATTCGTAATTGCAATGTGGAATCCTAGTGATGGTGATGGTGATGGTGATATTGACCGCAATCTGAATCGAGCTTGTAACATTATTCTTCCAGGCATATCGACGGCGTTTCTGTGCCATAGCGTTTGCATTGCTTTCTAGTTGGATTGTATACTAGTTACATATCTGCCATCTACTATCAAATACGCTGCAGTACAGTAGGTAGGCAGTTTTTGGCAATAATCAAATTAAATATTTGCATAATTCCTCATTCTTGTAGCTCATCGCTATTTCTACTATGTATGAATTAGAAGTGAAATAATATGCTAGGGGCACTCAGGTGTTGGCGGTATCCGCCGGAAACTGGGGGAGCTGAGCCATCTGTGACGTCATATATCATGTCCGGTTCGTATGTCACTGCGCGTGTCAGGGGCGGAGTGGCTGGTTGCTGCTTCTTGAAACAGTTAAATGAATCTGACGTAAGCAAAATGAGCTTTATCCGTCTCTCCTCATTACGAACTTACGACTTTAGTTTGAATATCTGCCTGAACATATCCTACAACTCTACAACTTCGCCGTTGAATCCATATTGCTACTTTAGATTCTTTCACAACTCACATAGCTATTTGAAGCTAACAGTCTACAATAAGCTTCAGCTTTCCTACTAAAGAGTCCCTAGTTGGTCTAGACTTCGATAAATTCCACTACTTAGTTTAGCTCATTATTCATACCTAGTAGTCACCCCACATTCAAGGCATAATGGGTCGCTGGTCTCAGTACGATACTGACGAGGAACGCCTACCTGAGGGTATGGAACGTATTGGCTACGACGCCGACACTCAGACGTATACATTTCGTGACTCCGACGGTGGCATTTGGGAGAGCGCACCTGGTAATCGTTATGGCCAACTTCATCGCGTTAATACGACCTTCCCACCTTACGGCGACGATACACACGATGCTACCGAACCACTGCATGAAGCGACCGAAAACACATCGTGGCGACACGAGATGGGACCCCTACTCAATTGGTTTTTACTAGTCGGCTTATTTCTACTCTTCATCTTCTGGTTTATTAGCCGTACGACCGAACGGGTCGCTCCAATTACTTGCGGCGACCACAGCAGCCCATACCAGATCAAATCAGGCGACACCTGTTGGGCAATTGCCGAGGAACATCACCTCTCACTAGACTCTATCATGCATGAGAATCAGGGTCTTGATTGTGACAGGCTGGCCCCTGGTGGCACCCTCTGTATTCCAAGGGTCTAGATTGCGTAGCTGCGCTACACACCTAAGCCGATACATCCATACTCTCTACACAACCTTAACAAATCTATCCGGGGGACATAATCCACGACTTCACATATACCACTACACGGTCATCCTCGATCTAGGCTTAGGGCAGCAATACGAACCTGACGTTTTTAACAAGAACAAACTTTTTGTAATAAGGGCGTGCATTATCCGCTAGATCTGGGATACCACTCCAGCCATTTCATCGTTATAACCACCAATTCTTCTGGTCGGGATCAAAGAAGTCCCATCCCAACCTGGAAGCCAGCACCGAGAAGTCGACTGCGTCGATGAACCGATTTTTCGTGTCGCAAGGGAACACTACATATTTATTACTTTCTAGAACCGCCGAGACAATCTGGGAATGTACTCCCAAGGGCGAGGACCCTGACTCTGATACCATGCCCAAAAAGATGTTGTGTTTGTGTGCTTGCTGAAATAGATAAGCACCTACTTGCGCGCGCCATGGGTGGGGGCGTTAATCTGAAGCCACACAAGACTCAAGGGTCCGCTTGTGATATTGACTTAACTTTTTATCGAAGACAAATCACTGTTCTGCCTTTCCGGGCTCCAAACCCCTCCACAGCCCGTTTGTTGTCCACGTCTAAGAGTTTGAGGAACACATGGATGGAGAAAAAATAACCCGGTAACGCTAATGTACGGGACCTGTGTAAACTCATCGATGAAGATGCCTTCGAATAGGTCTTTCTGAAGCTCTCAGGTGAATATATCGCTGTTCTAGAGTTTTAGAGGGCTGGAGATGTCTAAGTTGGCAGTGAACGGTTTAATGTAGCTGGTGTCTTTCGTCAAGAAGTCAACGGCGGATTGGAATAAGGCTTCGTATTCGTAACATTGTGCGGTGACAATGCTTGGGCGAATGGTGGGTGGCGCTTTCGGGGACTTCTCGTCGCCACCCGGGGATATATATGTACTCGTTTTGCCACGGCTCTGGCTGGGTCTTTGGCCATGGCGATGCTAGTTCCTATTGATCAGGTACCTAGTTAGAAATAAATGGAAGATATTCATACCTAGGTATATGGGATCTCATCTCTTCTACTGCCGGTGATGGCGGCGATGATTCTGTCTGGGTAGGTAGGTATTCGAAATAGATGCGATGTATCCGTTTTAGGATATCTTTGACGTGGAACAGAAGCCCACGTAAAAGGATCTATGTCGATTGTTAGGCCTGTGAATTGAGGAGATGAAGTTACAATCATCGATGCTGTACGATCTGCCTACTCAGCGGAAGACAAATCCTCAAACCCTTTCCATTATGGGCCAGATCTATGACCTTTTGATAGCCCAACTTTTTGATGAGTTAGTAGGATATTGACAATGAATAGAGTTTAGTGGTACGGCAACAGCTTCGATAGGTAGTGTCATGTCTGCAATAAGTGGTAGTCGAAACTTGGTGGTCGTTCTGACGTCTCTTGGGCAGCAATAGACGGGGATAACGACAATTTCAGTACAGGAAATTGCCATCGTTGGCCATTTCATGACAGGCAATGGACTTTCACATCGGCTCAGAACTCCTGTGGATGATCTAAGAGACCAAGTGACCGCCTTTCGAATTCCCTCTCCATCCCCGATTCAGACGACGCCGACAGTACGAAGTCCTTCGGTAGTTTCACACCATTGCCATGTTATTTCGATACAGTAAAGGGGTTGGCTGCGAGGGTGTAGGTGGATGCCGATACGCGTCTCTTCGCTTCTAAATCAATATCATGGTGTTGAAGTGAAGTTTCCAGCCCTCGGAATACGACATCAGGGCGCCGTCGACAATACCATGTGATGGAGATATCTAGACGATGCATTAACTATCGATCCATACAAGAAACTAGCTTCATGGCAGAGTATCTATCAATAGACTTGCGCAGGCAAGTACAAAGGGTAGGTAACAAGCAGAATCCCCTACCCCTATTCAGCGTAACGGGTTACAGCAACAAACAGGTTTTTTCAAGCCGATGTAACAAAACCCGCTGAGTTGCGCAGGATATGAAGCGAATTTCTGGTGTCGTCGTGGCCTACCCAGGGGCTGTTGGCCTTGGTTTCAGCTCATTTGCGGCTCTTCCCAGCTGAACTGGGCTGACAGGCACAACGTCCATGGATCGCCATTCCGCCTTGCGCATGTGGGCTTCAGCACTAATTGATAGCATCTCCAATTGCATTATCGACTCCGTCTAGATTTGGATCTACGCCACGATTGCGGCCTACTAGCAATTAATGCGTTTGTCCCGCGTTCACGTCATTGTACGTTTCACGATTCAAGATGTCGGCTTGGCGCTTCTTGCATTTTTGGAGATAGGGAGAGACGGTGACTTCGCCAGCTTGAGTATAGAAACAGACTTACGAATTTGGAGGCTTAGACATATTATTGGAGAGTGTTTATTGAAACGATATTACCTAATTCTTCATGCGAAGAGTGGTGTTTCAAGATCTTCCTCTTTGGGACGAACAGCGTTGACTGTTATTCCCAGGTCCGATCATTCAAGCCGGGACAATTGAGCACGCCATGGAATCTACCGTTCGGACGCGCCGTGCCATAGCAGTGCCAATTCCGGTATAAGATGCGCTGTATACTTGACAATTCCGGCGGCGAGTTGCTTCTTGGGACAAAGGTGAAACGCGAGATCCCGGATTATGCCATCTGCCGAAAACATTGCGTCGTCCGAAGCATGTCGCAGATCTTCAGATCTCCGAGTCCAATTGACGGCGACGCACAACATACTGTCTATTGGCTCAGACAGTCTGGGGATGGTCGATCTCACGCCAAGTGCATTTTGCCTGAATGATCGAAGGTCATGGCCATACGAGGTCAAAGTCGTGTCGACTTACGTCGAACGTGTCGGAGCCCTAGTGAGGTTATGTAAATAGTATCATAGCCCACCGTGCGCCCCGCAAAGAACGCGAGTCGCGTTTGATCTTCGTGAGGGTTTGATCCCAGGGTCGATTCAACGAGCATCACCTGTTGATCTGGCGAGGAGATGGGAAGAATTATGGGAAGAACTGGTGGATGAGAAGAATACAAATAGATGGCATGATTCCCCGAATGAAGATATTCCAGCATCAGCATCAGCATTCATCTCAACAATCAGCCTTTCTCTTCAAACTTTTCAGTTCGATATCAATTCATTCTTTCGACCAGGTGTCGCTCGCTTCGTACACTTCACGCACATACTTCACCAAGTAAATTTCAAAACTTACCAACCACTCTCTTCAAAATGGTTCGCATCGCCGCCGCCGCTTTCCTTGCTTGTAAGTTCTTCCGCGATCAATCCTCATCTCGCATCTTCCAGGGCAGAGTCGAAGCTAATAGCATCTTATCCATTAGTCGCCTTCACGGCCTTTGCTCAAGTCACCCCCAACAACGCCGGTGCCAAGAACGTTGGCCAGGGCAACGGACAGCAATTCATCACCGGAGGTTGCACTGCGGATGCTGTAAGTGATCCTTCTTCGCCGACCCCGCGGGTTGCGATATAATATGCCGATAACTCGATCGGACGCTAATGGGATTCCAAACAACAGGACTGCCAGTCGGCTTGCTGCGCTGAGGTCCAGTCATCTGGTCTCGGAGTCTGCTCTGCTGAGGCTGCCTCTAACCAGAACGGAAAGCTTGGCTGTGGCTTCGTTGACCCCAACGCCGCCTCGACCATCGCCAACGCCCAGGCTCAGGTCAAGAAGCAGGTGAGTCTCTCATCTTCATAATACCTATCTATAAGAGAGTGAACAGTGACTGATCATATTGGCCTTTAGGGATTCTAAGCTTCTCCGCAAAATGATTGATGGGATTCGTTGTTGATAGCTCGACTCCCTGTGGTGGATGGTGTACTGATAACGTTCGCTGGATACCTATAGACCTATAGACTAAGCCCCGGTTTCAAAATGTATTAGTCAATATAAATACATTAGACGCCGATCTTACAGTCCCGATTCCGGGCATTCCGCTGATGTAGATGTGAAACTGAAATGTAGTGTAAAGGCCGCCGACTTTGTGTTGGACAGCTCTTGGTGGCAGCGGTTCCAAGAAACCAAAGTCGCACAGGTTTGCAAGATTTTTATTAGTCGCGCTCCCGCTTTACGAGCAGCGTGGCGCGATTCCAGGCCCATGTGACGTGGCTATGCGTTGATGGCTTCTCTGACACCCCCCTATTGGTCAGTTGGAGGTTGATAATATCCTATTTGGCCATGTCCGTCATCGCCAGTCCAATTCATTCATCTCTACACCCTCACCACAAAAGCATTGTTACGTCCGAATGACAACTCGAAATCTTTGTGCCTTACTGACAGAATTGAAAAAGATGCTTTGTGCTGCTACGCTTGTTGCTGAACCTAGATCTCGTTGTTTCTGCTTTTCATGACACTACAAATGCAAATAACCAGTCCGACCCCGCGCCGATACTCTTTAAGAGGCCTGTATTTTAATAGAATAGAAGAATAAACATCGGATCATGGCGCAAGTTCAACGGAGCAACTATCTCCCCTATATTCAACAACACCTCGATACCCAAGACGACGTAGACGGAACGATTTTAGAAACTGTGTGTGGGATATGTCAGGAGAACAAGCTGGACATTTCGAAGAGCGCTAGAGAATTCACATCATCTGCCGCACCCCCGCCCGAGCATTTCGAAGCTCACCCGTGTCTTTTCAACTATGCAAGACACGGCATCGAGCGGACCGTCGCCCTCGCATGCGGCCACGTTTTCGGCGACCGCTGCATCAGCGACGTGATAGCACCCGGATCAGACCTCACCTGTCCGTCCTGCGGATTCCGGATGTCGTATCGAAGCTGCGGGCACGTCATACGACCCGCTCTCCTCCCCGTCGCAGGCGACGAGCCCATCCGAGACCGATTCCCGACCACGATCGCCGAGGGCGGGAGCGACCCGCACAACTGCACGGAATGCCGATGGAAGCTCATCCGCACGAACCTCCGCTACATCCTCGCGGACGAGTGCGTCACCTGTCGGCAATGGGCCCTCGCGCGCGTGCCCCTAGACACGACGACGCATCGCACGCACCGCGAACAACACATCAGCCTCGGATTACGACACGCTTTAGACGACCTCGTCGCCCTGATCTGGCCGGAATTCGTGACGCGCGAGACAGACACGTCGGCGATGAAAGCCGCGACAGATACCGAGCGGCGGCAAGTCCATGTCTCGCTGCTCTACGCGATGGTGCTGTCGGAGCTGGAAGACACGATCTGGTACCGCACGAAAGCGGGCAAGGGGACCGCGCTTACTAAGGAACAGGCGAGGAAACACGCGCGTGGCGTCGCGGCGGTCGAGCAGAGTCTTCTGGGGTGGTTGATGAATTCGTCGCGGGAGGTTAGACGGATGTGGTAGGGCTGTTGTTGTGTATTATACATACCTGCCTAGGTGCTTGAGGTATGGATCCCTTGATACATACTTACATGGATACATGTTGTTTTACCTAGGTCCTGGGTAGATAGTATCTAGGTGCATTACACATGGAAATGTGTAGCTAATGATGAATTAAATACGATATACGAAGTATGTACCTAGGTATGTATGATATGTGTATGTTATAAATAGCTGGAACGGAACTGTCTAGCTTGACCAACATATGATGTTCTGATGTTCTGCATATTTTCCCTGGTTCTCTTACCTAGTGCATACCCCCTGGACGTTAACTGTGCCTCTTACTGTAGGGCTAGGTGGGTCACACATCGTCGGCATTTAAGTGAATTCCGCCCTATGCATTGCCTTATCATTACCTAGTAGGTACCTAGATACATATGTACATTCCCGTCGCCCCCTTGACGATGTTTGAGTCACACCAATAACAGCCTGCCGTTTGGATGCAGGCTGGCAGGTAATCTCCAAGGCGCCAATGTGGCGGTCCGCGATCTAGGTATGTTGGGGGCAGATAAAATTTTATTTCTTCACCAAATCCAAACCATTTCTTAGTGGCGAAAAAAATGTACGGCAGCACGGGAGCCTGTAGGTGCCTGCAATAAATTTTTCTTTTTGAATTTTGCTTCGGTTAGATGAGTCTAACCCAGGATGATACGGATCGTCAAACTGTTCAAAACCAGCCACATTCTAAGATCTCCCCGCAGATCCATTTTTGGAAATGAAGTAAAAACCTGGCTCAGATTAGATCACACAGCCCCGGGGATCGACTATGTCGTGCTGGATGTAAGAACTAGTTTTGACTAATTATTATATACCTAGGTAAATTGTGGAAAGAGTATAATCCTCTCTGCCTCTATATTAGAGTTGTGGGTATATGGTGGATTTTACGTTACTGTTATAACATCGTTTCAAGTTAGATACATGATTATCCCCCGAGATCCTTCAACGGTTCGAAGTCTCAGCCGCACCCGTCCTGCCGCCTTTCCACTTAACCTTGCTCATGAGGTTTGTTGGTGAGCGCCTTGTCACAGATCCGCGAGTGTCATAGGCTCGAGGGCTGCTGTGCCGCAAGACCGGTATATATCTGGACATCACAATGTGACATCGAAAAGAGGAGTCAATACCTTGATGCTTGGCTGCTAGGTAGGCTGCGCTTCTGCCTGGACAATCCAACCTAGCTGCATATTTGCTAGGTAGATATGCGTCGGTCGTATATATGAACATTAAGTAGGTAGGAGGTAGTTAATAGAAAGTTCTGCTCTGTTCCCTTTCTCTAGAACTTTCTGTTTACTTTCAACGAAATTTGCGTAGTTGGATCATATTCGACTGGTCAATTTCTTCACCAACCATTATACCCTGTCCCAAGACATTGGTTACTGACCTATCACCTAATCATCATGTTGAAGATCGCAGCGATGGCTGTAAGAGCCTTCTTGGTAAGTTGATACGCGTCTGAGCTGCTGTTACCCGACCATCGTACTGATCAACTTCTAGCTCCTTTTCGGAGCAGTGGTTCTAGGCCTCTCTGTCACTCTCGCAAAGCAACAGACAGTTGGCTCGCCTCCGTCAGAAACCTCGTTTGGCAGCTTCGTGGGCGCGTTCGGTATCCTGATCTCCCTGGTTGGCTTTGGAGCTCTCTTCATCGACAAGATCTCCGCCATCGCAATGATGGCTGCAGATGGTGTTGCGACAGCACTCTATCTCGCAGGCGCTATTGTAAGTCAACTTATTCTACCCTTTAGCTTCGTATATTTTTCATTCAGTACTGACACCAAGCTATCATAGGCCTTGACTGTTGCGCTCAAGCCAGTACCGAGCTGTACATCCAATGATGATCTCGCTCGTTTCCAGCGATTTCAGAACAAGCTCTTGAACGGTGGATGCCAAGATGTTGCAGGCAACCAGATCTGCCCTGGAGTTCCCGAAGAGTCAGTGCTGAACGGCCGCTGTCAGCGAGTCCAAGCCGATTACGTGTTCGAATACTTAGCTTTCGTTTTCGGCGTCGCTGTCATCGGCTTAAACTTCGTTGTTAACAGGAGCGGAGGAGGCAGAACCGCCGCATATGTTTAAATGTTTCTGTTAAAACCATTGCGATCATTACTAATGAGGTTAGCGACAAGAGAAGGGAGGATTGGTACACATACTTGTTGCTGTGTTGAGTTGCTTGTGAATAATGAGGAAATTTTACGAATACCCCTTAGAAAGTTGGAAAGGCCTTCTTTCTTTATTTCCCAACAATCCTTGATGCAATTAAATATTATCTGCTTACATACTAGGTGCTGAGAGATTACACAGCCTTTAGGTAGTTCCACGAATCTATAACATGTTTCGAAATCCATACCTCTTTCAAATACGTGCAAATTTTCATTTGCGCTATAATCCATTGGAAAAAGCTTATTGATCTTTGTCTAGGCTAGGGATCTGAAGCTTCATTGTCGATAACCCGATCACACGTGCTGCTTCTTAGCAGGGGTACCTAGTCTCAAGAAACAACGAAGAAGCTTTACCTTGATCAGAGCCAAGGTTTTTAGTAGAATGGGTTAGGACGGTAAACTACTCGAGTTTGGATATACACTCATACCACAACATCGGCTTCCTTCCAGAATCTTCAAGGTTACCGCCGACACCAGCTTTAGCGCCTCCACTGAAGAGCTCTTGGCAACGATGGCACTCCCCGCTCTTCGGGCTGGGCATCCAGGCACGAGTATCTGCCCTCTTTTCTTATTGGTTTGAACTAGTTGACATCAATATTTGATATAGAGTACCTATGCATCCGTCCCGACTGGATGGGTTGGTATGGTGATATTTTGGAGTGATGATAAGGTTATTCCCTGTCAAAACGTGCGCGACGATGTGAAATATCTGATATTGCCCAAGGGTATGGCGTTTTATAAAAGGACTTGGTCGCCATGAGTGGCTTCGGATTGTCCTAGTTTTAGTAGATGCTGTGTCGCAAAGATTCAGGCCTCAAGGTACCATTGCCTATATCGCGAAGATGGTGTGTTATAATCGGTCAAGTCTCCAACTCATATACGAACAATCATTGACACGTTGTTATAGTTTCCAAAGGCGAATATATTAAGCACCCTCGTGCTATGCTGTGAGAAACCCTTATAACTTCTTTGAGTTGCAACGTGATTAACATCAAATTTCAACAGGGCAAGCTACAGTATCGAACTGTAGCTACACCAAAAATGGGCTCAGGTGGTCCAACTCCGTTCGAATGAACCAGGTCCAGGTACGAAGTAATATCCCTCCTAAACTGCGAACATATGTGCTGACCAAGATGATCTAGGTCATCGGAACGCACAATTCATACCATCGGGAATCTCCCTTGGAAGCCCGCGCGGTGCAATCTCAACTACTTCCAAACGTTATAAACTACTACTACTCCCACGCGACCCTCGACATACAAGCGTCATACCAATCCGTCCGCAGCTTCGAGCTCGATATCTTCGCCGACCCCGATGGAGGCCGCTACGCGAATCCCCTCGTGATCCGGAACTCGAGCACGGCGCTACCACCCCAAGACATCATGAACAAGCCCGGCGTAAAAATCCTCCACGTAGCCGACGCCGACGTATGGCCAAGCTGCTACACCCTAATCGACTGCCTAACCGTCGTCAAGACCTGGTCACAAGCACACCCGGACCACGTCCCAATCCCCTTCATGATCGAATTCAAAACCGCCGAAACCGGCACCGGCGGCTCCGTCCCCCCTCTCCCGTGGAACAACAGCGCCCTGCTAGACTCTCTCGACGCCGAGATCCGCTCCGTCTTCCCTCCCTCCAAACTCATCACAGCAGACGACCTGCGCCGCCCGGACCTCACCCTCGAAGCATCCGTGCTGCAACACGGGTGGCCGGACCTCGACTCCGCGCGCGGCCGCGTGCTGTTCCTCATGGACAACGCGCCGGGCCCCATCCGCGACGTCTACACCTTCAACCGCCCGAACCTCGAGGACCGCGTCATATTCACGAATTCCGTCCCCGGGTCGCCGGACTGCGCGTTCCAGAAACTGAATGACCCGCGCGGGGAAGCGAATCTGGCGAATATACAGGCGCAGGTGCGGGCTGGGTACTGGGTGCGCACGCGTGCGGATGAACCGTTGACGACGATTTTGGGGAACGATAGGACGGCGATGAGGGACGCGGCGTGGAGGAGTGGTGCGCAGATCGTTAGTACGGATTTTCCGGCGTATGGACTTACGAGCCGGTGGGGGGTTGAGTATGCGGTTAGGTTGGAGGGGGGCAGGGCGGTTAGGTGTAATCCGGTGACGGCGGGGCGGGGGTGTGGGTTTGGGGGGTTGGAGCCGGAGGGGTATGTTAGGGGATAAGGGGTGGTGTTGGGTGGTTGATTCGTGTACATATAATAAGTATGATAGGGTAATATGATTCCATCGAAAGCTTTTCTTATTATCACGATCCTTTGACGGAGTTGACTAAGAATATCTGTTATGGGGTAGTGGTTATGGCGTGGTGTTCAATTTTGTCGCCTCCCCCCCTTTTCCGTAGTTTCGGGACTTGATGCGGCGCCTAGTACCAACAGATAACCAAAACCGGCAACCAACATACCATTTCGGTGTTATTGAACGCGAATTTGGAATCTTATCGTTCTAAATTGGGATATCACGTAACTAATATCTGTTCTAACATAACAATAATGTTTCAGGTTAGCTATGAAAGATGTCGAGGTATAAATATGTCTGGGAACCTTTTTACGACAGGGGCAGTATGTGCCGGCGGCAAGATACTAGATATCGTATTTTCTTTAATCGCAACCGCTGGTAAAATCAGACGTTCGCACGAGGTGAAGATGCCAGTCGGTGTTGTTTGGTCCCATGATGGTTAGGCTATGCTAACATTGTTATAACATGTTGAACACCCTGACTGTTATGAGTGCCTGGTATGTCACAGCGGCTGGTTCTGAACTATGATTGAGCAGTCCCGAGAGTCGGTTAGAACTACAAGTCGGCGGCAATCTTCGATCTAAATAAGATTCACCTTACGAGTTTCAAATGAGTATATTTTCTATGCTCCAAGGTGGGCAATAGGGCCTTGAAGGTTAGGGTTGGACCTTGTAACAATTTCTTTCTGGCAATGGTCACCCTTAGGTACATACTTAATGGAATATATAGGTACTGAGTGGATAACCCGGGTTTTCTCCTCATTATGCTTCGAGATTGGTAATTTGGTCTTTGATGGAAACTTATTTAACTTGCCAACGACAACTCAATCAAGAAGTCGACACACTTAAGATGATTGCTCGTGTTAGTCGCGTTTTCCGTATGTGTATGAAAATTCATATCCGGAGAGACTTCTCTAACTATATCAGGCCACACCGAGGCTAGGATTATCATATATATTTTAATAGCGCTTCTGTTTCTGTGCTATGGTGGGTTCCCATATGAATCATCTTGGTACGCTCACGTTACTTATACTATACTCTAGTACTAGTTTTAATAGGTTGTGTGTCGGCTACTCCAGGAATTTCGGATTTTTTTCTTCTCAAGTTACAAGCTAAAGGACAAGAAGTCGAAGTAAGAGTTGGATACTATGGTAAATGAGTCGATTCACCACTATTATGTTGATGACTAAACTGGGCATATAGGGATGTGTGTAACGAAGGAAAAAGGTGATGGTCTGAGATGCCTCGTCACCTACACGAGAACACCAGAGACGATCAACAGCACATTTTTAACCGATTCAGAAGATGCGACTCAGACAAGTATTGTCAATGAGCTTCTACTACAGGCTGACATCATTCAGAACAAGATATTCTACGCGCTCTTGGCAGCGTCTGGTTTCTTGTTCGTGGTCGCTGTTATATCAATGCTCTTTCTCAAACGATATATGAAGAGCAGCAATCCAAACGCATGGAAACAGAAAGCGCGATTCAAGTCCGGCATGCGTTTCTTCATCCAATATGCATTCGGTCTTGCAGTCGCAGCGGCATTCTCGACTACACAAGTTACGGGTGCGTTGAACTTCGCAACAGGCGCGATGATGAATCCCGAGTCTAGAGTCCTCATTACAGGTGGAAAGGTTCTTGAAGTGATTCAATGGGCAATAGTCGCTTTGCTGTGCTTAGTTCACCTCGCGACATCTGCTATGTCCTGCGCTGACGGCTCTGCAATGAAGGGGGATATGCTTGAGGGGGCGTCCTTTTGAGCATAGAGAAGGCCTACCGCTATCTACGCTCTGATGCGCTTGGGTTTTCCTCACAATGGCGATTGAGAAATAAGGATGATACCCAGAGCGTGTATTTTAGAATTTGCTATTGTTAGCGTCGGACTATGGGAGCGATCCTAGTCTGATGTGCCATTAATTGACTTGTGTATTTCGTATTCATACGTATTTAATTCATAAAACCATGATATTTCTAGAATATCAATATGTTAGCGGAATGAGATATGTCAGGATTGAAATGAAGAAAGCAATGCAGGAGCGTGGAATTGTTGAAGTAAGCTGAGCTGAGCGGAATAAATCTAGGGGGCTCAAAGCTCCCTGAAATCAAGAGGGGCGCCTGGAAAAGTGGAAATTGTAAGTACCGTCTCGCTTATTTAGTATGGGCTGGTACCTAATGTCTGCTGTCTCTTCGGCGACTCAGCGTGTTGGAATGACCAACATGCTGAGTGACTTCGATAAATTTGATTCCCATTCCTTCTGAAAAAGTAACCCAACGCCAACATCGTCGCGTCAATACATAGGTAATGTCTACGTGCCCTCATTTAGTTAGCCTGTCATTGTCCAAGATTGGGCGCCTGCACGTCCTGAATCTCTATCTGGTAGGCACGTCACACATAGGACGTCCTCTATCCTGCATGGTTTACCATTCAGAATTAACACAAGTTTCCTGTAAGCAAATGTCGGGCGATGGAAGAGTTGTTGCCGACACTTCCAAGATGCCTAGAAACCAAGTAACTAAGACTTCGGATAGGGACAGCCGAGATGACTAGGAATCGAGAACCCGATGATCGCCGGCATTTGACTCGGCTTTCTCCCGAGTACGATCCGTTTAACATGGACTGTATTGACAGCGCTTATTGCCGAAAAATGGGTAGACATCGTGGAGGTTTGGCCGGCGTAAGACCATGATAAGGCGACAACCATAATCATGGTTCGTACCTACCTACCTCCTAGGCACCTAGTAGGTGCTGGTTTCGTATTGAGATTGATGGGTATCCGAATCACCCATATTTTGGTTACGAGATGGTGAGTTTGGCGATGCGATTAATTGTTGAATTTTTGAAGAGGATGACGCCGACGAATGTGCGTTTCGGTAATTTACCTAGGTACACTTTAACCAACTATCCCTTATATTACCTAACCAATACCGACTGTTGGTTGATTTGCTCAAGTAAGCAATCCTGGGGATACCGAGAACACAGTACGAAACAGTAATATTAATACATGTTGCACTCATTTTGAGCCCATCAGGCCTGCATGATGTGCTCGATTGTGCTACATCGTACATTTCGTACTTGTACGAGTGGAAAAAGGCATATCTGATTCGTAATAAAAGTTCGGTTTCCTAATATGATCTATCAACATGTAAATACCATTTTTATCTTCAATCACAACACGCGGAGTGATTTCCACAATCGATATTGAAGAACAGGGACCGGGAAGCCGGGTAGGAGGCCCGGAGCGGTGAGGACTCCCAGAATCTCACTCCGCACTGGCCGAATTGCCAAGTAGACGTAGCGTCATCGAATCCATGTCACCATGCAGGCATTCGGGACAAAGAAATCATGTCAAATAGAACCTAAACCTCCACATTTAGAAGAGAATTCGGTCCCTCACCCTTTGTCCAAGTCTGCTTCCCTAATGCACTGACATAGCGTAGCCTCGATGTTGTCTTCGTTGGTAGCGGCTCTATTAGCGCCGCCCGTCGCATCTGCGGCTTCGGGTTATGTGCAATCACCACCAGTTTTCCCCTCCCGTGAGTCTTAAAAGAATGCGATGAGAATGTTGAGCTTATCGCTAATATGCGTCGATAGCATCCGGGAAAGGTGTAGGTGTGTGGGCAGGCGCATACGAGAGTGCCCGTGAATTCGTAGCTCAGATGACACTAGAAGAAAAGGTCAACATCACGCGCGGTTTCGCCGTTGGCGATAATACTTGTGCTGGTAATACAGGAACTGTACCCCGGCTAGGATGGCCGGGCATGTGTCTTCACGATGCCGGAAACGGAGTCAGGGCTACCGATCTAGTTAATTCATACCCGTCGGCAATTCATGTCGGCGCTAGTTGGGATAGGAACTTGACGTACGAAAGAGCCTATTACATGGGACAGGAGTTTAAGGCAAAGGGAAGTAGGTATACATGAGTCTTGCTATGATCTTTAAAATAACGGTGAACTTACATGCTCTTACCAGTCAATGTTCTGCTTGGACCTAATGCTGGTCCTCTGGGACGAAGCCCCTTAGGCGGGAGAAATTGGGAGGGTTTTTCGGTTGACCCGTATTTGTCTGGACAATTGAACGCCGACACAATTGTTGGTCACCAAGATGCTGGTGTAATTGCAAACATCAAGGTTTTTATCCCATATGCCGGTTTACGATCTTATTAGGGGTTGCTAATTGTCTTCGCTTAGCACTTCATTGCAAATGAACAAGAAACCTACAGGCGGCCATATTTTGGCGTCGAGGCAGTTTCCGCTAATATCGACGACAAAACTCTCCATGAATTTTACCTCTGGCCATTTATGGATGGCGTGAGAGCCGGTGTGGCCTCGGTTATGTGTTCATACAACCGAATCAACAGCACGTATGCATGCGAGAACAGTAAATTACTGAACGGAGTCCTCAAATCAGATCTCGCATTTGACGGATTCGTACTCCTTGACTGGAACGCCCAACACAATCTCGAGAGTGCGAACGCAGGACTGGATATGCTCATGCCCGGTGGTGGGTTTTGGGGAAACAACTTAACCCAGGCTGTTCACAACGGATCTGTTACTGAGGACAGAGTCACTGATATGGCAACTAGGTAAGAGGCTATGAGTTAAGTCACTGAATTACTGCTAAACATAATTAGGATTTTGGCTGCTTGGTACTTCGTTGGCCAGAATGGCACCAACTTTCCGGTTCCAGGTATTGGGATGAAAAATCTCACTAAACCACATGCACAAGTAGATGCGCGTGTCCCTGAGTCAAACGCGGTGATATTAGAAGGTGCGATAGCCGGACATGTTCTAGTGAAGAATGATGGCTCCTTACCATTCAAGAAGAAGCCGGTTATGTTATCGGTCTATGGGTATGATGCGACGGTTCCCGATACTAAGAATACGGATAATCTCTTCCAATTGGGTTATACTTCCTCTCCTGAGATGGGCCAAGCAGTGTTAGGCACTGAAAGACATTTTGACCAAGCTGCGAAAGGGGGCACAATTATCACAGGTGGAAGAGCTGGCGCTAACGGCCCAGCTTATATCGATGATGTGAGGAGCACCCCAAACAAACATATTCTTAATTACCTATTACTAACACTCGCAAAGCCGTTGAGTGCTATTCAACATAGAGCAAAGGCCGATGGCACTTGGGTTAATTGGGATTTAATCTCACCTAACCCTGATGTGAATGCAGCATCGGATGCTTGTTTGGTTTTCATCAACGCCATCGCGACAGAAGGGTGGGATCGAGATGGACTCCACGATGATTTCAGCGACGGGCTCGTCCTCAACGTGGCTTCCAAGTGTAGCAACACCATTGTTGTGATCCATGCCTCAGGAGTGCGCCTCGTTGACCAATGGATCGAACACCCAAATGTCACCGCTACTATCATTGCCCACCTACCTGGTCAAGATAGCGGGGAAGCTCTGGTCAAACTTCTCTATGGAGAAGCTGGTTTCTCAGGAAAGCTTCCTTACACGTTAGCTAAGAACGAAAGTGACTACGCAGTCTACTCTCCTTGTGGCAGAGGTCCATCTAACTCTACAGACCCACAATGCGACTTCACCGAGGGCGTATATGTCGACTACCGCCATTTCGATGAGAAGAATATCGCACCTCGTTATGAATTTGGCTATGGACTATCATATACGACGTTTAATTATTCTTCGCTTGCGCTTGAGCAGTTAGGACTTAATTCTGAGGCTCGGAGCGCGTCTATTCCAAGTAACGCCGATAGCTTGTGGGAAGTTGTGGCTACGGTGAACGTGACAATCACCAATTCAGGGGCTGTAGCTGGCGCCGAAGTAGCCCAACTCTATCTCGGCATACCAAACAGCCCTCCAAAGCAGTTACGTGGCTTTGATAAGGTCAATCTTCAGCCGGGCGAATCGGCTGAAGTTACCTTTGAGCTTACAAGGAGAGATTTTAGCGTTTGGGATGTCGTTACCCAGGGTTGGGCCGTACAGGACGGTGACTACGATGTATATGTTGGAGCAAGTAGTCGAGATATTAGATTGACTGATAGTATTTCTATTTAGTTGGTAGCAATACACTCAAACATAAACATCTTAACCATCGAAGTTCCGTTGTAGTTCTGATTTCAATCGCAATAAGGTGACAACAGCCCCTTTTCGATATCAATGCGATACGCTACCAGATTTACCAGGAATACAATGCAATTGGTTTCTCTGCATCAATGTGTTTAACATTTCCCCGGTTCGCATTTTTTATACTTGGATGCAACCGTGAATCGTAGGAAAATCACTTGGATAGCCATGCACCTCACACTCCCTCATGTTCTGATTCACACCACATGGGATCTTTCAGATCATTTGCATCATAATATCGCAGGCAATATCTGTTCGCTGACAAGATCTCTGTTTTTTATTAGGTAGTTACTATATCTTCCTTCTAAGTCTGAAATACATTGTGACTGAAATGACCAACTGTTTCTGGATAACCTCATTGTCCACGCACTATGCAGCGCAGTTATATTCTATAAATAACAAAGGAATTTCCTCTTGTAGTCTTTGTTATAATTATCCAAAGCTTTAAGTTTTGCAATTACAATACATCACATTCATCATGACATCAACTCGCAACATTAAACATATCTCATTCCCCATCAACAGCCTTTGTTGGCTGAATTCTTCTGCATGCTTAAAGCTAGCAGTAAGGGAGAACTCAAAGCGTTCGTCTCTGGCTTGGCCCCCAGCGGGTGATAGTCTTGCTCCTTGGATAGCAGTCTTTATCTGTCTAGCAGCTGCTTTAGTCTTTCTGTTATGGGGGGTTTGGGAATGCTGTGAACGCAGGAAACGACCTAGACAAGTTGAACCTGTCTAGGTAGATAGTTCTGGGTGTTAGCTGCAATGCAGCTATGGGGAGGTAGCGAGGGGAAGAATTTACCTAGTAAGTAATCAATTGATACCTACCTAGGTACCTACTTAGAAGGCACTTACAGATAACTAGGGGATTGTAGCATGGTAAGGCGATATAGATTGAAATTTAATTAATATATCGCCCTAGAATGACATTGACTATTCGGCGTGACTTAAATGGAGTGAATATACATAGTGACTCGTAACTCTATGATATGAGAGCCAAATACGTATCACTAAGAGAAAAATAACGCATCTCTGTTGACTCCATACCAAACCATTAATGACGCGTTGACGAGCTTCTTCTCAATATACCAATCATCAAGGGGGGTCCCCTTGAGAGATCAACGCGTCGGCATGCTGAATAGACGATCAAGCGGCAATAAACGTTCCATAGATTGGCCCTTCGCATTTAAACGGAATTCCTTGCTACGAGTTTAGTGTTCTGTAGCCATCCCTAGAATGTTGATCACCCCAGCCCTCCACGCATATATGGTGAGACATAGTGCAGAATCGTGAGTCAACCCAATCTAGTTTCCACAAGTCAAGGGACGACAGGCATGCAATGACCTAAACTTCCCCCTTCACGCGTACTGCCCCTCCTTAGACCATCGCATACAAAAACCCTCGAACTCGGCCTTAGAGAAGAGAATTCATCATCGCCCAGCATCACCAACAAGCAAGCTTCTAGTCACTCTTTTACAGTCACTCATTAAGTATTTTCATCACCAACACCCGATTCTTCACACCTCTTTTCACACCAACCCCCAAAAACACATTTCAAAATGCAGCAACGCAACATCCTCGCTCTCATCTCCCTGCTCGCCGCAGCAGCCAACACCGCACCAGTCGGCACCCCACCAGCCGTGAGCGCCTTGGGCCCCGTAGCCAGCACCATGCTGGAGAACACCGCCCGCGCAGCCCCAGCCGTCGTCGCAGGCGGCGTAGGCGAGGGCTCCCGCGGCGGCGAGCACTCCGCCGAAGCGGAGCAAGAAGCGCAGCGCCACGGGCAGCACGCCGAGGCCGCCGAGCAGGGCGCCGCAGGCGGAGGCCAGCACGCGGCTGAAGAGAGCCAGGGCGCAGCCGCACAGGGACAGCACCAGGCGAAGCAAGGCCAGGAAGCAAGCAAGGAAGGCGAGCACTCGTTCGAGCAGGGCCAAGGAGCGCAGAAGCAGGGACAGCATGCGGCGGAGGAGGACCACCGCTTCAGCGAGCACGGCAACGGGGGTAAGCACGCGGGCAGCTTCGGGGCGAACCGCGGGGCTTCAAAGGAGGGTGTCGCATACAACAACAAAGACGGTGCGAACAGCGGCGACCGGTTCGCCATGGACAAGTCGGACGGGTTCCACGCTGCGGCTGAGGGGTCTAAGGAGGCTTCTGAGGGGTCGATGGCGAAGGGTCAGGGCCGCAAGCACGCGCAGGAGGCCTCTCAGGCCGCTGAGCAGGACTCCAAGGCTGCTATTGAGGGGTCGCAGGCCAAGCAGGAGGGCTCGATGGGCGGTGCTGAGGGATCCAGGGCCGGACGTGAGGGCTCGATGGGAGAGTCCGAGGCGTCGAGGGCTAAGAACCAGGGGGCTGGTGGTGAGCAGGGCTTTGGTGCTTTCTTCAAGGGACTGGGTCTTGGAAACTAGATGTAAGAGTTTTTCGCATTTGAGTTGGGATGTTTGGATTTTTGCTAATTGATGTGCATAGCGCGAATCGCGATTGCTTCATCACCTGCTATTAGGCGAATACCTTGGGAGGTAACTTATCTTATGAAATAGGAAGGGGTGTCAGATTGAAATCATGTAGGGATTGCATTGCGGTGGTATAGACGGAAAGTATCGGTATCTGCTTTATCTCGGTCATGTTTTTTTTTATGTATTAATATACGATCAATCAACAATTTCCTTCTTCGACCAAATGACGATGATGATGGTAAATGTGATCAATTTATGCATCTGAAAATATTAGTAATTAGTAATATTGACATGTCTTCAATTCTAATGTCTCGTTGATCATCTTTCTGCGTGATCCACTTGAACCAATGTCGTCTATGTTCAACCACTAAACACATGTAAACTCCATCGCTATGCACCATGGACCAGGTCAATATCGTATAAACAGCCGTCGATAGTGTTGGCAGCTACCATGTCAAATAGGTATGTTGCACCTATTTTAGAGGAAGACCTTTCCTCGAAATATCGGCAACAAGGTTCTTGAACTGTGGCGCAAGAGCATCAACCACTATTGAGACGTCAGGGGCATCGGGATGAGTTTGCTCTTCTTGCTCGCTAATAGCCTTAGAGTCCCAAGACTCTGATTTGGCGATGGCTTCTGTCTTTCCAAGGGCCTTCACGCCCTTCACATCCTTTCCTTTTCTTGGCGGGCCTCTTGGGGTGTTTGGCGTGACGATGGTTTCATCTAGCAGGCAGTGCCAACGTGTTATGTAGACACCTGGCCCGGTCATGTTACCACTTGTCTCTTTCTCTTGATTGTCCACGCCGTCAATGATTCTCTGTACCCGGGCCCAAGACATATCCTCCAGAGTGGAGAGATATTTAGCGTGTGCATCAATAGCGGCCTTGACACTGCTTTGCTCATCCTTAGGAAGTTCATCAAAAAGAGTTTGTAGAGATTTATCCATTTCCTTGGTACCAAACGAACATCTAGATTGAACCTTAGGAGAGCTGCTGTTTTCTGGTGGCTGTCTGAAGAATTGAAGGCTATTTTTAGCCCATTCAAGCCACATCGTCCGTAATTCAGGACATCCTTTTGCGAACTCGTGTAAATAATCGTAAGCCAGTTGGCGGTTTCGATTCAGGAGGGCAACGTAATCTTCAACTGAAGGTGGTACGGTGCCATTCTGTGCTTTCCCGTCTTCTCGCTTCTTTGGCTTACTTGTCTTTATCAAGTCTGACAGGAAGCTTTCGACGGAATTGATATGTTTTCGTATATCTACGTTCTTGTGGATAGCTCGTATCATGGGTTCAAAAACCGATACCCCCTCTCGTATTATGGTTGTTGTTAGATCTGGAGTTTCGCGGCATAAAGCTTGAGTGATCTTCTCTCTGTCGCGTATAGCAAGCTGAGCGGAATAATACTCCAAGCACTGCGTATGTTGTGTGTCGGTTAGAGATTTTGTTGAACCCTTGTCTCTGGTCTCTAAGATGGTAATAATAATAGACATGCTGTCGCTTTGGCTTAATTCACGAGTTGCCTCATGCTCTTGTCTAGATGCTTGTAAATATTCGTCAATCGTGTCTAGATGCGCTTCACTTGGTCCTTCTTTTCTTCGTCTAATATTGTCGACAGCTTTGCGAAAGTCACCAGCGTCCCATTCCAACACAAGAGATATTATCCTATTGAAAATGAGTTAACTCTCTCGCTCAAGGTTGATTCAGTATATGTGCACCTTTGCATCAGATTCATTCCATCTGAGGCGTTTTGAGTAAGCCCAAGCCAATTGGATATTGCACCGACGCTGACCTTGGCTAAAAACAACCGGATCATAGCATTGATCATAGTCCCGGCATTTCCGAGACGCAATGTTTGTCCAATAACCGTATATGGGATTAAACTGTGGACATTATCTATCAATTTCAATAAATAGGGACCCTCGGCCGATAAGACAAACAGGTGGTGAAGAAATGTGGCTACGTAGATGATGGCGTAATCGACTGCGGCATTCACTGCTGGAGAATGATCCTCGAGGTTTGGAGTCTGAGTAAGATGATCAAAAAGCTCATCAAGTAAATTTCCGTAGACCAGATGTTGGATAACATCGTCCCAAGCCCTTGAAAGATCCTCTGCTGTGTGTAAGTCATATGTCCCGTAAAGATCCGGTAACTTTCTGTTGGGTACGCCACTCAATAGGCCTCTGGTGACGGATTCATGAATGACGGAAGCGGCTGAGGCGAGTCTCTTCCTACTTCCCAATGTCCCTTTATCATAACTGTCGGATAGGTCTGCTTCACCAAATCGTTTCATAATACTTCTAAACTTGACAGCCCAGAATTCAGACGGCAGATCCCGGAGGGCAGGTATAGGGAGAACCAATCTAGTAAAGAGAAGCTGTAAAAGCGGTGATAATGATCTTCGAGATTCACCACCCTTTCGTTTCTTGGTGCAGGTATCAAAAGGATACCCATAGTTCTCGATAGCTTCAGGATGTTTGAAAGTCTTAACTTCAGAGTATGTCTCATGGTGGACGAGGATATCGAGTAAGGCTCCCAACTGCTGGGGGGATAAAGTGGTAGATGACATGATGGACAATGATGAACGGTGAACCAACCTGACGGGACATTCGGAATGAGGGAAAAAACATGAATAAAAGGAAATAGAATTAGTAGTGTCAGCGGCAATGAGTTTGATGCATCCTGACAATTTCGCTCCGAGGAGGCTGTTTAATGTTTAATGTTGAACATTTAAGGGTCAGCCTTCGATTTTGTTTATCAAAAAAGTACTAAGTACAAAGTGGACTCATCATTCATTAGAACTTTCAGAAGCTTTGTGACTTCTTTTTTGCACCACGTGCTGACGTCATCTGGCATGAGTGCTTGGGCTTAGGGGTCTTATTTGGGCTATCGGTACCCACTTTTAAGTACAAAATACGACTATTGAACTCTCAGTATCTGCATAGCGTTGAGACAACCCATTTGTGAATATCACATGTAGTTCAAGGTTCATTAGCGGTTCTTCATATATGATCAATATATCTCGATATATACGCGACCCTTCATCAATCAAGAACATCAGTATTGATTCAGATCTCGATTTCTTCATGTTGTGTGACGAGAGGTGGATCTACTGATGATACTCATTATATCCATAAGATTCAGTATGTAAGAACCTCTCAGATAAGCATAAATATGTAAATATCTGAACTTTTCGCGATAAGTCCCATCGAATCCACCAAACTTGTTACGATCTTCAAACCTGTACAAACATTTCTCAGCCTCAAAATGACTCGTAAGGACAATGCCGCCAGGTCGCGATGATACCAATGGCTTTCCTCCGAACCTATTTACCGGCGTCCTTCCTGTTATACCTCCAGAAGGAAGTTTAGATAATTCGTCTCGCAATAATGCCGCAACCGCCGCGTCAGCTGCCGGTGTCCGTGCCTTGAGCGCCCAAGCTATCGCCTTTTACTTTCGAGCTCCCGTCAAGGCTTTCTTCCGAACTAGAGTTGACTATCTCGCGTATGCACGGAGCGTGCACCAGACGCGGACGGAATCGTTCGCGCGAGCTGCTGCTAATGATCCAGCCGCCTCAAAACTAGGCCTCGCTTTTAGGCAAGCATGGATGTGGGCGCGGGGTACAACCCCTGGATTGCTCACATCTGTGATTCAGCAGCACGGATGGAGCATCATACCTCAGCAGATTCTTCCGCCACTGATGGCAAACGTCGGGGTTGGCGCTGTGTTATACACTAGCTATCTGCAAATATTGGCCCAGCTACACGAAGAGACTTCAAGAGCACCAAAAAGAATCTTTCCTCCGCCGGATCCCATTCACACTTTTACCGCAGGTTTCTTGGCTGGGAGTATTCAGAGCGTTATAGCAGCTCCACTTGATGCTATTCAGGCGAGATACGACCATCGTGATCTCATTAATGGCAATATCGATGGAAAGCCGAGGAGTATGTGGTCATTCTCAGCAGAGAAGCTTAGAGAGATAGGACTACGCGGGGTATTTGCAGGGTGGGGGTTATCGTTTATGAAGGATAGCTTTGGGTGCGCCGTTTTCTTCAGCACGTTCGAATACGTGAAAGCCCAAGCCTTTTACCGATTTATTACGTGGTACTACAGCGACCTGAAGCCAGACGTCATCAACGTGCTGGCGCAAAAGAGACCGCCTAAACCCCACCACCTAACCGACAATGCGAAGGAGGATGCCAACCGTCCGGTTACGATACGGCCCCACTACGCGATCGAACCTATGTTTTTACTATTCGCCGGTATCACAGCTTCGTTAACCCAACAGATATTTCTTCATCCTTTGACACATATTCAAGTTCAACATTGGGATCACCTAGAAGACCTGGATGCCAAGGCCGCTAAGATGAGAGACGCGGAAGCTGCAAATCCCGATAAGCCAAGGCGTAGGTGGCGTATGCTTAGGGCTTATTACCATGCCTATCAGGAAACTTGGGCACAGTGCGTTGCAGAAGCGAATTCAGAAGGCACAGGACTGAGACGATGGCTGTATCGTGGCTTTTGGTGGAATACTAGTGAGTATATTCCGGTCGCAATAATTTGGAATGAGAATTGTAGTTTACTGACAACGTCCTACCATAGTTCGGCAAGTACCAAGCACCAGTGCTGGGTTGATTATATTCGAGCTGGTTAGGCGGAAATACGGTGCCGGAAACGAGCCCGTACGGGTCGCACAAGACAATTACGAAATTCTTCTCGATTAGACATTGGCGATTGTCTCGAGGTTTCAAGGCGTTGGAAACTAGACTAGGGATCCCCACTCGGCGCAAGGCACTTCTTTCAGCATATCTAGCGGTGATAACTCTTATAATCCTAAAGGTATTAATAAACAGGGGTCAATAATAAGGGGCTATATATATCATCTCCCCTTATTTCCCGCACTACGAATAAACGGCTCAAGGGGAAGGACTTGTGCTTCTGGTGTAACACCTTCATAAAGCTGCGCCCACCGATAATCTAAGACCTCCGGAGTCTGCCACGCATTCTCCGGGTCACGCAGCCATAGACGTAGGAGATGACGACTATTCCCATTCAATCAACCCGTTAGCCACGCATACGACTTAGAAACATCTCCAACACACATATTGGCGGAGCTAGACTTACCGTTTTTCTTCCGTATCGGTAAAACCGTCTCTCGCGTGGAAAATAGCAAGGTTATTTATGTACTGGATATCCCCCTTCTGGAAGTCGCTGTTTACGCAGTACTTTTCCCCTAGGAAATGGAGCGTATCGAGAGCCTCAGCCTGGGCTTCAGTGATGGGGGGAATATTGGGGCTTCGCGGGAGAGCACCGAAACCAACGAAGTATCGGCGACCGTACTGTAGGGCCACCCTCTCAGGAGTAGAATCTGTTGCCGGAAAGTGATATAACAGCGGTCTTTCCTTCCATTGTTTGTCCGCTTTCTCAAATCTGACAAGAAGGAATGGTTAGCTAGACGAACTTGCCATCTAGGCATTCTCCCTAAAGCATGCGGTATTAGGCAAGATTATCCTTTTGGGATTTACTCACACTTCCATATCCCAACTCTGGGAAAGAGTATGGATGAGATCCGGACGAGTCGCGGCAATTTCATTGTACACACGCCAAGTACTGGCCAATTTACTAGCTCCACCAGCCGCCGATGTCTCGAGCGCAAACAAAGACACGATATCCCCCGAATCCGTGTGGAAGACTTGCTTATCAGTGGTGTATGCAGGACTACCGATGGCGCCGTTGTTTTGCGACCAGGATAGGTCTTTGATGTGACTGAGAACTACATCGGCCGCTTTGCCATTGTACTTGTGGTCCTGTCGACCACGCTGCGCGGCGATGTGCGCGGAAATTCCTGTATATATGATGATGTTCTCCTCGCGGGAGTGTTCATCCACGCGAAGGCCACGAATTACGAAGAACCCGTGCCCGTTGTGCAGTTCTGCCGATAGACGGCGCAACTCACTGTGCAGATTCGGCAGCGGAAACGTGTCTGCCGTGAGATGACCTAGTGATAAGCCCAAGCCTGCATATTCATTAGTCGGAAATCGAGTTTTACGAATCTGGAGTCGCCGAAGCCGTAGAAGTCGTACCCTTGAAATGTTCTACAGCTCGGTCTATCTCATTTAATTGATCGGCATTGAGGACGTATGTCCAGTCATATGTGTCCGCTACGCTATTGCCTTCCCAGACTAGGTCGCCGGTCAATTGCGCTGGGAACCCTTTAGGGAGAGCGCTCGGTAGGTTCCCCTCTTTGAGGCGCCGAGCCGCTCGGGCTTGCCACTTGTCGCGATCCGGAGCATACGATATGTCGGGCTGTCCCGGAGGAGCTACCGCCGTTGGTGTGACGAAAGTGACGGTTGTCGACATCGCTTCTTTTAAGTTATAATATCCGTTCAGAATCCCTAATTCAGTTAATTTTAGTTTACAAAGTTTCCTAGATTTCCCCTCACGATTCTTAAACATCTTTCGATATTTTGATAGCTAGTGCTACGATCGGGTTGAGGTATTGGGCAATACTTCACCGGAATTGCGTCATCCGCCGGTCTTTTGATTAGGTGACATTCGGAGATAGCAGCCGGTTGTATTTTACCTGTTATCGTGTGCGGATTCATGTAACGGCAAATAAGAATCATTTCTCCTCAACTTAAATTCACTACCTACCTCACACGGGGCTAACTTATACGATGAAGTAGTATTAGTTGAAGGAAAGTCATTTAGGGTATCTTAATCGTAATCGAATGCTACACTGGAATCCCAATACTTGCTTTGCTCCGAAGCAGCAATACCTGTGGCCAGGGAATGACGCCACTATAACTACCTAGTCAACTCACCCACCAAACTAATATTATGCCAACGTGATGTTGGGCAGAGAAATATGGGAAGTTTAGCTTTAGGTGCCACCAAAGCTGCCGGGAAAAAAGTCGCAGGCACAATACCAAAAAGCCTGGCCATCCTCAACTCCAACGCTCGCTCGAAACAATTCATTCTCCTCCCACTATATTGTTTCAGTCGGCAACAATTAGTCTTAATAATGGACTCCCATTTTTTGTAATTTTCCTCGGTGGTTAGGTTTAGTTGAGCCTAACATCATATAAGCGACGCCACATCTTTGCGAGGCTTCTTGTTCCGCTCACGTTTGATGTCCAGTTTGAATTTCGCAGCTTCTTTATATATCCCAAAGAAAGGGTGAGTCGCAAAACCAATGACACCTGATCATGTTAGAACGACGCTTATAGGTTGACCAGTAGGATATCTGGGATTTCTTAGACTCACCAGCTGGTATTTTGAAGAGGATACTGGCGAATCCCTTCGCTATCCCCTTGAAGAACCCTTTGAACCCATCTTTCCTGGCGCACTTGTAAGGCAATACAAACCAGTCGGTCATACCATCGAGAAGACCAAACCATAGCACCTACAGTCGGACATATTAGGTTATCACTATTCGAGTTCAATGGCAAGAGATTGGGCTCACAGCAAAACTCGCGGCGCACGCTGACGGGAAACCGGTGATCTTCGGCCATTTCCGAACAGTGTCATCGTGGTACAATGTCGGTATGTAATGGAATGTCTTCGCAACGCCATGTCCAATAACAAACGGAATTTTAAGACAACCGGCAATAATTAACCCCATTCCCCTCAGCATGTCTACCCAACCCATCCAGAAGGGATGGCATCCCTCGTCTTCTTCGTCATTTTCATCGTCGTCGTGCTTCAGGCCTCCAGCTTCCAGGTACCGGTCCCAATATGTCGGAGGAGGGTGATGTGCTGTTGAAATCGCTTCCCGGGTCACTAGTTCCGGCTCCAGCGCTGGCGCCGGCATCTGCACATAGTACACGTTCTCCTCGACATTTCCTACGTTCCCCATGTTTTCGGGGTGTACGGCGTGTTGTTGTTGAGGGATATCGTCAATCGGAGCTATGAACTTCATACCGAAATCTCGTCTACCAGTCATAGAAATCCGAGAGGTGGTTGCGGAGGGCGGTCGGTCAACCATCTTGTCCTAATTGCGCTCTGGCGACTGCTCAATGAGGCTCGTAACTTATATCCGCGGCTTATAATTGTTGCCTAAAAGTTGGAGAGCAGCGCTGCCGAGCGGAGGAGGAGAATGCATGCGTATATACAGCGGGAGAAGGTTGTTCGGTGTGTCCAGCGTCGCGAGCCACGCGCTTTACTGCCGGTTGGGAAAATGCGGCGGAGCTCCTTGTCGATCACTTAAGGCACCGAGATTATCGCTGGGGTGATTGGTCCAGCTCGCAGGGGCCATTGGCTTCTCTTTACGAGAGACGTGCATTGAATCGGCTGATTTTGACTATCGCACCGTCGCATCGGTGCGGGTTTCGCTGAACAGATCGTGGCGCAGCATCTTATCAGCTTCAAATCTGCAACCACTCTATGCTGAGCTGACTCGAGGCTGTGCTTTTTTTTCTTCAATTCTTCGTCTCCTTGGCTTAAATAATTTTAGCAGCCCACGATCGAAAAAGAAGGATTCTTCAATGATACCCTGCGACTATGTAACATCATCCGTCCCATACGGGACCGGGCCGCTTGTTTAATCAATTCGTTGGTAGTGTTTGGTTTCAACATCTAGCGCCAACGAAGACAGCGCCTGGCTGTACTTATCGTAACCTTCTGCCTGGGCGAACGCCGCGCTCTTCTCGACGCTATCCAACCCACCCGCGATGAAATACTGCTCGATATCTTCACCATCGACCTTCTCGATCTTCCAACCACCCCTATGACGATATGGCACTACGAACCTATCCAAAACACCCTTAACCCTCCCCAATGCCTCCTCAAACCGAGTCTTATTTTCCCGACGCACAGTCCAAACCGTCACAACGAGAACTGGTGCAGCGAACGCAGATACAAAGCCCTCATCCTCGGACTTGGGAAACATGTGCAACCCATGAATATGTCCCGGCCTCGCCGTCGCAGCACTCAGATGCGGTTCCAAGTCCACGAGAAGCTTCTGGTTCTCGGGCGTGGCGAGGATTCCGTGGTGTTGATCGATGGAATCCCAGTGCGCCGTGATTACCGCCACCGCGGGGTCTTCGACTTGTTGGAAGAGCGCTTCCCCGCGGTCTTGTGTCAGCCATGGCGCGTTTGTGGCGCACCATTCTCCCTGGAACGCGATCCCGGTTATGTATAGGTTACGGAGCGTCTCGGTTATCTCGCCGGGAGTGCTGGAGGGGAGGATGGCTATTTCTGTGACGGTCATTTTCGATTGCAGTGAATTTTGAGGTGGGTACAGTATAGTTGTAGAACTTCTGCGTTTCATGTGCGAGCCGATTCCTTCTGTTGGCTTTGAAGTCGCGATACAACTCCGTCGAATAGTTTTTGTTTCGGAGCTCCGGTGGCACAATGCAGTTAGAATGAATTGCTCGGTCGCTTCTTACGTGTGTCTTATATTTAGGCTGGTGCGAGGTAGGTATGAATGCTGCATGCTTCTTCCACAAGAGTCCATCTACGTATTACCTCTTATCTCCGCCGTATGACCGCTTTTCATTCTTCCTGAGAAAGACAAATCACTTTATAATCACTGCAGCAATATAAGTAGGACCGCGCAAATGATTGGTTGAATTATGTATTACTCGTTTTCAAGATTATCTATTAGATATTATCTCGCACGTCACTCTTTAGCTCCGCTCCGGCCAAGCATCGTAGAGCCCTTCGTACACCGTCACATTGCTGAACGTTACCTCCCCACTGCCGTCCTGGAAAAATCGGATTTCTCTCGAGGATTCATACCACGATCTACATATTTTGTTAGTATTCCTGATAAAGAGTCATAGAGTAGGTAGGGTGCATACCGTGCCCAGGTGCTAATGGCGAATCGGCCATTGGCGTGAACCTCAACTACGGAGCTGTCTACCACGATAGTCAAGTTCAAAGTCTCGACCTTCTTGTGTTCCCCCTCAACGATGTCGAATAACCGCAATCGACCATACTCGTTGCGAGAGTCGATACCATCCGTAGTGAGCGCTGCGGCGCTAGTATTCGAGCGGTCGATCATGACGGTTTCGTTGGAGAACTGGTAGTAGATCGTCGTGCTCTCGTGCTCAGACGACAAGATCTGGAAACCGGCCTTCAGGTCGCTACCTCGGCTTGCCTGGGGGAAAGAAAGGGTCGCGGTGATAACGTGGAATTTGCTCTCCGGCACGGTCTGGAAAGTGGTAGCGCCTGGTGCGCTGAGCGTCCGGCCGGGCTCGGTGAACGAAGTGCCGCTGGTAAGCTTAGCAAGTGCCTCGCGCGAAATCTCCTGCTTGAGAGTCTCCAACGTCAAGATACCGGAGTGATTGCTCTTGACGCGCCACGATCCCGTCTCACGCGCAAGTTCGTTGTCGAAGACGTTGTCGATCTTGCCAATGCTCAACTCGCGCGGGAGCAAGAGCGCGCCCGACCAATTCTGCTGATTCGTCGGGAAATCGATGGTGCCGTAGTAGTCGCCGGTCAGCCAGATGTAGGAGATGAAGCGATCGGGGGCGCCGCTCTTCTGCGAGGCTTGGGAGCTGGCGGGAAGCACTTTCCCGGCGGCGGCGTAGGCGGAGTGTCCCCACTCGAGTTTGCCGGCCATGTTAGGTGTGAACTTGACTTTCTTGCCGCCGCAGGAGGGAGAGATGCTTCCGGCGGCCCACAACATCTCGCGGAAGTCGGAGACTTGGGGCACGATGGGGTCCAATGACCACTCCGCGCCCAAAGTCGTGAAGATATCACCTTCTTCATTGTATCCTTGTTCGTCTAAGCCGAAAACGTTGGCGACTTCGAAGTTGTATCCCCATCGACCGGCCCAGTCACCGTTGCCCCAGGTTGAGTTGGCAGGTTCATGCCACCATTGGCCCAATTCCTCCCAGTATTGGAAGTCGGCGTCGTGTTGGCGGTAGAGGAACTGGCTAGGTCCTTCGCCGTGGACACCACCGGAGATGACAGTGTACCATGTACCAGGGGCACTCTTAAGCTGGGCGTCAAGCTTGCTGTTCTGGAATACGAAGGGGTCGCGGAAGCCCGTCACGTTGACTGCGAAGGGAGGGGATGGGATGACCGGACCCTGCTCGAGCTTAGTGAAGTTGCGTCCACCGTCTGTTGATACAGCTAGGGATTGCGTTTCGCTTCCTCTGGTATACGCAATTGTCCACTGAATTGGCAGGTAAGAGACAGATGTATAGAGGAGGGTTGGTGCGCCGTTGATACCGCTCGGGATAACTGATCCATCGAATACCGCGATGGGATCATTCTTCCCGCCCGGCACAATGAATTGTGCTCCGTTTGCGTTGATGTCCTTGTAAGTAACAAGATCGTCGGTCGTTGCGCCGGAGGCACCATTGCCGTCATGTAAAAAGCCGACGTGGAAGAGTCCCGTATTCGGGTCCGTGTAGTGCATACAAGGATCACCGATCTGCCCAGAAGGCGGGAGAACGTGGGCTTTCGGCCGCCATGTCTCAAAGAGGCTTGAGTTGGCAAGGGTCGACAAGTTTGGCGGAGCCGAGTTGTAGTCGATCTCTTGTCTGGTCGCCAGGGACCCGGCTAGAACAGCTGGGGAAAGCTTCATCTTGTCGTGAGCTGTGTGCGAAGCTGTTGGGAAGACGCGCTCAGGACGATCGTAGTTCATGGTCACATCGTGCGGCGACCCTCTACTTATAGACTGCTGCGTCAAAATACGTTCGGTGTTGCATTCGTATCTAGGCTTCACCCCTAGGTCTTCCCCACCACGAAATTGCGTTGACATCAGCAGGCCTGGATCTTGGAGTTCGTGTGGAGATTTGCGGAGAAACCGGGCTTGGGGTCAATGGAGAGAGCTGGAGATGCGTGGTGTGTTCCTTGAACACTAGCTATAACCGTTATAGCCTCGGCCTTATTGGTAATTATCCACGCCTTTTAGTCCCAAAAACTCTTGTTAGTCTACAGCCCGGTGAGGAGGTCCCTGGCGACTAACGTGATTTCTCCAAATCCCCTCAATCGATTCCATGCGTACGTAATATCGTAGACCGATGGTTAGCGGAGAATTCCGCGGCTAGAATGTAAACATCGCGACTAAACTCATCGCGACAAGCTAAAAGGCACGTATTCTTGGCCTGTTCTTGGTCTCTTAAACATCACTCTATTAATGCCTACCTATATTGCGATGCCAACGTGTACTCTTATATGATTAAAAAGCTTTAGCATTGCTCTAGAAAACTCTTCGGGTCCTCGTAGCTCATAGTAGATGGACTACTGCTCCTGTCGGTGAGAGTAATAAAATTGGATTGCGAATTTGCTTTGCGGGAAGTTTGTTAACCTAGAATCTGCACGTCGCGGTCCGCGATTCTTAAATAATACGGCGACATCAAATACGAAAAGTATCACTCTATTCATTACACGTTTTAGTTGACAACGCGGATAGGTCCGCCCCTATTTAGGTTTAAGAAGGTGATGTCGTCTTAGGGCCATACAAGTTGTTCAGATCACCCATAGAACCGTAGCATGCAACTGCTCATTTTAAAACCCTAACCCAGCCCCACGGACATTTTCCCCTCGTTACAAACGTCTAGATTCAACGAATACAAACAACCATCTGTGAACTTGATATTAACAGGATGGTACGCATAACGGCAGAAAAAAAAGAAAATAAAACATGAATACTCTCCAGAGTGCCGACTATCAAAGAGACATACAAGTATTTGCATCAAACTACAACGACAACACTGCTTACAACCTCTCCACGAAAATTACGACCGTCTCATTTCCGCAAGGTAACTATCTGCTAAGTTATCAGATAAAACCAGACATACTAGCTTGCTGAAAGCTGCACTACAGGGTCTTCGTTGAGTTGAGTGAGGGGATAGCCTTCTATGCTAGCAGGACGCGTCATAGCTTAGTGTAGGTTAGTATAGAAGGATTCGTTTAAGTCAGCATGCAGAACCATCGAATCCTGTACTGAAGTTATCTCGCTCCAATGTGAGAGAGCCAGTGAATGCGGCGTTAGAGGAGGTTCCAGCCAAAGTAGTGGCTGGTTTCATTTTGAACTTATTGTGCTTTCTCCGAGGAAGTTCATCAGCAGCCACTATCTCGTGATAGGCCTTCACGGCTGCAGAAGTGCTCGTATATGTGGGTATTCAGGATCATCAGCATCGAGAGGCTTGACAGCGGTCTGACGAGTGAGCATATCTAGCCGAGTATACCTACCTACTTAACGCCACAGATGCACCCCAAAAGGCCCGTGCCCTAGTTGCTATCCATGCTTTTGAAGCTGGTCGTCGCTTTCAAAAGTCTCCGGGCGTTCGGGGTGAACGTGTTTAGAAAAAGCTGCATCGGAAGCTGCACCGGAAGCATGCGTGATGAGTCGCTTGCTTTTGGAAAAGAAGAAAACGCCTACTTAATACCTGCATCTTGCGACCCATAAACCCGACCGGATTACAGAGCGGAAGTGCCGCCTATTGGCTGTGTTCCAAAGAATAAGTGCATAGCATAGACGTTGATTATTGGGGGCTAGTGCTCGGTTGAGCTCCAGGTGCCGGGTTGTAGGTAGCTATTCGTGGCGTTGAGATTTCCTACCTGCATAGTACCTAATTACCAATAGGTTACACACAATAGTGTCATATTCCTAAGCTCTGGATAGTATGTGAGAGGTACAAATAGGGATAGTATAGTCGAAAAGGGTGCGCCACGAACACGGCAGCACGGCTCCTACATTAAGCCATGTCTTAAAAGTTCCAAGATTATCTCTAACCAGATATTGCCTACGCGTCTTCAAGGCTTGGGGGTAAGTAAATCCTCTTAAGCGCAGTAGATGTACTTATGTACCTACCTGTGCACCTAGTAGGTATAAAAATACATAGGTACCTAGGTATATAGTAAAAAGCGACGATATTTTGACAGAGAGGTTATATCCAAACTACTACCTCTTAAAATAGTAGATGTACATAAGATCCGTCGTTATAGTGACCTGAATTCCAATCTAGAAGGGATATTGCCATATTTACCTGTCCACCCTAAGGCTTTCGTCCATAAACATATCGGACCTTCATATATGCGTGCATTGACCTAGATCGGAGCTCCCTACGCAAGTGCGCAAGTGTCTCCTGACAGCCGGGGGTATCTTCACCATGGACGATGTTCCATGGGACAAGGACGTATCCTATGTGATTGTATTAGGCACTGTCCAAGTATTTGATGTTCAAGAACCGGCTTAGAAATATTTCATATCCTACTTCTAAGGCGCGAGCGATATTGGGGAAAGGGGGTATATTTAGAGAAGACTAAAAAGTGCGTAAGTGGAATAGGGGGGGTAAAAAAGCTCACCTTCAAGGTCGTTAATCATGGTGAGCAAGGTAAGGTTTCCAATTTCAGCCAGTTTGGGGTTCAAAGCCCATCCACCGATAGGTAACTAAGAAAAGGCCGGTTAGTGTGTTGTGTGACATTTGTATAAGTATTTGGGGTTTGGTATTTAAAGGGCAGAACGCAAGGCCATCGAGGAAGAAAAGAGGGTAACCTATTGATCGAAAATCTAAGAAAATGTTAACTCACCTTAAAATTCACCTCTTTAATGTCAACGAATCCGGCCTCCTCGAAACCCTTATTCTGGTATCTATTCTCGAGAACCTCGAAACTCAGCCCTATCTTCTTGCCCAACTACGTCGCATTGGAGTTAATAATAATCCATCGGCACCAAGCACGGACATTAGGTATGAGTAAGATCGGGGATAGGGAAATGGCGGAGGTAGAATGTTACAGGTTGGGGTATATTACGCACCTCCCTCCAGAGCGGGTTCCAGAATGTCTGGATAACACCGTTTTCTTTGATACTGCCGTCATCTGTGCACATTTCGACATCGCATTCGCAAGATTGGACCCAACCGCCGGGTTTGCAGCAGCGGTATGCCTGACGGAAAAGTTTAGACCAGTCTCCGATGGCCCCGAATAAATAGCGCATGTGGATGAAATCGAAGTGATCGTCAGGCCATGTCCATTCCTTGGTACAGTCATCGATCTCGAACTTAACGTTCGGGGGTACCCATAATGGCTGCGTCGGCGATAAGTCCGTCCCTAAGACCTCGGCGTTTGGGTACTGGTCGCCCACGTCGCTGTCAAAGAGTCAGCATTAGGATCGAAAGGGGTAAGGAATTCAATCAAAAGGTGCTATATTACATGGCCCATATTCCTGTTAGTGGTTTCCAATTAGCCTCACTTATTAAATAGTAGTCTCGCAAAATGAGAATGGTACACACCGGTTCCAGTCCCAACGTCCAGCACTCTCTATAGGGGATCAGTATCTAACATTCACATATAAGAGCTTCAGGTAAGTTGTTAAGTACCTCAATGTCATCGCTAACTGGCGCGAGGAAAAGCTTGTCGTCTAACATGATTGATAGGTAGTGGTGACTGGCAATGTATTAGAAAACCTACTGAATAGGTATCTACCTAGTAGATAGATATGTTGTATGATCTCGCATGAATTTGTCCTTACGTAATATCTTGTGAATGCATCTGCTGTTCATCATTCGGCGCAAAGTACTGGGAATCATGCTTTTCACTGTGGTACGTCCGACCTTTGATGGTGCGATATTCCAAGATGCTTGCTGTGATGGAGTTGGTGCTGCTGGCACTGCGATTATAAAAATATCATTAAATCGTGTTTATCGGGTGGGCGGATATGATAATATGAGTACTAACGCATCGTTACCCAATGCCGAATCGGCGTCATCATCAAAATCATCCTCTAGCTAGTGATATAAAAAGCGTAAGTTCGGATCTAGGTTCGCCGTATGAATTCGGTTGCTTCGGCTGAAGAAACACATACCTCGTCTTCGTTTTGGGGCGCGGCGATCAACACGGGCTCGTTATTCCCGGCCGTCCCTGGTGACACGGCGCTCTGGGCGCCCGGAGTGGTAGGCTGATCTGCCATTGGAGGTGGATAAATTAGAGATCGTCAGGTTCAGGTTTAGATAATTTGAACCTAGATAATGATGTTTAAAATGAATAAGAATTAATTCAACTCAAGAATAGATATGTCTTTCCATTAATAAGCCCATTCCCCAACCTCTTCAGAAGATCTAGCCTACTTAGGTTATCGCGGCGGGGTTGGACGGGTTAGGGTTGTGTTGGTGAGAAAAGATTCCGGGAAGCATTAAAAATGACGGACGTTGCGAAGTGGTCCGTGCAACCCAAAAGGGGGGAGGGGTAAAGGGGCAAAAGGTTCGGTAGCAAATCGCGCTCATAGGTATGAAGTAGTCGGCGCTGATGTTTAAGACCTAATTAAATAAGTTGTTTGTACTATAACACTGTTATGTTCCTAGGTGATAAATACTAGTAAGTATTGAGATAATGGCACGTAAATAGTAGGCACCAGTGTTGAAACTTGATGATACCATTGCTGCCGCCCGAGTCGCGTACTGCGCTGGTAGTACAGTACATCAATTTCGAGGATATTACTTACAATATAGAATTTTCGACGCAGTTGAACGTTATGATAAATAGGGCTAGATCCTTACGTCGCGCAGCTATAGTTGCTGATAACATCGGTTAGTTTAGGCGAGGAGATCGGTTTCGGCATATCTTGGTGACAAAGTCTACGATGTCATCAACTCCATCTGGCTCATTAATCCAATGTCCTCCATCCCGATATTCATGAAAATCTACTGTAAGATTCAAATCATGAAGGATATCCCGCAATTGTTTCCCGTTCTGTACGGGGACGATTTCGTCGTCTGCTGCATGCCCTAGAAACACAGGTGTCGACTTAATAACCGCCGGATCGACGCGACTAACAGAAACATGTCCTAGGTATGCGTCTTGTAATGCATTGAACACCGTGGTTTCTCCCTGCTTCGATGCGATCAGGCTGGTTGCGACGCCACTCATGGGCATCCAGCTGCAGAGCCCGATGAGACCAGCAAGGTTTTGGCCACCAGAGAAGAAGGCGGCTAGAGCAGTAGCGAACCCTTGACTTATTCCGCCGAGGAAAATGTTTTGGCGAGGGACAAGGTGTTCTTCTAATCGTATTATTTCGATGATAGAATCTACACTCATTTGCAGGCCTTCTTTCTGTAGCTCGGTCTGTTCTTCTGGGTTCTCAACAGACCAGATATCAAACCACTGAGACATTGTGGTCCCAAATCGTGCTGATGATAGGAATGGGGCTGAAGGGAAGACCCATCTCACATTAGGGAGATGATCTAGCAGAGTTCTTGGCTGACCAGCAGGGGTTGAAGCCTCACTTTCGAAAAATTCGCTGGCGAATTCTTCGCACTCGCTATCTCGACCATGGAGGAAAATAATTGTGTGCGTATGATTATTGGGGTCTTGCGGTTCCACAAAATAGATTCTTCGGGACATTTTCGTGTTGTTCAAAGGTGTTGCTTACGGGAGCTTGTTGTCGCTTACCTTTTTAATCTACTATCTACCTAGGTACCAAGTAGACAATTAGGTACCTATATGCCGGGTAAGCTTTACTACCTGGACAACTTTCTTGACATGGCAGGATTGGGACCTGGAGCAATGGCTTGATTAGAAAACATACATCATTTAGTTATTCACTACCCATGTAGATGAAAGCATGTGTATGTGGAATTCGTGATGTTATTGTATTGAAAAGGAGGAAAGTTTAATAGCTCTTTTCCGTTTCTATTAACATGTATGTGTCTGTGTGTGTACCGCACTTTCCGTACTCCTGAGACATAGAATCTCGCCCTTGAACCTATTCGGTTAGACCGGGAATAAAAGAAAGAACCTTCGCTAAGGCAAGCTAAAAAGCCACTAAAGCCGCAGTAGTCAGACTCCTTCCTGCGGGGATCTTGGCAATAGTTAATTTAAACTTTAATGACAACATTGAACCCAATATTGCTGTTTATCTTTCTTCTAATTCATACTTCGTGGTTGTATCTTTCTTTCTTTCTTTCTTCTTCTTACCTGCTCTCAACGATTTTGTTGAAGACTGATGCTCGAGCGAATCGTTGCCGTAACGATCGTATTAATCCCTTGTGAGCTGGCCAGTAGTTCCCCTTGATAGCTGTCTCGAGCTGACCAATTAGCTTATCAAGTTTTGTCATCCGTGCAGCTAAGAGGCTTTGTAGCACATGGAGTTCGTCCTCGTCGTCTAGCTGCCACCGTCCTATCCGTAATCCTCGCCTTCCGTCCGTATCACCGCTAGCTCCGATACTAGCCATATCAGTCTGCTTAAACAATGCGCTCTCCTCATCTCCGAGGCCATTGGTGAGGTCCGTGTCCGTTGTTGAGCATTGATTTCCGTCGAATCCCCCCGAAGATGTTTGCATCCACCCGAGATTATCTCCTGCTTCCGATGGCTCGGCAAACATATTCTCTAGGCTACCCATTATGCGCTCGCATGTAGATGCTACTAGCATGATAACTTCAGACCGACCAATGCATCGTGGGCACCTGAGTATTTTTTCACATTGTGCTAGAGCCTTCTTCTGGTGCTGTAGAATCTTCTCTGACACATTTGCGTCACCCGTTTCCCGAGGACCCCACACAAGATGAACTTCGACAGACTCGTAAATGGTGGCGGCTTGCTTCGTGCAGGAGCATGTCGCTTCGCTATTACTAGACATGGAGTAATCTTCGAAGGGCGCGGTTCCGAAGTCCGTTAAATTCGCAAAATCATCGATACTAGGATGCCTTGTCTCGCTGTTGGGGAATTCCGACCCAGTGCCGTGGAAAGTTGTACCCACAGCAGGCGACATGGGGGACAGGAGATCTAGATCGTATAGAGACCCATAAAAAGGTTTCGTGGGGAAATCATCTGGAAGATCAGTGGACCTCGGCGTTCGTCCTGTTTGGAAGGAAAACACATCTTCCGACACTGATGAGCTACACGATGGCTCTAAATTGATGTCAAATGGTTGCGTCTCGTCAAAGTCGACAATCATATCGGAGAAGTTGTAATCTTGCGTCTTATCCGGACTATTCCTTCGACCTCTTCTCTCGCTAGTATCTTTTCTCTCGGTCGTCCCACCGTTCTTCTTCGACTGTGCAGCTGCTTTCCTGAGTTCTGTGCTTTGCTTTCTAGCGTGGGAGCCGGAGTTGACAGGGTAGACGCAATCGATATTCTTGGCGAGGCATCTTTGACAGCCATTCTCTTCGCCGGTGCATTTTAACTAATGTCGAGAAAAAGGTGATATTTGTCAGCTTGTGTCGTTGAAGCAGTCGGGATTCAATTGTGTCAATAGACCAAAGCAAAGAAATAACAGGTATTTACTTTACTAGAACGACAACTTTTGCAAGCGCTCCGTACTAACTTCCTCTTAGGATCAAAGGGCGGGAATGCCGGCTCTAAAATGTATGGCTCGTCGGCCGAATTGCTATGTCTTAATGTGCTGAACATCGTCTGATTGATGGTGAAACCTGGTTACAGGATACATCAAAATAGCAGCACAATTTCGGTGCTCCATCCCGCTTAAGTTCCTCTGAAATGCACATCTTTAACTCTCAATCCTTCGAATCCTTGGCGCAGAATGCATTACCTTGATAGACCTCATAGCCTATCATTTTCTTAATCTACATCACATACATCCGACTAACATGTAAGCCTTTTTCTCTACATATTGCATATTGCATACCGTTACGACAGAACCTCCAAAGCGGAAATGTCAGCACTAACGCATGAATCGGTTCAGATTTCGCTGTTTGTTTCACGAGAAGCCCTTTTTAGAAGCTTACTTCATCAATACACTGCATATACAGGCTTACTTTCAAACGTTTCTTGCGGCTTTAATAATGACCCGTGGTTGTTGCCGCATGACTGCTGCGGCATCTATATGTCTAATCTAATCCACGACAGCCTATAATCTCAGAGATTCGATAATCCTTATCATGGCAGGATTCTGCATGCCTGTATCACGTTCCACGCACCGGAGTTCTAGCAGCACCTCATCACATAGCATCGATAGGACTTCGGAAGTGTATCTTAAAGATCCCGAATCTTCCATAATCGTCAGCAGCAGGTTTTTGTGTTCCCTCCCCACGCATTTGGTTGCCTGCCGCTCCATCAGTAAGCTTCGCATGATTGCCCGTTGCCTTGGGCTCGCCATCTCAAGAGTCTTGATGAGGATGAAGCTACACTTTCCTTCATCTAGATCCTCACAGAAGCCTTTGGTGCCAGTATACTGCAGGTACGTGAGAAAAGTCAGTGTATCGCCTCTTATCGCCTATCGGCTACCTATTTCACTACAGCTAACGGATAAGAAGTGTACAATATCATACCTGGTCAGAAACAAGATTGGCGTAATCGTCGCGAATCTGAAAGAGACGCCCGAACAGCGTCATAAGCCGGTCCAGATTAGGAGGGTTTGAAGATGAGCGAGATCGCGCAACCATCAGTTTGGAAATCATGCGGAACAGGCCTCCCGTTTCTAAGGTCAAGGTTGGTAACGAAGACAAATCCAATTTGAGCCGAAAACTTACTGCCATCTACCATCTGCAAATACTCTTCCACCGGCGGGGACGATACGTCGTGAGTCCAGAATAGGTCAACACCTTGACCTATCAAGAGGCTTCTCATCTCATCTGCAGCGCTGGTTAGACTGGGACATGACAGTTCATTTCTCTCGCTTACCAATAACGACTTTAGAGAAGGCTCCGTCGTGAAGTTCCATCGATCTACCTATCACATCTACAATCTGGTATGTTGCGGAGTTAACCGTTTGTGGGATCCCAAATACGACGTGCGTCGATGGGTTACCCCGTCTGAGCGGAGAACTGTCTTGGACATCATCAAGCCTAGAGTAGAAACAGGATAGTGAGCAAGCGGGAATAAAGGAGATGTGTAAAATCCGAGAAGGTCCGCGGAGAATACTTACATTAATGATAGGTTATGAACATCCCCTACGATCGACGTGATGGTTTCTAGATCCTCTGGTGAAGCTTGAACCCACACATTTAGAGCCTCAATTAGCTTATTCCGTACCCCTTTCGAAGGCAACGAGCAGAGGTATTCAAAGGGGGCCATGACTGGCTACATTCTAATTAGCAGCTCGCTCAAGATTCTATAAATAGTAGTTTTTTGACGCCGAAAGTCTTCATATACTCACAATATGTGAAGCTTCAACCAAGTCGGTGTTGCTCATCAGCTCTTTCTCACCATTTCCCACGTCGTTGGATCCGATCAGTTTAGTAGAACCCACTTCACCAGCGGCGCAACCGTTGGTGACACCATTGGTAACGCCATTCGTTACACCATTACGCCCCTTCTCCTGAGTTTCTTGTATCTGTGGCATTTCGTCGTCGGTTGTTAGGTATGCAGTAGGTTCGTGGTCGATATGTATCTGACTCTTTCAGTATAGAAAAGCGGCAGCACCTAGATATGCGATGCAGAGCAAAACGTGGAGAGTGATCAGAAATATAAAATCATGCCTATCCATAGCGCGGGATTTAGACGATGTGATGTCTTTTTTTGACTCAGATCGAAACAAGTGTGGGCTCTTCAACACTAACCTCTCGAATTGTAATGCCCGATTCGATTATCACAAGGCTAGGCGCTGAATGACCGTACCTAGTAATGACCCACAAGGTTTTATACATAGACGACGAGGCTGCGACTCCTGTTGGTTACTTTATGCTCATAAGGCGGAATCTGACATGCGTCGGCTCAATATTCCTATCTTCTAAGTACATATTCCTACCGGATTCATGACCATTACCCTCGCTTCGAGTTACACAGCAAATTTTCGGATCTACCTATTTTGGTACCTGCCGACAAATGCCGGTCTTACCGCCAAGGCGATCTCAAAAGCCTTTCCAAAACCGAACCTCCCCGAGTAATACGCTACTGAGGTGGGTGGAGGAGATTACGTTGTTCGCAGTCTCCTGCGGCCTTTTATAGATCTAGCCTGAATCTCGGCGACGTTCTAATCCTTTCGCCATACTTGATGAGTAAGAAGGGCACGGGGACCGTCGCCAAGGCGATGAATGCTAATAAGCTATTGCCCCAACCCAGGCCAAGCTTTCCATAAAGAGACGGACCAGCCAATGGGATCACGGCGCCGAAAACGGACCTGATAACTGTGTTCGTTGCGCTAGCACTGGCCGCGTACGTGGTGAAGGCATCGATGAGGTAAGCTTGCACCGGCATATATACCGACAGCACACCAAATCCGACAAACGAGGTTCCGATTATAGGCACGATCCAATGCACGCGATATTCCGTCGTCCAGCCATACCAGAATAGGCCTATGGGCACGCTAAAAGCCCCGATAATCAGGGGAGGCAGTCGATATTCCGGCTTTAACACGCCGTTCTTCGCCGTCATTGACTTCGTGAGCCGATCTGAGATGATTCCAGTAAAAGCGAGGCCCACCATAAAGCCGACACCCAAACCAAGGTAAGCGAGCCCGGAAGATCCGGTACTGAAGCCATACTGCCCCTCGAAGACTGTGGTAAATGTAGTGAATAGCAGATAAAGATAGCCGTAGACGATTGAAACCGTCAAAGCCAGCATGATGACGATGGGTGACCGAAACAGTAATTTCAGCGGTCGGAGAATAGCCCTCTTAAGAATCTCCTTCCTAGCAGGCTTTTCGCTATCAAATTTGGTGCGAAAATTAGGATTGCCAGTCTGCTTGCGCAGACGCGCCGCCTTCTTCTCGAGAAGCACGGGGCCATACGTTTCAGGTAGCAATATCAAAGAGGCGATGATTAATACGCCTTCCTATTACCAATATTAGCCGACGTAGACAAATTAGACTATGGCACTAACAATTATAGAAACGATCCAGAAGCTCCAGCGCCATCCCAGGTACTCTGCGATGTATCCACCAGCGACGGGACCTATGACGGGTCCCTGCATAATATTAGCACGAGGTCCGGCGAGTCATAGCGCGCAGCCATTTCAGCTGCGTGGAGGTGCAGCGAAAAGGGCAGCCACGAAGGCGAACGTACCAATAAGGGGCCGAGCTGCCATCCGGATAGAGCTTTGGCCCGGTTCTCAGGTTCTACAAGGTCAGCAATTATGCCACCCCCCAAGACGGTTGGCACACAGCCCCACAGGCCCTGGAAGAAGCGGAAGATAAGGATTTGAGGCAACGTGGTGCTGACGGCGCATGCGATAGTGAAGACCTCGAAGAGCAGATTGGTACCGTTGAGCAGCATCGAGCGGCCGTAGATCTCACTCAGCGGGGCGAAGACCAAGGGTCCGAAGACGAAGGCGATGACAAATATAGAGGTCGCCAACGATTCCAGCTGCTCGTTGTCGTTGTCCAATTCCCGGAACAGCTGCGGCACGCTGGGCGAAAAGATGGTGGTAGACAGCGATCTGAGAGATATTAACTGGTCAGGGCGTACGGCCCCCTTTTGGGATGGAGGGTTACTTACGTGTTGAACGTTATGAGGGACACCAGTGCCACGCACGCCCATTTGCGCCTCGGCGACCAATCCATGGGGTTTTCCGGATCGCGCGGTTTCGCCCAGTTGACCTCCATCGAGGCGGCGTTTGGATTTGATGCCAGTTCGATGGTGCTTTCTTGCGCGGAGTCAAACACGGTCTGTGTTTGCGATTGCGTTCGCGTCTGCGTTTGCATCTCTAGGGCCAGCGACTGGGAAAACATCGTCTCTATCGATTCTCCTAGCGGGCGTAGTTCGCGCCGCGTGGGCTCGAGCCCACCGTCTCCGAGGTGGCTTTGATCGTTGTCTTGCATTTTCTTTGTCCTTCGTCCCGTTGACAAGAGAAAGCTATATTATCTCGGTACAGTTGCCGACCCAAGGATGGAATAGCTTCCATTTCGTTTAATATATGCCTTGCTATCGTTACACAACCCTCCTTGCCTCCTAAGTACCGACCATAGCTAAACTCAGCTGAAAACCCCTAACATGTTGTTCGGCAAGCGAGGGAGCCTAACCCGACCCTCCGCTAATATCCTTCATCCTCCGTCTATCTAAAATGAGAGCTGACCATTGCCTCCTAGTCATCCAGAGCTTCGGTAACTGCTCTTGCATGAGAGCGTCATCAGCTTCAGCCAATCTCGTTGCTTATCTGAATCATCAAACGGATTTGGCCGTGCGTGGTTCATTGGATTGCGTGCGGGAGGGTGTTATATATACCATCACATTGTTTCAAATGGGAATCCTTCGGGATATGAGATTTCAAATGGACGTGTCTCACCGAATAGGGACATTCAAAAAGTAAAATTGTGTTCGGCGCAGAGATAACGGTATTTCTCGATCGCTATTTTTTATACTGATCTAAGCATCGCAGTTGTGGCGCGGAATGTAAAACTTTGCTTTTCATATCTGCATGCATGTCTCCCGGTGTTTTGGGTGCTTTGCCTACTGTATCTTGGCAGTAAAGGTTCACATGTCTTAGTCACTATTAGGTGCCGAATGAGCCTACTAGCACTGTCTTTCATGGCCTGTAGCGTCACAAGCCAGTGAGTGCTATGCCCGCCGATAATTAGAAATGAGGTACATCCATCTAATTTGATAATTGACCCCCCTCCTCCTTTTATTCAACCATCATTGAGGCATATAGAAGATACGTACCTGGTAATTATTCACAGAACAATATATTTAGGAAGCCCGTTAGGTACCTAGGTTATATTTTAGTTGACTTACTCTCTTATCACACTATGTCTGATATTATCAGAAAATCACAAGTTCCATGTATTTTCATATGTAAACTCTAAGGTTACGTGATATTATAGAAGTCTATAACTCCCTCTATCGTCTAAACATCCTGCGATGCCTTCTATCTAGTTTATGGTAGAGTACAAAAGTCTATCCTCTATCTCCCAAACGGATATCAATCTAAATGACCTAAGCCAAGATAAAAATACACCTAAACATAAACCATCGCTAGATTTCGATCATCACGCCTTTGATAGGAGGAAACCGCCATTTTGGAGGTTCTGGAACATCTGCTGAGGATCATACTGCTTGCTGATGCTCCTTAGTCGCTCTAGGTTAGCGGAACCGTAGCTGGCGAGCACGTTCTGCGCATGGTTCGCGTCGTTCATGAAGCGGAAAGGCAAATCTGCTCCGTGTTTCTTCGATGCGGAAATCACGCTGTCGCCTAGAGCTTGAATGGCGGCCAAGGCTTGCTCGTCATTGCTCTCGTCTTGCCACTGAATGGTGGATGTGAACCCTTTTCATCCAAGATATTAGCTAGTGTTCGGGAGGATTCGCTCTCAGGGACAACTTACAGTTCTGTCCAATGGGTTCCAAACCTAGAGGGTTTCCCCCAGTCTTGGCTGAGTGCTTGACGGCGGCGCTCGTGTAAGGTTGCACACCATATGCGAGCGTCGCGTTGAATTCTTTCATCACCTGTGCCGACAGGTTCAAGTATGTCTGGTAGCTGTCCTGGAACGTCGGCAGGTTCCACTTGTGGGCGATCGATACAATCATATATCTCGAAGCAGTCAAAGAGGTCGTGTTGGCGAATCCATCCGCTAGGTCTAACCACGTTCCGATCGTCGAATTGACATAAACACCGTTTGAAGGGATTCCGTCGAAGGACTTGTAGACCGAGGGCCTCTCGACGGGCTTGCCGTATATGAACCCCACAAGGCCCGCATCAGGGGTTAGGTTGAACACCAATCCGGCGGCTGTGTCGTTTTCGGCCGCTGCTGCGTACTCGACGACGGCCTCGAGGAGTTTCTCGCTTTCGGAAGGATCGTATAACAGCGCCTCAAACCAGATCTCCGCTACGGGAATAGTATTGATATCATATCTGGTAACGACGCCTGTATCCAATATTAGAAAAGTGCTTTTGGTGATCATGTCATATAGGAGAACTTACCAAAGTTCGCCCCACCACCTTTCAGAGCCCAGAAGAGATCCGAGTTGGAAGTGGCATTGGCGTTGACGATAGAGGAGTTCGCTAGAACGATCTAGATTTCGGTATGTTAGTATTGGTGGTCTCGGGCGAAGGATTATCAGGTCTTTACTGACTTCGATATTGCGGATACCATCTGCAGCAAGCCCGTACTCGCTGGAAAAGTAGGCCATGCCGCCACCAAGATAGTATCCACCAACACCGACATCCTCAATTCGTCCACCGACAACAGTCTTATTTTCCTCGCTAAGCGTCTTCAACACAGCGCCAAAGCGGTTTCCAGGGCCAACTCTCGCTACTGCGCCGTCCTCGATAAGAGTGATCTCATTCAGGTTTACGTTGTCAATCAGAATACCATTATCGCCGACACTAGCAAACTCGGGGTTGGGATTGTGACCACCGCTGCGAACGGCAAAGCGGGTGTCCATGAAAGAGATTATGAAGAGAGCTTTTGCGACGTCTGCCGCTGCCGTAGGTTGGACAATGCATTGTGCATCAAGCCAGCACGCATCGGACCTATTAAAGTATGAGTACATCTCAATCTGGTATATAGTGAGTCACTGCATATCTCTTACCAATTAACGTCAATTCTGTCTTGGTAATTGGTTGACGTAGCGTTTAAGTATATGGAACTAAACACGATTTGGCTAACTGAACAGGCCATGGTCGCACGCGTCTTCTCGTCTAGACTTGCTATTTGTTCCGAAGTCTGGTAAGAACCGAATACTGCAGTCACATCCTTCGCATCTTGTTGGCTCAGATCTAATTGAGAAACGAACTGGGAGACGGTGGTGGCGTTGGAATATGTCGGTGCTGCGATAAGAGGGGTAGCAAATGCAAGGGCGGTAGCCCCTGGAATGAGACTATTGAGCCTCATTTTTTTTGTCGGAATATAGTAGGTAAATTTTGATAATACAAATTAATTAGATAATTAGATAATTGTTTATTACACTAGGTAGTTGTGTGAATAGAGATCAGTGTACACGATGATCCAAGACCCAAGCCACCGTGTAGTATCAAGTCCTTCCAGGACATACCTTTTATAATCCATCCTGATCTGTCTTGGTGAATTATCTTCTGTCTCTGCTTACTGAAACTGGGTTCTGGTAAACGTCAGCTGTGGATGAGAGGCGTAGCAGACCGCAATATCCCGTAGGTGAAGGTGGCTTGAGTTTCGACTGAAAGCTGATGGTTCCGAGACCATCTTGGCGTTGGCCCCTGACATAGGGTGAGTCCGGAGTATAATTTTGGTGTGTATCAATGTCTCTCGCGGCTCATTATCTCTTTATGGAGATACTAGGCTGGAAGTAGCACAGTGGTAGCTATTATAAAATCGAGATGCGGTAGGATCCTTTGTGTAACCCCAAGTCAGCCCTAGATTCCACATGTGATAACAGCCTCGTAGGGCGAAAACGGCGCCTGTAACATACGATCAACGGTTATTTCTATTAGAGGCTGCATTGATGTTTACGTAGATTCATGAGGCGGTGGGCTGAACCCACGAGGCGGGAGGCATAAGTCTTACCCCTGAATCTCTTCTAAGCACCTTTAGCATCCCGTGTGACCTCTCGCTTTCCCCTGTGCTATAACTGAGGTATGCTAAGGTATAATTCAGCTGCTCTTCGTATGACTCATGACTTAGGTACATCTGATTATATGACCAATTATCTGGACCCTTGCATAGCCCTTATAGTGACGAATCAGTTTTTGGCCCTATGGTAAATTCAAAAGCTACCCAGGCTTCGGTGCTAGGTAGGTACCGTTGATTACACATAGACCTTTTTGGGAAGTGAATAGAAGCAACGACAAACCACGTGAAGCTAAGTGTTCGCCCCGTTCATCGTATTCTAACATAAGTAAATGAAATCTATCATTTCATTCTTCCTCTATACCCCCAACCTCTAGGTAGACACATAATCGAAGTTGTTAGACTTTCACATGGTCGCAGTGTTGTGGCGTGCATGTAGGATACACTCTACTGCTCACTCTATACAGAGAGTTACTATTGTATTGAAATATTACCCCAACCAATCGTTCCCGAGAAAAGTTGTCTATACCTAGTGATTATCTACAAGTATGGTAGACTTCGTAGTCCTATCTATGAGAAGTAGTAACCCTGTCTATCCTCACGCACCATTTGTTCCTGATTTTACCATGCGGCTTGCTAGGTCGCGAACTACGTAGAGTTGGCCGTACAAATCAGTTACGTCGCAGAACATACCCCAGATGACCATCCGGCGGTTATAATATAGTTGGGCATCAGGACCGCGACCGTCAGTTGCGTTTTTGTTCTCTTCTTGAAGCCGTTTGAAAGCAGTTTCTAGACAGCTGCGCTCATATTCCGCGATCTTGAAAAGCGCATCTTTTTTCTGTTGAATCTTCTGCTCTGGGCGAATGTTCTTCGCCTCGAAATCAGGAAAGTTCACCGAGTTTAGATTACCCTCGGCCTCATCACGTAGCACAGAGCCGTAATCATTGTACATGCGGCACATGGTTGCCAAATGCCGGCACACATCTGCAGCGAGGTACTTCTCGCCAGCTGTGGCGAAGCAGTCTTCGCCATTTGCTAGAGAGGAGCTGAGCAGGCAGCTTACGAATGAGAAGGCATACGGGCATGAAGTATGATCCGCAGATGTTGAGCGCACCCATTGGAAAAATGTTTCATTTGCCGATGAATAGACATCTCCAGACTGTTGAATATCGCTGCTGAAGCGCAAGTTGTCTTCAGTTTGAGAAACGTGAGCCCGTAGGAAAGTTCTCAACTCCCACTTAAGTGACTTGCGACTCCAAGGACTAGCAGAGGTAACCGATGGATGATTTAGGACATATTCAATGAATCGTGTCAAGCCGGATGAGACATCATCGTGGTTCGTTGAACCATTTGAGGTAGTCTTTCCGTTAGAGTTAGACGGTGGGTCGACACCATTAGTCGTAATCTTCGGAACTTGTATGCCATTGATAGTGTCGTCAATTAACTTGCGAAGCCCGTCCAAATTTCCCGTGTAGCTAGGCCCCGCTACGGCTTCCATGAACTCGTCAGCTTGGTAATTCAAGAACGAAATGATCATCATTTCGTACAGAAACGTGGTGGGCGCAAATGTGCGAGATCGATTATTGCATGCAGTCCACGTAAATGGGATGATATCAAAATATTTATCTTCCTCCATATCCTTTCTTGGAAATACAAGGAGCCTTCGAGGTCTTAATAACGGCTGAAAGAGTGCTGCCTCAATAAGCGAAGCTTTGACCTCGAACTCCGGGAGAGATGAGAAAAGGGGTGTTTGTCGAAATAGCTGAACATGCTTTTGTGATATTTTAGGTACCATCTTCGATCCAATCGATAACCTTGGGGTAAAAGGCGCTGTAGATGCCTTCAGAGCTGAGAGAACATACGCTTCCGTTAGGAGGGGAGAAGCATACGATACCTTCTCTATCCAGCAGTAATCGACAACGTGCCCTCTTGAGGAGAGAAGAAAGTTGACACCATGGTTGATTGCAGAATCCAAATGTTCCCGAATGGAGTCAAAGAACCCTGATTTTCGGGCCTCGCAAAGTATGAGAACCCCGTGAGCTGTCTGTTCAGCGGTGTTATCCCACGACCCGTCCTCTGACTGTCCAAGTATAGTACGCAGGCAAGCTTGGACAAAGACGATAGAAATTCTTGAAAGGAGCTCCTCATCAATGAGGTCTGCCAAAGCACCACTGTCTATTAGCGCCAACAAGCCCGCGAATGCCTCAACCACAAGTACGGATGGATACAGATGGTTTGTATTCTTGGATAGAAATTAGTAATCATGATCATGGACTTAGTAGCTTATTAACACTCACCCACTTGTCTTTGATCCGACCGTCCGTATTCCACCAAGTATCACATAAAAATCTTACAATCTTTAAAATCTGGCCGGCGAAAGGCCTAGCGTCTGGTTGGTGAATAAGCGCCATCAAAGCATTACAATTGGCGCTGAAGCTGGGGTCTCTTTCTGAGGGGTAGGTTCGGAAATGGTTCTCAGCCTCGAAGGCTACGATCATTTGGTCAGGAGCAACGACGTTCCCGAGCATCCCGAGGCAAAGGATGCCTTTCGCGGTGTCATCCACGTCTGCACCAACGTGCGGTGCTACCATCCCAGCGTTAGCTATCGTACTCGTAGTCTTATCAGCAGCCAAGGATAGGTACTTACCAAATCCGATCACCCCCTTTTCAATTTGGAATGCTCTGGCCAGTATCTGAGTCATCTTGGCTAGCTCGAGGCATTCTAAGTCCGAAGCCGTGAAACCACCCTGAAGTAGTGTGGAGAGGATCTGAATATTAGTTAGATTTGAATTATTGATAATGGCTGTAGTAAAGGGACGTATTCTTACCCAAGTGTACTCAAAGTAGGTGGATGGATAGGCGCTTGGTACACCACCTGAACCCTGGCCAGCTGCTGACTTGATGACCTGTCTAAGGTATGCTTCGGCTTCACCGTCCCAGCTACTGATATTCATCAAGTAGGCAGCTGTGGCAGATGGAGACCCCATCATTGAGCCTTGTATCTTGTGGTGTGCCACCTTCTCGAAGTCGATCATCCCTATGAAGGCTTCGAGAGAGTGAATTGCTGTCATCCGAATCTTGCCGTATAGATACTCCGGTTTGAACCGCGACATTTTTGCAGCGGTTAGATTTGCTAGCGCACGCTTCCCTTCAAACTCAAAATCCAACAATGGATTCTCCCTCTCGAGGAAGTTAAGCATGGCAGGGACGATGATCTCGAAGCCGACATGATCAGTTGTGAGGACACTCCAGGTAGACAACTGGGAGCACAAGGACGTCGTTGCCTTCTCGATACGCTCTTCTAATGAGTCTTCGATAATTTGAAGGGGTTCGTTTAGGTGGCGCTGTAGCGACAGCAGCGAGGCGGCAGTGTTCAGGATACCATCAATCTGAGAATTACTTTCTATATTCCAGCTGCCATCAGTATTCTGTGTTTGTAGCAGGTACTGAAAACATTCTGGGAAAAGCCATTGCTTCTTCCCATCGATCTGTTTCGTGATCATTGATACCCAGGCGGTGTCGTAAGGAGCACAGCTCATGGTACCAGACCCATATACCTCGTCATATCCACGTATAGCTCGTTGAATTAAGGCTATGGCTCGGGTATTCAGCCCGTTGTCGGTACTTCGAGTATCTGCCATCGCAATTGCTTTTCGATAAAGGGGCAACTATGCGGAAGCGGATTACGATACAATAGCTTGAATAAGTTTATGATGTCTATAAACTGAACGACAACCTACCTCTAATCTAAAACGTTCATCTACGCGGTTGGAACGTGCTGAATGTCGCCCATATTACGCTCCGAAAGCCTAGGCTTAGACTTGACGTAACATTCATGCAAAATCCACTCGGATGCAGTGTTAAAAGGGGTACCCGATCAAGATGTTTCTTAAACGGTATAGTGAAAGTAAAGCGAGGATTTCTTAGGCACCTTCAAGCCATATCTCGTTAGGCGATCTCCTGGCTCAGCTCATGTACCGTGCCAAGGTATCCTTGAGAGTGTCGAGAGTCCTATTGTGCGACCCATCTATCGGACGTCCCATTTAGGAAGGGCCGAAATTTACAGGGGAGTAGGTTGACATCAGCATCACCTCGTCTCACCGAGGATGGATGGCCAACAGAGCGATCCCACTGGCAACAGATACGACAAAAGCCATGTATCTTTCCTCGCTATTACCGATCACCTACTCCAATATTACATACGCATTTTTAACTTGATCTAATCAAGTTGTAACAATGCTTTCTGCCAACTGGGTCGGCCCCCTAGGCGGTGGTGTCACCACAGAAATCCTCGCCAGCCTTGCGCTTCTCGTACTCTGCACACTCATATTTTCGCCATACTCATTCTCGAAATATGTCACTCTTAGAAAAATCCCCCGTGCGGGTAAAGTCCCTGGGTGGTTCAATGGCACGGTCGCCAAACGAGACTTCATCGCCAATGGCGCTAGTATCATCGAGGCAGGGTATCGCAAAGTGAGGAGCTCCATGAACTAGAGTAGTAGCATGAAAATGTGAACCTGTTGAGGATCAACGATTACTGATGATACTGGCATATAGTATCGCGATTCTATGTTCTTGGTGCAGACCGCGGATATGGAGCGAATTGTTCTGAGCCCAAAGTACGTGGACGAGATCAGGACAGCACCAGAGAATATCCTGAGTGTTAGAGAGGGGATGGTCGAGGTAATTATTGAATGGTGAAAAATCTACAATTTAATTAGCATTGTCACTAAATGTTGAGTAGAGACATCTCGGAAAATACACGACGCTTGATATTATACTTACAAGTCACCTCCAGAATGATGTTTGCAAGGCTCAATTGACTCAAAATCTTAGTATGACCCTTAGCTCCAACCATTAACGGGTTTTGTTTACTAATACTAGGTACCTCTATTACAGATCGCCTCATAGGTCCCGTTAACGAGGAGGCTCGTTTTTGGTTGAGTCAGCGAATACCCGATAGCAAACCCCGCGTTGAGTTGAGAGGTCACGAAACTATTCTACGAGTCATTGCGGGAGTTACTTCGAGAGTACTTATAGGACATCCTCTAAGTCGTAACGAAGCCTGGCTGGATGTCGCAGTAGGATACACGTTGGATGTATTCCACGTATCAACAGCTTTGCGGCCATATCCACCATTTCTCCGATGGCTCGTGGCACCCTGGCTGGACAGTACGAAACGACTCCAAAGCCATATTCGCATAGCCAACAAACACCTCAGTCACATATTCTCCGAGAGGATGAATCCGAACTATACTGGCGAAAAGCAACTAGACATGATACAGTGGATGGTAGACTCTGCACGGGGCAGCGACAGAAATCCGGACGTGCTGGTGCGCAAAATGCTGTTCATAACGCTTGCAGCGGTGCACACGAGTACCATGAGCGCTACGCATGCCCTTTTTGACCTTTGTGCAATGCCTGAGTATATCGAGCCGTTACGCGATGAAGTGCGTGAAGTTGTCGGTAAATATGGTTGGACTTTGACGGCAATCAACGAGATGAAATTCCTCGACAGTTTCATGAAGGAATCTCAAAGGGTCAATCATCCTGGACTTCGTATGTTAACCTTATTGAAATCGAGCGAAATGTGGCAATGACTGACATAGATTGTATAAGTGTCCTTCAATCGCAAGGTTATGCAACCCCTTCACTTATCCGATGGCACTTTCATCCCACCAAAGACGTTCATAACAATGGCAACGAATTCAATTGCACGAGATCCTCAAAACTATCGAGAACCGGACAAATTCGACGGATTCCGGTTCTACAAGAAGCGGCAGGTATCTCAAGAGGATGCGAAACGCCATCAGTTTGTGAGCACGGGTGCGGACAGCCTGCCATTCGGGCACGGCAAGTTCGCATGTCCTGGCCGTTTCTTCGCAGCGGCACAGATCAAGGTAGTACTCGCGAACATTCTACTCAAGTATGATATTTCGTATCCGGAAGGACAAAGCGAGCGACCGGCAAATATCTTCTCAGGGGAAGGTATAGGTCCAGATAGGGGGCAGACGATAGTATTTTCGAAGCGTACGTAGGATGAGATGGAAACGCTACGAGGATATTAAAATAGGTAGATTTTTTAATCGCTTAGCATTAATTATTCAAAATGAGACATAAAAACCGGTTAGAAACCCAGCCGGGGTCGTACAAACATAGAGCAGGCTCTCCAACGAGCCCCTGAAACAATCGTGCTTACGTAATTCGGTATTCGTGGATCATCCCTACACTCTACACTCCCATTATATCTATTATATCTTATCCGTCTTATTACTTCACTGCTAGAAGTAATATTTATCACCATCTTAACAGCATCTTCAACTAGGTCTTTGCCATATTGGTGTACTTCTTCAGCCATGCCTTCGCACCCACAACTAATTTTCGGTGGCGCTTCCATCGGAGCTGCATTCGCTACGCCACAAGAGGTTTCTGAGCTTCTACAGACCCTTAAATCTCTAGGCGTTAAAAGAATCGACACGGCAGCCCGCTATCCACCAACGAACCCCGGAGCTTCGGAGAGACTTCTTGGCGAACTCGGTGCAACCAAGCTAGGCTTCCTAATTGACACCAAGGTCCTTTGCGCCGGTCTAGGTGAAGGTAGCCTGGAGCCTGCGGCGACTCAGAAGTCATTGGTAGAAAGTTACGAGCGTCTACAACTCCAAGACAGCAAAGTCAATGTCCTCCACTGCCACAGACCCGACACACAAACCCCCTTGATCGAACAAGCTGAAGGGTTAAACGCGCAGTACAGAGCCGGGCGGTTCGATAAGGCACGTACTGACCATCTTCATGCGAAAATTAAAAAAACTAACAGTAATAGCTCGGGGTGTCCAACTTCGACCCAGAACTGCTCGATGAGTTCATAAAGATTTGCGATCAGAACGGCTATGTCAAGCCCACTGTCTACCAAGGCCAGTATAACTTGGTGTGCCGCGATATCGAGAGGACACTCTTCCCCACACTACGCAAACATGGAATGGTGTTCAATGCTTACAGGCAAGCTTTTCATATTTTTACCTCGATGCTCTCACTGATTTCTAATATTCAATAGTCCATTGGCTGGAGGCTTTCTCAATGGAAAGTTGACTGCAGGGGATACGGAAGGGACTCGCTTCGACGCCGGCAATGTTATGGGTCAGCATTATAGGGCTCAGTATGACAAGAAGGAGATGCACGATGGTATTGAGTATCTCACCAACATTTTAGATGAGATGGGTATATCTAAGGTAGAGGCATCGCTGCGCTGGATCTCCTATCATTCTAGTCTAGGCAGTGACGACGGGATCATTCTTGGTGCAAGCAAACTTTCGCAGCTATCACAGAATGTAGAAGCTATCGCAAAGGGGCCACTGGATGAAAAAGTTGTCTCGGCTATGGACAAGATGTGGCAGTCAATTTCCGGGTGAAAAAGTCCGAGAATCTATCTCTCAGAACTATTACATGACATCCTCAATGATACTAGCTTCAATACTACAATGTTTATCTGTTGCATTATGGTTCCCAATTAGTCAAGATCGCAATGTGTGTCATCAATGCAACTTTCCCAGCTGCTGTAAGGGGATTAAAGCTCTAGACTTTCAACCTGAAACAGAGAGCCGGTAAACTTCGATTACATGCTGTAAAATTTCTTGGGATTCGTCACTTCTAGCGACTCTGGATGCTCGAATGAGACCGCCCGAAGGTCGGCGGCTTCGGATGCATACCTAATATTATGCACTCTTACGAACCTCGAGTAAACTACCCGATCTGGAAGTCCGAAGCTCTGGATGTGCCGGTTATGCTTTCTGCTTACGTTTCATGAGATCTATACTATCACAATCACTATCATTTAATTCTTAATTTCAATACTAAGTATCGCGTCGATACCTTTGATACTTGTGCTTTTTGTCATCTGGCTCACACAGAATACTACGGTTATCGCATAGATATCATTTGAAAAATGGATCCGAAAGTGAGTAGCGTTGCAACTGAGGGCGTTGCCTTCAGTAGCCTCCCTATCCTAGAATGGGACAAGCAACAGGTTACTATGGCCTTATTCACTGGCCTCGTATCTCTGTATGTTTTCAGTATTCTGAAGTCTGCTTTGTTTGGGGTTAAGGCCCCTTACATTGGCCACCGCTCATACTTTGAGCCGGCATGGGTTGTGGGACTACGCTTCGTGCGCGGCAGCGGGCCAATGATTAAGGAAGGATACCAACAGGTAAATTGCTATACCCAAAACTTTATTTCGGGGTTCACGGAATCGCTAACGGGTAGTCAGTTTAAAAATACCATGTTCAAGGTTCGACGCAACGATGCCGATATCCTGGTCATCTCAAATAAGCACATAGATCAACTTCGCAACCTACCAGACCAGCAGATCAGCGCCATCAGGGCTCATATCAAGAATCTTCTCGGACATTATTCCACCACGCTTATCTTATTAGAGAGCGACTTACACACCCAAGTTCTTCAACAGAAGTTAACACCCAACCTGGCTGGTACGATCCCGGTCGTGAAGGACGAGCTCGATTTTTCGTTAGAGACCGAGGTTCCGAAGTGCACAGGTGAGCTCCCAACCTATTTTCATGTCGTAATTGGCAGAAAGGCTGATAGCACTAGGCGATTGGAATGAGGTCCAGATCTACGAAATCCTGCTCCGAATCGTTGCACGCATCTCAGCGCGAGTGTTCCTAGGCCCCGGCGCGTGCCGAAATGAAGAATGGCTCGCGACCAGCATCCACTACACAGAAAACGTCTTCACAACGGTCATGACGCTGCGCAGATTCCCCCCATGGCTTCACCCGATCATTGGAGTAATGCTACCCTCATACTGGCGGGTCCGCTCCAACTTATCCACAGCGAAGCGCATCATCGGCCCCATGGTACGAGAGCGACGAGCCTTGGCACAATCTGATAAAGAATATGAGAAAGGCTCAGATCTACTGCAATGGATGATGGATGCCGCAAACGAGAATGACGGCCAGCCGCATAAGCTAGCGCACCGACAGTTACTCCTAAGTCTCGCTTCAATCCACACGACCACCATGGCCGCGGCACACGGGCTCTATGACCTATGCGCCCACCCCGAGCACTTTGATACCCTCAGAGCGGAACTCGTTGAAGTACTGCGAGCCGACGGAGGATGGCAAAAGACGTCTCTGAACAAGCTGCGCAAGATGGACAGTTTCATGAAAGAGTCCCAGCGACTGAACCCGCCAAGTTTACGTAAGGATCCCAACCCCATCTTGAGATTGAAGCCCCTAAACTAACACACATCTTACTATAGTCGCATTCAACCGCATAGTCCGAAGTCCCGTCAAGCTCTCAGACGGAACGCTCCTTCCAACCGGGACACACTTCAGCATGGCCGCACACTCGCTCCTTCACGACCCAGAGCTTCTGCCGGGTGGCGGGGACCCAACGGAGTTCGACCCGTTCCGGTACTCGCGACTCCGCGACGACACCAGCAAGCCGGAGAACGCGAACAAGTTCCAATTCGCCATGACCGACCGCAACAGCCTGCACTTCGGGCACGGGAAATACGCCTGCCCGGGTCGTTTCTTCGCCAGCAACGAGATCAAGATTATCCTTGCCCATCTGCTGCTGCGCTACGACTTCAAGTATCCCGCCGGCCAGGGCCGTCCGAGGAACTTGTTCGCGGATGAGAATATTTACCCCGATCCGGCGGCTAGACTGCTGATGCGGGAGCGCGTTGAGGTTGATGAGGATGTGAGGAAGCTTGTGGGTGCTTGATTGGGGGAATAGGGCGTGATGAGTGATGCATAGATGGCATAGATGAAGTACCGATTGGCCGCTATCATAGATTGCAAATGATTTCGCATAGAAATGCGTTAGAGGGTGTTAAAAGAGCGTTGTCAATGATACCAGTCATCTTGAAAAGTTGTAGATGGTATGCGTGGGATAAGGGGTAGAGGGGTAGCGGGGTAAGGTTGGGGTTGGGGTAAAGGATGAGGTTAGGGTTCAGATTGGGGTAAGAGATATGGTTAGGGTTAGGTGGTGTTAGGGTTATCCAGGTATTAGTAAGACTGTTAACAATATCAGACACACCTACCTTAACCAACTCTATCTGCCCCTTAATCTGTGATACCTATGATAATTTCCCATCCATTGATACCACAGATAGAAATCCCATCATTACCTTACTCTTCAATTTTCTCCTCGGAAAGAGCAAGGTGGTAATCTTGAGCTTACCAGACAGAAATCGTGGGTCCAAACGTGCTGACAAACATTATATTACCCGACTCTACATGCTTACCTACATGGCAGATAGTAAGACAGGCCTCGGACCGTTCCGTTTTAGTCTGCCCGATCTTTGCTTATTCTTACAATGCGGGCCATCGTCAACTAACATGCGATTATCTGACTGCATCCAGCCGATGCCGTAGCCCCCCTTGATACTTGACGTATTATCAATGATGTAGCCCCAAGTCAGCTAAGTTGAATCGTCTCAGGTAGATGAAGATTATACAGGCAGGTTGGATCGGTAAAATGAAGGCTCGTCACTCTGTTCTCTCGTTGGGCCTGCTTTGTATACCGGCGGGTATCGTGTATGGAGCAAGCCAACAAGTCCTAGGCTTCCAAGATACTATCCTTTCGGCCATAGGCATCGACGGCTTGCCTTGGCCGTTCTTCGGGAGCGCTGATGAAAAGAAAGGTGCAGAGACTCTATCTAAGTGCAATGTACCTTTCGAGGTCCTCGACCTGCTAAGCCACGCCGGCGTTCAAAGCGCGGACTGCAGCGCAGCAGCCCATCTCGCAGAGTCCCTCCACGACACCTGTTCAAAGCATCCCGGTTGTCACCTCGCCGGACCAAAGGACAATGCTAAACCATCCAGCGACAAAAAAGACGCGGGATGGCGTGCATCAAAAGCCTGCGCAATCGCGCGTTTCCTCCTCGAGCCCTCGAGCGCCGTGATGCAAGCCTCGGAATACGGCGAAGCCTACGAGGCCGCTGTGAGAGTGAATTGGTAAGGGCAATCCCAAATTCCCCCTTCCATAAAACGCGGCACTAACGATCCATCCTTGCACCCAGGTCAAAGGACTGCTGGCTCCAACCGCGATGCATCCTCCAGCCCTCAAGCGCCGAGCAAGTATCATGGATTATGCAAATCATCCAATATACTGGAACCCGTTTCGCCATCCGAAGCGGTGGCCACAACCCGAACCGCGGGTGGGCCAACATCGGGGACGGGGGCGTGCTGATCGACACGTCACGGCTAGACGAGGTCGTGGTAAGCCCCGACGCCTCGACAGTCGAAGTCGGTCCGGGAAACCGCTGGATCCGAGTATACGAGAAACTTGAGGGCACGCGACGCTCCGTGCTGGGGGGGCGCACACCGGATGTGGGTGTTGGTGGCCTTCTTCTCGGATGCGGAATCCCCAGTTTCTCGAGCGAGTTCGGGCTTGCATGTGATTACGTGCGGGAGTACGAGGTGGTGTTGGGGAACGGGACGATTGTCGTTGCAAATCAGGAGACGAACGCGGATCTGTGGTGGGCTTTAAAAGGGGGCGGGTCTAATTTCGGTATGTATTCGGGGATAGCGGCTTGTTGAGACAATATTTCGTTCTCCGGTGCGAAGAGAGTGCGATTGCTAACGAGTATCCTGTGGCGTGTTTTAGGAATCGTGACGAAGTTCGTGCTTGAGACTATTCCTGTCGATCGCATTTGGTACGAAGCGCGCATCTACGGCCCGGACGAGAGCAGAAGATTGCTAAGGGCCGTTCGCGAATACCAGGCCGCCGCTGAAGAAGACGAGAAGGCGTCATTTGCCTTCAGTCTTTCCAATAATCACACCATTGTGGCTTTTGTTTACTCGGCGCCCGTCGAGTTTCCGCCTGTCTTCCAGATGTTCCGCGATATACCCTTTCAGCGACACTTCATCGAGCCCAGCCTAGGGACGCCCTATACAATCGCAAAGGCCTTCGAGACGGTACTAGGAGACAGACCCGCGTTCAAGTAAGTACACTTTTCCAATCCGACCAGTCGGAAATTATTGCGCTGTTAATGTTTCGTGGAGCTGATACGTGCTTGTAAATACTAGGCGTGACATAATTGCAGTTTCGACAAAGCCTGATCTTTCGTTATACGAGGAAGGTTACGATCGGTGGTTAGAACTTTCGAAAGACATGATGGGGCAGTTTGACTGTATGATGACCTTTGGCATCCAGCCCGTCACGTCGAGCGCTATCATAAAAAGCAACGCCAGAGGAAACCCACTCAACCTTTCGCCAGAAGGTCAACAATGTTCGTAAAATCCATACTCTTGTCCTTCGTAAATGCAAGTTCTGTGATTGATATTTTGTTAGGGTATACTTCTGTCATTCAATGGCAAGACGACAAGTTCGACGATCTTGCGCATCAGGCTGTCAAGACTAGTGGTGGTGCGGTGCGGGAGATCGCTAAGCGGAAAGGGATTTTGCTTGATTTCGAATTTCTCAACGACGCCACTTGGGACCAACATCCCATCGCGAGTTACGGAGAAGAAAATGTGCGTAAGCTACGTGAGATTGCCCAGCGGTACGATCCCGCCGAAGTATTCCAAAAGTTGCAAGGAGATGGATTCTTGCTCCACAAGATGCCATGAGCCAGTCCTCTCCATGCTCACCAATGCCAAGGCCAGTGGCTTGAGACCTGCAGGCTCCCTAACACGTTAAATGCGTGCCCTAGATTAGGTGTAGGCGTTAGGGATCACTCTAAACTGATTTTCTAGAGGAAGTTAGAGATCATTTCGATAATGGAAAAATTCCTAGAAAATAGAAGGCAGTGTGATACCGATCATCTGTTAGACCCTAGGTCCTTACTCATGATTATCAAATCAAACGGGAATTTCATCAAACTTCAAGGTTCTCGGGTCAGACAAAGACATACACTATATTTGCTTCGATTATAATTGAAAGATGATTGGTATGGCTTGTTTTCATCGCCACGTCTAGAATGTTTTATTGATTAAATGATGACAAATCTCGCCGAAGAGTTAGGTACCTGCTCTAGGTAGGTTAGCGCTACTTGATCCCTAAATTTGACCGCGCACTCACCGAAAGGGGTGATCATAGTGCGCTGGAATGACTATCAAAGAATTGTATTAGTAATGAGTTTTTGGTGCAGCGGTGCCAGTGACCCTTTATATCTACCTACTTAATACCAGGCAGGTAAGTAGATGAATAGCATAAAAGTACAATACCTAATTAAATTTGATCCAGTGACCTTCAATCTATACACTGTTCATCTTGGCTCCCGGATGACGAAATAGCGAAGTTCTAGAACGTAATACATTCTAAACAGGTTAGCTATCCCGACTGTGCGCTCGTCGGGTTACACAGCATCATTGGAATGTGATAGACATAAAAACAGGCCAACTCCTACTCACTAGTTCAATTGATAGTTTGTCTTCTCCAACTCAACCGTTAACTTCGTAAACCCACGCAGCTAAAGTATATTCAGATCCGCCATGGCCAACGGAAAGCTTCTCGTCCTCGGCGCGACAGGAGAGACGGGACAGGTCCTCGTGAAGCGCGCTCTCGAGTTAGGTTGGCGAGTGACTATTTACGGCCGACGAACGCTACCAGAGCATGCTCAGAATGCAGATATCAAGGTGAGCTTCAACCAGTTCTCCAGGAGTATCAACTTTTCTACGCATTCGCGTAACGAATGACTAACAATGCGACGCAGTCAGTCGAAGGAACCCTCGACAATGAAGAGCAACTACGCACCGCGATCCGCGGCCAAGACGTCATCATCTCCGTAGTCGGGCCCTCCGGCATGCGCGCCGAAACCGCCGTCTTCGTACCAGCATACAAGCTAATCCTCTCCATCATGAAAGACGAAGGAGTCAAGCGCATCATCGCATTAAGCACATTCAGCGTCAAGGACCCCAAGGACAAGCCGAGTCTATACATCTGGTTTCTAACAACGGTGCTCTGGGCCATCGCGCACAAGATTTGGAAGACGATCGTCGACATTGGTGAGGTATTTGATACTTATGGCGGCGACCTCGATTGGACTCTATTCCGAGTCGGATTCTTGGGGAATGGGCCGAGGGGTCGGGTTGTTGATGGGTATGTGGCGGACGGCAAGCTCGGTGCTTCCATTGAACGCGCCGACATTGCTGAGTGGGCGTTGACTCAGGCAGAGAAGTCGCCACCGGAGCATGTGAGACAGAAGCCTGGCATTTCTTCTCTGAAGGAATGATTGTAGATTTGTATGGAGGTTCATGCGATTCGAGTTGATACCATAGTCCAGCTAGTTGTGAGTTGGTTTTGTTCGAAATATGAGGGGGTCTATTCCAAGGTGTCCATGGTTTATATCCAACTAAATTGAGCTTATATATGCATTGAAGAATAAAACATGCCTATAATACGTGAAGTGTAATGAACTCACCTTATCCTATAAGTCTTACTCCCAACCCTAACCCCAAAAGTTAGTGTTAGGGTTGGGGTAAGGTTATGCTTATGTAATCAGTCTCGATGATGAACTTAGGTACCGTACCGGGACCCACCAACGCCTGACAATGGTTGTTTTCGAAAACAATAATGGCCCATTATAATAATCAAGATTTCCCAGCACAGCTATTGTATAAAATATAATCATTATAAGGGCTAGACAATCATTGGAAAGGTCAAACAATCATTGGAAAGATTCAACATTCATTGGAAACCTTAAACATTCATTGGAAACCTTAAATACCTAAGTATTTGTAGCCTCAAATAAAGAGGTAGGTGACGAGGTATGTGGCGAGGTAGGTGACGAGGTAGGTGACGAGGTGGGTGACGAGGTGGGTGGCAAAAACCCTCTCTCTTTCCTGCCCACCTTCCTGTCCACCAAGCTGTATATAGGTCTATCTTTTTGATCTTTCTGATCTTTCTAGTCCTTCTGATCCTTCTGATCTATCTGATCTATCTATCTGATCTATCTGATCTATTTAACGACCTGTTTATTGATCGAAATATTGTTCTATCTAGAGGTTTATCTGATCTATCTAAGGACCTGTTTATTGATCGAAAATTTGATCTATCTAAGGCTAAATCTATATTAAAGTACAAGTGATTATTATTATTGTTGTTGTGATATGGTGGTGGTGGTGTATGTTTTTGTGAGAAAAAAAAGATGTAAAAGAAAGAAATAAAAATAAGAACATGTATGTAGAAGATGCAGGATAAGGACAAGATTTGAAAAAAAATCTTAAGTTTTTTTGTGGGCAAAAAGGTATCGCCAACCTTGTTGTCGCCTGGGTTCTAAGGTTACTTGGGCACCTGATCTAAATCTAAGGTTTTCCAATGATTGTTAAATCTTTCCAATGATTGTTGAACCCCTCCAATGATTCCAACCTCTTTCCAATGATTTCAACCTATTTACAATGATTATTTTTACTTTTACAATCATTGTTTTCGACTTTCCAATCATTGTTAGCTCCTAGTATTTGCCGCTATGGTAGGTATAATGCCATCCATGGATATCCATCTTGATAGATATAGTGAAATAATGCCTTGGCTAAGCAATTATTACTTCAACATGCATGGACTCGGGTTTCTTGCCATTTGTCGAGACCATCCCTGTTACCTGATATCGAGGTTAGGCAAAATAACTGCCACCCTTGTAACACAAGTGATCGACACATTCTACATTGGACCTTTAGATTGAATTATATCCACGCGCCCAGGTTAGCAAGATCTATTTTGCCGGCATTACACGTTGCGGAGACACGTTCACATATTAAAAGGTCAATATGGACACCTCATCACGTAAATACCTCTTACCTGGGCTGGGGTTTGTATTGGCAAGACGTAAAATATTGACCTAGGCCGACAACGATAAGTTGACAATCAAAATGGCTTCCACGGTTCGAAAAGTTGTCACCGTCGCGTTATCTGTGCTGACTTTTAGTTTGGCAGCCTCAGTCGAGCGCTGCGAGAGAGCATGTTTGGAGGGTTTCATCTCGGATTATCTGAACGCACTAATAGCCCATGATCCATCGACATTGCCGACGACACCGGACGTAAAGTATGTCGAGAATGACCAGATACTACCACTTGGGTCAGGAGAATGGCACATCGTCGAGTCGCTAGGCAAATATAATCATACATTCTCGGATCCCGAAGCAGGTCAAGTCGCGACCATCACCACTATTACCGAGAATGGCGTGGGTGCGATATATATGGTACGCCTAAAGGTAGAGGAGGATGGAAAGATCAGTGAGATCGAAACACAGATCACACGCGACTCTGGTGGTTTCGAACTCTATGAGCAACGAGGCCAACCAGAGCCTGTGTGGTTCGAAGCCGTGGCACCAGAGAACCGAATACCCCGGGATATGCTGATCTCCCAAACCAACAAATATTACACCGGCATGCAGGGGAATGACCCTAATGGAGACTATAGCTTCTTCGATAAGGAATGCAATCGTCTCGAAGATGGTCTTCAGACGACTAACGTAAAGACAGGGGATCCCTACGGACACTCCAATGACACAGCCTTCATGTCTCTAACCTGCGAGGAGCAGTTCCAAACTGGGTTCCTTGGTTTCGTTACAAAGATCCGCGAGCGCCATTTCCCCGTAGTCGATGAGGAGCGTCAAGTCGTTTTCGCTATCACAACTCTCGACCATAACGGGACGGTGAGAACGTTGCCCAGTGTAAATGGAACGTCGTCGCCTATCCCTCCATATTTCGATACACCTCGGACTCTGATTGCCATGGAGGCATTCCGTTTCAATGGCGAAAAGTTATATCGCATCGAGATGACATTGACTGAAGTCCCCTATGGCATGAAGGCAGGATACCCTCAGGACCCACCAGTAGATCTCACCGGACCCGGTACCAACTTCACGGTCTACCCAGATCCATGTGATCGAGTTTGTCTCGAGAATGTAGTAGGAGACATATTGATGTCACTGAGGGTTCATGACCACACGCGCTTGCCATTTGCGAAAGGCACTCGTTATTCAGAGAATGGCCAATTTCTTGCTTTGGGAGATGGGTTATGGCAGACGTTAGAAGCAATTTCCTGGACGGATAGCTACGCGGTAGTCTTGGCAGATGAAGAAAGAGAAACAGCCGGTTATTGGGGGTTTTCACAGGAGCATAGTGTACCTGGCGTCCTAGCACTTCGAATTGCAGTCGGTGGCGGGCAGATAACTGAGGTCGAGGCACATGCCGTGCGAGCAGAAACCAACGGGAGCCGTGGTGGAACGATAACACTCATGCGCCCGCCTCTACCGGTGGAGTGGGAAGGAGATGAGTCGGCGGTGTTTGACGCCGCATTCCAGGAACATAGCGTCGAAGGTGTTGACATTTCACCAGATTTGTTAAATGTTTATTTCGACGGCATAGAGAAGCATTCGAGTGAGGGAGTACCATTTGCTGCGGGATGCACTAGACGAGACAACTTGGCTTAAACAAATCTTACTTGTGCTGATCAACTTGATGGCAAGGGAGCGGCCCCGAATGGTCTACCAAGTAACACGACATCGGTTCGTGACCGACGCGTTCTCGCGGCCGACAAAAAGAGAGCGATCGCGTTAGCTGTCTCCTTGATCGACGAACCAGCTAATGGACCTGATCCATCAGAGACGACACGTATTCCAGGCACCTATATGGTTCCACAGTTATTCAAGATTGATAACGGGACGATCTCTCAGGTCGAAAGTGTTATTAAGTGGATGCCTTTTGGATATACGTCTGAATGGTCGAAGCTGGAAAACTAAAGAAAGACTTGACAAATATTTAGGGAATTCAGTTAGGCAGATAAATAAGATATATGTTCTTATAGAGTCTTTTACGACCTTTATAGAACTAGTGTCGTTATTTTACCATATTAGCAGGTTTATGCAGATATCATACATCAAAGCCCCGCAGTATGCGTTGTTACCTCAGTTATTACTTGTCTAGGATCATACGAATGGAGGGGCATCCCTGTCTCCATCCTCGTCTCCTTGCTCTCGTACAGAGTAAGGCGGGCCAACATCGACACCGACATCAATACCGAAGTCCTAGATCCTGGGTATTTATCTACAAATTAATGTCTCTGGAAGGCATCTCCTAACTTAATACCTACCTAGCCTACCTAGGTAGCCATCAAGATTCTGCAATTGTAGCAAGATGCAGTCCGGAATATCTGGTAATACACCATCCCCTTTCCCCTTAATCCAAACTTAAGGAATACAACAAACTAATGGTCGTAACACAGCATCTCAGGAGCTCATCTCCGCATTCAACACTCTTCTCTCCGACACCTCACAATTCGGACTTCTCGTAACCATCACAGGAGAATCCCTAACACCTAAAGAAACACTTACCGGCGCTTCAAGCAACTTTTCCTCCAACCTCTCCAAGCTAACCCCTCACCTAAAACCCGACGAGGCGCTCTACATCCTCTTACGACGACATGACACCGCTCCATACCTGATAGCCGTAACGTACGTGCCGGACTCGGCCAAGGTCCGGCAGAAGATGTTATTCGCATCCACGAGATTAACCCTCGTGCGCGAGCTAGGCTCCGAACACTTCCGCGAGACCATATTCGCGACCATGGCCGAAGAGCTGAGTGTTGCCGGTTTCGAGAAACATGATCGGCACAGTGAGCTTGAAGCTCCCCTTACCGAAGAAGAAAGAACGCTCGGCGAAGTCAAGAGAGCTGAAGCCGAGGCCGGCGCCGGCACGGGTAGTCGCGAGATCCACCTTAGCTCACACATGAAAATGCCAGTCGCTACCGATGCATTAGTTGCCTTAAGTGCGCTAGGTCGTGAGGAAGGCAGCGGTTTGGTGATGCTGGTAAGTTTCACAATAACATGCAATACTATAAAATACTACTTTCAAACTTAGACTAACTCAAACAAACAGAAAATCAACCCCGAGACCGAAGTTGTAGAGCTATTTCCCGATTCCTCGACACCAAAGACCATTACCGAGCTCGTTAACACTATTTCTTCAACCGAGCCACGTTTCACCTTCTTCCGATACAAAGCCTCCCCACCGCGCGGAGGAGAGGAGAAGAACGTTATACTCTTCTTCTACACATGCCCCTCCACGCCGGGTACTAAGGCCATCAAATTCCGTATGGTCTACCCTCTTATGAAGCGAGCGGTACTCACGGTAGCCACGACCGAGGCAGGGCTGCAGATCGAGAAGAAGTTCGAGGTCGAGGAGCCGAGCGAGATCACGGAAGAGATCGTAACGTCGGAGTTGTTCCCCGAGACGGAGACTAAAGCGGGTTTCAGAAGACCCAAGAGGCCCGGGAGGTGACCGTGATCATGAGCCGTTATGATTAAAACGAGAGTATAGCTAGCGAATCCTCATGATAGATGACGAATCAAGACGATTGTATTCCACTATAAATCCCAATGCGACACGCGAACAAGATACAAGCAACCACTTAGGTATATCCAACATGAACCTCCCCAATCCTAGATCCTCTGCCTCCAAAATCCCGAAACTAATTCCCCCTAAATTTACTCCTCGTACCTACTTCCCGATATAACACTCGGGCCACTCTTCTCCAACTTATCCTTCAGATACTCGTACACCGTGAACGTGACAGCCTGACCGGGCGCAACACGCATGATCCGAGGCGTAATCCCCTTGTAGAACGCATGAACACCTTCTTGCCTGTAACACCCTCATATTAGCACCACCTCATCAACAAACATCTCCAACCAAAACAATCATAGAACAAAGAGAAAAGAAAACTCACTTAAACATCTCCCCAGCAATAACACTAATCCTCCTAAAAGCCGAAACCCCCTCCTCAGCCGGCGTCTTCTGCAAACGGGTCTTAATCGTATCAATCGGGGCATTACTCAGCGGTCCCATCGCACCGCTCACAAGCCCAATAACCGTAGTCTGCCAACTCGGCAACTGTCCCGACCCCCTCCCCCCCTCCTCCCTCCAGCGCAGCAACGCCTCCTTGAAATACGTATACGCCGTGAAATTCACCGCCTGATTGCTGCCCTGTCTCAGCGCCGTGAGACTGACCCCGCGGTACAGCGCGCCGACCCCCTCTTCCTTGACAACAGTGTACAGCGCGTGCGCCGCGTTGCGGTACTTCGGGATGTCGAGCGGGTCCGCCATGCTGTGGTGTTGCGCCTGCAGCCGGATCTTGACGACTTCCATGGGGGTGACTACGGCCACGGCTTCGGTTACGCCTGCGGCTAGACCCGCGAGGAAGGTGCCCCGGCCTGTTATCGTTTTTGTTTCCGAGTCCGCGAGCATTTGCTTGTAGGCTTCGAAGGAGGTGAAGCGGATCGCCATTTTGGGCACGATGCCCGTGAGCACGGCGCCGAGCCCTTTGTAGAGACCGAGGGGCGTTTCCCGCTTTACGATCTCGCTGCCGGTGCGGATGAAGCCCCGTTTGGGGGCGCCGGGTTGGCGGGCGCGGCGGGAGAGTTGCATGCGGACTTTTATGGTGTCTGTTGAGGGGCTGTTAGAGGGTGTGGTGGAGGCGGGAAGAGGTGAGAAGGAACGAACCGAGAGGGTGGCATACGAGAGCCTCCATCATTCCTGCCCCTCCACCAGCTTTATTGTGTCTGTGTTAGTTGAATTGGCTCTTGAGATAGAACACGGAAGGAAGACGCGTTCCGGAAGCTTACCGATCAAATTCGTGGCTGCCGTCGGCGGCGCCTTGCCATCTTTTCCTCCCACTTTAGTCGCCATTGTGTATTCCTAACTTTGGGCTTGCGCCCTGTTTCTATTCTGTATATCTTCCGATTGTGCTCGAGTCTTCCAAGGTGGAATAAAACGACCTTTACAATAAGAGAGTGAGGCGATCACATGCAATAATCGTCACCAATATGCGTTAGAGGAGTACAAAGGAAGTGACAGCTAACGGGAGAATTAGGGCGCTTGGTATTTAAGAAGATACGAGAACAAAGAGGAGTTACTCTGTAAGTAAAGCTTGACCGACGCCAAAGGGTTGTGGGAGCAGTTAAGAGGAAACGAGATCGTCCAATGTGTATGAAGTTCCGAAGGATATAAGAGTACTGGGAGAGATAAGCAGCCCAAATCTACAACACGATTCCAGCCGAAAACTTTAAAGCTAGAATATCACAGAGGCATCTATAGGTATGTATAGTCCGGCCCCAAGGGACCAAGTGATGAAAGACATTACCGAGCTACGGGCTCTGACATAAGCTTCACGTACCCGCCATACCGGAAGAGAGCAGAGTCGAGTGACTCAAACCCTCTCCGAAAGAAAGGATCCGCGGCTGAGAATCGACACGCCATCTCGTGCTCCTCCTAGATCTACCTAAGAGCCTAGCAGCCTAGGGAAAATATTGGCTGGGGAAACGCGAGTAGTGCGTTGTGGGGTTGGCTAGATCGACGTTCGAATGATGGCGGCCGAAAACCTTAACCAGTACGATAGCTCTCTCATACTCGTGGTGAACGGTCCGCCGGATCAGAACTCGTTCGGTGAACCGGAGCTTCAGTCGCGTGGTGCGACATCTTCCTTGGCGGTTGAGTGGAAGAAGCTCATCTTAGTGCAGTTTATACAAATACATAAGAACATTAGAACGATCCGAATTGCTATATCCAATTGGCTGGCTGGGCAATGTCACTTCGCATCCAACAATCTCGATTTCGCGTATCGATTGGTTTGACATGAGGATTGCGACTTTGAACATGCTCTGGCCTGTGATCTTAACAGTGACGTCGAAAGTATATTTGTTTACCGACGGGGAGCCGAGCTTGTGATTTTGCGGGGAGAGTAGCCGGGGAATGGAGACTTGGCAGGGATTGTCAGGGACTACAGATACGTACCTCCTTACGTAGCTGAGTCCGGTTACTTCCGGATAGAATCCACTTACAGCTTAACCCCTTTGAAGCTCTGCTAACAATAATTGATATCTGGAGTATGGAGTATATAGACACTTTGCTTGCCGAGGTTAAAAGTACAATGAGAGTGCTTCTTGGTCAAATTACGCTACTTCAGATACTACTAGTATGCAGTAGAAATATCAATATCAACCACCTTAGACCCTCCTCAGCCGCGGGGTGCCCAGGTTACCACCACACATGCAGGTCTAGAACGAACTTCACATGCAGTCAAAATGAGCTCAGTGACTCAGCATACATAAAACAAGCTTGAGCCATATAAGTATTAGATCCATAGATCAGATTAGATTCATTATAATATAATCGCATAGATATTCTTCTCCTCGATTCCCCCCTACACAACGTAGGGCAATGTTGAATATTTCGTAGACTCCATCATCCCCAACCCCTAGTTCGTAACAACTGCCTCTGCAGCACACGATGCCACGGTGCTACTAACCCTGTTCATATTCCTATACGCCTTCTTTAAATTTTTCTAAGTAATAGACGCCGCCTTTCCATAATCCTGTTAGATGTCCTAATCGAAAAGACAAGTATCGCCAAGCCCAGCTCTTTTTTTGACATTCCTTGAGTAAGCCGGCCGGTATAGGTGAAGTGGTATATTTAGACGCCCCATAAATCAAAATTGCGTTATCGTAAATCGGTAAAAGAATCGGCTCCCTTCGAGCCTATAAGAAACTCCGGTGCTGTTCGAAAGAAAAAGGATTAAGCAGGGGTTCCAAATTCTTCGACTTCTGAAGGTTCACCCTCAAAGCTATAAAGTCGCACTTCTCCGTCCTCGCTTCCGCTTGCCATTCGGCTGTCGCTTAATCCTACGCAGGTCACGGGACCAGAATGACCTGTAAATGTTCGCTCGCACTTTCCGGTTCGAGCATCCCAAACTTTGACTAAATTGACAATAGTGTTAGTATAAAATCGATGAGATAATATGAATGAAATATGGGTTCTTACCCGTCGCGTCATTAGCACTAGTGACGTATCGCAAAGAATCGGCCGCAAGACCCCAGATGCCTTCAACGTGCCCGAAGAAGGTTCGCGGGCTCTTTCCTGTCGCCGTATCCCAAAGCCTCATTGTCGCGTCCAGGGACCCAGTAAGCATATACCGCGGGGGTAAGGGCCGTTCGGGGTCATTCTGGAAGATATGTCCATATGCAGCTCGTTCTTCATCCATCTGAGCCTGCGATATCGAGGACGACGAACAACCAGGGGGTGTACCACTATGACTACTAGACACAGAGGCTGCATCCCCATCTCGAGTAGTCTCATCCTCAAACTCATAGTCGTCCGGAAGTGGAAGAACCTGCTGAACTTGTCCAACGTGGCCTTCGAACGTCTTAATACAGACCTTAGAGTCGAGGTCCCAAAGCTTTACCGTGCAGTCGTCAGAAGCAGAGAGTACCGTACGCGATGCCATATCGAGGCGAACATGATTCACCCAATCGGTATGACCTCGCAAAGAATATGACTGCTGAGTTTTAAAGTTGAAAATCTTGATCGACTTATCCATGGATCCCGACGCTAGAAGGTCACCGTCCATATGCACAGTTATGACGCCGCCTTGATGGTTGAGGGTGTTGATGCAAACGCCTGTTCGCCAGTTCCATATTTTGACTGTGCCGTCCAGACTAGCTGAAACGAGCATCCGATCATCAAATTGGAGCGCTCGAATCCCCATCGTATGGCCATGGAGAGTCCTTATAACTTCACCCTTCTCGATATCCCAAAGCTTGATTTTCGAATCGTAGGAACCCGTAGCAAGGATGTTGTCGTCGAATTGCAGAGCCGTTATCCCGTTTGTATGCTCCCCGCCGAACGTTTTGATGGTACACCTACCGTAGCGCCAATTGGACCCAACCCGATACCTTTCTCGGTACAGATCCTTCCATGGTCTAAATTTCTGTGTACCCGTAGGCTTATTCCCGTTGCCGACACCGTTGGCGCATTGACGTTTCGCGGAAGCGGATTCGGATTCGGTACACTCCAAAGTCGATGCGCCACGCTTAGCAGGGCTTACAACTGAAGGGCTGTGGCCAATAACTGCCAGTGCTCTTTGGGATTCTACATCAGCCTGTCGTTGAATTTTCCATTCCTTCAATCGCTTTTTCTCCAACCTTGGCAGACCCCATTGACACTTCACACATTTGCGTCCAATATGTTGCTCACACATTCGATGCCAGACGATATCGTCACCCGATAGAGTATTCCAGCGCCTGCTAACCTGCGCAGCCTTGCAAAGGGAAGAGCAATCGAGGTAACATAAAATCTTCAAAGAAAGTTCGGTCGGCAGGGCAGTGAGAAAGTCGATCTTTAATTGTTCATGAACTTCTCGAGAAACGGTGGAGAGTTGTGGGAAGCAACATTGGGTGATGATTCCTTGCAGCATAAGCTCGCGATGTTTCGAAGGGGCAGCGGAGAACAAAGACCAAACATTTGTGATGGCCTGTCGATCAGCGTCAGGCAATGTTTCAAGGGCCTAGCATCGATCATTAGTAACCAATTCGTCATTTCACCCGAACATCACAACATACACTTTGTATTACTCCCATTTTATTCTCGTCAGCCGCCCTACGGCATTTCGAATCCGGGCGGTGCCGATAACAATATTTACTATTCGGGTCCTTCGTCTTTAAAGCGGTCATAGACGGAAGATCGGGTTTTCCTATCGGGGCATATAATCCAGGAATATGTTCCCGCAGGAAGGGGGTGACAGATTGGGTCATAAGTTGTTGGGACATATTGGATAGACGAGAGGCGTCCTCTGTATCCTCAGGCCGTCGTCTATCACAATTGTCTCTCGACGGTTTCGAATTAGGATGATCGCTCGGGAAAGACGATAGCGACGGTCTTTGTAGGTGATCGTAGCCCTTAGGTGGAGATATGAGGTTTAGATTCGTCAGGGTGGCGTTGTTTGCAAGCAAAGTGTGACCATTCTGTCTCGACGACGGCTCGTGGCCGTTGGGTATCGGTATGGGCGAGATACTATCCATGGTGGTGAGTCGAGGGGAATTAGATTGGTGGCCGGGTCGAAGGACAAAGCCCTAGGGGGAGGTTTATTCAGATTGCACCATCCGAGAGACTATGGTGATCATTAAAGAGTACGGTGAAACGAGGTGAGATTGCGTGCTGAGCAGTGACCATCCAGGTGTTATGCCGTATATGCCGTTGATGTGCCGTTTGGTTCGTTTGGCTGCCGTCCCGGTTTTAGGTTTCGCAGTTTCTTAAGACTAACGGGATCGCGCAGGACCAAGGACCAAAGAAAGCAGACGACGAGGTGCGGTGTATTGGGTATATTGGATGCTCATAGGAGTACAGACAATTGCACGTAAGATCGATGAAATGGCGAAATCGGACCCAGGGTGCATTCCCTTGCGTGCGATTTGTCGACGATTTGCTTAGGTACTCTGGATCTCGCTGCGGATTTGAAGCGGCTTTCTTGGGCAACTGGGCAGTATTGACAGTACAGGCTAGAACTAGACTCGGATGGGTCTCGAGGTGGGAATCGTTTAAGGCGGTCAAAAGAAAAAAATAAAATAAAAGTGGCCATTGTTTCCCATACCAAATACCAAATAAAACACCCAAGTCCCCCTTCCTTCTAAGCCAGAGCGACCAGCGCCAACTTAGCTTAACTTTGTTGCTTCTTGCCCGTTCACCTTTGGTGCTTTAGGGACCGAATGGCGACATTTAACACCGATAACCACCCGAAATCTTCTCAACCGGGACCCACTACGGCTATCGGGCGACGATAACTTTGGAATAGCCTGGTGGAGTCTGGGGTAATGCACCTCTAAGGTTAAAATAGAGGGCCTTTTCCCGGTACCTGGAGGCCACCTGAGCAGTATTCGGATGCCGTGCCCCGTCCATAACATAATCGATCCCTCCTTGCTTCCTTTTCTATTTCAACATCAGCTAAGTTCACTCATTTTCGAGGGCCTGCCTTGTATAATTGAGATTAGTCCGGTTGCACGGATAATTATGGATCGGCAGCTAATACATAGTGTCCGACTTACTGTATTACACAGTGTCCTGTGACCTTAGGTAATCGGTTGATTGGATTGTACAACTGTACTGCTGTTCCACGGACTCCGACAGCCGCCAGCCCCTGTGGCGTTGATCTATTTTTGACTGTCGACTCCCAATAAATCTCATCAGATTATCGATCTCGCCATTTTCTTACAATCTTCCGTCGTTCGCGCAATAAGACATATATTACCCCGGAGGATTCGTCACACAACCAAGCAATCTCATCTTGTATATCTCTCATTCCAGATGCCTCTGACTCAGTCAATAAATACTTCGTTATCTAATCCGATTTCGAGCACGCCATCAATTATGCCATGTGGCTCTTCAATTAACCGAATCGTTCAACACCTTTTCGTCGCATCAGGCAACCCTGGATTAGACTAACGTGCTGTCGTCATATAAGGCTATGACTCCGGTCGACACGTAATTAAGGAGTCGAGGTATCATTTGAACATGCATGATAACTCATCGGTTATTCATAATCATAAATGTCTCCTAGAGCAAAATCCAGCCATACTTCGAATTTAATACCTAACGTTAGTAGATTGGAATCTTGAAACGACCATCAATTACAACCGATTCTTTGATTAGGTAGGGTTTTCTACCACAATTTCAATAAATGCATTTAAGGAACGTATCAAGAGATATTATCCTATAATTAAAGGAGAAGGAGATTCTATTAGGCGAAGAGATATGAGCCAAGTCTTCATACTCCAAACCCACAAGCAATATACCAAAAAAACAACCTCATGTTAATATTTAAATGAGTAAAATCAAGTTATTTCGCAAATGACTCTGCTCTTATAGACGTCAGACCTCTCAATACTATTTTTTTATAAAATGGCCAAGAAATCCTAAAAGGCTACCTGCTGGGTACCTCAAGACGTATTCATAGGTATCGGAGCCCCACGCGACGGGACATCCGAAATCACAGAGGTTCATTCGAAGAGCAGGACACTTCAACCTAACACAAAATTGGCAGAATGTATAAGTATTATAAATAAAGGAGTGTGATTAATAAGATTTCAAAGCTAGGTACCTATAAATTATCAGATTAGCAGCTAATTACAAAAATGAGAAACCAGCACAATCTTCCTTAGCTCAATCAACAGATAGGTTACTTATCAATCAGCTAGTCGTTATATTCCAGTTATCACATGAAGGCCTAAAAAGTACACTACAACCTAAAAGCTACACGCACCTACTAGACTTATCAACAGTTGTAATGATAGACTCAAAACTCATGCAGAAGACTAACCTAGTCTCCGCAATGTACACGACAATTGACTACAAGATTCCATAAAGGACTTATATAACGCCAGGAATATAGCTACAACATTAAAATCAATCTCATTCCAGAACCATTACAAACTAGTATAGGTAGGTAGTCTTCGCAGAAGTTAATCGACTCGAACTTGCACTTAAATTACACAGTCACTCTTATACTAGCATGAACTACAGTGGGATCCCCAATTCATCAAAGTTGAAAATACTAAAAGTTATTCAACCCTATTTAAAAGGCTTACAACCGTATTGTAGATAGGTAAGTATGCTCAAAGATCTATGGTATATGTGACTATAATTTGTGTTATAATACCTAGTAGCCAAGTTCACAATACTTGTCCTGCTAGGTATTATCACAGGTACTTAATAGAGTGGTATTTTAATCTTACCTATGATGTAGTTGTGTAATAACCCCAGGTCTTCGGTAAATTCTTGTTAATCTTCTTCTGTGAGCGCTATATTAGCTTGTAATGGCTCTGTAGGGCGGTTGATTATAGGCAGGTTATAGAGTAGCGTCCGGCAAAAGCAAAGCAAAAACTTGTCTAATAACTCAGATCAAGTTAGGTACCTACCTACTAGGTACCCTTTCGCAAAAGTCACAGAGAAGGAACAACTTCTCGTACGGTTTCTTAGGTACCTACCTATATAAACTAATACACCAGCTACCTATCTTATAACTACCTACCTAGATAGCTGTTGGTAATTCATTTTTTATCAAATTGTCACTTATTATATTCTATATGAGTTTCCTTCTTAGGAAAGTGGTGAGCTGCATGTCAGCACTTCGTATTGAATCCTGTTGTGAAGGTTCGTGTGAAGCCCCTAGAGAGCTTTTTGTGAACTATCTACTAAGTAGGTATTTTAGGTACTTTGAAACAAAAATCTAATAGACTAAAAGCTAGCAAGTAAAGAAATTCCATGCCATAGGACTGAGCCTTAGGTTCAGTAATTCATACCTGCCAATTAAGCTAGAACTACCAAAAGACGAGAATCACAAGTCGGACAACTTGCGATCTTATACAGGTATATAGCCGGTCCGTAACATCTCTTGTTTATCGCCTTGTATACAACCCTCTCTAAAATCAGGCCGCCCATTGTTACAGCATCTGATGTGTATTCTTTAACATGGTACCTTTATATTGACTATTTTGCCATCGTGAAAGTCCAAGTATGATTATTATGTCAAGATGACGGGCGTACTAGGTAAGAAAATGGTAAATATTCTAAGCTGGAAGCAAGGAGAACTTCATAGTTCTTGTTACTAAAAAAAGGATCTATTTATGACGAATTTACAGGAAACTCATCTAACTCAAGCCTTCTTCCACGGCGATATGACGTTATACACGATGATTACTGCTCTCGCTAAGTTATTGAGCGATGTAATGATGCGACGCAACAAATACAAAGACTACCTAGTACCTAATATACCTACCTAGTAACTGTGTATCGCGAGAAAAAATATCATTTAAAATAAGTATTTAGGTACCTACCAGCCTACTGATATCGTCGTGGAATTCATAGTGTAGCGAAAACTAGTTGTGTCTACACTTTTCGGCTAAGTAACAAAAGCCCCTTTGGTTTCCATTGAAGTTGTCTACGAAATCAATCAAGGAAGTTGCAATGCATTCCAATCCTCCATTATGCTTCTCCAAGATCATTGGGCGTATATACCATGCATCTTTCCAAAATGTATTCCTGCGGCACACTGGTTTTAGCGAGGCTATTGCTGGACGAGTCAAAACCATCTGCGAGCGACAACTCTCATGCTGGAACATAACCGAAGCCGTCTCCGAGACTCTCTTTGGTGTTTTGTCAACCATCTGTCCTACAACTTCGCAAGATTTACTGTTTATGGCGGTGAAGCGGGTACTAATATCCATAGCGGAGTTGTCGTTGATGCGGTTAGTCGAAGCCATTCTGGACATTGGCATTTCCGCCGTCGATCTCAAAACGCATGAATGGTTTGCTGAGTTGGCGAATGCACTTTGATAGCCTACTCGCTAGAATTGCGATGCGTTCACCAACACGTCAACTCAAACATATTGGTAAAACCAAAGTTTTCATATTCAGGCCCACTGCTGCATAACGCCCTAGGATAGAGTCAATTAGCAATTTGCTGTCTATGTGTGTGTCGCCAGGCTCATCATGCTTGAATGAAAATACGTCAAACCTTGAGCATTCTGAAAGTATCATACTGTGAGTCTGGTGAATGATTCCAAAATAGTTATGATGACGGGTAGGTAGGCTAGGTAAGAAAAACAACACCGCATTGTTGTTTTGGTGTACGAAGCGGTACGAACCAGCCAGTCGTTCGATCCCATTAGATTCGTTGAATCTCCACCCCGGCAACTTTCCGCCTTGCTTGGCTCTCAATCATTGCCGGGCACGATCTGGGGCAAACGGGTACCTTGGCCAATGATCATCCCTAAATTGCCATGGTTCTGGGGAAGCCGTCTAATAATTGCCTATTCAGGAAATCTTCTTCAATTCGGCGGCGTAGGGCACCAAGAAACGACATAGCCTATGAGCCTCAACATGTAATGAGACCCTTAATGCAACGCCGCAACTGAACATACACAACTCAAGAGATCGACATGGGAGTAACGCGTCTCTAATCCACATCGTCCTCTATAAAGGCAGCTGGACTCGCCCGTCATTGAACTTAGAATTTTCTCCTCATCACCACCATCTGCACTTCAATCATCACTTCTCTACCAAACATTCCAATATCCAGATCTCGACCAATCTTCGGTATCATACCAACAACATAATCACTAGCAACCATGTTCGCTCAAGTCATCACCGTTGTTGTTTCGGCCCTCGCTGCCACCGCAGTCGCCACTGACGCCGTCGCCCCTCGCGAGACCTATGGAAACTGGGCTGGCAAGCAATTCGTAGAGGAGTGCACAGATGTGAGTTTCCCATTCTAAGCTACCTAACTAGCTTTAGTCTTCCCATCCACTGACAATATTCCAGACCAGCTGCATCGCTAAGTTCAACGTCGGCACCGCAGCCAAGTACTACAAGGATGCTCCCGGTTTCACCGTCAAGTGCCAATCTACCCAAAACGAGGCCAACTGGGCGCCTTGCGAAGTAGTCGGCGCTAAGACTGAGGGTGCTGATATCAGCTCCGTCTGGACGAAGGCCTCCGCCGATGACAAGATCAAGCTCTCCGTGTCTCACGCCTGGAACGGCGCCGACGGCGCTCGCTACAACGCTACCGGCACTGCCGAGTTCAAGAAGGGCGAGACTTCGTTCAACATGCCTGTCGTCAAGGTCACCGCTGTGTTGTAAGCTGGTGTGGTGGAAGGATCGGGGACGTGGAGTATAGAGGAGCAGGAAAGGAAGATATTTGCATTCTAATACGCTTAGCGTGTCTATTATATTTAGATAATGGGGTTAAATAGTGTTAGGTGCAAATGAAAAACAGAAGTTGAGGGGAGAATTGATGACTTTCGACCTTTGTGATGATTTGTAATGTTTTCGTAGTATCTTCTGCTATCTTTGGTGTTCGGGTCTGATGACACGCACCGGTAAGTTTCTGGCAATGTTTGAGTTATCTTTATGTTTTCAGGAAGTCTAATATTTTGAATGGTGTCGCTATGGTTACGGTACAGCGCGGACCAGATGGTGCCTCTGTTCGGTAGAAGTGGGTATGTTGGGTTAGTATTCCGACTAAGGATGTTACCTGTCAACTGTTTAGCTTCTATTCATTTTTAGATAAGTGGCCAGATGTCTCAATAATAATATTAAGAAACCCTTGGGAATAGGTTTATCGCCTGGGTAGGCTTGTATAGAAAGATGAGAGGCTCTTAGAGTTAAGTAGCTAATAGGGTCACATTTGATCAACTATATGTCGTTATATTCAAGGGAGATGACTATTATAACCAGCGCGGATAAGTCGTTGAGCTGCTTCCCAGACATTGCCGGGGATATCTTGAGGAATCTGAAAGCCCTTCAGCGGATATTCCCGAATGCGAATCAAATCACCAACAGCAATGTTGATAACTAGATTCTCTGGGTTACTCTCATTCGGATATTCGTTCCATTTGAATTGAGGTGATGTGACGGTAATCTTCGTGTTGGGATCTGGCCATTGCTTCTTGAAGGTCGCGTATGTACGTCTTTCCATATACGGTTTCTGAACAAGCAAGAAGGACTGGAGCTGGAGCCCTCTTTCTTGGAGCAGCGCGTATGTGAAACGAATGTTCTCGCCGGTGTTTGTTGAGAGAGGCTCTACAAGAAGCTTTTCCTTCGAAACACCCATCTCAAGAGCTATATCGGCGAAAACTTCAGCCTCCGGTTTATCATAACGACCTTTAGTCAGCCTTCCAACTCCACCAGCGAATATGAGATATCTTCCGTATCCGTCAAGGAAGAGCTGGGCAGCGCGCACTGCCACGCGTGGATCAAGGCTACACAAACAGAAGACAGCGTCTACGTCTTTGTCGAGCGACATGTGTAATTGGTGGTAGTTGTATAATATTTCCCCATCTCTTGAGGCATCCGACACACCTTGTGACCCATCATTTGCTGGGATGCCTCCGGCCATGACTAGGGTTGGACCTGGGTATGTCGAATGACACCAGCAATTTCTAAGTTGTCATAGAGACGAGATTAGTTAATCTCAACCCAGAGATGCAAAAACTTGCATACTGGTGGCGGGAGCACGGTAGCTTCGGAAGCCCTCAACTACCTGGTAGGTACCTATTAAGTCACCCAGGTGAAGTTATTAGTCGTGACTTGGATGTTCAAGTCATGTTGTTTCGGGAGAAGTACAACAGACGTGTCAAAGACGGGGCGGGGCTTAGTGTCTATTTGACAAGACCCCCACTAGCCTAAGGTCGGTTAGAACGGCACCTAGGGCGAACCTAAGGGCAGTCTTGTAAGACAAAACCCCCACGTGCCCGATGTCGGGTCATCGTCGGGTGATTTGGACAGCTGCAGCCTGCAGCATTAGCTAGGGTTAAGGGGTTTTATCAATCTGATAAGATCTTCTGTAACTCCGAATCTCCCCTGTCAATTTAATCTTCCTCCACCATTTCCCAGTCTCGAGGAATCATGCTCGTCGACGGTGTTGACAGAGACTGGGCCCTCGAGATATTCAGGGAAAGTCTAAGGACATCTCATCCTTCTCTTGTCCTAGATCAAAATCAAGATGATATATCTATTTTGATTAGCGATAAATCCGGCCGACACATCCCGTCCGATCCCGAGAGTCTTCAATACCTACGAGACCTGATTGCTTCCATCCTCGACGGCCGTACCATCGTTGGCACTTACAATATCGTTCTGTTAGTCGTACTTGCATTGTTTGCTTTATCCCATCTCAGCGAAAGGATAAAAGAGAAGTCCAAATGGAGAATAATCGAGCATGACTCTACAAATTCAGAATGTCTGAGAAAGATATCCGATAATTCCGAAATCGCAAATGAGAGCGAGGCCGAATCCTCTTCTAGTAGTACTCTAGAAGGCTCTCTTTCATCGCATCTTATACTCAAAACAACCGATGAAGATGTAGAGAGGCAACCTCTTCTCGGAACCCAGCGAAAGTCATATCCAGCAAATTCAAGCAGCCGTTGGTTGAACACAATATGGTCTTTATTGATGTACCAACCCCGACCGATCCCATTCATCAATCGGACTCTACCATCAAATGGAACATCCCTCTTCGTCTTAGCCTTCCTCGGCCTCAACGTCTTTTATCAATTCTATAAACTTCCTCTAGAGTTGAGATTCTTCTTTTCATTTGCCGATAGAGCCGGTATTATTTTCATCGTTAATCTCCCTCTTCTTTATCTTCTTGCCGCCAAGAACCAGCCAATCAAATTACTCACCGGGCACTCATATGAAGCTCTCATCATCTACCATCGCCGCGTCGGCGAATTACTGTGTTTTGAAGCATTTGTACATTTCGCAGGTATGCTGGTCTGGAGACTCTGGATTTCGCCTCCATGGCTAGCGACCAACAGCTTTTATAGCTATATCACACACCCACTAATCCTGCTTGGGATCGGCGCGTTTGTCGCCTATGAATTGCTGTACTTCACGTCCCTTGGAAGTTTTCGCGAGAGATGGTACGAGATTTTCCTAGCTTCTCATGTCGTATTACAAATCGCAGCGTTAGCGTTCCTCTGGCTGCATTTCTTCACCAGTCGACCATATGTGTTCGCATCCTTGGTTATTTTTCTTGTTGATAGACTTGTCTGGCGATTGTGGATGAAGTCAGATAAATTCACAGCGGATATTACGATACTAGATGATGAAGAAACATTTCTCCTTTCCGCGGATTGGGATATACCCCCTTTAAAACGCCGTATGTGTGGAGGTCCTTCTCGTCAGAGTATTCGGCACGGCTGGCATCCGGCCGACCATGTATTTATTTCGGTCCCCGTCCTTGGTCGCAGTTACTCGCTTCAAGCTCACCCGTTTACGATCGCTTCTGCCGCTCCTTTAGCCGACAATGGGCAATTATCGAATCATGCTTGGTTAAGCTTACTGATCCGAGTGCAATCTGGCTTTACTTCCAGTCTTTTAGACCATGCTCGCATAAATTCCAGGGTGACGGTCCGCTTAGACGGCCCATACGGATCCCAAGATCCTCTCAATATGCTAAGATCATGCGAAAATGCCGTTCTCATCGCTGGAGGGTCTGGAATTGCCGTCGTCTTCCCTATGGCGTGGAGTCTGGCTACGAATCATCGCGGACAGAGGTCGGTCCATCTTATCTGGGTGATACACTCACGAACTCAACGTTCTTGGATACCAGAAGAGAGGATCGATGAGTTGCGAGAGTCCGGGGTACACGTAACCATCCCAGAACCAACTAATGAGGCCGGTAGGCCTGACATCCCCGGCCTCATCACCGATTTAGTTGCTACCTCAGAAGGGAGAGTAGGATTTGTAGTTTCAGGACCCGACGGCCTCAATAGGACCTCACGGAATGCTTGTGCAGAGGCCGTCAAGTCGGGAGCTGATATTCAACTTCGAGTTGAGAAATTTGGCTGGTAAGGGATCGGATAGGCGTTTTGTATTTTTTGGGTATTATGAAGAATGCATTATGACACAAGATGTAGGTACCAGGATACAACAAGCAAGGTGTAACATGGCGTCGAGCCTAGAGGATGATAAAGACACGGCTCACTTATAGAGGTTCTACACGTTAGAGGATTCTGGACAGATCAGACACGCAATGGATGGGTATGATATTAACAAGGCAGGTATAATACTACATGATACTGAATATGGATATAATTTCAACATTCTTACTCTGGCCCCCAAGCCCCGCGCCAATCCTTGCCGCTTACCCCCTCAGCCATCCTCCTCAGCACTCGAAAATAACCCTTTTATTTATCACGTGAAGTGGCGGCACTGTCTTACAGACCGGGAGCTGAGATCAATTGTAAGAGCGATTTAAAAACTGACAGGTAATCCGTAAATGTCCTCAATCTCGAAATGTTCAGGCGAAATAGACATTAAAATGACGGAGAGGCCACTTCCCCCCTTGGGGGACGAAGCTGGAAGTCGACTCACGACTTTTATCTTATCTAGGATGCTTATAGCGGCACAAAAGATGGGCATTGTCAAAAACACAGAAGCACTCACATGGCCATCAACAAGTTCATTGACAGTCTCAACGACAGACTCGCCAACGGAATCATCGGTCAACTTCTCAGGAGGTCCATTAACGGACACGTTCGCGGATTCAGTGACAATGGCCGAATCAATTACGGGGTCACCGGCGAGTTTCACGATCAAGTATCCAAAACTCGAATAACCACTTACTAATACTTCATCTTAGTTTTGTCCACGCTGTGCTAAACTAGATCTTGGCCCTGAGAAGTTTATCATTAGAAACCATGCCACAACGATGCGAAGTCGCCGAAGACACTCCGATTTCGATATAATGGACGTAACCCTAAACTCCAGCTTTACTCTTCGAACGGGCGAGAGTCCTCGTGAGTTTGCAGAGCTTGACGAACTCCGCGCGAATAGCACCCGCTGCCAGTTCTGCCAATTCATTTCCAGTGCAATTAAGAGGTATAGTCATCAGGATATTCCGGGCAATACGAAGTGCTATCTCACTTGGCAAGTCGATGGTCGTGGAGAGGATGCAGAGAAGCGGGTCATTAATAGGACGAGGCGACTCAGACTGTCATGGGGTAGTGATGCGCACAATGGACAAGTTTATCTAGTTCTTGCTGCTTCAAATCATACTTCAGGAACAGACTCAGATCCCTTGTTTCCCCTTGCCAAGAATACTCATTCATTAGGTCGAGAATTCCATGACAAAACCGAGAAGCAGGCACTTATCAAGAGTTGGCTTGATCTTTGTCATAAAGAACATGAATCTACGTGCACTGAGACGCATGGCACGACAGAAGAACACCTAAAGCTTGTCAAAGAGACTTACTTCGGAGTTATCGACGTGGTTGATATGCAGCTTAAGGCCTTGCCAATTGAAAATGACATTCCCGCACGATATGTCGCTCTGAGTTATGTTTGGGGAAATGACCGAAAGAAACCTCGATATATGTCAACACAAAAGACGGCTATGACACATATAAAACATGGCGGTATAAGCTACGCATGGGCGAAGTTACCAAAGACGATTCAAGATGCCATTCTACTTGTCAGTAGACTTGGAGAACGATACCTGTGGATAGATTCGCTTTGCATTGTGCAAGACAGCCCGATTTCGTGGAATAATAACGCCAGCGCAATGCACCTTATATACGGCCATGCCTACTTCACCATATGTGCTGCTGATGGCGACTCCGAGAGTGGGTTGTGTGCTGCAGCGCCTCTGTTGCGGGTTATGCATCCAATTGATGAAAGTCGAGAGAGTAATAATGAGGGTCCGAGCATTATCGAGTACGCCCCTGGGACCCGCATTCTCATTACGCGACCTCTCGAGGTGGTCATCTGTGACTCGATGTGGAGCAAACGAGCCTGGACATTTCAAGAACAAATTCTCTCCCGACGATGTCTCATATTTGCAGAAGGCCGAATATACTTCCAATGTCGCTTCGCTGGTATCTCAGAGGAGATCTGGACTGATAATAAGGGAAACGGGTGGTCGCTGAATCGAACGAACTCCCCTTTACAGTCGCCGGAAGAGTTGAAAAGTCGGCCTATCTGGTTCTACATGAGATACGTTAGGTTATATACGAATCGCAATCTGACCAAACCGAGCGATATTCTTTCTGCATTTGAAGGGATCTCCTGGCTCTTGAAGGGACACATGAACCATGAGCAATTTCTGTTTGGTTTGCCAACGTCGCATTTCGATCTTGCATTGCTCTGGGCTCCAACGAAATCGCTTATCCGTCGCAGGAAACCGCGAGCGGTACATTCGACCAACAACAAGAACTGCACACTTGACACAGCAGGTGAATGCACATGTGAGCCTGAGGACGACTTTCTTAATGGTGCTCAGTTCCCTAGTTGGGCGTGGTGCGGATGGATGGGTGAAAACGGGACGGGTGGTCAAGTAACTTACCACGAGAATGTGCTTGATGGATGTCTTTTGAATATTCGCCAATGGCTGGAACATCATACTTGGATTGAATGGCATATTCGAGATGGAAAAGGACACCTCAGGCCTCTAAGGAATAAGATCAATCGGACTCGAGCCAGAGAAATTTACGATGAGGACCGATGGAATGGCTACTCTGGGAGCAAAGACTGGAAACCGGTGCTTGAAGAAGCAATGGAATTTTCGATCCCAAGAGGCTCCGAATTCAGCGCTAACCGTCCAGAAAACCCGTCAAGGAGGAGCATATATCGATCGCCCTCTCCTGTCCCCGCCAACGCGCCTTCGAGCCGTCGCACTGCGTCGCCTACGCGATCAATTGTGGCTTCTGCAAGGTCCAATGGGGAGATTAGATATCGCGTAGGCAACGGAGGCTACCTTCGTCGCGGGTCAACTATGGAACCGAAACGAAAAATGGAATATGAAGATACCCGCGCTATTGTCAAACATGAATTCCCGCAAGAGAGGAAATTTAGCGCCATTATTCCGGACCACCCATTCGGTATCATCAAAGAACCTCGACCAACCTCCGATCGAGCAGAAGATGAGCGAAAAGACGTCCGTCCACTCCAGCACATGCCAATATTGCAATTCTACACCTTTCTCACGGAGTTGTATGTTACGGTTCGCTTTCCCTTGAACACGAAAGATATAAACCCCCAAGAGCAGTTACTGAGGTGCGACATCGCCGACGACGCCGGAGACTGGTGTGGCTCTATCGAGGTACCGGCCGAGTGGATATCCGAACGCGAGGACCAGCGATTCCACTTCATTGCAATCTCTCATGCGAAAGCCTTCACCACGGATGAATGTCCGATATGGACTTACTACATCCCGAAGGAGAGGGAGGAATCGCAATGGGACCTGTATTACATCCTGCTCCTGGAGAGAGATAACGAGCGGTGTCTGTGGGAGCGGGTTGCGCTAGGCAAGGTCTTTCGGACGGCCTTCGAAAAAGCAAGTTGGTCTGAGATAAAACTTGGATGAGCCTAGGCGTTACGTATACCTCAAACCAACTTTAGACAAGGGCACGTATGCTATGGTTTTAGAGTTGTCGATAGGACTGGATGTTCTAGCGAGGTGTTAGATATGTATATCATGATTGTATATAGGCTCAACTTACCTAGTATTATAGATAAATAGTTCGTGTAACGTTGACTAGAGAGGCGTTGAAGAGGGGGGGTTGGAAAAAAGACTACCTGCATATTCATGCCGAGAAAGCAAACGAGAAAAAGAAAGCAAGGGAAGCGACCGAATTAGAAACAGTATCAGGTACCTACGCAGAATCGACCTCACTTTTACAGAGCTTCCTTATCTCTGCGCCAACATCGATAGATGCTAGCGCTGGAGCCCGCATCCCCGAGACGGTCTAGATAATGTTTCCCATGCCATATGCCTAGATAACAGTAAGCTATGTCTGATTATGATAAATCATTCTATGTTCGTCACCTAAAGTTGGGTGACTTACTGCCACTCACGATATTCTATGTCATATATACCCCTATTCACCTACCTTGTACCTAGGTACCTACCCCTGAGATACCTAAGATGGATATTTCTGTTCCCTCGTAAGTTAAAATCATTTTTCGGCATGTTGATGTTGAGGATAACGCGATGTATGGTGAATCCCATCTTTACAACCGCCATTTCGGCAAAAGTAGTATGCATGGAAGCTGTACTGCATGTTCAGGTATCTGTAACCTAGATCCATGTTATCAAGTGCATGCAGCCCAGTGGACCGTCGTAGTTTAGCACACCCGTGAATACGCGTATTTCATACGTAAGTAACACATTGCCGATCTTGTTCTTTCTGTTGCACTAGTCGCGTATCCCATGTCCTCTATGTGTAGGTGTGTAGGATTTTATAATAATTCAATCCATTGGCTGGTACCTACCTAGCATGAGTACAACTCTGATGCGTTAGAACCAATAACCCAACATCAAAATAAGCTTAAGGTTGCATATGGATTAGTAAGATATGAACGTAAGGGGACGTCAGGAGACGTATAGGAATATTGAATCCGTAGCACGAACTAACCTAACGCTGTGTAATCAACGAACCTTTTTTTGGTGAAGATTTGATATTGTAATCATCCCGTAAGTCAAGTCTTAGTAAACTAATCAGAATATTTGTCTTTGATACCTAATTATAAAGCCGAGAATAGTGTCCAATGATGGTTATTACCTTACAATTACGGTTGTGTGCCGAAGAGAAGCCCCTGACACTTGCAGTATGCCAGCAGCGTTGGAGCTCTTGGAGTCTTGGAAGTCTTGGAGAACTGAATGTAACTCTCAGGGTCACGTCGAATTGAACATCGTATATGTAATTCAGGAACAATCTATTCGGCCGAGAAGGATCCCGCGGGTTTCGGTACTGAATGCGGATTTAATGCGATGAGGTCATATCCACTGCTCGTTTCATCTTAATTTATTTTTTCTCCCGCGCCTAGAAGCAATATAGTAGCTTCGGCCGTGAATAATATGGAGCCTCTTTGACCATTTCAGCGTATGACCATCAGCATATTTCCGGCAATCCCGAAATCCTTTTTTATAGCCCACGCTACGGATTTAACTATTCTTTAGTATAATCATTTCTCACCTCGAAGGCTTACCGAGCTGCTATATTCTACCTTACCTCAAGCAAGGGATGTTTACCTGGTAAGGATGGCTTTAACAAACCCGATACAAAACGTTTCCTTTGACTGGTTTCTATACCTTGCTGATCCCTGTGTAGATTGCGCGGGACTTTCCAAAAGCAGCCTAGAAAGCTTCACTCGGACCGAACCTTCGGGTACAAGTAATAGCCCGCATCGTCATATCGGAGGCTGATATTGCTTGGCCGCAACAAAAGTCCCCTGGCCGTTTTAATTGCTTGCATCTCAGCTCCACCGACGCTATAAGATAAGCCAAGTGAGGTCCAGGCCACGTCAACTTTGTGTGTCGGATTATATGCTGCAGCACTACTGATCCCGCGGGTTCGGAGCCGAAGATGCAAAACGCGCCAACGACGTCGTAAATACGTAAACCATCCTCCTCGATCTAACGACCGGAGGTTGACCGAAGCTGGGGTAGAAAGTTTCAGGTGTTTCGACTTCGAATATACGAGGTCGCACGTGCTATTAGCCTATTAACCATTCATCTGCAGAGTTCGGTCAGACGTTTCCGCATTTGTGATGGTCTAAAGGAGATTACATGAACGCTAAGGATTCGAACATGCCAACGCATTGATATAGACGGACTTTACTATAATAGTCGATGGAACAACGTTGATCCATCTCTCGAACACTAGTGCTGGATGCCATGCTACCCAACCATCCCACGCATCCCCCAGTGCATATGTATCATGCCGCCTGCAATGTCATTACCAGAAATTCTCCTACAGCTCCAATGGATTCCCGTCTCCTGCAAGTTCCATCGTTACACAAAGTCTGCATGCGGGTAGGCCCATTGGCCCGGGAAAGCAGCTGCTGGTCCGGACGGGATCCCCTTTTCCAGGTTAAATCGGTGCTCCGAACCCTCTAACAACCGGTCTCCCGAGAGTCTAGACCCCCGAACCAATCGCTACTGAGTCGTCCGCCGCGGATCGCAAATCGTCATGGGGAATTCTGCTCTGCCTCCGCCAGCACAACTTAGAAGGGGCCTCGTCGTTGTTGTGCTGTTTTTTATCTACGCCTTCGCAGCGAACGCGCTATTCGGTCTACTTTATCGCAATGGTTATTACGAGGCCTTGATTCGTCTGCGCGATGAGGGACCGCACCATCTTCCTGGCTCCTCCAATCCCATCCTTACCTTCTATACCGGAATCGGCTTTTTGGACAAGCTCCTAACTCTCGCGAGTGTTATGTTCGCCAACGTCACAGATGGAAATGCGCCTGGATTATCGCTTTACGCCTTTCATTTTGGGGGACAGTATCTCGCCATACTTGTCGTTATTGCCATTGAAGGGTTAAGGAGTGGAAATCAATCGAACTCCTTTCGTTTGTAAGGGTCAATCGCAAGCCCCTAATTAATAACAGTGCACTGACTTTTTTACGGCTAGTTTTTCCGTATGGGGATGCTTAATGCAAGCCACGAGCTATGGTGGCACTATGCCAATTTACGCTATGATTCACCTAATTACTTCACCAGCTGCTCAAGAAGCTGGACCGTTGCTTTTCGAAGCAGCTTCGACATCGAAACTATCGGAGCTCTGGGCGTTACCCCAAGCGTTTATGCTTGGTTACGTCCTACCGGCAGTGTTGATGAGCGTCCCGCTATTTTCGAACACTGTCCATCAGTGGTTCGGCGGACTCTGGCAAGGATCGCCAATTTTCAGCATGCTTATCGCGAAACTATTAGCAGTCGGCTTCGCTAGGAATCCACCGCCCCAGGATATCTCCGACGACAAAAAATTATCTCATCCGAGTCCAAAACAACCCCTTACCAGCCCACAATCTCCTGTCTCGTTAGCCAGGAGCCAAGAAAAAGCCCAGGAAAAGGATTTGCTTGCTAAGGCTTACCTATTCGCATTTGGATGGTGCGTCGCGTCCCAGCTCGTTCCGCTCCTCCTGATTATGGCGGTCCACATTTTCCCGTCCGCGTTTCCCTCCCGTTTACACGAGGCCTGGACTATTTTCAACGTTTTCGTGCCCCCGCCATTCTGGTCAACCGAGACGATGAAATCCATGGCGACCGGGATGCACGACTTTTTCTTATACGACCAGTACGTCGGCTCAACGGCCGCTATTGTATGGACATTCGGGCTATACCTGAATTCCAGACCGACGTCCATGGAGGCAGCAGATTGGGCTAAATTAATCTCCACAATCGCCGCGTTAAGCATACTCACAGGGCCTGCCGGCGCGGCCGTCTGGTTAATGTGGGAAAGGGATCAGTTGCTATTATCCGTATAGAACAGCGGAATTAACATATATAGAATTGCTTATATCAGCACTCTCGTGCATCATGTACACTTGAATATTGTAGGTAAAGCTGCAAAGTGGCTAACATTCAGCTGAGCTAAACCACATAAACCAACCATCTATCACGACGTTGCTACGAAACCATATAAACGCGGGTCCGAGCTATGTCACGAAATTTACAAAATTACTTACTTAATCTTAATGTTTATCAATAGACTAGAATTCCTTCATCCTTCGCGATGCCTATTGACGTCCATGATGACTAAGACATACATATGCCATGCGCGCCCGCGCGCGAAACAGTGAAGCGCGACGAAGCGAAGATGCGACGCGCCATGAACAGTTCGAGCTCCGTGCAAGCGGCAATCGCAGATCGTAAGGTTATCTGCAAAGTTGCGGTCTGTCTTGCGTCGGAATCAGCACTACATGTGCCAATAAGAGGTCAAAACGTGTGAAGCTGGAGCTGCTGACCCAATCTCAACCGACTGTACCCTCACCGAGGCTGCGAGGTTCAGCTCCATCTCTTATTCAACATAATATAGGTAACCCTGGTAATCATAATAACTGCGATGATAATGACGGCAATGCCCACCGCCGGGATCCGCAAACCCGTACCCTCGGGTTCCGACCACGGCCTCTTCGCGCCTTCCCGTCCGGTAAGCCCGAACCGCACTACTGGAAAGCACGTGCAGGATTCATTGCCAGCGGAGAGCGCGCAGGCAGCACCGAGTACTGCTCTAAAGACCGCTACCTAGGTAACAACGACCCTAATGCAAGCGTCCAATCCCGTCAGCAGAAGTTTAATAATAGCAATATCTGCTTATTTACGTGAAGACTTTTTTTAAGGGTCTACATGTCTAGGTCGTTTGCACGAAGTTCTACGATGCGTCTAAAGCTGAGATGTAAGACTTAACCCGACGCTAACTTTCTCACCTACTAGTACTCCATGCTCCATATTCGGTATCTAACAAGTATCCCGAAGATGCGTTCGCGAGGACCGCACAGAAGCTGCATCAAGAGTTCCGCGGCGATCAAGCCTATCTACTAGCTAGAAGCCCCCGGGAAAGCGCCCTATCGGAACCGCTAAGGAAAGGCGGAATGACGAAAGCACGATGCAGCTAGAACTTAGAATCATGCTTAAGATGTGCATCAAATATAGCATGTCGGCTTGAACAAGGCAACACATGTCCCTCAACGACATGTTGCGCATATCGGGTTCCACAGTAGGAATGTGAACTACGCTTCGAGATATACCCAACATTTCATTCTTAGTCATTATACTCAGAGTAGGTACCTACCTAGTCAATAGCGTTATTGAATTGAGCGACGGGGACGGGTTATATATTTACCTACCTAGTAGTTAGATATACAATGAACTTGCCGACAGTAGTAGGAACCGCGCGCCATTCTCTGGGGGCTCATACTTGAGCTACGGGATTATACGCCTTATTTGTTTGGGCAGGTTGGTCTCGCCCTTTGGATACTATAAGAATGGTATGGTCTTTGAGACGTTTATACAAACCTAGGTAACTATCAGAATAGACACGAAGATACCTAGGTACACATATTATCTAGGTACCGCCAATCTTAAAATGAGTAAAATTACCTACCTACCTACTATGTAAGTACCTACTCATATTGTGGAGATAACCGGCGGACATGTGGTTAGGCGTGTAGGTATTTGATCCCCCCCCTTTTTTTAAGTAGACGCATGATTTCGACCGGTAGCAAAGGTCACGGCTACTTGCAGCGAAGGATAGGCTGGGGAGTCACTTCCGTATGTTACACGAGCCTGGATCCGAGACACGGGCACATGTTGGTGTTTACTGCGTCGTTTAGTACGTACATAAGTTACACATAATCCATTTCTCCCGGCAGCCCTATTTGTAATCCAGTAATGCGCATTGATCAAGATACACCGTTACGATCTCGCGTGGTTTCCATGTGTCGAATCTGTCTAATATGCCGATCGCGATCGACTATCACGTTTAAACTCTGGAGGCGACGAGACTCATGTAAATCCCCCACAAGAGTCCCACAAAATTGAGAAAGACGATCCGTCGCTCCACCGGCACGCAACTAAAGCTGATGATCGATGCGAATGGCCAGATCTTGTATCCGGCAACAATGACGGGAATCGTCTCGTGTCTAACGTTGTAGCTGATCTGACCCATAGACTGCCTTTTCAGGATGCCCATAAGTACGAAGAATGCAACCGTATTCATGATAGCACCGAGTGTGATACAATCGATAAACCATTTCGTGAATGTGTTGCGCCAATTCAGTTTTGGCTTCTGTTCCAAGTCTCCTCGGACTTCCCCATCTTCATCGCGTGTGGTTTGTTTCTCGACGTCCTCGACGGGCTCCTTTCGTTCGTATGCGGGAAAGTTGCGCTCGAGCAATTGTTGCCACATATAATTAGGAGGGGCTGTCACGAAGGTAACGGTGACAAATTGGAAGAATTTGGCGAAATTGAAAACGAAAGGACTGCTGTCTCGGTAGGCTTCGAGGAATTGGGCGAGAATGTTAGATGCGCTGGATAGAGCTGCAGCAGCCAAAGTGGCTTTCATCATAGGGGAAGGCATAGTGATATAACCAGATATCAACCCCAATCCCTTTTCTCAATCAGGTCGTAGACTGTAGAAAGATGAAATAGAAAATAGAAGACAAGAGAAAGACGGAAACGAGTGTTGTCTTCTCATTGAAGGACCGGATGAATTGAATTCGAGATTTTCGGAGGTTTAGGGACGTCGATCCAGGGAAGACTTGGAGACTTGGAAACTTGGAAAGATTTCCAGGTGGGTGTGAAATAACGGGGGCGTTTCCAGATTATGGATTTATTATTAAATGTGACGAGTCGGTTGAAGATCGTCGGGTTGTATTCTACGAATCGATTACTTGCATACCTTATTCCTGGAGCAGAAAAGACTCGGTAATTTGAATCTCAAAGTTGATTGAGGTTGAAAAGTCAAGGTTTCTATCTTCTATCACTTGCGACGGTTTCATCTGAACATTGATCGAATTTAACTTTCTTGAGAGACCCGAAATAGAAAACGTCATTCTTAATTGTACATGTCATGCATAATTCTAATGTAGGTGATAGCGGGTCTCGACTACCCCAGATTGATATTCCCGAGCCCCTAACTAAACGCTGATGTGGTTCTACGTATCTGCATATTTATTATGTATTACATAAATGTACCTAGGTGTTTTATGAAATCTTGAAACCCGAAACCGAAAGTCTTCAAGGTTCAAGTTCCTTATCCTGCTTACCTAAGATGCGGTGCGTCATAATCATTTATTTTCGGGTAAAATGCAAAATCGTAAGCCACTATGACTATGACATTCGAAACCATCATTTGAGTCATCAATAAACTCCGAGGTCCCCAACCAATTCATCAGTGTTGAGTTAATTTTTATACGGAAAACAACATAATCCCTCAATAAGTATTATCTTCGCATCTCCAGCCTGTACTCATATGGGTTTTGCGATGCGATCATTATTAATCACACGGACCCTTAAAGGGACGAAACACTGAAACCAGACAGTCAAGTGAGGGCCCTGTGAGGGTCTTGCAACTCCGTGGCGCTGTGACATCGTGACACTTTGCAACCAGGATCTCGCTCATCTGACAATTATTTTCACTAATCTTCGCTAGGTCTAGGCCTCTATGCGTTTTATTCCGAATGAGGCGGTTCTGCCTCGTAGCTGGTAGGCAGTGCAACCAGTTATGTGTTACCATTTCCGTTTTGGCTTCTTAGCTTGGTAACGGGATCGAGTGACTCACCCGCTTCCGGACATCCGGCCAATCGTCTTACACGCCTTAGTCCCGGGGTAATCGGGCGATGACATCGGACCCAACATTGGCCACCCAGCCTACAATGACTCTCTTAACAAGTAGCCCTATCTGCCCTGCGGCTGTTAATGATTCATTTTTCATCAACTTTAACTCCAGCTACAGTTGCTACGCTAAAGGACAGTTTATAAACTACTTTTCTTTTCTCTAGCATTCGAGAAAAATCCCTTTATCTCCATCTTGACCGAAATACTCTCACGCTACCATCCCAGGCGCCTTGCGCGTGGTCATCCTTTACGCCCTTTCATTCTCATGACATTGTTTTAGCTTTACGTGTTCACAACCTCTGTATTATAATCGTCTAATCTATTAGATTTCTTTATAAGCCACCCATTATGACGACAACGGTGTCATCATCAGCACTTGGTGCTAGTGAACAGTTCTTTCTATCTAGTCTCAACGCTCCCATCACTGGGCAACAAGATAGCCAGGACCAGATTTCGAGCTTTGGGCAAGGTGCCTTTAAAAACGATCGAATTCGCAGACCTACGCGAGTCAATAAATCTCGCATTCGACGCCACAAGCCTCTTCCTTCACGTTCATCATGGGGGTACGGTGACGAGGACGACCGCCGTTTGGCGGCTGACCCCTCCGTCATCCTGCCTAGCGACCGAAGACCTAAGAAGCCTCGACTCGAACGTCAAGAAGCCTTTCGTGAGCCAAACACGCAGTTCTACCATTCCGATATAGTCGACGACGACGCAGAGCTATACAAGCTAGGTCTTCTGTACGACGATGAACACGTGCGCGGATCCCGTTTTAGCTTGGACACCATTGTTCACTCGGATCCCGTATACTCGGTCCGCCCAGCGAAACGAGCCAGGAAGCAGCGTCAGGATACATCTTACCTGCACCTGGACCTATCTTTTGCCTCCCTAGGTTCGGACTCGGATCTTCAACATTACCTAGTCCCCGAACTGGCCTTACTCACCCCACCTCCCGAAGACGCCCCAGTAAACGAGGGGCGTCGCGGGAATGACATCACACCGGCGCGCTCCTACAGGGACGCCGTCATGGCAACCATCCCAGAGCTCCCGGAGAGCTCGATCCACTCATTAGACGCGCTCATCGCGGAGAAAACCTGGTTTCCCGAATTAATCCCCGACATAGAGACGGACATCGAAGAAGACGAAGAAGATGGACAGGACTGGGCGTTACTAGATAACGCAGATGTCCTAAGCACCACTGACACCGATGCTCTGACGGAAGACACCGCGGACGCGACCTCGGCTACCGGCGAAGCCTGGATTGTGCTGGGTGACGGCTCGTAGCAGATCCGCATCAGAGACCCCCGAATGCCCCCTCGGGTCTCGGCTGTTAGATCGCAGCGTTCGTCTGCGCGGATTGGCCCTCTTTTACCCCAGCACACCAGGCGCCGGCGTATCCTGAGGCGGAAAGACGGCTGTGTGCTCGTGGTCGGCAGGCTAGCTGGCTACTTGAGCTCGCCGTCTTCGCGTTGAGGTGTATAATTATTATGGTTACCTGCTTGGGTATCTACCCATCTGCGTATCTAGGCACTAATGTCGTATGTAATGTGTACACTTCCGAAGTCCCTGCGGGACGTTGCATCTTAGGTCATGGATGGATGGATTCTTGTTACGGTCTCGGCGTCGTCTGCATTATTCGGCGCACTGGACAGGTGGTACGGCGATACCCCCATCACGAAGTCTTCGACCTCGTCTATTGGATTTGCTTAGCTGTGTGTTAGGAATTTGTTATGATAGTGTGCATTAGTTTAGGTATGGTTTGGTTAATGATACATCGCTTGGACGTCCAACTTGTTTTTTTACGACTGACGATCTTTAATGGTGATGATCCAAGGGGATTTGATGTGAATGCGTATGGTGGTTGGGTACCTATGCATAGGTAACTATTTATCTAACTATTTATCTAGATTGTAGTATATAGGTCACTCGCGATCAAAGTGGATCAAATAGTAATTCAGATGGAATATGGTGTGTGGACATCTTTATAGAGCCACGTCGCCGCCTGTAGAGGGGACATTGGGTATAAATCATGTAATGAGATGACTACCTGCTCGAATGCCCATCTACACTCTTTCTATCAGCAAACATCTTCTCACTTTTCCTCCTAGACGCATACGATTATCGTTCACCATGTCTCTTGAAGCAATTCAGACCTGCATATCATGGATTTGTAAGGCGTACGGGGCCGCTACAACCATCAACGACATCCTCAACCCGGTAGTTCCATTGACGCTAGCAGACATCAATAACCAACTGCAATCAACGCACGCGCATTATTTCCAGGGCGACCACATTTCGACGTTGACCTACTGTCAGCGGACGTTCTGTAATGTTATTCGACCCTCCATTAGACGGGCAGGGACGATAACCCAGGCATCATTATCCCAAGGTGGCACACTCCGTTCTACCTATGATGAACTGATAAAATGCATCAGAGACTTCAACGTTGCGCTAGAGAAGCTGCATTGGCTTCCTACCTCAAATGACCTTCATGTTGACATCAGGATCCGTTTGACCCGAATCTTCACGGAGGCGTATGCTCTTCTCATTCTCATGCAATGTACTTACTCCCACCTTCACAGCATAGAGGTGGGCTGTGCCTCTCTGGATGACCCCGATCTCTATCCTGATACCCTCGCGTCTTTTGGGTATGTCCAAGATGCGATCACTAGAATCTCTGAACAACGATCCACAACAGTCAGGAAGCGACTCGAAATGATCCAACATGTTAAGGTCGAAACATTCATTGGATTCGGACTTGGTAATACATATTATGTGGACAGATACAGGCCACTTGACGGGTCTATCACACAATCGACTCTCGTGCACACGGGCGGCTCGAGCGACGACCACGAATCGCATCCCGAAGCCGGGTGGAAGATACAGAGAGCAACCAACAACAACGACCCTAATGAGATTCGCCAACCCAGATACTCAATGTGGGGGCTGCAGATACGCAAATCGCAGACGTGCTACGCAATCGACGTGAGAGGAGGTGATAATGCCCTGAAATCGATCGCGATGTTCGATGAACTCAGAGTCAACCTACTCAAACGACTTAAATTACAGGGAGACAGTCCGGATTATAAGGTCTTCATACCAAAACGAACTGTACTATCATCCCAAGCAAGCCACGAGATATACAGCAACTCTAGAGAAAACGAGAGACTACGCGCCATTTGCGAGACCACGTTGACGCGCATCGAGTGGGTGAAGGTCGATGCCAAACTGGGGAATTCGAAAGCCCAGGAATATGAGCGAGGCCGAAGAGTGCGATACGAAACCTGTGCAACTTGGCAAGACAACGACTATTACGATTCACTCGCTATGGACTCTGTTTCCGGAACTGTGATTCGAAACTTAACCCTGAGAGTCGGCAATGAGACAATAGGTTTCCAGGATTTCGACAGTCATGTTGTAGAACATGAGACTGTATGTTACGCCTTAGCTTTAACTGTTGACTATGAGTTTTATTACGGGCGTTAATAGCTGACTTGTGTGATAGAAAGCAGATAAAGAAAACGTTTACCAGCGTGTGTTCTCTTTTAAGACGCGTGTATGGTTCCATCTCCACGCTTGGGGCGAGGATTGGGTTCCCGGAACACCGAAATATAAACCGAGGGTTAGGGAGATATCTTGGAAGATATATAGCAAGGAGGTGCGGTGTTGGAATGAGGTATTGTCCGGAGCCACCGAGGTTCAGGTCACAGAAGTAGGGAGGTCAGTTCGGCTTGAGGACATTACTAGACGCAAGCTTGAAACATGTCCTGCTATATGCAAGGAAATATTGTGTGATGAATACGGGTTGATCACCGAAACGGTTTATGGTCTTCGTTGAGGCGAGTCGTTTAGGGGCATACCAAGTACTAGCATTGGTCTGTAATGCTAGTATCCGATAGTTGAAAATGAACTAAGAGGTTCATAGGTATATCGCAGTCTGCAAATAGTATGGATGAATGAATTCAAGAAAATCCACATTGAAAAATCAGTATTGCCTACCGCGGCTATGGAAAGTGGAATTTCGTAGTAGGTAAAAATAAGTAAATTGCCCCCAACGCCGCCCAAGAAACCTTGCTCCTAGATGCAATTCCGTCAAATCCTGACCATACCCCGAAAAGCCCCAAACACCTAGAAAAAACAAACTACCTACGATATGATCATCATTCATCTGAGTTTCGCCCAGCTCTTGTCTGTGTGGCTTCGACAACACTTCTCTCGAGAGTTGGTGTATTCGTAGGCCTATCTTCCCTAACAGGCACAACTTCCCATCTTACCATAGCATCGTCCATACCTGGCCAGAGATCGGTGGGTAAATATTCTGCAACTTCGCTCCGGAACCTCTCCCTTTCCTTGCGATCTCCCTCGATGATCTTGTCAACGCTTTCCTTCGCTTTCTTCCATATACTCAACACCTTATCGTCCAACGACTTTCGTCTCTCAAGCTCAAGTATGAGCCCATCGTATGAATTCGAGTAGTTCTCGTAGAATATTCGCAACTGGTCCATTTCATCCAACCTGTCTTCTATCGCTTGTTGCTCGTCATTCCATCTTTCGCGGAATTCTGATTCGGCTGAGATATAGCTCTGGAGTCGGGATCCGATATCTTCTAATACCCCAAACGCCTCGACTGTTGAAATGTATGTCTTCTTAACCAGGTTTGTTTGCTCATCGACTATGGTGAAGTCCGCCTCCATAGACTGTAGGCGGATGTTGAGCTCCCGAATTACGTCCTCTACCTCTGAAGCGTCTTGGACGACAACTTGGAGCATCTGGATGCGATCTTCAGCCGAGATCGGGTCATAGCCTGGCATATGAGATTCTTGCTCCGCTATAACGCCGGATATCGACATATCCTCTCCTCCTTGGGAGTTCGTGACTTCGGCAGCTTTGATCCTAGCTAAGGCTGCCCCACCTTCTGTTGTTCTTACTGCAGTCACACATAAATCGAAATGTTTCGTCAAGGATGAGAGGAGTTCGGCCATGTTATGTGAGTGTTCGACCATAGAGGCTAGGTATCGGGGTACAATTTGCTCTGTAGAAGCAGACGGGGATGGGAGAGATAGCGAGGCCGGCATGGTCTTCTGGAGTAATCGCATATCGGTATCGAAACGTAATAGATCGCCGTCGAATGATTTCTGTGTATTCTGCAAATATAGAGTGCTTTAGCATAGACCACCATTTTGGAGTGGTAGTGCGAACCTGTAAGGACTGTATATTTTCCTTTAGGGCGTCCCTCATCGCATCGACTTGCGACTCATCCACGAAGTCTAACAAGCTCTTTTTCTCCTCACCCTTCGGCCTGAATGTACTATCTACTATCCGATCTCGCAAGACTTTCATAGTGTCTACAAGTCGGCCATTAGCGGCATCTAATGTCTTGATAATCTGCTTGAATTCCCGCTTTCCGTTGTCGTATGTTCGATTCATGCCTCGTCGTAGGCGTTGTAGAAGGCGTACTTGTTCGTTAATGCCCTGGTGAATGAACTGCGACTGCGCGGCGAGAATGACGGATTCTTCGTGAGCTTGCCGCGCCGAGTGGACGAGCTCGTTGGCGCGCCAGACGAGGCCCATGGAAGAAAGTGAGCGCTTGGCATCGAGAAGATACTGCACAAGGGTCTCGACGGGGACTGATTGCATAGAGCTAATGTCGACATGATGAGAGGCAGATCGCGATACGGATGTAGACGAGGCTGGTCTAGTTGGAGATGCCATGTTGAATGATATCGGTATTATAATTGAGATGCTAGATCCAAGATAAAAGATCGTAAGACAGCTCCAAGCTGGTGCTCGGACGAAATATCTACATTCTAACAATTCTAGGAAAGAGTTCAGTGTTAATCCTAGAACGTTGAAAAGGAAAAGATGATGAAGGGAGCTAGGGCCTAAGTTTCAGGCATAAAAAATCAATGGTTGTCTGTGCTAGGCGGGTACCTACGTAAAGCTACAGAGTGAGCCGGTGAACCATAATGCTGGAAATGGCAGCAACATCCTGGGAGCTCTGGATGAATAAATCACGGCTTAACGACCTAAAGTGCCGATTGGCTTGTCCCCACATCACTCGGGTTGGGGCGGGTCCACAACGCACTAAATACTGGGCACTGCACTGTCGACATTGAGTTATCGCAACCCGCCAAGCAGCTTCCAATGGAAAGCTTCGATAACAGCAGCCCCTAATTATGACCTGTGCAACATTTACATCTTCTTTCTCATCCACATCCGAGAATGCCGTACATTCTTCATCATTTATTCAATTAATTCTCTATTATATCTCTTTAAATATACTTCCTATCTTGTTATTACTATGAAATACTTATATTTATATTTAATATCTTTGTTTGGAATGTCGTATAGCTACCAATTTCTAACATTATAATTTGTTCCAATAATATCTCTCTACATATCGATCGTCATGACGAGGTCTTTACTAGCTCGTTGAATAGTAATGATAATAATATTTCAGCGAACAAATGGATCAATCGTCTACTAGAACAATCAGACGGAAACCAATCCCGTCAAAAACTCCACATCCACCAGTTAAGGATGTGGAGGATACTCACGATATCCTCGATGATCTCCTTGACGACTATCTAGAACCGCCCACTTCTCATCAGGACCATGTGCTACCCACCGGAACTAAAGAACTAACACTGACTTCAAACCCACCACCTCCCCCGAGGCAGCTTTCCATTCCCCTTGTAACTAGTCCTTCAGAAATTTCACTCAACTCAAACGTATCAACGCCAGAAACTCCCAATCCCAATCCCAACCCCGCCTCCAATCCTAATCCTAGTCAATCGAAATGGAAGACAGCTCTCGACGAAACCATTTACTTTGCCGGTGGGCTAATTTCACATCCATTTGAGTCAACTAAACACTACAGTATCCTTCGACACTCCGCCGGTGTGGTACTTTACCGAGGACCATCTACAAGTATCGCTGTTACTGTCTTTTCAGATGAGCCATTACCAGCAGATCGTTCGTTCTGGTTACAACGAAAGGGGTTCTCTGGAAATATGGGCATGGCTGCGAGTGCATTACTCCGCACCCAATGGAATTGGATTGACGTGACGCCATCGTTCGAAGCCAAACCTTCCGATGTCCTTCCATCAGATGAACGAGCTTGGCAAAGAGACATTAAGAAATTTCTGAAGAAAGCATCGTCTCATAGACACCTGTCTAAGCATATCGCTCGTGAGACGTGTGTTGTTCGAATTCCGGCCTCGGCGGAAGATGGTTATCTGCGTATTGTTATGTGTATGGGTGAAGGTGCGAAGAAGACCCTTTGTCCTTCACCTATTTTCCGCGTAGCAAGTACGTCATCCGATGTTAGTGTCCTACGCGGTGCAAGTTTGACAACTATACCCCTCGAGATTGGATTAAAGGTAGCCTCTGTAGTAGGCACAAGCACTGTAGACAAGTTTGTTTCGCCTGCACGAGATGCTATCCAGAGTCGGCTACAGCAGTACGCTCCCGGGTTTGTTGCACAGGAAGCTGGAACCGTGGCATATGAAACTCTGGAAGAAAAATATGACGAAAATAATCAGGCTACATATGAATCTGTTCAGACAGAAGGGGTAATAGAGGCGCCGCCTCAGATTGTGGGTGCCGACAGTGGACCCGAGAAACCATACCCATTTAGGTTTGCTGGTAGAGTCATTGAAGGAGCTCATCGAAGCAGAACGGAAACTGGCATACCCACTGCCAATTTATCTGGCGTTCCGAATGACCTTCTCTTACGTCTTAATGGTGTTTATATCGGCTGGGCTCAAGTTCAACCTACCAAAGGAATCGAGGGTGTTTTATACAATTGGCACGAAGCAATCATCACTATCGGACCTTCACCATACGCGCCGCCTCGCGTTGTTGCTAAGAATGTAGCTGCTGTGCATATAATCCACGACTTTGGCGATGCATCGTTCTTTAACACGGAACTTAAAGTTGTCGTTATGGCTTATCTAAGACCTATTTCGAAGCATGGAAGTATCCAGACGCCTGCTGCAACTACCGCCTCTATTACGCGGGATATAAGCACTACCATTGCGAGTCTGGACCGCGAGAACTGGCAATGCGAGATGACCTTACGAAGGGTAAAGACGGAACAGAGCACGAGGTCTGTGGGTGAGAGATACGTTGATGTAAGGTCCCAGGTGCAGAGGCGGGTTGACAGTGTGCCCCTACACTTAGCTGGAGTCCGCACCGCTAGCGCTGAGGTCAAAGACCAAGCCTATGGTAGAGGCGGGCTATACATACGCAGATGAGCGATACGGAAGTGTATGCGATCCTTCCTTGTCTGATGAAAAAGGTGCTACGCCAGTTTCCGTGGAGTTTGGTTTCTCATCGTTCTAATAATTCGGGCGGAGCCTTTAATCGCTAATAACAAGTTCAATTTTGGGTTTTCCTAACCTACCTGCTTCTCTTCATTCATGGTGGTACTATTCTGTGTCTTCGGATATTTGGTTATGTCGTTTGATCTCGGACTATCTAGATGTTGGCAAAGGAAGTGCTATTTTTGCATTGTTTGCGAATTTTCCGACCGGATCACATTTTTCTAAATGACTATAACGGCTGCGTGGATTTGGCCACTTGCTTTCTTCAGCGATCTTGGTGGCTGTATGTTTAACTTGGAGGTTGGGACTGCATCTTCCCGAGACAATGTCATCTGCAGCCACCCATCCGCAATCACGGCAATCCTTCCGTACCTATCTTGTGAAATTCGGCATTATAAGTGTAACCTACCACAAAGACATCTCACTTGTTCCCCTGCCGTGTAACTATTCGACGATAGTAGCTAACGGCTATTAGCTCATACCGTAACAATCGTGACCCGATTGGGACTTTATGGCGTATTTTCAGCTGCACTAGGGAACCTTTCCGATATCCAATACTTACCCAAAATATCTTCATCTTCGAGACGTACAGTACAGGTCTTAACCACTGAGAGAATCGTGAAATTATCGAATCGAATAGAAGATGACGAATTCGGTATCCCGTTTAGTGCGATGATTCACTAATATTCGATACTTTCCGGTGGCTAAATGCTACAGAAAAATTCATTTGATTGGTAAGTTAACCCCACTTTTGCTTAGTAGGCATTTGAAATGCATGTATACCCCTGTACCTTTTTTCACATGAAATCTGATAAGAAGTCGAGTCTCCTTCATCGGCCATTTCATATTCTGGGCTTCACCCGTTTATTGAACCTCATTCAACCCTTCGAAGGCGAAAGGCGAGGAAATGGCCGCCCCATCAAGCCTCCAGGCCGACGACCAACGGAGGGATAAGTCTTCAAAAGCCATTGGTGGAGATGCCGTTTCCGAGCGCATCCTTACTGGAGATGAGGAGGCAGACATCTTGAGCATTGATGAAAATGTCGCAGGAGCTCCAGAAGAGCGCCTCGCATTAGAGCGACGCCTTAGACTCAAGGTTGACTTGCGACTATGTACTATCGCCGGTATATTATGCTCGCTAAATCTTCTCGACTCTGGAGTTATCAGCTCTGCGTCGGTGACATCAATGCCCTCCGACCTGCAGCTCACAGGCAACCGATTCAGTGTTAGCATTTTTATCTTCACCATATCGAGCATCGCCTTTCAACTACCATCAACTCTTGCCGTGCGCACCTTTGGTCCTCGTTTATGGTTCTCCACGACCACCTTCTGTTTCGGCCTCATAACGATGTGTACTGCTTTCATTCAGACATGGCAGCAGATGATCGCGCTACGTGTGCTTCTCGGTATAGCGATGAGCGGTATTTACCCGGGGTTGACCTACCTGATCTCCACGTGGTACCCGAGAAAGGAACAACAAACGCGCTTTGCTTTCTTGCAGACTGGCGAGGTAGTAATTCTTGCTACGGGCGGTATCGTCAATTATGGCCTCAATCAATTAAACGGGAAGGGCGGCATTGCTGGCTGGCGGTACATGTTCCTAGTGCAGGGGCTGATCGCGATGGTTCTCGGACTCGTAACTTACTTCTGGATCGTTGACTTTCCCGAGGAAGCGCACCGTTCTTTCTGGTTCCTAACGCCCAAGGAGCAGGATCTCGCCGTGTCCCGCATCAACGCCGATCGCAAGGACGTCAAACCAGACCCATTCTCCTGGGGTGAAGTTTTCGTCCACGCTCGAGATCCCAAGGTCTACGGCTTCGCCTGCATGTTCTTCCTGCTAAACCTCGTGTCCACGGCGCTATCTTACTTCCTCCCCATCATCCTACAAAGCGGCATGGGCTTCGACGAGAACCAATCCATCCTCCTATCCGCGCCGCCGTACTATTACGCCGTCATCCCGGTCCTCCTGTCCTCCATCATCGGCGACAAGTACAGGCTCCGTGGACCTGTCATAGTGTTCAACTGCGTCACGCTCATTGTGGGCTTCTGCATGCTCGGCTTCGCCGAACAGGTGGCCGTGCGCTACGTCGGCACATACCTCGCGACTGGCGCTTATGTCAGCAATTGGGCGGCCCTAAGCGCCTACCAATCCAATAACATCACCGGCCAGTGGAAACGCGCGTTCACTGCCGCTGCCGTGACTGCGATGAACGGCGCTGGAGGCATCGCAGGTAGCTTCATCGTTAGGTCTGTCGAGGCGCCTCATTACTTGACTGCTGTCTGGGTGTCCATAGGCTCGCATATCCTGATCATCGCTATCGTCGCCGTCTTCTCTGTCTACTTCTTCTTCTCGAATAAACTGGCCGCGCAGGGGAAGATCATTATTGAGGGTGTCGAGGGCTTTAGGTATACGTATTGAGTACCTAAGCAGCGAGCGAGTACTTGGTTAGGTTTGGAAAACGTGCGGAGTGTCTGTGGGGTTTAAAGTCGTGGTTCTGACACTTGGTTGATAATAAGTTGCTGCGCTAAGACTGCTCTTGGACCTGGCTATTGCGGATAGACGCGACATGGGTAACGCTTATGATGACATGCTTTACGATTCATGGTAGACGTTGTCGGTATGAGGGTTTGGAAAGAACTTTGAATAAATATTGGGAAGCTGATGCTCTTTCGTCTGACCCCTTTGTTACCCACTTTTATCTCTACGAGTAATGGTCGTTTGTGTAACTACGACAGTCGGGAAGTTTATTAACTCTTAGACCATATACCTTTGTTTATTCAATCATTCACGATGCGGTCTGTTTCTTGGAGTTCCCGATGATCCACAGGGGATCCAAGATGTTGGTGAGGTGACTAAGTAGCTTGATTGATGCTACCTTCGCAGTTACTTTTCGACGAAGAAATATCACCACCCCATAAACCGAATACCAGGCCTGTCAGTAGGCAATGCCACTATAGTACAATTCCGAAGCAGTGAAGTAAAAAAACATGTCAGGTCCGTGTATCCAGGCCTGCCGGGACTCGACTAGGTTGGTACGTCATGAATGCTGCGTAATTAAAACAATTCCATCCTAATCTTGACTTCGTTAATTCCCATCTCCATCGGTACTTCGTAAGCCTTCATTTTAAAGCGGCGAGAGCGGCTTATTAAAACGCAGGTGTGGCTGGACGTGTCTCCGGGGGCGATGGGATCTTGCTCACGCACTCGCTACAGCAACGGGAGTCAGTAATTGCTTATTTAGGAGGGGATTGGCTCATTTCTCGGGAGTGATTAAATCTAAGAAAGGAGGAGAAAAGGTCTAGATATTACATACTCGCACTTTCCAGGCTTGTTGCCCATGAACACGTCTTCCCAGGTTGTTCGCTTGCAGGGAATCTTGGCCTTCGGGTTCTTCTTGGATTCATCACAGATATATCTGCCACCAGAGGCGCAGTGGCCGCAGCTCTCGTAGTAGTAGACCTTGTGATAACACATCTTCTACAAAGGGGGTTTGTTAGTCGGATCTGGGTCATTGGATGTGCGTGGATAGATGGATTTGAACGTGATAAAGGTGTTTGAGTAGTAATTATTGGGGAGACTCACGTTTCTTTGATAATTGGGTGTGTAAACTAGGTGGTGTGAGGTAGGTGAACTTGAGGACTTTGTTTGTGAATTTGTTGATTTTGATCGATCAGGGTGAACTTTTTTTAGGATGGTAGGTAGATGTTTGAAGAAGCTTTTTCCCTGGCCTAGGACCGTGGTATTTGACAGAGACTAGACCTAACTCTAGAATGTAGCAGAAAGATAAATAATGTGCTGACATCTGAGTTCGCCAGCTAGCCCTAGCTGTCGTATTATAACGGCATCTAAAATCTTACTCTTGTCGTAAAGGATACGTTAGGGGTCAATGTAAATGCTTCTTGAAGTATTTCTATATCGGTTAGACATCACGAGGATTCAAGGATCCATAGCTGACTGACTGACTTTGATATGGTTATAGAATCGGGATACGCCATCATTAGCCCTTACACGATTCTCCCCCTAAACATCACGCCACAAAGCTAAATCAACGTCAAGAAAAAGCCACCACAGATATAACTTCGAGAATAGAAAGTGGTCATATATGGCAAAAACGAATGCGTAGGTCGCTTTGATGGGAAAGTGGGTGATTAAGCTTAATGTGCCGTACTAATTATCGATGAATCATTTCAACACTTGAAAACCTGAAACATACAATGATTTCACGACGATATATATAAATCTCATTGAAACTCATCTAAACGCTGGGTATCTTCTAAGTAGGTACTTACCTTTTTACTTCACCTTTAGATCGTGTCTTTGGAATCGCTTGATAATCCAGAATCTGTAAACTTTACACTTAATATCGCCCCCCTTTTCATGTAATTGAAAAATAATGACAAAAAACGCCGGCCCCTTTTTTTCGCTTTTCACTTTTTTCCCGTTTTTTCTTTTACCTTTTTACTTTTTTTTTCTTTTTTCTTTTTTTTTCCACCGTTTTTTTTCTTTTTTTGTAGTTTGGGGGAGGGTGATGGAAGTCATTCTTAAATGACTTCAGGACTCACCCCTGCCGATGATTACGGCTACCATAACTTGTCACGCGCCTAGCTTCGAAACCAGGACGTACTTCGGGCTTCGGGGGGTGCCCTGACTTGGAGTCCTTAGATGGAGTCCTTTTCACACTGTCCTTTAAGGAAGATACCCTCTGCAATCCGTTCTTCACGGCACTCGTCAACTTATCGAGGCCACTCTTCTTCGACTTATTCAACTCCGCCTGTTCTGGAACGAGTAATTTACCATCATCTCCTACTATATCCGACAATCGATCCGCAGTGTTGCGACTAAGGCCGGTTTGAGGCCGTCTTATGGGCTCTTCTGGAACCTTTCTGGTAGGACCAGAAATACGTCGCCAAGTACCATACTTGGTTCCGGGAGGACTGACCCAGATGCTACCGTCCTTATGCTTGCCGAAATACTCATTCGTATCGGCATCGTATCCATCGAGGGATATACCATCGGGTAAACGATCATCGTCATAGCGTGCCATTTCGATTGATTTGTGATTAGAATGTGAGAAATTGAAGTGATAGCGGGTTGGCTATTGGTGAGTTTGTGAATGTAAGGAGACTTAGATGAATCTAAGCCTTCGATGCCTTCTAAAATTTTCTCTCCATAAGCCGCCTGCCCGTCGCCTTAAATAATGAAAATGTTTGAAGAAACAATTAGCATGAGCAAGCACAAGTATATCGTCTCTGAACATGGCTTCGCTACACCAGGGGAATTGTCACTATACATCATGCGTGTCTAATCACGCGTGACCTGTTTCGTGACAGGACAGTAGTCGAGGCAGTACTTTGAAATCGGGTACATGTTTACTCAGATAATTGTGAATCATATTTTTGAGTAGGCTCGATAATGTAACTAAGGTGAATTGTATGATAATACGTAGGGTGGAGTCAGAGTGGAGGGGGCGGGGTGGTTGTGTGTGGGGGGTGGCATGATGCCTTCATAGCTACCTAGACGAGCTACTAACGAAATGTTGAAAAATTGGGAGACAGTGTGATAGTTTTATTGCCAGCAACTACCTATATGGGCGCCGAAGATATGATAATTAACAGCATATCGAGGGTTACTGTAATTGTTTAAAGCAAATAGAAAGAATTGGTAGTTCAATTCCTGGAAAATGACAGAGTGAGGGATGGAATAGGGGGAATAAGGGGTAAGGGGAAAGGAGAGAGGAGAAAGAGGGGAAGAAAAGGGGTGTTGTAGGTTACATGTTACTTATGTATCCAATTTCAGTGGCCTAAGAAGTTAATCATATATAACACCTAAAGACTAAGATGAGTGGCATAGCCAGTATTGATATGTGTACTTCGGTTGGTTATGAATATATGTAGATAACAAATATAAATGCGCTCAATAACTATAATTAAATATATCGCGTCAATACCTTGTTACTATTATGTATATTAGCATTGTTACCTTGCATAATTCTTTCTTCATACTCTTTTATCTTCATAATCAATCACCATTATTCCCTATGGAGATATAATAATAATGTTTTTGCAATATTCTTGTTCGTGAGATTGAAGCCTTTGTGAAGAATTCTGGAAAAATCACGATTGTTCATGTCTCTTTATTACCGCCACGCAAATTGAAAATCAATTTTTGGTAATGGGGGGGTTAAAAATACATAAACGTATCGAAAATTGGATTATTTCGCATAAAATATTGGATGATATGAAGCTAACGTGAGATTATTTATTATTTACCTACGTCGTAGGCATTTGACGAGAAATGGGGGTGACAGTGTTGTGTTGCGAAGAAAATCGGGGCCTACCCGCTGCCAGTGATAGTGCACTATAACCGAGGGATTACATAGGTCTTGGATGCTATGACTGAAACCTGGTTTTCGTACGTTGGGGGTACAATAATTTATGTCTTGGTACGTGAGTTCTAGACTTCGATGCAGTACTGACTGACTTGCACGATGATCATCCTCTCATCGGATATTGTAGATGCGAACTTATCTTGTTCAAACAAAGCTTCCGCGGCTATTTATCTAGATAGATGGGATCACCCCGGATCACCCCGCATCGTCTAAGATTAGCGGTAAGATTAGTGGTGGACCAGTAACTTGTTAGGGCGTAACTACCATGTGTTTCCCCGCAATCTAAACCTTTAGTGGTTTACCCCGACTTCGTAGCCAAGTCTGCCGGTCCTCGAAAAATATATCCCCGTCCAGGGCAGTTAGGGGAAGTTCTAGGTGGGTCTAGACGACGCCACCATTACAAGTATATACCAGAAAACATCAACTTCGGATCCCAGCTTTCTCGGGTCGTCTTTTGGGGAATAGCCAATTACATGGATCCTTTTTAAGACAGCTTGTTGCCGGAAGTAGCTAGGAAACCCGATCACCACCTGGGCTGACGCTTGCCACGATGTTTGCCCTCATGTCAGGTGCCATGATGGTATCCTAGACTAATTCTTGGCTTGATATAAACGGCTACTCGACGAAATATCTCGGGCATGACGGTACTCGGGAAGCGGAGGTATGCAACGTTAGACAAAGAAGGTGCTGATCACTTGGTTACTCCCCCTGCAGACCATCAAGATTAGCTCTTTGTCAATTGAAGGGATATGCAGACAAAGGCCATTTATCTTGGACTGAATAAGCATGCTCTTCAAACTTACCTCGATTGGCGGGGAAGAGCTAGCTTTCCGCGTCAGCTAGTAGGGATGAGAATAAATCGAGTTACTCATCGCTTAAAGCTAAAATAAGTACTTACATGCCTACCTAGTCGACTCCTTGAAAGCCGCCGCCGAACGATATGTTGGTACTCCGCCCTTGAGATCATCCCAAAGGACTCCCGCCAATCAATCCCGGCTCACCCGTCGGTCTCTATCCTCCCCACGCGTATTCCTTGTACGCAAAGTCACACCCCGACCATCCACTCGTAGATATAAAAGAACCTTGCTACCCATCCACCCATTCTTTCATATCACCGACAATCAGCAAATCTCAACCATGGATTCCGACCAAGAAAAGGCAACGCTCGACGTCGAGGAGGTAGAGCGCAAGAAGACACCTTCTACGGACACTGCCGAGGAGGAATTTAGCGAGGAGGAAGGCAAGAGGATCATATGGCGCGTCGACCGCCGTTTGGTCACATTGACCGGTCTCTTGTATTGCATCAGTTTGATGGATCGGACGAACTTGGCTGCCGGTGCTGTTTCTGGCATGCTCGAGGACTTGGACCTCGTCGGCACGCGCTACGTAGGACTCATTGACCGTGACTTTACAATGGGTCGCTTACTAACCCCCAAGAATTAGTCAATTGTCACACTTGTCTTCTTCATCACCTATATTTTATTTCAGCCGCCCTCCACTGTCCTCACTCGTGAGATTGGCCCACGAATCTACCTGCCGTCGATTATCTTGGCCTGGGGTGCTGTTATGATCGGTTTCGGGTTCAGTCCGTCATACCAAGTTCTCCTCGCCCTGAGAATCATCCTCGGTGTCTTTGAGGCGGGTTATTTCCCAGGCTGTGTGTACTTGTTGTATGTGTAACTTTGAAGACCCTCTAAAGCGCCGTGCTGATATTAATCCATCTTAGGTCCACGTGGTACACACGATGTAAGAATTGACCCTGCTCCCCAGCATGACTAAGCACACAATTGTGTATGACTAACAAACTCAGATGAGGTTGGCAGAAGATATTCTGTTTTTTACCTTCTTGGCTGTGTGGCCTCTGCTTGCTCGTAGGTAATATCTTTGACTTATAGGAAAACCTGTTGACTTAAAGTGTTCTAGTGGTATCCTTGCATTCGGGTTGATACAGATGAATGGCGTTGCCGGTCTCCCTGGTTGGAGATGGATCTTCATCATAGAAGGTAAACCAGCATGAATGCTATCGCTAATAGGCATGTTATATGTGCTAATCAAGAATTCAAACAGGTGTGCTTACATGCCTGCTTTCCTTTATAGGCTATTGGCTTCTAGTCGACTTCCCTGATTCAAAGCGCAAGTCGTGGCGTTTCTTGAATGAACGCGAACGCGCATGGATTATCAGGAGAGTCAAGGCCGACCGTGGAGATACCGAGGTTCCCAAGTTTAAGATAAGCCTTTTCTTAGGAGGCGGTTTAGATTTGCGAGTTTGGTGAGTTTTCTAAAGGAGAACCCGACTTAAAGAGTCATTGATGATTCCCGGAACTGATCCTTTTTCAGGGGGTACGGACTGATTGCATACTGTACCAACACCATGACCTATTCACTCGCCTACTTTTTACCACTTATTCTTCACACCAATTTGGGTTTCAGCGTTGGTGCGTCGCAATGTCTGATTGCACCCCCATACGCATTTGCCGGAATCTGGATGTATGGCATGGGTTGGATTGGAGATCGCTACCGTATCCGCGGTCCCATCGTGGTCGCTAATATGATTCTCGCTCTTATTGGCCTGCCTATTCTTGGGTGGCATCCTAATGATGGAATCCGGTATTTTGGAGCCTTCCTTGTAACAGCGGGCGCAAATTCAAACATCCCGGGATCGCTGTCATACCAGGCCAATAACATTCGCGGGCAATGGAAGCGTGCCTTCTCTAGTGCTTTGTGGGTTGGGTTTGCCAGTATGGGTGGCATTACCGGTAGCTTAGTCTTTAGGTGAATGGCTTCTCTATCCTCCCCATCTCGAAGCTTGTTCGCACTAACATGGTATCAGGTCTCAAGATGCTGCGACCGGGTATAAGCCTGGGCTCTGGGCTTGTATCGCATGTTGTCTATTCGGCATACTTCTTGTGGGAATCTTGGATTTGTCGTTCTACTTCGATAATAAGAAAGCGGATAGAGGAGAAAAAGAGTTAGAAATAACAGAGGTAAGATGATACAAGCTATCCCTCTCAATCAGAACAGGTACTAACATATAACATAGGAGGATTATCAGCCAGGTTTTCGCTATACATATTAGGAAGATATGATTTCTTACCTGGGCGTCTAATTGAGCCAGTAGTCTTCGCTACTCCAAGATATTTCCGTACCGCAAGTAACTATGGGAAGCCCTAATGGGCTGTTAAGCGTATACATTTCATCATGCATCACTGAGAGCTTTATTACTCAAAGCATAGGTACATCCCAGGTAGTACCGAAGTCAAAGTGTGATTACTGGCCTGCCGGTAATAAAACATGAATTAAAAGTGTAATGTTTAATTTAAAAGTGTTGCTAGCTGAGCTAATGGCACTTTCAATATTCGGGTTATGCTAGATGACCCCCGGCTCAGGGGCTGTGGCCCACGTGCAGGTACCTCGTTGGAGTGAAGGAATTGAAAGAAATGACATGGATTCCCGTGGTTTGGTTGAACATTCATCACGTACCGGCATCTGGATTCATTGTTGGTTTAGTCAGAAATCACATGCATTAAACCTCCCTGCCGTAAGGGAGGGCGACATGCGGTAGGACTTCGGGGTCAGGTGCGGAATAATTGAATTATTTCAAAACGTCATGATCACGACAAGAAAGCTTGTGAATTGATTCTGGTTGGTTCTTGCCACTTTCGCGATCATAGATGTCAGTATCTTGCATAAATTCCCGAAGAGCTTTCACACGTCAGTGATCCCCCTGTGTTAGGAACTCGCCGACGGCCTTAAGGATCCCCTCTCGCAATCCTTCACCTTCTAGATGGCACATGTGACCACCGTTTGGGAACGTAATCCAGCGAACTCGCGGGATGAGCTCGAAAAATGGAACTTGGGTGATGTTATGCGAGGTGTCGTATTCGCCATTGTAGATGAATGTCGGAGCAGTGATGTCAGGGAGACGGGAGATGACGGTCCATTCGTTCAGCGAACCGTCTGCTGTGAGAGGCGAAGGGCCGTTCCTAGACGACTTAGAAGTGCAATCAAGACAGACGCGTTTAACAAGCATAAGTAGATACTGGTGCTCAGGAGATACTGGGAAAGAGGTTGAGAAGGCAAAGCAAAATAAGGATTGCCTAATTTCTTTGATCTGAACCTCCGCCTTCCTATGAAGCCATTGGCATTTACTCAACCTACATGCTAATTGCCTCTCGTAGGTAAATTCACACCACAGAAGGTTCTAAGAAAACAGAGAAGTGCAACATACATTGTGCGATACACGGTAGTATCCTCCATCAGATGCTTTAAAGCCGGTAGTAGCTCCGTTGGTGGAAATGGATCGGCACGGCACACGTGCTTCTTATTGTAGAAGCCCAAGGCCTGTTTGTACGCGGGGCTATCGTATTCACCCTTCTGCTCAGCATCGTTGAGCGCCTGCTGCATGGCCGGGGGCATTTGATCTCTCCACAGGCGAACGGCTTGGATACCGAGCTCCTTGCTTGCCACTGCGCTGGCGAGGACGAGTCTTCGAAGACCTTGAGGCTGTCGGGCGGCGAAAGCCGCGGCAAGCATGCCTCCCCAGCTCTGGCCGAGAAGATGAAAGCCGGGGCCGCGACGCAGCTCGAGGTGGTCTAATAGGTTGTCCAACTCATCCTGGAACAATTTCTCCTGCCAGAAAGACTGATCTCCGCTCTTTTGCGGGAGGCGTGTAGAAGAGGCACAGCCTATCTGGTCGTAGAACACAACCGGCAGGCCGTATTCCCGCCAGAGGCCTGCAAAAGTGAGGAGGTATTCATGGCCGGAGCCGGGCCCTCCGTGTGCTATAACAACGGGAGGTTTGCCACTGGAAAGGTCACCGATTATCTTGTAGTAGGTGAAGCAGGATCCGTCAATTGACGGGACTTTGAAAGGTGCCTTGCCTTCCTTGAGTTGAATTCCAGCCATGATTTAGCGGTGGGGATGTCCGGAAAGAAGATGAGGAGGGGAAAGAATCATAAGGAATGTAGACACAAAAAATAAAAAGAAATAGCGAACGTCATATTATATATTTCCTGTCTGTTTTAGCATAGGTAATCAATGAAAATAACACTCATTTGGGATGAAGTTGTGTAACGTTCATGACGGAACAAACCCACATTGGAAGCCGCCGTTACGTAGATACTAGGTGGTCTTGCCGAAACAGAGACCCGGGACGTCCGGGTTATGAACAAATTAAGCCACGAACAGAAGTAACGATCGAGGAAGAGTGACTTTGTACACCTATCCGCAGGAAACACGGTGTACACACCTCTCCCACGGCCTCGTATGAGCCGAACTCCGATCCCATCAGATACCTACCTCTCAGGTGGGATCTGGTATAGAAGAGAAAGGCTCGCCTCTCCAGATTCAACAGACGCACATGTCAAGCGCAGCCTATTCATCCTTATAACCACTCTATACCTAGGATTTAGCTCTCGACGAGGCCTACGAAGTAAGGGCTGCCAAACTTGTAGTGCTAGCGATGACGATGTGCCTCAAACAGAGCAGATGAAGCACCATCTACACGCAATGTACTAATGAAATGTATTCTGAGAGCATTGGGGGGGGGGGGGGGGGGGGAAGGTCGACGACACCCCATGGATTATATTAGAAAATTAGCGAAAATTTTACCCCCCCCGCAACGGGAAAACCCAAGACGCGGAAGGATTGGAAAAGCGGTTGGAATAATTC